GGCCGGAGAGTCACTCGCCTCTAACAGCCTGACAGGCCACATCATCTCTTAACCATGCCGGCAGACCCCGACGATGCTTCGTCTTCACACTCGGTGCGGTCTTTCACCAGAATGACGGGTTCAGACGAAACCCCCCAGGCGCCGGCGAGGGCGAAGACAGCTGCTGAACAGACAGAGTCAAGTGCGGTTTCACCGCCGTTACGGGTCGAGCAAGAAGAAAAAGTAACCAGCCCGGATGTGTTTGAAAGAAGGAGCTCTGCGGATTCCAGCGCTGCGGCCGACGGACAAGCAGACGAAGGCTTTGTGCTGTCTCGAAGCGTGCAGAATCCATCAGAGGAACTCCCAATCGAACTAATAAGCTTAACGGACCGGTGCGCTCTCTGATACCCCTCCTATTAGCCCACATCTAATGTTTGGTGGTTAGGTTTGTCGCCTCCTTGAGCGCCAGAGTACACAACACTCCTCCCAACATCGACAAGATTTCCCAACTCTTCCAAGTATTCTATAGCCGCGCCGAATCTCATATCGCCACCCATATATCTGCCCTTGCATCTCGCATAAACCGCGATCCGTCACCCACCATCCCCACAAAACCCCGGCCGACGGGACTATCGAAATTGAGCAGCAAGCGCTCCCAGGATGATTTTGGGCAGGCGCCCACGGGACGTCAAATGTTGACGGCATCGGAAGTTGCGGAGAGACGCAAGGCTCGCAAAGCGCTCGAACACAAACGAATGGCCCTGGAGGAGGCTGCAGAACGACGGGTCTGTGAGCTTGTTTACGATAAAATCTGGAGACACAAAAGTACGCTAGATGACGTTCGGGATGAGAAGTTGCGTTCCAAAACGGCAGCTTTGCTCCTCGTTGGCATTGACTTGAAAGATCTTGGCATCGATGTTGATCTCACCTCGATCGATAATGAAAAGCAAGATGAAGCAAATGAGTGTTTCGCGCAGGCCCGCGACTGTCTCGCGAAGATGAACGATGAAAAATACCCCCTGGGGAAGCTTCAGCAGCTGTCTACTGCACACAAAGCGATTGTCGATGCTCTGACCAAGCTACTGCCATCATCTTCTTCCGCAGACGAGATCCTGCCTACTCTGATCTACTGTCTTGTCACTTGCCCGCCTGAAGGAATCAACATCATCAGCAATCAACTCTTTATCCAGCGTTTCAGATCATCAAACAAGCTCGATGGCGAGACTGCTTACTGCTTGACTAACCTTGAAGCTGCAATCAGTTTTCTGGAAAACGTTGATCTGTCCACGCTACGCGCCGATGAGCAGGACGGCATCGGCAAGGCTTTAGGCGAGTCGACGCCGCCATCATCGGAACGAGTCGATCCTTTCCGGCCGCCTAAAGAAACTGCAATCTCGTCCGTAACGTCAGTATCTGCTTCACCCGAGCTCTCGAAACCAGAGACCAAGGAATCTGCCGCGTCCACACTACCCAAACCACAACATCCCACAACACCACAGCAACGACGTCTCAGTAACTTATTTCAACCACCTGCAAAAGTCCTCGGGGCGGCCAACGACGCGGTCCGCAACACCGCCGACCAAGGATTGAAGAATATCGGCCAAACGCTGGATAGCAGCTTCAACTTTCTCTTTGGCCGCCTGAAGGAGATGCAGATCAATCAAGGGCCTGATATGCAAGGCGGAAGACCAGTTCTACCCAAAACACTCGCCGAAGCCCGCCGCCTCATCGCAGAAGGCGGCAAGCAAGACCCAACGCACGATGATCTGGTCACAGTCCACCCCGCACCACTCGACGACGGCGAGCAGACACGAAGCAGCTCCAGAGCAACAGGGCACTCGGGCGACGGACAAACGCCCCGCGATCCAAGTGCAGACAGCAACCGCGCCCAGACAAGCAGTAGACGATCAATAGCAACATCTAATCAGCATCGAGAAGATCAGAACTCAAACAGTCCTACCCCCACCCCGCTGGAATCGATGCGCCAGTTCGGCAACACCTTCAACCCGCTCAATCACATTCCCGGAATGATCAAGAACTTTGGCCGCAATACACCCGACACTCCAGCCGGTCGCTCATTGTCTCCCGCGACGATAGACCGGCTGAAGATGTCGCCTATGTCCACAGATGGGGCCGGTAGCACGGTAACACCGCTTTCTACGTCTTCGGGTAAGATTGACCCTCCGATCCAGCGGTTCCTTGAGATACAGGATGCGGCTGAGCTTCGCGTTGGGGAGGTGGCGACTTTACTGGATGATTATAAGAGACTCGCTGCTGCGCTGTATAAGCCGAACAATCCGTCGCGCTGAAGTACAGAGCAGCAGCGATCATATCTTGCTCTAACAGTTTTGCATCATTTTGAAGCCTTGTGTCATTTTCTTAAGAAGAAGAGGAGAAATCCTTGCATTATGGGGAAATAGTCGACGGCGTTTTGAGGAGGTGATTATATCCTATCTGGGTGGATGAACGTTCAAAGCATTTAGAAATCATAACAGATGCAGAATAAACCGTGTGGTGGTGATACAGCCTCGCAGGAAAAATGCTTTTCACAATCTCAGAGAATCCCGAAAATATGATTGCAGCCGTTGAGATGCAGGGCCATGTGCGCCGTAGGAAAGATGCAGACAGAATAATAAAAACAAATTTTGGGGTACAAGATGAGGGTATTGATTCGAAGTTGAGAAACGAAAACCGCTTAGTGATTCAAAAAGCTTCAACACCGGCAATATGAATGCAGTCAAGTCAATGAGAAAATAAATAAACAGCTGAGACAAGGGAATATCTCAAGCATCCCGTCCTCGCAGAACCTCCGCACCACCAGTGCGCATCTCCTGCAACTTAGTCGACAGTTCCTGATTCTGCTCCTCGATCTGATCATGTCGGCGTTTAACCTCCGTCTCAAAAGCAGCAGCCGTACGGCGACGAGCACGTCTCGATTTCTTCATCTCAGAGAGCAGGTGGCAGAAGCGATCGAGCAACTGGTCTCCACATTCTTCCCATTCGTCGACGGTCATGCGAGATAGGAAGGTGTGACGTTCTTGGTCTGTCTGTTTCAAAAGCTGAGACACAGCGTCTTTCGGAGACTCGCTGTCTGGGGAGATGTCCTGGGGTTGTTGTTGTGGCTGTTGTGGGGGAGGGGACTGGAATGGTGATCGTACGGGAACCGGAGACGGCGCTCTGTCGAAGGGCTCGGCCTGGAGATCCGAAAAGGACTTCTGGTAGAGAACGTCCGGGGGATAGTCTGCTTCGAAGATTCGCTTTTTCGAATGAATAATTGTGTCTCGACGACGACGTGTGGAACCAGCGATGAACGGGTCTTGGATGGTGTCATCGTCGGCATCAAGGTCGGTCAGATTGGTGATATCGAATGCATTGAGTGAATGGACGCTGTCTCGTCTGTCGTCGAGTCCCAGTCTTTGGTCTAGGCCATCCTCAGTGATGTTGCCTTCGTCCTCGAGGGGACGGAGAGCGGCCATATGGAGTGTTCGTTCCGGCTGTAGCGAAAGCTGGACGCCCTGACGGGTTGGCGAAATATCCAGCTGTTCAAGTAGTGAAGGCTTTGGTGGACTGAAGCGGGACCGCGCCCGCGGAGTTCCAGACGTACTGCGCGGAAGAATGGGCTTCCTGGTCCCGGGTGGAGGCAGCATCTGGCCCAGCTTGCGGGGCTGATGATGGGGGGCTGTGTTCACTGGAATCGGATCCATTGGCTTCGAAGGCGCTCTCTTGCTGGCAGACCAGAAGTTCTCCAGGCGTCGGCTCAGAGGCTCCTCGGTTGCACGAGGCTTGTGGGTGTAGTACCCTGCGCGGATCTCGTCGACATTCTCGTCGTCCCCAACAGAAGAAGTCAACTGGCTTCCGTCGTCGCCATCATCTGCATCCTCGGAGACAAATCCTGCCTCCTTCATGGCCTTGTTGCCGAGACCATCATACCAAGCAGACCCGTGAGAGCGCCGGGTATGTCGTGGCTGGTACATAGACTGTGGTTCATGGGTAGCGAATGCGGTATCTGCATTCGATGCTGTGTGAGACTGATTATCATCCGCTCCATAGATGCTTGTTCCTGCAATGGTGGAATCATCGACTGCTTCGACATCTGTGTCGAAAGCGTCTCGCTGCTGCAATGCATGGTCGAGAGATGCTTGGGACGGGTCCGCGAACCCAGCTCTCTCCTTGCCATTTGAAGGGGGCAGCTCAAATAGATTAGTTGCTGGCACCTCGACCTTTGCTTGTTCCGCACGCAATTGTCGTGTCTGGAGGGAAGCCGTCCTGCGTACTGCTGCAGACTGCCCAGCTTCCTTAGAGTGGATGTAGTCGCCCACGCCCATGGTGGAAAACTGATTGAAAAAAAAGAAAAGAAAGAAAAGCCTAAGAGACGGTCCCAGAGAGATCAGGAGCGACTGGGAAAGCAACCCACATTTCAAGATGGAAAGGGTGGACAGAGAAGCAGCGTGTCACAGTTGCAGGTCAAACACGAAGGGATCCAGGGGTCACGTGACACCATATAATGAATAGGTGATTGATGCCTATATAAATAGATGGTAGGTTTTATTTCTAAACCATCTTAACTAGGTACAAATCATCAATAATATTAGCCTGATAGGTTAAGCTTTAGACTAATATTGATTCGCATTTTGAATGTCCTAACTTTAAGCTATGCTCTCCCCTTTCTTTATTGTCTTTGAAGAAGTTTACATGCTACGTTTAGTTGCATGCTGTGAACAGATGGCATTTCTAAGCTAGATTTGACTATTATGACTAGAATAGTGTTAGATAGTAGAGTTTTATTTGGATTACAAAGTAGTTTTAAGAGCGCTAAAGCTAAGACCTTGAGATTATGCAAAAATAGGCTTTTATGGGCCCCCGTTGGGCCTATTGTGGTAGGGAGTCTAGTGGCCAAGCCCATCGTGGGTTGGGCTATGGGCCGAGAGATTACAAACGAGTGGGAGGAGCGAAAACCCAAAAAATATAGCATTTCATTAGATCGTAGAATATGATACATGGCATTAATCGACTTCCCTTTCTCAGTCAAAGGGCGAGCCGTCATCAATATGGAAGTGCTCAAGGTTGTATGCGACGCTCCTTCCACGCTTCTTGGCCTTCTCGAAGAACTCAAGGGACTTCTGCACCTCCGTCTGGCGCTTCTCGTTGGCAAGCCTTTGCTCGCGTCTGGCATGAATAGTGCTCGGCAGGTCATCCATGGCCATCTCATCGGGATCGGATCCATCTGCATTCTCCGGTCGTGTCTGCAAGGATGAAACAAACAAATCACCAATCCAAAGCGACACCATGCCTCTGAGTTCCAACAGTCCCGGAGAGTCCATATACGGAGGTGACACAAGAAGTTCGTCCATACGTGCTGCAATTTGCTGTGCGTTGTCTAATTCGCGTGCTCTAGTTGCCGCAATGAGAAAATGCTTCTTGTCCTTCGACCCTTCGTTATGCTCGCGGTCCGGTGAGGAATCGTCTTCTGGGGAGAGTTCATCAGATGAATCATCGCGGCGAATATCAATCTTTTGCCTCGCGGCATTGCCCTCTTCTTGGACGACATAAATCCACAGTCCGAACATGGCGGGGTAAAAGTGCAGTGAAGAAATGGCATTCGGGGCGGATTTGGTATATGGGTGATGGAGAATTAGTCTCTCATAATACTCCTTGGCGTCTGCAAACCCCTTTTCCGTGAAGGGGAGTGTCGGGCTTTCTGTGGTATTGGGAGTTTCTGGAGATCCACCTTGATCTGCAACACCCACTGCTTCCTGCTGACCTTGACGCAGGAGGATTTCAGCACCGATGCCCCATCTGTCATCAGTACGCACATCCATCGGAAGGCCTTTGAAGGACTCGCGCAAGATCAAACCCCATGCTCTCCCAGCGCGGATGTAATCCCCTTGGAGTAGACAACGGTGGAGGATGGCGGTCATAGCTGACAGATGCTGGTACCGGATGTTCCCTTGCTGCGCCGAGGACTGAGGTGGATAGATGGGAGGTGACAGGGTGGACAATGCCTTGACAAGACGGATAGCCTGAGCTTCCTTGCTCGAACGCTTTTCCTTGGGCGGTCCATGAGGGAAATGGCCGCCGGGCAACTCCTGATTGAAGGAAAGGCCTGCTATTCGATATTGATGCGCCTCGTTTGGCGTCAAGACTAACGAATGCCCAGCATCTGTAGCATCGGTGGTTTCGCCGGCATCTTCATCGTCGTCGGTCCATGCATCACTGTGCTTCTTGCGCTTCCGGCGCTCAAGTTGAGTCAGGCGAGGACCGAGCGGTTGGTTCCAAAGGGGAAGAGGCAGAGAAAAAGAGGAAGCCGAGGGAGTAGATGCCATAAGAAGGAAAAGAAAAAGTTTGGGGTGCGACAACGAATGCGACAACGAATCCACCTGACGTGTTGACTAAGAGCCGAGAGCAAAGCAGGCAAACACCCGACAGTTATGTTATCACTCCCTCGCTCTCTTATATTACTCACTCACTCACTCACTCACTCATCAACCTTTCCCGTCCTCCCTCCTTCTCCAATCCTCCCTCCCTTTCTCCATTCTGTTCCTTGTCACCCGTGGATTTCCTTGGCTGCTAGTCCACGCTCTCTGATCTCCGCCACCCGCGCCTTGCCCGCATTCGCAGCTCGGGTACATCGTCGTCGTACTGTGGGCAGTGCTTGGGTTGTCAGACAGTCTGATACTGCCGGTCACAGAATCTCGTATTGGACAGAGGGCTGATCTAACACCGTTGGCCACCACGCTCTGGGAGCATTTATCGCTGCCCTTGCCGAGCGAGTTACAACGCGGTCTTTCTTGCGGCGCTTTCTCTCCACCATCCGTGGGTACCCGGCCTCTTGCCAACGCCTTGTGCACCGTTTCCTTTTTTGTTTCCAACTCGTGTATTCGCCCAGGCACTGGCTTGATTTGAATTCCTCCCAAGCATCATCAACCGGTACGCTTATTCCCGTTCATCCCCAACGCCTCAACATTTCGGTTCAATCAGGCGCTGATACGGTTGTCACTTCCTAGCCCTGGTATACTCTTATGGCAGTAAACGACTTCTGATACTCTCCTCACTCTCGTCCGCGCTTTGCCTCACAGTCATTCTGTTACTATGGGACAGTCTTCCTCCACACAACGTGAACGTCCTGACATTGGTTATTCGGAACATCTTGCGCCTTTCTCGGCGGACCGCAACCTTGATACAAGGAATGAAGACATGAACAACGGACAGACAACTGAGGATAGTGGAGGGGTCGGCTCCTCGTTCAGTGATCAAATAAATTCAATTCCCGGTCAGGATACCACATCGGACCAACAGACCGAGGCGCCAGACACATGGCAACAACCCACTCGGCTTTCTGGAGGGTACTTGCCTCATATGCGAAGTATTGAAGAAGAGAATACCCTTGAGGTTGACCCGACTCATCGCGAATACCGTTCTGCGGCCATCGCTCGAATGGTAGCAAGACGGCAATCCACCATGTCAAGGCTGGGTTCAAGAATCTTGCCAAATTCAGTCATCCGTGGTCTTCTCAGCAGTCAGGAAGAGACACCTGCAGAGGGTCATGCGCATCGGCATGGGATGGTCTCAAGGACAATTCCAAGGACCGAGGCTGCTCACAGCAGTGGTCGCTTCAGTCCGTTCGGTTCACTTAGTTCTAGGGGCATTACTCGACGGCGTACCACTCGAGGGCCCTACTTTATCCCACGCGCAGAATCCTCAGGCGTGTCGGATCCGTCCGCAAACCCTTCATATCTTGATCTGGCTGCCGAACGGGACCCGGAACCCACCAGAGCATCCTGGCGTCGCAGTGCCCGTCTCCACCGTATGCGGCACTCGATTTCTAGCCCGATTTCTCACATGTTCGGACAGTCTCTCGCCGACATGGATCCTCATCAGCTCGGGGATGCTTCAAATCTGCCTACTGTTCCCGCTTTCGATGAAGGCTTCCCGAGAGCCATGGACACTAGTTCGGACTTCACCGAGCCTCCGCATGAGCTCGATTCTGTGGAACCAGAAATACAACACGGGGAGCACTTGTCTCCCACATCCCCTGGTCAGACGAATGCTGGTATTCCGGGAATGCGACGTATTCCTGCTCTACTCAGGGCACGATCTTCTCGAGTCTTGCGGCGAGAGGAACAGACGCCATTGTCACGCGTTTTGCAACTTGCTGCAGCTGCTATCGCTGCCCAACTTTCGGGGACCACCGGTCCTGTGTTGCCAAACATACAATCTTTAGGAAATGATGGGCTGGATGGTTCGTTGGAGAACTTCATTAATAGTTTACAAAACGCCACATCCGCCCAAGCCCAGCCAACTGCCACCGGGGAAGGTCCAAGCAACTCTGAAAACGAGGGCCCATCTCAGCCTGTCAACTTTCTACGCGTTTTTCGATTTGCCAATTCAGAACCTTCCGGACAGAGCACTCCTGGACGGAGCAACGCCAGTGGCTCTCAAGAACAAGGCACGCAGACCGATGCAATGGATCTTGACGGACCTTCAGAGGGGGGTGAAGGGCGGACAGTCACTCTCGTCGTGGTTGGGGTGAGATCAGTTCCGACAAGCAACGGAGGGAATGCAGAACAACAAGGTACCCCCGTAGGTCCTGGCCTGGATGCCTTGCTGGGTGGTTTGCCATTCCTATCGCCCAACGCTGTTCCTCGACCCCCGGATCTCACGCAACGAGCAGATGGGCTGCCACGGCTGCAAGCTCCTCGACAGTCCGTTGGTCTTCAACCCTCTGCCGGCGCTCCGGACCTCCCCCGCCAGCCGATTTTGAATCCATCTCGCAGGTTGTCAGATGCTGGGCCTCGCGCTGCCTACCCCCTTTCATTCCTACTGCCCTGTCGGAGAGTCCACCGGGACCTATTCCGCCTCCGTCGACTCCAGCGGACCAGGGCTTGTCAGCTGTGTCTTCGGGCACCTCAACTCCTAGTCGCAGGCCGTCCTCCGCTTCGGCAATGTACCCGGACGCTTTGCCTATACTGAACGAAGATCAGTCTTTGCAGCCAACAGTAGAGCCTGCCGACGATGCTATTCCGCCTCCCAGCACCGCTCACCGACGCCGTCGGATCGATTCTGAATTTGCTCGACACCGGGCCCTTGGATCGGGTGCTGTTCGACGCAACGGGATGGTCGAACCTGATCAGCCCTCCCCAAGCAGCGGTCGAAGCTGGTTGATCTATGTTGTGGGAACCAATCTATCGGAAAATCACCCGGCATTGACGACTCCAAGTCTGTTTACTGATGTGAGTCTTTCCTTCATGTTATGTTTTTCGACGACAACTGACAGACGCTCCTTTAGAATCCCACTTACGAAGACATGATTCTGCTCTCATCCCTTTTGGGTCCCGCCAAGCCTCCCGTTGCCACTCAAGCCGACGTCAACTCTGCCGGAGGTTTGTATCGTCTGGTCGAATACGGTGGCTCATTGGTTGCGGAGTTGGTGGATGGCGCAGGCGCCATTCAACTTCAGGATGGAGAGCGCTGTCTGATCTGCTTGAGTGACTATGAGGTCGCCGAGGAGGTCCGGGAGCTGGCTAAATGCAAACATATCTACCACAAAGATTGCATTGATCAGGTACGTCCCGCATCATCCGCGCTTTTCTGCAATTGTCTGCTAACTAACGCGTGTGCTAGTGGCTGACTACCGGACGGAACTCTTGCCCCCTTTGCCGAGGTCAGGGTGTGCATGAGACCTCGACCAGCAGCAATAATCCCGCTCCCGATTCGGCATCTCCCGATGTTCCGATTGTCTGATTTATTTTTTCTTGCCATATGTCCCGAAGAGGGACACTCGAGCCTCCTCTCTTCTGAGCTTAGCATGAAGCGCCTGTTTTAGAACATTTTTTTTTCACGAACTTTCTTTTTTTGTCTCATTGATATCCCCTTTCCCTTCAACCTGTGTCTTTTTTTTTCCCCTTTCTTTTCATTTACGCTGGAGAGACTAGACGACATTATTTTGGGGGCAGATGACTCTTTGCCTACATCTCCATTCGTCTCGGTTGATGGGCACCTCTACAAATACCCTCTGTCCTGTATCTTTCTGTTGGATTATGATATGGCGCTTTTACTGTTCATACATACTTGAATCAAAATATTTCTGTTTTTTCTCATTCAACACGGTGGGCTTGGTACAAGACAGTATAGAGTCGGGCCGTCCAAAATGCCCCTCGGCTGACTCAGCATCTCCGATTTCGAGAAATTCTGGTCTTTGCCTCACATCTGCTCTGACTGCTCCAGGCTTTAGCTCTGTGGGCGTATCAAACACCAATTGACCTTGACCGCGCCCGACGCTCACTCTACAAGGATTGTCCAACACCTTTCACGGCCGAAACGACCACGTTTTCTACGACAAGCTCAATGACCATCTAACCTCACCAAACACCTCCACCAACGCTCCCTCCCTCTCTTTCCCCAAACACAAACACACGATGGCCTCCGCGACGTCCGCGACGCCCGCGATCCGCCTCACCGTCCTGATATCAGGCAACGGCTCAAACCTTCAAGCCGTGATCGACAAAGTGGCAGCGGGCCAACTGGGCGCAACGACGACGATCGTGCGCGTAATCTCCAACCGCAAAGACGCCTTCGGGCTGGAGCGCGCAAGGAAGGCAGAGATTCCTACGCATTATCACAATCTCGTCAAGTACAAGAAGCAGCATCCCCCGACGACCGAGGGCATCCAGGCCGCGCGCGAGGAGTACGATGCAGAGCTTGCACGGCTGATTCTCGCGGACGCACCGGACCTCGTCGTGTGTCTGGGATTCATGCATGTTTTGTCTCCGCGGTTTTTGGAACCGCTGCAGAAGACGAATACGCGGATCATTAATTTGCATCCTGCGCTACCTGGGGCGTTCAACGGTGTGGTAAGTTTTCTCTGTTAGCTTCCCAACAATTTAGGGCAAGTGGATCACGGATAGATTTAACCCTTTTCCTTTTCTTTCTTCTGCAGAATGCGATTGAGCGAGCCCATGCGGCATGGTTGGAGGGCAAGATCGACAAGACCGGGGTGATGATCCACGATGTGATCTCGGAGGTGGATATGGGAACACCCATCCTCGTGCGGGAGATTCCTTTTCGGAAGGGAGTCGACGAGGATGTGCATCAGTTTGAAACGCGGGTACATGAAGTCGAATGGGGAACCGTCATTGAGGGAGTGGGTATGGTGATCCAGGAGCTGGTGGCCCAGAAGCAAAAAGGATCATGACGGGTGAGAGAGAGGCTCGTGTGTTGGTCCGGGGGCCGGGGCGGGTGCGTCCCGGTGTGGTTTGACATTATTCTTGCCCGGCCCCAAGCTTGCTGTTCTGTATAGATGGTCGGTGGAGTGGATTCATTCGTCGGCCGGTTGACGAATTGACGACTTGGTTTGTACTATGTAAAAAGTCAAAAAAGAGATCTACAAGGCACGCCGGCAAGGCGCCCAGCAGCAAAGAGCCAAGACTGGGCCATGCAGAATTAAGGCCTACGCCCGAAGGCCCCGGCAATCTAGGCAGAGAGCCGGGGCTTCACCGGGTATCTGTGCCGGCATTGGGGATGCGTGGAGATGGGATGGCGTGAGATGAGTATCAACTGCTATAGGGATCATAGGGATCAAATCACCCCTGCAATGAAGCGCATTTTCTCACCGAAACAATCACATGTGTACAGTTACGGGTCCGAGGATTTGGAGTTTGGTCCAAGCCACGAGGATTGGATGATGCATTGCAACCCTGTCACTTTGAACAAGCGCCGGTCCATGCGCTCGGAGCCTTCCAGTAGTGTTGGTGCCTTGTCTGCCTAGGTACATCCGGAGCTTACGGAGCGCTACGCGCTGGCGCCCGCCCCCCCATTTGTCTAGATTAGGTAAAAGGAGAGCGACGGGAAACGCTGCCAAGCTGGTCTTATACTTGGTGGTCTCGGAAGGAAGACCGGCGGGGCACAACTTATTTTTCGCTTCTTTTCTATTTGATGTCTAGTTCCTTTTCTGTACTGTGAGAGTCATCTCAACTCGTGATAATATTGATTCAATCGCTGAAATCCAGTATGAAAAAAGTACACGAGGACAACTTCCAAAAACTGATCATCGCAAACCCTTGGCAGGGCATAGAACCAAACTCTTGAGCAGGAGAGACATTCTTAGCGCCAACCCCTCCCTTCCCTTTCTGCCTGTTGATCTGTGGCTCCCCGGTGGAAACTCTGTCGCTCTCAAGACCTACTGCACTAGGTATAGCTAGTTGCATGACCCACAACCCACACTGGGACAAGAATAATGCACGTACTCCGTGCCTGCAACGAGGATCAATGCCTATGCCTCCTATTCGATCCAGAACTGGCTGATCTTTTTTCTTTCCTTTTTTTTTTTGCCACGTCTGCTGCCCTGCTCGCACGCAATCACAATCATAGCGAGCACACAATTCACATTGGCTCGTTCGGAACAAGTCTCCACCGTCTCTGGCAGGGATTAGCGCGCCTCAGTAAATTTTATCCGGCGGCCTTCTTCTTTCCTGTCCGCCGGAATGTCGGGTTGCGCACGGCCCCGGCTTACTTTGGGTAAAAGACCTAGTGTACATATCCTGACAACCAGTGTATACGAAATGAAGCTAGTTGCGATGGTACAGATTGCGGTAAGCCGTTAGGCTAGCAGGAAATTGAGAAGTCACTTTTTTTTCCCGTCTTTTCTATTCTATTCTTATCCCCAGGAGGGTCTCTGCTGATCGTGTTGCTGCTGCTCCCGGATTACGGAACCTATTCCATTATTCATTATTCATTATTTTGACCGGCCTGACCACCACCGGCCCACATCGCGCCAGGGCTGTCAAACCGGCGTCGATCAGGCACAGGGGGCCGGTCAATCTTGGCCCCCCCCTCGAACATGGATTGGACTTGCCCGGAGACTTTTTTTGCAGCAATCATGGAGCAGTGGGCTTATCGTTGCCGGAAATGAGGCTGTCCCAACATCCCCGACGAACGGTGTCTCGGTACTAATAATAATAAATACCATGCATAAGCCGGTAGTTTGGCTAGCAGCCAATAGCTGATCTCGTGTACCGTAGGACGATGTTCACCCTTGGATCCACGCAGGAGTAGTCCGATGTGGGATGGTCCAAGTGGGTTAGATGGATGGATGGATAGAGTATGTCCGGCCGAACCCTCGGAGCGGCGCATTTACGCATTTGGGGGAGGCTTAGAAGGGATTCTGGTGCTGGAGGATGTGGCTGGAAAGGGGCGGCCACCCATTCTTCCCCCGTATCCCGGGCGTATTTTTTTCTCCATAGATCTTCATCGATGATCCTATTCCTTTCAAGCCACCACCGAGGTTCATCCAGATTGATGGCTTGTGTGCTGTGTAGATCGAGAATTAAGGAGGATGATCAGCCCAGTAGTGGCTGCGACCCCTGGTTTTGTGTTTGGTGTCCAGGCAGAATCGGAATGAACGTAGAACCTTTAGTTAGTAGGTGTAGTCATCCTCTCGGGCCTGACCTCACCTCTTCCCCAACACGGACTAACTATTCATTCCAACTGCGACAACTAACTACTCCCCACCCTTTCTCTTCCCCCTTCCTACGCCTTCTGTATATCTATTTTCTAGCCATGCGCCCCCGTCTAGCTTCCAGCTGATTTGGTTCATGCCGGAAGCGCCAGACGAGCGCGAACAGTCATGGCGCACTCATACCACCCCCAGCCCGCCATGACGGGCTTCTTCGACCCATTGCAACAGGACTCGACGGCCGCGTACTCGCTATTTGGTCCGACTCAGTACCCCGAGAGCGTTGCCTTCTGGCACGACCCCTCCGCGGCGCCCTCACTGCCCACTCCAACCTATCCATCGCCGCCGAAGTCGCATCCCACCTTACTGCAACCCATCCCGGACTTGAAGAAACATAAGCGCACACGCAGCGGCTGCTTCACCTGTCGCTCGCGGCGCATCAAGTGCGACGAGACCCGGCCGACCTGCGAGCGCTGTCGCAAGGGCAGCCGCGAATGCGTCTATCCCTCGCCCACCACGCCCGCCACCTCTAAGTCCAGCGTCCGTTCATCGGGCAAAGCACGTGGCCCGCGCCCAAAGTCGCAGGGGAGTGACTCATCCGGTAAACCAGAAGTCGAAGCGGTCAGTCCGCTGGAACCCATCCTTGACGAAGATGAACCCGAAAGCACCGAGCCGGGATCGCGCACGTCCCCTACGAGCGGCGGGATCACGTCGCGACCCAAGTTACAGAAGAGTCAAAGCACACAGTCCCTACAGCAACGGAGCACGAAACCGGCATCCGAAAGCTCTCCCCTTCATAAAGAGCAGAGTAGTTCGCCCTCCTCCACGACCGAGTCGTCGCGCTTCGAGTCCATGAGCGCGCGGTCGGCCAGTATCGTGGACCCGCTCAGCAATACCCGACTGCCGGACGACGTGCGGTTTTATTTGAATTTCCACCAGGAGTATATCACATATCAACATTATTTTCTAAAGCAGAGCAGTGACCACTTCATCCATCAGAGCATCATCGAGCTTGCTCTGCAGTACGAGCCGCTGCTCTATGCCCTCACCGGGTTCTCGGCATATCACCACACACTACAGAGTCCCGACGGCAAGATGTATACATTCCTCAAATATTACAACAAGGCATTGACTCTGTTGCGAAAATCATTGGGCTCTGCGGAAGAGCACGGCGAGGCGACATTGGTCACTGTTCTGGTTCTCACATCTTTTGAGGTTTGTTTGTTCGTGTCTTCGAGGGGGAAGATATTTTCTGACATTGCCAATTGCAGGAATACATTGGTGACTGGGTGAATTTGATCGATCACCACCAAGCCGCGCACGCGCTGATGCGGGAGCTGTTGACTCCGGAATCTACCAGCGTGAACGAGCTACACAGTAACATCTTTTTATGGTATGCACGCTTCGATGTTGTTGTCGGGATTTTAGCCGGCACAGAAGTGGTCCTCGGTCGGAATTGGTACATCGCAAAGGAACAGTATGACGCCGAACAAGCCGCTCGATATCCAGGAGACCCGACTATGCAATTGGCCTTGGTAGCTTCGATCAACCGCCGCTTCGGGTTGGACATGGCTTCGCTATATGCCAAACTATCGCGCGGCCTGATTCCATTCGACGAGTTCGCCGCACAGAACGAACAGCTCGGCCAAACATTGGATCGGGCAAAGGCAATTTTAAAGCAATTCGACGAATCCGACTACCTCGTCCGCTCCTTTCCACACCAACAACCCTTGACCGATGACGACATCGTGGACCCTTATGCTCCTGGTTGCCTGTACCACGGCATCCTATGGGAGTACAACTACGCCTTGATCGATATTCTCTCCACCGAGACAATGTACAAATACCAGACCATGCTCTCCCTCAAACGGCCCCTTCTCCCGGATCTCCAGAAACTAGCCTACGAGCAGTGCCAATTGATCGAGGCCATCGACCGCTGGCCAGATAAAGAGAACGGATATTGCATCGGCTTCAAAAATTGCATCGGCATTGCCAGCATGTTTCTCCCCAAGGATAACAAGCACCAGATGTGGTCGCGGCGGAAGATGGCATTGATGGAGCAGAACGGGTGACTATTTCCCTGCCCACTTTCAACCTTCTTTCATTTCAACGGAGTCGCTAATATGAATGTTCTTGGTTACACAGCTACATCATCGCTCCGAAATTCCGCGCCGCTCTTGCTGCTATCTGGCAAGTACCCGAAATCAACCACTGGTGGCTGCCTAATGACGAAGGGTATCCCAACATCGTGCGCGAAATCCGCTCTTTATCTGAGGAACGCCTGACCCAGCCGCGCGATGATTTTAGGGAGAATGTTCGCGATATGAAGTCGTTGTTTTGGAAGCTGAGTGTCGACGAGCAGGATGAGCCGCATCAAGGTCCTAGTCCTTCGAGCAGTCACAGTGGTCCTCAGCAGTAGACTGCTTGCTTCCTACATCCCTCCACGGCGTCTCCTTCAACATCCGGCACCAATATTTCCTTTCGATCGCAACAGTGTTCCTGCTCTGCCACCGAAGTTCCCGTCCAAAAAGAAAACCTTTTTCCCGACGACGCCTTCTCATTCTGTCATATCCTATCCTTTTAATCCACCTTGCCCCCTACTAATACCCTCATCTCCCTCCTTTCCATCCTTTTACAATGTCGCTGCATTTCCTCGGTTATATCATGACTTGATGTATACATTTAATTATACCCAACGCCCAGAAACGGGCGCATAAAAAGTGAACAAAGTGAACCTCGTGTGTTTTAACAACTGGTTCTATACACCTGTGTCTACTTGTTCTATTGTTTCTTTATTTTATTTTATCTTTTTTGCCCTGGTTCAGTTCGCATCAGTGGGGAGGGGTGTTGATAAAGAGTTGTTTTGGGTTGGGATTGTGTCTTTATTGTGTTATAGAAGAATTTAAGGGTTGGAAGGAGTGTATAGATTTTTTGTACTATCTGTTCCAATTATACCATCCTCAACCTAGTTTCGTATTCTGTGATACATATTGGATATAATCTTGGAAGTATACATAGTTGGCGCGAGCATTATGAGTTGGAGACATAAAACGACGAAAACTTGAACTAGACTAGGCTTGTCTATCGCCGATCAAGACCACCCATCAGAGCCCTTGCAAAAGCTCTTTTATCGAAGGGGCCGGGGGTCTGCTGTAGATCCTCACAATGATATGTTTCAGGAAATCCAAGCCTCGGGGATGCGAATTGATCTCCAACAATACCCCTCGAGCGACTGAGGTATTGCTCTGATCTTCCTGGATCAGGCCGCTAGAACTTTGCCTATGAATAGGGAGCTCTAGGGTCTTATAAATCAAATAATAGCAGCATCCTGGTAATGGCAGTAATCTCTTAATCTTTACAACTCAAAGCCCTCCTCCATCTCCCAGTCATATAGGAAACGCGTCTGCACATGCCGGCCCTGAAGCGAATGGACACCGATATCCACCGTCTCGCCAGGGACCAAATCCACAAAATTATCTTCGAAAATTGCGTCCTCTCCTGGTTCAGTCATAGGCACGGAGAGCACCACTCCTTTCACAGGGGCGCTTGCACTGACGAAGATCCTGTCACCCGACTCTGCAATTCGAGTGTTGATATGTAGATCTGGAGAAAAGTGTAGCAGCCTGAGGGGCTCAGGCCAAGAAACCCAACGTGCAAGACGCTCAGTGGTCGCACTATCATCTATGTAGGCGGCGATGACAGTGTTGTCCGGATCTGGGATACTGATGCTAGTGATTTCGGTTGTTCGATTAGGTGCAAGCACCAAATCCTGCTCTTCCACGTTTTTTGGTAGGGAAACGCGAGATCCAGATCGAATATCATAGGCGCTTAGTTTCAGAGTTGCTTTCCGCGGCTCCAAGGTGCCATTCACGGCCCAGACGTCCAAGGCATGCTTCTCTGGTGGGTATCCAGTCACAATGTAAGGCGGTTCTTTTGTAACGGTGCGTTCCATGCCGACGACGAATTTCCCCAAAGCTCTTTTTGTGACATAATAGGCGGGCTTGCGCTGCAAGTCAACATCCACCAAGGCCCAGCTAGAACCCGGCCAGATATCATTCAGCTGCCACACAAGCACTCCTGCGCAATATTCTTGCTCAGGGCCGCGGAATTCTCGGCGCCAGCAGTTGTACGCGTAGGCCATGGCATCGGCTTGCAGGAACTGAGTGCAATAGACGAAGTCTCGGAGTGGGTTCATGCGGAAACGGAAATTCTCGCCCATGTACATGGGATAACGGCGCGTGTGTCCGGGTCCTTTGTCATGGATGTCAAAAGTTCGGGATTGAGCGTGCCTTTCCGAGGAAGCGGTGATGCCTCGGTGCAGAGTGCGCAAGGAGGGACAAGATTCAAATCCAAATTCGCTGACGAAGCGAGACATGTAGTTTTTGTAGTCTTGGTAGGGTGACAATTTTCCATGCCAGACTTGAAAGCAGACAGGTCAGCTTTTTCTGTTTTCCATTCTGAATATTGTAATGATTGAGCAAACTCACCGTCCCAGATATGGGTGTCTCCCACAGTGGTGTCATTTGAGTAGGATCCGCCATAAGGACTACTCCTCCAGTATGGAACATCACCTCCCAGTTCCTCTACCAGACGAGGAAGTAATCTCTCGTAGATTTCTCTGGCTGGGAAATCTGTCTGATCCCACGGACCTTTTTCGTCTGTCATGTCAAGTTCCCAGCCCCATTTTTCAGCCAGCAGATAATCTTCATTATTGCCCGCCCAGAGTACCAGGCTCGCATGATGACCCACGCGTCTCAACTGAGCCTCCGCTTCCAGTTTGACGTTGTCCATGAAATCCTGTGAAGCGGGATAGTTGCCACAGGCAAAAAGAAAATCCTGCCACACCAGGATTCCTTCACGGTCACAAATGTCGTAAAAATCGTCAGATTCGACGATGCCTCCGCCCCAAACACGGATCATGCTCTGGTTCCCGGACTTGGCAAGTTGCAACCAGTCTGAATAGCGCTGACGCGTCATGCGCGGTAGCATGAAGTCTCCAGGAATCCAGCATGAGCCACCGGCAAATATGCGGATATTGTTAACCTCGAAGAGAAATGATGTTCCCTCCGCATTCTGAAGTGAGTGCTGGAGTAGTCTAAGACGACGCAGACCAATCGATTGACTTCTGCTGTCTTGTTCGGGGAGCCGGACAGTGACGATGTAGAGAGGCTGGTCTCCATAGGTATGAGGATACCACAGTTGAGGGTTGTTGATGGTAATGCTGGCTTCAAATCGGGCACAATCTGCTTTCAGGATGTGGCTCTGAATATGGGAACCAGCAGGATCAAGCAATTCAAGGTTGACTTCTTGGTTCGGAGAAGGATGCTCAACGCTCCCTTTGACGCTCAAAACAGCCGTCTTCAGATCTGCCGAAACCTCTTGGCGGATGAGAAGCTCATCGATTCTGGTCTCAAAGATCTCGAGATAGATGGGCTTCCAGGGGCCCGAAGTATTGACCGCCGGTCCCCAGTCCCAGCCCTTCAATTGTGTCAGCCCTAACTCAGCCCTGCGGCCTAGCGAATATAGCATGCCAAGACAACCTACCCAATGGTACTGTGCTTTTCTCAGAAACAATCTCTCTGGACCACCGAAATGCACGTCCGTCTCGTTGCCCTTATATCCAATCTGGTTTCTCTCCTCTCGTGAAATCTGAGGCGCATTCCTGAAACGCAGCTCCAGTGAGCTTTTGCCCCCAGCCCGTTTCAACAGCTCAGTGACATCGACCCTATGCGCTAGATGCATATTTTTGCTAGCCAGAATATGTTCACCATTGAGGCATACACCAACAACTGTGTCTAAGCCCTCAAAGACAAGAACGGCGTGCTCATTGGGATTCGAGAGGTTGAGATTCGGTACCTCTGACGTACAGTAGGTCCAATCCGCCTCGTTGACCCAAAGGCATTTTGTTTCGTTCGAGTCGATGTACGGGTCCGGAATGAGCTCGTGGTGAAGGAGGTCAATATGAGCGACGGTCGGGAACTGAGCAACAGGCAGAAAAGAAGAGGCCGTGGAGTTGTTGAGGTTGCTGGCCTGTTTGAACTTCCAACCTTGAATGACTTCGATCCTCTTGGATTCCGTCATCTTTCAAATGTGCAGTTGCAGTCTAAATCACAAAATCTAATGACGCTTTCAATTGCAGTCGACCATAAGACCGATGGCCGTGACAGCTATATATGCCTTGGACATCTCTAAAGTGGGGTTAGCGTTGGGTACGGGGCGGGATACCAGTAGCGGGCAATTACTTAACTCAATATGATCATCGCATTGTCCGGATCGTAAATGTGGAGATGCGATCAACAAAACCCCAAAAACCGAAAGGTCTCGGTAGCCGATCACGTGCTCGTGTAATCTCCCTATTTGTATACAGCCGACACGGCCAAACAGTTGGACGTTAGTATAAGAATGTCTTCAGTGAGACTTTGTGAGACTTTGCAGATTGCATTTGCTCTGAATTGCCCTTCCAAATCCAATTCACCTCCATCCATGGCTGGAATTGCTATCTTAGGAGCCGGCATCTTTGCCACTGATGGTAATTCTCCACTCTTGAATAACAACCCCCGTCACTAACACTCCAAAAAGAACATCTCCCGGCTCTTGTTTCGAACAGGGCAAACCTCAAAGCTATATACTCGCGTTCCAAATCTTCAGCTTTGACTTTAGTCGATGAAGCAAGGAAACTTGGTGTTGCGGATGTTGAACTATATTCAGAAGACACCGCTGGTCACACGCTGGACGACCTTTTGAAACGCAAAGATATCGGCGCGGTCGTCGTTGTTTTACCCATTCCTGTCCAACCAGGCATCGTTCGCCGTTGCCTGGCAGCTGGAAAGCATGTTCTGTCGGAAAAACCGATCGCAAAAGACGTACAAACTGCACGCGGGCTGATTGAGGACTACAAGAAGGACTACGCCAAGGATGGATTGATTTTCAGCGTTGCGGAGCAATTCCGCTTCATGCCTGAATTTGAGCTTGGGAGAAAGTGGGTTGTCGATAACAGAGCCATCGGCGACATTACACAGCTTCACCTCAAGATATGGCGCAATCAGGGTCCCAGTGGAAAGTACTATGAGACTCCATGGAGAAAGGTCCCAGAATACCAAGGGGGCTTTTTGCTTGATGGCGGTGTCCACCATATAGCAATGCTTCGCTATATTTCTGGGCAGGAAGTTGTTGAAACTCAGGGGTTTTCACGCCAAGTCGCTGCTCACCTGCCGCCTCTTGATACTGTCAATGCAGGAATCCTCCTGAGCGGTGGCGGAACCGGTACCATTTCGATGTCATTCTCGTCCGCCAAGCGAGCCACTGAGTTTACCATCATTGGGACGCAAGGTACTTTTTTCCTGACTGACGGCCCTGATGGTTTTACCCTAGATCTTGAACGGATCTCGGGAGAAAAGAGCAGTGAAACAATTAAGAGCAATGGTGTGGAGCTTGAGATCAAGGCTTTCCTAGACGCTGTGAAGATGGGGAAGGCACAGTCTCGTGCCGGGCCAATTGAGGCATTAAATGATCTGGCCATTATCGAAAGCTTGTGCTCTGGTGAACGCAATGTTAACTTATATTAGATGTTGATAGGTCATATAGTCTTTACGGACAATGATGTTCGACAGGATGAATGTTTTCCTGACTACATTTAAATTCGATAATTTAGCGTATTCATCTAGAAACACAAACAACTTTGTCCATGTTATCTTAATTGAGTAAATCAACGGAAATATACGAATTGCACACTTGAAAGCAATGACTGGCCAATTGCCAGCACATAATAAGGGCTAACATTGGTAGGGTCGATACGAGACTTATGGTTGAAGACGATGTATACTGTCAGCCATGATCACCTCTATATATTCTCTGATAATTCAAGCACAAGCGAGTGAGTCACTCGCTTACGGAATACGTTAGTTAAGTTAGTACTATGTAGTTGACTAACCCAACTGAGTGTCTGGGGTTAGAATGCTGGATGGTAGTACTAGCATTGACAAAAACCATGAAAAGTATGGAAAATTCAAAAGCTTTTCCCTCAAAAATCTCCAAGTCTGTCAAGTTCCCCCAATTTCAAAATATACGTATTATTTCGAATGCCATCATTGACTCTCACCAGCCTGAAGTCATTCGGGTCTTTGAACTAAGATCACGTGAGTGGGGGCAATAACTCAAAGTCCGCGGAACCTCCCCCACGACGAATTCTCTATCCCTTCGTCCTGTCAGTATTTCGGTTCTCTTGCAGAAGGGTTCAGTTGAACTGGGTTATGGCTTGACACCATGGCACCAGAGCGAGAAATTCAAAGGCGTGCTAGGACTGGTTAGCATATCACCCTTTTTGCCTTGGCATACTACTGACTTTATTGCGCGCAGGTTGGTAAGTTTAGTCGCAATTCTAGATACTTACGCTTGGAGTCTTGGAGAGTTGATTGTAGTTGACAAACAAAGCCTCACGTGTAGAAGACGGCATATGAAATGTGTGTTCTTCCTTTCAAGTCGTCAACTCGCGTTGGAAACACTGACTTAGTGCCAAAAAAGGCGATGAACGAAAGCCTCAATGTCAGCACTGTGAAATTGGCCGCCGTGAATGTCAGTATGACACAAGACGGGGAATTGATGGAGAGTCTAACGGTGGATTTCGATTCACATCGGACCACGTATGGCTTGATACTCCGTCCGAAAGTGAGTCAGTCCTTTCATGGGATTCTCAGCACTCAGGGCATTCTAAGACATCAATATAGTCACATTTGTACACTCAGTTGATGTTAGCGATGATGTTGATGAAACGAGGAACTCGAGTTCTCCGAGCTCTCCACGAGTTACGATATCGCACAGCAGCACCTCGCCAAATATGATGATAGATGGTAGAGCATCTAACTTCTTTTTTTCAATTTCTCTTCGGCTGATCAGAAATGCAGACTTTGCAGCCTATGGAGGAATGGCTGATATTTCAGTGGAAAATACAGTCCTGACATTGACTCCGGGACCATCCGTTGATGCTATCAGATATGGGGATCAACATTCTACACCAAATAGCAATATCATGGACTCTCTCGATCCAGTTCAGGCCCTAACTCGCAGGAGAATATCTGGGTCGACAATATACAAACGAGGCCCAGCGGAGCCGCTCAGCGATCCATTGACTGCCCGCCTCCTGAAGCATTACGTGAATAATTTAGCCTGTTGGGTATGTTCATTGAATATATTAGTAAACATTCTGACAGAAACCAGCTTGATGTGAACGATCCGCTGCGTCAATTTGAAACATTCGTGCCTTATTTAGCTCTCAGCTGCCCGATTTTACTATACGCTATACTCGCATTTTCTGCATGTCACCTGAGTCGACGTGATGGGACATGCGACGAGCATTGTGCCGCTCATTATCATGATCTATGTGTCCAACGCCTAATCCCAGCTTTAGCGGATCCTGATACAGCCCTGGATAACGCGCTGCCGATATCCACGGTCGTGCTCCGTATGTATGAGATGATGAGCTATGAAACTGATCATCAGCGCCACTTAAGGGGATGCTCATCTCTTTTCACACACAACCGAAAGAACATTGGGTTCCGAGCTCTAAAGCGGACCGCGTTCTGGACATATTTTCGAGAGGAGATCATGGTTGCTCTTGCAACACGCAAGCCAACCACTATCAACCCTAGAGGTTGGAAAGCTGATATAATATGGGGAGGAGACTTCGATTATGTAAAGACTGAGAAGATGACTATGCTGACCGCCGAGATTGTCGACTATTGCTTTTCTCGTGAGGGTCAAAACCCCGATCTGGATAGGTGGATTGAACTTCAGGACGAGGTCAACACGTGGAAGGAGACCTTACCAGAGTCGTTTCAACCTTTATATGTCATTGAGGACAGTGAACCGTTTCCTGAGATAATGTACTTGGGTACTTGGCACAGTATGCTATTGTTTTCCAAGTTCAAAATGTCTGATACTGACTGGCCTTAGTTGTCTCAATGCAGTTCTATCATCTAGTGAAAGTTCTCCTTGCTCTTCACAATCCCCATCAAGCGAGCGGTATAGATTTTCTGCATTTTGCAAGAAGGATAGAAGTAAGTAGTGTCTGTGTTGTAGAGAGCTTGCTAATACCTCAGAAGGCTGAAATTATGAGGCATACCATCCAGTTATGTGGCATGACAAAGGCACTTGGCAGCAATCATCCTGGCGCTCTCGTGAATGCGATACAACCACTTGTCATCTGTAAGTGCTTGGTCGGAGACTAGCAAGGTATCTGTTAATGATGAGAGCAGGTGGTCGAAGTTTGAGAAAGGCTGATGAACAAGCCGAACTTATCCGAATCTTGCGAAGAATTGAGCAGGTGACAACATTGGGCACTTTCCAGGGCATACAATCGCTGCGACAGGCGTGGAGTTTGCATATTGACTTTTAAAATTTTTTGAGATAGTATGCATTCGCCGTCCATACATTACCTATAACCAACCAATTCCACAATCATGCAAGACCGGATATTCCAGGTTCTGAAACCAAATTTTTAGCCGATGCGTGGCATACAACTAAGAGCAATATCAAGATAAGATAATAGCATTAGTCAGGAAAGAAAGTGAAGCTATTACCATGGGTAATGGATGACTCCGATAGAACCGAAGTAACTAACGCAACAGGTGGGCATGTTAGACTAGTTTGGAAGTAGCTAATCATCTTGGTCCCACTCGGTGTTGGTTTGGCAGAGCATTCGTTCGGCTACATCCAAATTAGAAAATCTGCCGAATCAGGTGATCGTTTAGCTCTTTCATTTGTTGCGACGCTAAAATACCATCTCCGCTCCTTATGTGATACCAGGTATTGACTAAATTCTATGTCCACATGATAGTTAATGCAGCCCTTCTTGGTAAGCAAAAGAACGGAGCCGGCAGACACTATTTACAGAATATCGGTACTATAAAACAGCCGGTCTATACGAGAAGCAGTCACTACTTCTTACAACTAACTTTGCAAACGCTCTTCTGGTCATTCCATCATTCCAATTTCAAATCGAAATACCTATCATGGCTCCTGACCCTCTCGTCTTCAACGATGACTACCTTCGAGTGCGTGCTGTCCCGACTTGTCACACATCTACGTTTGTCTGGTGCCACAGCAAAGGTCAGCGTGGAGGCGACTGGAAATTCATGGTCGAGCCACTACGAAAGCTAGGCCACTGCAACCACATCGCCTTTATCTTCCCTTATCTTGATTACAACGAGACGAATTGCGGGAACGACATCTCCAGCAACGAGGCTTTGATCCAGAAAATTGTACACCAGGAGATTGCCAATGGCTGCGATCCAGGCCGCATTGCGGTTGGCGGATACAATGAGGGTCTGGAAGTTGCTCTGAGGGCTACTCTGGCTGACAGCTACAAAATTGGAAGTATCTTGGGCATTACAGACTGTCTAAACATGACGGATGAGGTCAACGTGCTCAGGAAAACTGCGAATGCAAAGACTCCTGTGCTGTTTGTTGACCGAATGGGGGCAAAGAACAATGGTCCTGAGAAGCTTCTCAAAGCTATCGAACAGCCAGTGAGGGTTGTTAATGGAACCAAGCTTGCTTCATCTGACACTCAGCCTGTTACTCAAGTGGTACGATGATTTGGCTTGGTGTGGAAAATAATGCTAACTGATCATAGGAATTTGAGCACTTAGATGTATTTATACATGAAACCTTGCCCGTTGAAATGGCCCCGCAGAATTAGACTTAGCAATTTATGAATTTTTTAGTCTCCAATTCTAATTTTCAAAATTTAAAGATACTGTTGTCCCGTGATTTCAGTGCTGAGATCCCAATCTCTAGTAAGATCCGAGAGTAATGTTATAATTAGTCATCTAATATTGATAAGTTATCTAGTAGTTATTTCTGTCAAGAATTGGATACATCGTCTACCCCTCTATTTTCCCCTCATTATTTCCTAGTTTGCACTAGTCTTTATTAGTTATCTCGCCCCCTAAATTGTTGGGCATTCCCAGATTTATCTTAATCAGAGATTGATTCATTCGTGTATTGCAATTCCATAATGGGTAATCGTGCCGTCGATTTTTGACAATTTCCTTCAAATGTCCTACTTGATTCTCTCATTTACAGCGGTCTAATTACACTGAAAGGAGTGAACTGAGCTACATATTGCCTGAAGCAGGGCCTTATGCAGAATCCTATTATATTAGATGAAACTTTCGAGCAAGCCAACCTTGCTCTGCAAAAGTGTATACCAAGAGACATTTCCATTGTTAGCATGGCTTTGCGTATACTCCTTAGAATACTACTTTTCTTCCAATACTCAAGCATTGGAGTCAGTCTTATCAACATTGATGATGGTTCCGTCACCCGCGACACTGATTTTTTTCTTTTCCAGACTTGCTTTCACAGGATTCTTGGAATTGAAAAGGTCCTCAATTTCTTCCAGGCTCCAGCCTTTCGTTTCCACAAAAAAGAAATATATCACGACAATTCCGAATGCATCCCAAACAACATACAGAATGTAGTACCTCCAGCCAGAGTTTGCAATGGCGATCGGGGGAACATATGTGTTCATGACCTTGACAGCATTGTTCATGAATGCCAGGTAGGCCATACCTTTGGCCCTAGAGTTATAAGCAAGGACTTCTGCAGGGTAGAGTGTTTGCATGGGGGTCTAGTTAAGACCGAGGCGCAGTCAGTCATCAAATAGTATAAAAGAAAGGAGGAATTGGGTGACATTACCCATCCGAATGCAAAAGCCACCAAAAATACATAGAGAAAGGCAATACCGGTCCCACCTACAGCGGGCTTCCCGGCCTGTTTCGCAGTGCATGCTGTAATGACAGCCATGGAAATTGTCATCCCAACGCTGCACCATATGAGAAGCTGTCGTCTGCCGGTCTTATGTATCATTTTAAGGCCACAAAGTGCCGCAATTGCCATGACGACTGTCTGAATTGCGTTGAGCAATAGTTGGGTAGAGACATTGGTGATTCCGGCAGTCTTCACTATATCGTATAGTTAGTACGAAGGGCCTAAAAAAGTACTATTCTAGAATATTTACCCATCAGAGGGAAATAGTAGCTTGTGGGCGGCAGGTCAAGTTCGCCAAACCAGGAAATGCACGTTACCAGAAAAGTACGGTAGCGCGCAGCTCGGGTGTTGAAGAGCGACCTGAAATCCCACCATCTCTTGTCAGAACCGTCCTGTTCAATGACTTCCAGCATTTCTTGCAGCTCGAGATTTGCGACGAGTGCGTCCGGGTTTCCATCTCCGTGGTACTGGACGAGAACAGCTCGAGCTTCAGCCTCCCGTCCTTGGCCGATATACCTGTAATTTCCAATCAGTTTGCTGTCAAAGAGAAAGGAGACAGTCCCTACCATCGAGGGCTTTCCGGAATAAACCAAACAGCGCATAGAATGATAACAGATGGAAGGCCTTGTATAGCAAGGGGAAGTCTCCATGGGTAAGAAAGGGTCGTAGTTGCATGATTGAGACCAAATTCAAGCCATGTTGATATGATCGTGCCCAGAAAGAAGCATACTTGGTAGCCTCCCGTAAGTTGAGCTCGATACTTCGGATATGACATCTCCACAACGTAGGCAGGACCCGACGTTTGAACCAGCACAGCGCCCACTCCAAGGATGAAGCGGCCTGCCATGAGTATGGCAAGGCTGGTTCCCACGGTTTGGAGAAGAGTGCCAATAACACAAATGGCTGACCCAAGGGCCATCCCGACCCGGCGACCATACGTGTCTGCGCATGGCCCGCCAAAGAACGAACCAGCGATGTTTCCGATGACATACACGGCTGCAACAAGGCCTTGGTTTTGGGTTGTGATGCCAAAGTGCTCAGTAAATTGTGGGATTGCAGACAGCCCTCCTGATTAGCTATCAGCAATCTGTTAAATATAGACGGTTTCAAGCATACCAAAAGTCGTAGAATCGAATCCATTGGTGGCTGAGCATAAGTATCCAACAAAAATGCATCCGTACAGCTTTAAGAAGCTCTTTCGGAGGACACGAGGATTCTCCCTGACCAAAGCTGCCTGCATGCGCGATTGAGTCATGTTTTTCTGCGTGGCAGCTTTGGTCGGGTCCTCGTCGTGGACAACTTCAGAATGATCCATGGCGCGCTGAGTCTTCATACCTATCAAAATCAAGAGGTGCAGTAGCGGCTGCTGTGGAGAAGACTTTGTACGTTAGGGTGTTGAGAGTCTGCACGGCATGGCCATATATGCTGCGCTTTGTACACTCCACTTCCCCATAAGTTCATTCTCCCCATAAAATGATTCCCCAGAATGTCCTCCGGCAAATTCTGCCGAGGGAATTCTCTTCGTGATGTGACTAACACCCCTTGTGTGGGGAAAGTTGACCAAACCGTTGAGGAATCATCCCAATTTATCAAATAGCCGATCACGTGGAAGTAACCCGCCGTGAGAGTAGCTAATCCTTTTCTACTACCATCGGCTGGTTACACCCAACGATGACCAACATGCCGACATCTAAGCTATCTTACTCTGAATTAAAACCAAAACGATCACAGATTCAATTAGTGATACTTCAACGTCCGGCTAGCAGATACACTCGTATGGGTCTGCTTTGGGGGCGACTATTGATAATTTCACTTTTTAGTTTGGCTGTAGTGAAGTGGTCTACCAGCTGCAACCAATTTGGCAGAGTGCTACTTCAATACAAGGACATGTAGTTGACGATCTTACGCAGTTCCCTTCTAGTGTCATGCTAGCGTATGCTAGCGTATGGAAGAAGTTAGAGAGTTTCCACACAGTAAATAGAATACCATGATCTTCGCGGCATTTTGTCCGCTCTAGAACAGGCAAGTGATACATGAGATGCTTGTATCTGGGTGGGTCATTCTGGAGTAGCTCAATCGACATCTTCATCGGCATACTTCGCCGCAGGATCTCAACCCAGGCCGATCGCAGATCTCGGCAAATCACACCAATTACTGTCAGCGAATGATTACAACCACGCGTTATACAATGTCAGGGTGTGGGGTTAGACCACGAGTCTTGGGAAGCAACCTCGACTAGCGCCTCTATTCAGGGTTTATATCAGGTTATTACTCTGCGCCAAATTCTCCGATAGCTAGTTGAGGAAGTTGGATGGAAGATCACATCTCGTTTATGTTAACGCAAAACACAAGAGAAGGTGTCTATGAAAGTGAGGGGTTGCAGTGCATCTAGGGAGCATTTAAAGGTCGATCTGTTCTACACGGAGCCAATCTATTCACCGCGAAACAACTTTTCCTGGCTTACCATGTTAGCCACTCCAATACTACTGCTTTTTACAACTTCCCTGGTCCATGGGGCCTCCTATCATCCTCCTGTGAGCCCTGGCTATGGCCAATGGGCAGCAGCCTACGATAAGGCCCGTCGCTTTGTGTGCCATTTGACGCTCACGGAGAGGGTCAACCTTACTACGGGAGTAGGTACTGGACAGACAGTCGGTTACTCCACTGGAATCATTCCACGTCTCAATTTCCGAGGCCTGGCTGGCGATGATGGTCCAACTGGTGTTCGAGGAGCCGACTACTCATCGGCCTTTGCAGCCGGCTTGAACCTCGCCATGTCATGGGATCGAGAATTGATATATACGCAGTCCTATGCCAACGGCGCTGAGCACAAGGCTAAGGGAGACAACAGTGTAATGGCGCCCGTTGTCGGTCCCCTGGGCCGAGCACCGGAAGGTGGACGGAATTTTGAGGGTTTCTCGCCCGATCCTTATCTGTCCGGGATTGCTTTTGGCGAAGCTGTTGCAGGCATGCAAGCATCCGGTGCTATTGCAGTGGGCAAACACTTTATTCTGTATGAGCAAGAACACTTTCGCGAGGTTGTCGAGTGGAACGACTGGCACGCTGGTCCCAATATCACGGAACCCTACTCGTCCAACTGTGACGATCGCACGTTCCACGAGCTGTATCTCTTCCCCTGGTACGATGGTGTGAAGAACGGACTGGCCGGTGTGATGTGCTCGTACAACCAGGTTAACAACACCCAGGTGTGCCAGAGTGATCATCTCCTCAACGATATCCTTAAGGGTGAACTGGGTTTCCAGGGATATGTCACCTCAGACGACGGCTCGCAGCATTCAGGCGTCGACTCAGCTCTTGGTGGTATGGATATGACCGGTCCGGGCGAGACATCTCCGAACGGTGTCTCGGGACTGGGAGTGTCCTTCTGGGGCCCCAATTTGACGTTGTCCGTTTTGAACGGCAGTGTGCCCGAATGGCGGCTGGACGACATGGTGACCCGCATTATGGCTTCATATTATTATCTTGGCCAGGATGAGAACTATCCAGAACTGAATTTTGCTTCTGGTGACTTTGACACCTACGGTTATGAATATCCTAAGGCAGAGCTCGACTGGCAGAAGATCAACGACCATCGCGATGTGCGCAAGAATCATAGCGCGATCATCCGTAAAGTTGGTTCCAACTCGGCTGTGCTGCTGAAGAACATAAACAACACTTTGCCTCTTAAGAGCCCGAAGCAGATCGCAGTCATTGGCGAGGATGCTGGTCCTAATAAGTACGGTCCCAATGGCTGCCCGGATCGCGCCTGCGATCTTGGCACGGTGGCCATGGGCTGGGGAAGTGGCAGCACCAACTTTCCTTATCTGGTTGACCCTCTTTCAGCCATCCAGCAACGTGCACTGGCAGACAACACTGTCGTGCAGTATGTCCTGGATAACTGGGCCAAAGATCAAATTGACCTGGTGTCCTCGCAAGCTAGCGTGTGTCTGACATTCATCAACGCAATCAGCGGCGAGGGCTACCTTGAAGTCGATGCGAACTATGGGGACCGCAACAATCTGACAGCCTGGAAGGATGGAGATAACTTGGTCAAGCAGGTTGCGGCCAACTGCACCCAGACCGTAGTTGTGGTTCACGCACCCGGGCCAATACTCATGGAAGAATGGATCGAAAATCCGAACGTCACTGCTGTGCTCTTCGCAGGATTTCCAGGTCAGGAGAGTGGCAACTCCATTGCTGATGTTTTGTATGGCGACGTCAACCCTTCTGGCAAGCTTCCGTGGACAGTGGGCAAGCGTCGCAAGGAATACGGCACAGATGTTCTTTATGAGCCAAACGGCCTTGTACCGCAGCTGGACTTCAACGAGGGTCTGTTTATTGACTACCGCTACTTTGACAAGCATAATATCGAGCCTCGTTTTGAATTCGGGTTTGGTCTCAGCTACACCACATTTGCATACAGCCATTTACGCATTGAGTCTGTGCCTGTGAAGGCCACTCCTCTGCCATCTTCTCCTGCGCCAAGCACAGCAGATCCAACAATTTGTCCTAGCTCCAGTCTTAATCCGTCAGACTACACCTTCCCCAGTACCATCAGCTCGCTCACGGACTACATCTATCCTTACCTTGCTCCGAGCATGACGGTGACTACCAGTCTTACGACGCCAACTGTCCCCGTGGTCCGACGAACCCCTCAAGCTCAGGGAGGCGATCCGTCACTGTATGATATTTTGTACAAGGTGCGCGTGAATATTAAGAATACAGGCAAGGTAGCTGGCCAGGAGGTATCCCAGCTCTACCTTGATCTGGGCAATGGAGAGCCAAAGCGACAGCTACGAGGGTTCCAAAAGACAATGATCCAGCCGGGCCACAGACGAGACGTAACTTTCGAGTTGCGTCGACGTGATATCTCAATTTGGGATGTTGTTCAGCAGAAATGGGTCGAGGTCACTAAATTGGGCACGAGTGTCAAGGTGTTTGTTGGTGCGAGCTCAAGAGATCTGCAGTTGCAGGGTGTGCTTCCGGCGAGATAACAGTCTCGTCAAGGTTTCTGCCGTCGTCATGTAGAGCACTGCCTCGAGGTATTGTGGTTTGAAGTGAATAGGTTTCTAGTAAATAGTTACAAGGAGAAGAAAGATTTCGAGACATGACCGCATAATTCACAGTAATCAAAGATCATAATCTTAGTATATCAAGGCACGCTTGCTTGACTTATGCTCAGTTTTCAAGTCCCGTCAGAAGCATATCACATATTCACGGTGATTTCACTCAAGTCAACCCCCCACTAGACAAAATGCTTGAACAATTGAGATTTAGGGATAAACCCTATGCTGCTTTAAGAAAGGGGATGTTATTATGCTAAAAGGAAACAATCTGGGGGCTTCCATGTCTGCACACCGCTCAGCGATAGATTGGGGTAGATGAGTTAGTACAGATATAGGACCAACTGGATAATCCTTCAGATGATTGCTGTCGTCTTGTCTCCTTTTCTCAAGAGGTGATAACCATCTAGTGAAAATACTATGTATCGTCACCAAATCCGTGCACAGGGCTCCTGACGATGTAAACCATAGGAAGATTACTTGGTTTTCTCTGACAGGAACTTGGACGATTCAAATACAATGCTCATAATTTTGATTCTCTAACGACAAATCCTGATTATCAACGCAGGATAGGAATTATTACTGTTTTATGCCAAGGCCTGGTCAATGATGGCCGGATACAAATCGTCGTCTAGTTGACTGAGCGGTAAAGACTTATCGAGCCTGGCTTGGCCAGTTTGAAGATGGACGAGGACGGGTGCTAGTGTCTTTGTTTATGTCCGCTTTCTGAACACCGGCTGTGATAAAACGCCGTTCAATCAATATTGCAATATAAATCTAGCTAATTGAAGGTAACCAATAAGTTTGAAATCTGCGATCCGGCATTCGGAGCATATGCCCATTGTCCTAGAACGGAAAAGCAAAAGCTAGTTTACTTATGGATGTCTGCGAACAGGCTGCTGGTTGGCAAACTGGACATACTTCGCTGCTGTTTTGCTGCGAGCTTTCTTACCCCAGAACATAAGTGGAAGAGGCATGAAAAATGCCAATAAGGAGAGCATTCCCACACAGACAAATGTGTCTCTAATGCCCAATTTGTCGATCCACGGCGTGAAAACAAACTTGATGATCATCGATATTCCATTGCGCACGAAAACAACGGCAACCAAAGCATCTCCAAGAATCTAGAAAGTTGTCAATACCTTTTTTTTTTTTTTTTTTTTTTTTTTTTTTTGGCATGTGGACAGAAACTTACATCGGGGTAGCTGTCTGTCAGATAGGTCAAAGCGATGTCCGCTGTGATGATGAATCCAAACCCAAATATTGCAGTGCCGACAGCAAGAATGATCCACGGTAAACCCTGGATTATGCAAAATACATAAAATGAGTCTAAGCATCCATACCGGGGTATATAGGGAATAACGTACCTCTCCAAGGCCAATTCCAAAAAGTAAAATGCCAGCACACGCGAAAACTGACCCAGGAATACTCATCCAAAGACGCATTTCCGGCTCAAAAATACCACAATTTCTCTGGGAGGCCCGAACAATAGCCCAGTCGCTTCCTGAGCCCCCGACTACAGCGCCGATAGTTGCCCCAATAAATCCGGCCAGGTGAAAGAGGCCAATGTTTGCGGGACTGAAGTTGTAAGGGGGATCAAGCAGAAAGTAGGAGCCGGCTGAGGAAATTATCGCAAACCAGGCAAGTAAAAGGCCGTATGTCAATGCCGTGAAGGTAACAGCAGGAAAGATAAAAAAAGCAAGCAAGGGCTGATAAAAATGCCGTTTGATCGGAATATCGGTTTTTGTGACGAAAGCAAGCCTTTTGGTTAATGATTTTTTGGAATATTCCGTAACCAAAGAGGAAACTGGTTTAAGCCCTTCAGTGACATTCTCATTCTCTTCGATGGTGCCTTTACTTTGGCCCTCAGTGATGTCACCCCGGGTCATGTTGAGACCTTGGTCCACGGCCGTTGGAACGAATTTGGACTCCTCAAAAAATAAGAGAACAGCAACAAAATTGGTGCCGAGGAAGATGGCGGTCCACCACCAGATCCACCGCCATCCTTCGGCGACGGCAATGTATCCCGCAGAGATAGGGCCACCTGTGGCCCCAAGCGTCTGCATAAACAGAAAGATAGCGTTCATCCGGGCATGTTGGTGGACAAAAAATAAATCGACAATAGTGATCATGGTAATGGTTTCGCTGAGAGCGCCACCCAGGCCCATTATGAGGTTGATTGCAACCAGCTCACCCCCTGTCTGCACTTTGGCGGACCAGATGCCCATGGCAAACTGGACAGCTGAACTTAGGATATAGATAGGACGACGACCATATTTGTGTACTAGCGGGATGAACAGGATACATCCAAGTGCTAGCCCCGCAAAATTTGCAGCACTAGCATCATTTAAAGTCTGGTAGGACAGATGCAACTCTTCGGTATAACCTTGATACGCAATCGATTGGATATCAAGTAACACAAAAGTAAAAAGGACATAAAAGCAGGCCAGGCCAAAGTTAACAGCTTTCCGAAATGGTGACCAGTTCTATGCCGCTCTGTTAGTTTTGTTTTGGAGCATATATATATCTGAAAAAGTTGTACCAGAGGATCATTTGGATCTGCACTGGGAACGGGACTGCGTAAGAACCTTGTCCCAGAGTCCAGCCCTGTACCATTAATCCATGTTAACACAATACAGACAAAAGTGACATGAGGTAGTCATACTGTCTTCAAGTAGAATAGTTCCCGGTGGAAACTGTGACTGGGGATGTTGTTGATTCATTTCCATGGTCATGACAAAAGAGTAAACTGGGTTGAGATACCAATCTGCCATGGAGGGATAATCTCTGGCCTTTTTACTTCTCTTTCCCAACAATATCCTTCCTAAACGAGAAAAGCCCGGACCGCCGTTGTGGGTTTGAACTAATATTTTCGCCCGTCTAAGCCTCGATTGAGCTGCCGACAAATACACAAAATTACCGGTACTGTAATCTTTGGACCAACCATCGCTCAGCATGGGGCGGATTATTTGTAACAGTTCCAACGCTTTGATAGTTACGATTTATTAGATTACATACAAGTCCGGAAGTGGGCTTCAGCTAGCTTTCCAGCTGTCACGCAACATGACTTTTTCAAATTGCCGAAGTTTGAGAACCATCATGGTAGGATATTGATATCTGCGTGCTGGTCAAATACACTGAACAATGACGGAGGGTTTCCACTCTCCTGAGCAACCCATATATTCTGAACCAGTTCCCTTAATGTTGAAAAACATGGATATATGTTGGCCCCACGAAGTATGCTAACTAGAGAAAGGATTTCGTGCCGATCCCTTGTATTCTCTGCTTCCGCTGCTGCCACTAGAAATGGTAATGTAATGTTGCGAGGAGCATGGCCGGTATTAGCGTAGCAATATCGGATATGGTTGACTATGGATTTCGACAAGCTTTTGGAATCCTCATCGCTGTTTGTGAGGGGAAATCGGATCCGTTGTAAAAGGAGTAATGCGCCGTCGCGGTACACCTGGGCCTGGCTCATAACAAGAGTCTTCTCGCTTTCGGAGAAGTCTTCGAAAGTGTTGGATGCAATCGACGGGAGCCAGGAATATATCTCGTCCTTCAAAATCTCCCATGTTGATATATGAGTCGTAGACCACGCATCGTCCTCTCGTACCGCTGCAGCCATCACGCATACCCGATAAAGTAGAGGCAGTAGCGGGCAGCAAATGCCAGCATATCGGTCAACGAGGAAAGGATCTCGCACTCGATACGGCAAGACTGGTACGCGGCGCCGAAAGAGTGACTGCATCGTGTCGATGAATACAAGGCAAACCAGTTCCATACTGGCACTCGGATCATTCCACATGCGCTCATACCAAGGCTGAACATGATGCAGGGTAGCGCGGCAGATCACATCAGCGGAAACACCTGAGGTCAGACGCTGGAATGTCTGGAGCGTAAGCCCGAGAGCGAGGACGCTACCCACATGCTCGACTTGGTATATTGAGGAGTTACGAAGGGATTTCAAGGCTGACGCACATCGTGCCACATCATTGTCATCACACCGGGTATTCATACTCGTACGCAGAAACACCCGCGCAACGGCGAGAGATGGATCCAACAGTAATTGCGGCGCTTCGATCATGCGGGCATGCAAGGCCGGCCGCAGATAACGGGAAAGAGTTGGAGCAACCGAGAAGAATTCACAGAGACGAGCAATGTCCTTTTCGGAGATTTGATGTACGAATTGCAAAAGTAAAGGAGGAAGGTTCCCGCTCTCGCAGTCCCGCGGCTTTCTCCCTGGCTTTCCACGTCGGCGGGTGTGTGTACAGGGATGGTGGAGACGATAGCAACGATAGCAAGTGCCATCTGGTCCGCCTGCTATGCAGCGAGATTTTATCAGATAGCACCGATCACATGCGCCAGCGCTGGCCATCTTCATGAAGGTGGGAATACTGGAAGGTGTTTGCGGGAAAGTGGGGGCTGTCCGTATTCATGCCGAGTCGGATGCGCTCACTGGCCAAGCCCCTAGCTGGATGAAAGTATCCTGCCTCTCGCCGCCTAGCGTATTTCTCGTATGGCCGTCTGTTGAGAAGTGAATTCTGCCGACGGAGATTTTGTCAGTAGACAGCGGGGCAACGCTAGTCACCGATACCCCTATAACAATCTGATGACGGTCGTGGCTCAGGGGGAGTCAGGGACCGGCATGGCAAAGACCTGGAATCGGGGATCACTAGGAAGAGCAGAAGAAGAAGCGGAGAGAGATGATGATGGTATTCCTAGATTCCCAGAAGGGAAGGTCTATCTACAACGGCGGTGGGCGCTGGCACCTCAGGCACCCACTCACCTTCATCACAATCCCTCGACCTAAACGCCCGAGATGGCAAAGATGGTCTGGCCAGTGCTCGAAAGTGGAGAAATGGACAATGTGGAGGGAGTGTTGCACAATTCAACCCAAGTACGCAATTTAGCCAACATACTGCCTCGGTACGTTTTGAGGTCGTATTTATAGAGGACAGTGTTCCAGCGATAATGACATCCACAAATTCCAATTGACTAGCTCCTGTCATCATGAAGTTGCAATTTCTGATCCCAGCTGCCTTCAATGCCGCTGCTTGGGCCTCATCTGGAGTAGACGAGGCGACCAAATTTACTCTTACTGTACGTATTTACTGCCAACTCTCCCAACTTGCCAATCTGATTTTCAATGCAGTATGGCTATCCTCTCATGCCATTTGCACACTTTGCCATTCCCGTTCTCGAAGAAGTCAAAGCCACCAATCGCTTCCTGCATATGAAAGAGTTAGCGACATCGTCTTTCAAATCCGTTGTGCGTCCCAATGTGGATACTTTGTACTCATCAGCTGTGCTTGATATGTCTCTCCACGATGTGGTCATCGATGTTCCGATCGTAAAGGGCCGGTACTGGGTGTTTCCTTTCTACGACGCGTGAGTTTGGATAGTTCGAACATAACAAGCAACTTGCTGATCTGCGGTATTCAGGTACGGCAACAACTACGTCAACCTAGGCAGCGTGACAAACAGCAAAGCCGGCAAATATATCTTACGCTATGATGCAGATGAAGAGTCTGGGTTCCACCTCTGTGGCGAACAATTTTCTCGTCTGAAGTGCGACAAAGGAGTCCAGGGCATCATCAATGCCCCAACTCCGTACGGCATTATCGTAGTCCGGTACGCTGTCACAGATGCCCCAGGAGACCTACAACAGATCCACACTCTGCAGAAGCGAACCATCATGCATACCGTCGTGAAGAGTATAGCCCACAGTATAACCACCGCTCCGCCTCTGACGATGGCTATGCTCAATTCATCGCTCTCATCTGATCCTGCGACCAAGATCATGCAACTGACAGCACGCATTGCGCCACACAACCCGCCGAGCGAAAGTTCAGACTTGGGACGGGTAGCTTTGATGCTAAAAAGGGCCGGCATTCGTCAAGACGGAACCTACGAACAGCCCAGAAGCGTGAATTTAACTGCTGCATATATCGCCTCGGAGACGGCCATGTTCAATGCACCTACCAAGCCTGGCAATAACCAGGTCCTTAGCAATGGATGGAGCGAAATTTCCGCCGCAGCTCAGGGTGACTATGGCAAGAATTATGAGATGCGAGCATATGTAGCTTACTTCGGCTATCTTGCCCTGACCGCCGCGCAAGCTTTGTATCCCAGTCACAGCACGGGTGAGCATGGTCCATCGACACTGCACCTAGGCCCAAAGCAAGCCTACATTTTCACATTTCCCAGCAAGCCACTATTGGAGCAGTATGGGTTCTGGAGTCTGACAGCGTACAACGCGGCGCAATACTTGGTTCCCAACGCCCTGGACCGGTATGCGCTCACCGATCGCTCGAACATCACCTACGCCGATGGGTCGCTAGTTTATGGAGGGCAAACATCTGCCCGCAAGGACGGCACCTTTGAATTGCTCGTCCAGCCGGCAGACGTAGCTCCTCCGAGGAACTGGACGTCAAAGTATGCGACCACGGGTTTTATTAATTGTTGTTGTTGACTGACTTTTATTTTTAATAGTTGGCTCCCAGCTCCGAAGGGTGGGGGAGACTTGTCTCTCACTCGTACGTGCCGCCCCAGATTAGGATATGTTTAATGCTGACGTGAGTCCGACAGTGCGGTTTTATGCCCCGACCAAACAGCTGCACAATGGTTCATGGCTTTATCCCGTGGTGCATAAGATAGGTGCGATTGTGGGATGATTGGGGACAGTTGTGGAGGGTACTGTGACGACGGAAAGGCAGCTATCTGAATGCCCATGGCCATGCAGAGGCAGTGGAATGTTACCCGGGAATGAATAGGTCATACTGTTGGCTATAATTTAACATGTGCCCAAGCTTCCATCCACAATGTTGGCTTGCAAGCTTCATTATGATTTATATGACATGGTGGTAGAGGGCAAGCCCAATTCTGGATCAAATGATGCTTTTGACAGAATATTTTTCAATCCGTATCTTCGAACCTAATGATGCTTGACAATCATTCGCGTACTCACGAAAAAGCGCGTTATTGGGGCTTCCGCCTATCATTTTGTCCCTTTTCACACTGTGCACCAAGTTAGTTGCATGGTGTTTGATCTTTTCTCTAACAGCACTTGCGATTTTCCTTCGAACTGATATGGGTGGTTTTGAAGAAACACCGAGTTCTAAACGGGGCTAATTCGGTCTGGAGCTTTGTCTATCCATGGTCAAGAGTCAAAGAAACGTCGCGTTTCAGCATTTCCTTCTCGGCGAACTCGAAAGATCGAGAGAAAATCATTTTGTGACCTAAATTATGTCACAGGTCTAAGTCCGCTGCTGATGCCATTTCACTGTATCTTTCTTAAAAGTTAAGACCATGTAGCAGGAAGATAACGAAGAGGTGTTTCGAGCAAGATAAAGAGATTTCGGTCTGGTGCAAGTGTCTGGGTGTGGAAGAGCCTTTGACGGCAATTAGCAGGCTTGGATTGGCCTGAACATAGTGCTTGTCTTTCTCTTTGTAGACACACAATTGATTAGAACTTGCCAAAGTATGTAAATTTGAGGTATACTTATGCGTGGGGAAGCCTGAGCAAATAACTAACTAATTCTTCAAAAATCAAATTGTGATTAAAATCAAGGCGAATTTGGTTTCTTGTCATATGTTTGTTTCTAGTTATTTTATTTGTACACTATTAGTCTAGATCGATAGGAAGGGGTTGTCTCTACAGGTGGAAATACCTCCGCGGCCACATTGTACCGCCGCTGTTCTCGAGACAGAACGAAACTAGGTAAAATCCTCCACTGCCAATAGTAGCTCATATTGAACAAAGCAAAACTTATTTACGTTCTTAGGAGTCGTCTACCCTAGCTCCTCTTGAGACCTCTACAGTAAAGATCAATAGTAAAGTAACGTCAGATATAGCATCAGATATAGCATCAATAAAACCGGATTTAGCAATCATACACATGGAGAATTTTGAAGCGGCGATGGGGAGGACTTTAATAGAGCTTAAGTACAAAGGGGACGTTTAATCCAAACAGAACGCTAACTTGTTTTAAGAATTCACCGTCACTGCAGCTACGGGGTATAGAAAATGATGTAGGTGTGTTAGAGCTTTCCAAGGAAGGCGGATAGAACGAAACTATTAGAAGCGTCGTCCTCACTCCTCTTTTCTATGTACTTTGTCTTCTTCAGGTCTACACCCGGGTTTCCAGGGCACCTCACCGGCCCTGACAACAGTCTCTAATCCACCAGCAAGTTCAGCACCAGAACCACCACCATACTCCTCGCCCTCGACATCCTCAACCCACGGTAAAGCGTCAACGTCCACTTCCCATCCAAGCAAACAGCGCAGAATCACACCGGCACCAGCCTTGCTCATAACGACGTTCATCTCCTTGCACCTCTCGTCGCACACACACTCGACACATCCCTGCGGCGAGAGACATGCACAGGCTTCTATGCGCGCCACAGCCCTTCGCAGAAGAAGACTTATGAATTCAAAGGCCTTGCTTGCGATTCCCGAACCGCAGGATCCGCCCTTGGCGTCGTAAAAGGTCAGACGGGCCGGTCGTTGTCGGGACGGCGGCTGCAATTTCTTCTCTATCGCGTCGGCGTCGTTGGCTCGACGGAGGGACTTGCCGAGTTCCTTCTTTGCGACTTTGCATTCTGTGCGCACATCCCCTGGGGAAGAAATCACGAACGACGGGAGAAGTGAGAGGACGGCGTGTTCGGCCGCGTGGATGGCGGCTGCGATGTTGAGGTGACGGGATTGTAGTATGTCGATGGCGCGCGAGGGCACGTCGAGCCACATGCCCTTAGTGAGGATGTCGATGGGCGGGTTATCGACAGCGACAGCGTCGAGGACGCGTCCACGCTTGTCGATCTTGAAGAAGCCATAGACAACTGCGTGGATCTGGACAGACCCAAAAAAAGCGCGGCAGGCATCTGTACCTGTACCCACCAGCCTCATCGCTTCAGTCTCGATAGGATCGATATCTGTGAAGTCCCGCTGCATCGTGTTCCAGTCAACATGGACGCGGGCAACGCGGGCGAAGTGTTGGTCTACATTGACTTCTTGAACAAGATATGTGTGTCCCTGGTGCAGGAAAATCCCGCCTTCATAGATAGTGAAGAAAGCGCGCGAGGCTTCTACTTCTTCGAGGACAATGTTACGGTTGTTTGTTGTGTCGATTACCGCGAAGTGTGTGTCTTCCGTGTCGCGAATCGAGACACACCTTGATGGTTGTGGTCGGAAGCGTTCATGGCAACTGTAGAAGCCGAGGCTATCCTTGACGAGACGTGTTGCCGCGAGCACAAGGAGCTGCTCGCCGAAGTAGACACGGTCTTCGTCCGGGCGGATGGGCATCTCGAATGCTGCGCATTGGACATGACCTTCGAGGATAAGCTCATTTGACAGGTCAATTTGCAGTTCGCAGTTGGGCCGTGTGAAGAGCTCATCTGGGTTCTGCATGTAATGCTGGTCTGTCGGGTATCTGTCCCCGATCAGCACAGAGAGAGAATCCTTGTTGCGCCGTCCAGCTCGGCCGCTTTGCTGACGCAGATTGGAAATCGAGTAGGGAAAGCCCAGCGTGATGACCGCGTCAAGGGACCCAATGTCAACGCCCAGCTCCAGAGCATTGGTCGCCACGATACCCATGAGTTTGCCTTCAAACATTTCCTTCTCGATCCGACGTCGATCTTGCGGGCTATATCCGCCTCGATAGCCCATGACCAAGTTGCCAATTTCCAATCTCTCGAGAGCCTGGAACTCGTTTCGCACTGCCTGCAGGAGGACCTCGCAAAGCTTCCGGATCCGACAGAATGCAATCACTCTCACTCCCCGCAGAATCAACTGACAGAACAGACGTGCGGTCTCAGAAACGCTGTCCCCGCGCCCAGAAGTAGGGTCCCCCAAGTCCTTGTATGGGGTATTCCAACAAACAAATTCCTTGCGACCAGAAGGAGACCCATCAAAATCCACCAATTTCACATCGTCCACGCCAAAAACGGACTTCATGTGTTCTTCAGGATTGGCAACCGTAGCCGAACAAGATATAAACTTGACATGCCGATTACCCACCGCAGCACAGATCCTGCGAAGTCGACGCATCACAAGCGCGACATGCGACCCGAACAAGCCGTTGTAGACATGCAGTTCGTCAACAACCACAAACTTGAGGTTCTTCAAGAATGTGCGCCATGAGCTCTCCTGCGGCAGAATCGTAATGTGTAGCATGTCTGGATTGGTGAAGATGATGCGCGCTTCTTCGCGAATCATATTCCGACTCCCCATAGGCGTGTCCCCGTCGAAGGTCTCGACCACGGTATGCTGTAGGCCATCCATATACTGCAGCAGATCCATCATACTGCGCCTCTGATCTTGAGCTAGGGCCTTTGTGGGGAATATATACATGCCTCTGCTGTTCGGATCCTTTTCCAGCTCGTGCAGCATGGGGATCTGGTAAATGAGTGATTTGCCCGAACTCGTCGAGGTGGAGACAATTACGTTGTGTCCTTCATACAAGTGGTTGATCGCCTCTGCCTGGTGGGAATAAAGCTGCGTAATGCCTTTCGTGTTGTATAGGGCATTGACAAGGTCCTGCGAGAGCTGAAATGATAGGTCCCCGTACACGGGAGCCTGAGCATCAAATACCCGGTGGCCCTCTGGCACAATCTGGGCATGGTACCATTCCATCTCCCGGATCTCAGCGATGATCTGAGAAATGGTCTTGCGTTCTTTGGGGATCGTAGCAGGCGGCTTGGCCGCGGTGGCGGGCGTAGTTGTCCCGCTGGTAGGAGGCGTAGGTAGGAAAGCGTCTTTCTCTTGTTCCAATGTCTCCACGGGATCAATACCTTGATCCTCACACCGGATCATGAATGCGTCGATGGCTTCCGAGAACTTGGAATTGCGCTTCTCGATCAAAGCAAGCATCTGTTTCTGACTGTAGACCGGCATCTTCAGATCTTCATCTTTCATTCGTCGAACAGGCTTCGACGGCTCCCCCGTCTTGGGATGTTGCACTTCACGCTTCAGATCCCGATCGACAAACTCAAATAATAAGACATCCTTCCTGGTTTCCGTGGGTGCGTCGGCGTCGTCGGCATCATTTACATCCGGCGCAGATATCAGACCAGGTCTCTTGTGCAGACCATACTCCATCGTCTCTTGTTCTCCAGCGGTCAGAACCTCCAGTTTTGCCTCATCCACATACTCGAACCGTACGGCCCGCGGAACAAGCACTCTGACCCGCGCCACATCCTCGACTGTGAGTTCGCACCCTTGACCTAGTTGTGCCTGGACCGCCTTCTTAATGTTGTCGAATGTAGTGGCAAAGTGCTTGCGTGTGCAGCAGAAGGTGTAGACGAGATTCAGGGCGCGATGGGTGTGGGATAGACGTTTGAAGGGCTCCGGCCATGGCGCGGATGGAGTTCTCTTCTTCGGGGGTTTGGTTCGGGGATTCGACGATCCGGAATTTTCGCTCCGTGTTGTTTTCTTTTTCTTGCTATTTTCTGGGAGAGGATCTGTGTTTGGGGGGCTCGTCCGCGTCGCTGTTCCGGTGGTCGAATCTAGCGCTGTGCGCGACGACGGGACGGGCACTGTGAACAACTGCGCGCAGTCTTCATCTTGGTCGCTTCGTTTCCGCTTGAGAGATGGTGCACTTGGAGCGGAGTCTGCCAGGGAGCCGGCCATCACGATGCTCCATCCTGCCTGTCCTGGAGTTGGGTGGTTCCTTGGCTGTCGCGCATGCGCGGGACCAAACGGACGCGGAGTCACGTGCTCCATTTAACCATAACCAGACAAGTAGTACAGTATCAGATTACTAGTTATTGTTGTTGGTGGCAAGAGAAGCATTTAAGTCCAGCATGTATTCGTACTTGCTCGTCGCTAACAGAACAGAGTGTTTTCATCAATGCAAAATGTACCCAGCACCACCTCCCACCAAACAAATACTGTAACGCGCTCTCCGTTTAAACAAACAAACGTCTCTGGCAAAAAGATTCTTCTCCAAGTTGTAAGTGTAGTTGGTCGGTCTTCATCCCTAAATCTGCTCCATGAGTTTCTTCATGGTCTCATAAAGCTCCTTGGTGGAGGACTCGTTTCCAGTCTGTGTGAAGTATTAGCACCACGGTCAAGACAACCAGAGAAATGATCTCACTTACTCGCAGGAGCAGGGGAACGGTACGTCCCTCCTCCAGACTAGCCAGCAGAATCTGCTTGGAAGCCGGCTCGGCACCCTCTGCATCGCCAAAGTTCATGCCCTTGAAAACGGGGCTGTTCAGCATCACTCGGAAAGCGCCGTCAGCGCGCATGATCATCCGAGCGCCGAGCTTTCCGTCGGAGTCCTTCTTCGTGTTGATCTTGAATGTGCCGATGCCACGCTCTTTCCACTCTTTATCGGAGAAGTGGAACAACTTGGCCTTGCATGCGAAAAGGTTTTCTTCCTCTTCCTCGCCGGTCTCGACTGAGATATGGTGTCAGTACATGTCATCTAAGATGAAGTAGGTAATGCATACTGGTCTGCTGGAAGAATCGCTCATCGGTCTTTTCTTCCTCAAAGGCGCCCGCTGTAGGCTCGTCTTCGTCTTCGTCGTTGCCAGTCTCGTCGTCTTCAGATTCTTCGGCACCGAATGCCTTGGCCTTCGACTCACCAAAAGTGGTTGGAGCATTGGGAGAGGCAAAGCTGGTGAGACCGCCCGGTTTTGCTGCGGCGCCGAAGCCACCGCCGACACCGGAGAAACCGGAGCCAAGGCCACCAAATCCTGAGGTTTTGGACGGAGACGCAAGTCCACCCTTGGGAGTGGAGTCAGTTGGCTTGAAGACAGACGAAGAGGACGCGCCCAGTGAGCCAAATGGAGACTGCGCGGAGCTAGCAAAGCCCGCCAAGCTGGACGACGCAAACGCAGACGTAGAGGCGGGCTGTTCTTCAGTGGTGGTCTTGGGTTTCGCGGAACCTAAAGCAGCAAATGGCGAAGTAGAGGAGATGTTGCCGAATGCACTGGCAGCGAAAGCCTACCAGAATCTCAGTAGGAGATCAAAAGCGACTCCAGGAGATACATACATTGTTAGTAGCCGCCGTATCGCGCTCCTGAGAGTTGTCACGATGCTTCTTTTTCTCGGGCTCCTCGCCACTCGCAGGTTTCTCGCCGGCAGGCGCGGTCTTGGGGAGATCGTCAGTGGTCGAGGTCCCGTTGTCGCACCTAGTCGATCGGTCCTTTTCAAGCTGCTCACGACTTCTTTTCTTCTTCGGTCTTGTAGGATTCGGGTTCGTGGGGGCTTCGGGGTCAATCGCGGGATCCTGTGAGAGTAGGTTGGCATAATTGTCATAATAGTCATAAAGCACGGGCTCGGAGAATTCTCTGCGGAACTCAGAGTCTTCCCGTTCTGATGACGTGATAAACTGGGTAATGCTTTTTTGGTAAGGACTGAGGGTATCTCCGGATGGGGCTGTGGCGCTTGGGTGTCCAGAAGGGATGACTGCTCCTGCAGGCTCAGATGGCATATTCCGTTCCTCAGTGTTCTCGTCAACCATGGTGGGAACGTATGTGGACAGACTCTCAATGCCCGCATCCTCAAGTGGCCGATATTTAGGCCAGAAGCCGCACGGGCTTTCTTCACTGGCAGGACGAGCACAGAGAGGGGAAGCAGACTCCTCCTTGACAATTGGCTCATCGCCTTCGTCATCTGTGGCCCAGGAAGTCTGCAGGCTCTCTTCGTTTGCCCCACGAGGTTCCGGAGTCACAGGAGCAGGAACAACACGGGTAGGAATCACAGGACCAGAGGAAGGATCGGGATAGAGAGCCCAGGAGTTCGCGACAAGACCCGAAATCCAGTACGCAAAAGCTTCATAACGCTGCTGGTCTGATAGCTCGACCCTCGCGGTAAAGAGAAAGGTGGAGAGAAAAAATCCAAGCTCAAATCCTCGAACAAAACCAGGGACCTCGGGGTTCACGGAGTTCTCGGATTCCACAGAACTGGCGGGGGTGGATTTGCCAGATCTGGCTGGAGATCCCTCCGCAGCGTTGACAGGGTTACCGGAAGGGGCGTCCACAGCGTTCAAATCGTCCACGTTGAATCCAGGAATTTGATGGGAAGAAGAAGGAAAATTGGCACTCACGTTGGGATTGTTGGCTTCGGGGAGCTCAGTGTCGTCATCATCGGATTCGCCGACGGGGGCAGCCTGCGAAATCGTGTTGGCATAATCATCATCATCGGTTTCAATGCTCTCCTGTATGGGGAGCTCATCCGAGAGGGGGGAAAAGGCCCATGAAGGAGCCGGGGATCCGTCGTCTTCCAGGCCAAAGGCGCGGGTCTGCGGGAGGATGTAGTTGCAAGGAAGGAGAGGATATTTGATCCGAGAAACAGGGGGAGGATGACGCTGGGGAGGGCTCGCGGCCACCTTGGGCCGGCGTCGAGGATCACGGGAACTCACTTTCGGGTTGTCGGCACTGGACTGCGCACCCTTGTTCTTGGCAATCTTGGAAGGCTCCGAATTCTCCGGGGTGCAATCGCGTGAGCGCTTCCGTCTAGCGTTGGGGCTGGAGTTCGGGCTACTTCCAGCTGCCTCGTCGTTGTCGTCGCGGGACTCTTCGAAGGAGCGCTTGCGGCGTTGGCTACTGGACCTGCTGTTGCCGCCGTTCTCTTCGGTTTGTGCTTTCAAGGGGAGCGGAGCAGACTCGATGGTGGTTTCTTTGAGCTGTTTGCGAACTGGACGCTCGCCGCCGTCGTTCTCCGAGGGAGGGGACTGCGCCTCTTCGGCTGCGAAGAATCAGAGTTAGCACGAGAGCCGGATCAAAGCTGGCGCATGTGGAAGATTTCTGAATGGAAGGTGAAATCAACTGAGTCACTTACCTGTCAGTCGCGCCATGGCTGTCGGCTCAGCCTCTGCTTGGTTATGATATCAGCATCAGCTTCCCTTGCGTCCCAATGTCAAACATGGGGGATGTACCGTCAGAGGCCACCACGGCACTGGTGATGGAGGGTTTGCGAAAGGTAGAGTCGGGTACAAGTTACAAGAAAGGCGAGGAGCGGGTAAGAGGACGGTAGGAGGGGTTGGTTGTTGTGGTTGTGTGTAGTAGAGCGCCGCTCAGATCAGATGGGCCGAATCCGAGCCGACTCAATGACACAGAGAGAGATCGATCCAGGTGACGAAAATAGAGGAGAATCGGGGGCCAGCGATGAAACAGGTTCGGAGCAAAGAGAGGACAAGGGCCAGGAAAAGGTAGAGAAGGGAAGGAAGGGAGAGAGGGAGAGCGAAGATTAGAAGTTGTTTGGGTGTCGCCCTAGTCACCGCTCGGCCCCGCAGTGAAGAGCGCAACCGTCATTTGCCTCAATAAGCAGCAATAAACAGAGTCAATCCATACAATACATTCGAGAATAACGACTATTCCCTCCGAGTCTAATACACACTCGCTATCCATCAGTCTGAACAGCCCAACCCTCGCATTGTGCTCCGTCATGTGACCCCTAGCTAATGAAACACAGGCAGCCGAGTGAAATATAGAACACGAACAGCGGGAACACCGCGATGACCACCCGATTGCGCACCACGCCCGATCCTCCCAGGATGCTGACACCCGCCGCGAGCGACCACGCCACCAGGACGAGGTAGACAGGGATCCGCGCGATTGTAGGAAGTCCGAAGGCACTGAGAAGAGCCGCAATGACCATGGGGAAGAGCGTGTAGCCGATGATACAGACCGATTGGAAGAAGGAGCTAGTAGAAAGACAGATCAGCAGATGCCCAAAGTATAAAGAAGACATCACATACATCTTGCCGCCCAGAAGCTTGATCTGGAGAGTCACCGCAGCCTCTCCGATCCAGACAATCGAGAAGACACCCGAGAAGACCGTCGATGATTGGTCTCCTTTAGCGCGCATAGACAAGAACATGCTCAGAAGCAAACAGAAAATCAACGGGCCCCTGCATGCAACCACCGATTAGCCATATCCCCCGCTGTTTGTGTAGAAGACGTACCAAAGATCCCAATCGCGCAAACCCTCGGTCATCCCACCCTGCAGCACAACATCAGCATCCGGCCAGCGACCCACGATCCCGCGCAGGTTGCGACCGAATCCCGTTGCCCCGCCGGTCTCCTCATCGCCGAGGCCACTGCCACCGCGCGACATCATCCCGCCCAGCAGGTACTTGGGCCAGAGGACCTGGCGCATCTTCTCCCACACGGCGACCATGTCACGCGACAAGGTCTGCCACACACTTTCGTCGAGGGTATTTTGCGGCGCGCGACGGTCCTCGCCGGGGATTGAGGAGGTCAGGTAGTTGCCATAGCCCGATGCACCGCCGGCTCGGGACCCGGAGTCGGGTTCGATGTTGCCTCGTAGGGGGGCGCGGTCGGAGTCGCGTAGAGGGTCATCGGCTTCGATGGCTGGGTGCGGCAAGTTAGCACTAGGTGTGAGAAACGGGGTCGAGAGGCAATAGCTCACCATCATTATCGGCGTCGATCAGGTCATCGTCCAAGATGGATTCATCGTCATGCAGCTCGCCGTAGTGGCCTTGTTGCACGCTGGCCATTGTGGGATGAGATGGTCGTAAACAGAAGCACGAGTTGCTCCCGAACAACAAACGATGAAAAGAATGATGAAATGGGGGTGGTCGTTAGTGACAAGTGTTTGGAGCTGGCCCGAAGAGGCTAGATTACGGCTAGATGCTAGAGTGGCATCAGCTACGCCGGGCGGTCACGAGGGGGCTATTTTTACATCCGTGTAGAGGCCGCCATTAACTATTATCACTCACGTTTTGATGAGTTAGTCAACGGGCGCTACCTTTGAAATTGATGTCTCCAAATTTATTTTGGTTTCTATTTAGTTTTTTTTTTAAAAAAAAAAAAAAAATAAAAAAATAAAAAAAAAGTAAATAAATAAATAGGTACTCCGAAGGCCCAGGAAAAAACCAGTCAGCCCCGTCAACCCAGAGGTGAAATAGTCCCCGGTCATTTAGTACCTTGTGAAACTATACGTTTTGCAAGACTGAACGCGCTTCCAACCTCCTTCCGAAAGCCCAATTACAATGGAGACAGGATGGCTTCCGTCATCCTTGGTCATTGCAGTGATAGGAGCAGTGACACTGGCACATCCAGGGTAATCGCTCGACTGGTAGATAAGCATAATGGGTATCCTGCCGCTGAATAACACTGAGTATGACCAGAGAGGCCCAAAAGTACTAGCTAGTCTACCTAGATGCACGTGGGATCCCGTTGGGAGGGTTTGGCCCGCGATCTGACTCGCTGGGACTTGGCGGTTCCGAATGAGCTGGACCTGTCAACATCTTCCGCAGGCAATGGGACAAGCGCAGCTATATGTCGCCTCTTCAACAGTATGGCTATAGCACGGCGGACTACTCTTTACGCATTCATGTTGCATTTATGCTGATCTGGGGCCGCAGCGTGGCAATATTAGGGCTAGCTCCGCCACGCTACCGATCATTATCAGGATCCAGAAAACCAGATCAACTACTATCATGGTGTTAGCGCTTACTCTTATTCTTAATGGGGAGATGGTGGCCAGTTCGCCCCCGATTAAGGATTCTGCAGGGACCCGCAATTCCCTGTAGGGTTCTATACCATGCTAATAGTCTCTCATTCGTGCCCTATCACCTGGCATCAGAAGCGGGACGAAACGCCATCGGCGGGATCTTGAAACTGGCCCCGGGTGGCGGTATGAGGCTAAATTGAAACCATGCATTAAGTATATAGGATTATGTTAAGACGCCCACGCTTCCGTGTCTCGCAACGTATCTTGGGCCTTGCTCATGAACCGCCCGTCAAGTTCTTAGCCATGAAGTTTTCTAACTTCGGACCTTTGTTCCTAGCTATAGGTCTCGGCCTGTTCGTCGGCCATGGCCAAGCCGATATCACCGCAACAAACCTTTTTGAAACGATTCCCAGCGGTACCGATGGAAATTGCGTGGGGAAACCTATCGATACAATGGTCCAAGAGGCTGTTATGCTCAACGACAAGGCTATAGCAGCTATCAACGTCCTTCTAGAACCGAAACTATTCTGGTCAGGTGGGAACGACGAACGCATCGCAAAAATAGCCAGTGCTATCTGGGGGGTTCAGCTGGATAAGCCAATGATCTATGCGGGATTTCGCTTTAGGATTGATGATTCTGGCAGAGACACGTTGACCAAGGCTAAAAGTGAGAGTCAATGAGTTCTGACCAAACTGTTTCATAGTTCTAACCCCAAACGCCCAGCGAACTACGAATTGGCCAACGAAAAATTGAATAGCAATAGCGTCAACGGCGGGAAATTGACTTGTGGAGGAAAGGATTGGCAATACGTTGCCACTTGGGAGGACCTGGGTTATAAGGGAAACACAGAACCAGTTGGTATGCACATGACCCTCGAACTGTCTTTCACAAACATCTTGGCCAAATGCATTGATAAGATGCAGACAAATACGTCTCGAAATACTTCTCTCAGAAGGATGATCAAGGCCGGTATATCATTGAACCGGGAAAGATTATTATCACAGAACAAACGCGCAACGGAAAAAGTCTTGCCGGCAAGAGTCTCTGCGATGATCCTGGCAGGGCCCAAACTTGGACGGTATCTCACTTGATCATGATGTGCGACCAATGTTTTGATCAACCTACTCTTTCCACACTGGAGGGGCAGCAAGGCTCGTGGCCATCAGGGAAGCACATGGACGACATTCAAACAGCAGGGGCAGAATTCCAGCACGAGATGCTTCATTACATTGGCAAAGGAAGTACGTGATCGCCGCCTTAAGAAGAAAGCTATGAGCGACAACGCTGACTATCTTTACACTTCTTAGTTGGCGATACCGACATGGGTAATGGCGAGGCTGGGTACGGTTGGGAAAATTGTGCCATCATCGCCTCGCAGCCAGGTCAACTTGCATTAAAGAATGCAGACAATTACCGCGTGTTTGCAATGGCAGTATTCTTCAGCCAGATTAGTTGGGATGAGTATGGGGAAAAGCCCTGAGAAAGACCCATCTCCCAACGCCTTGCCAGGAAAGGACGTTGGGGTGGTGATGTTGTCTTCTGAATCTTCTGTTCCTCATGTGATAGTTGAAATAGACCGACAGAGTTTCCAATGACCACTGTCACTATAAACCCCTCCCTAGCCACCGTCACCCTCGATCCTGTATATCTGTATGTCTGGACACTAGAAAAATGCCAGACAATTCAAATAATGTATGTCAGCACGTGCTAAACTAAGTGCGCTTGTATACCATCTGTACCTAATTATAACTACGACAATCTTGAATCTTTCAGTGTCTTCATGTACTCTCTTTCTGGTTATCTTTTAAAAGGATTGCCCTCTTCTTCTTAATAACTATGGCTGAAAACTAATTATATGATTAGTCAGGCTTAACCACTGAGGTCGTGATACCAGTGGATCGACCGCCGTGCTAGTTTCAGGCCCCATATCCCCATCGTTTTCTACGTTTCATGTTTTGGTGGCAAAGCGGTGGCAAAACGATGGCAAGACAGATGGCAAAGTAATAAAACGGTTATTGCATCAGGTTTGGTGTCGGTTTCAAGGCAACAGCTCTTGTAAAGGTCCAGTTATCCCTCGTCGCGGCCTAATGTCACGACATGACCCTGAACACTACAAAAACCCCATTCTAAGCTCTCTATGATGCCGACTTCAAGCACAGACTCATCTACCAACTCGGGAACAATTAGAGCTTCTGGGCAAAGCGACAGCACCCCAACACAGATGGACGCAGCCGCGGCGTCTTCCTGGGAGCCGCCCAGCGACCCGGTAGAACTACGGAAGCTCATCGAAAGTGTGCAACAACCCGGTTCATCCGAACTTCATGATGTACTACCGCCAGTACCGCCAGACGCCCCTGACATTCTCCGGAAGAACTGGAAACGGTATGCCTTGAGAAAGCATAAGGCACCCGGCCCATTGAAGATCGCAAAGTGGAATTATGATCATCCCGTGGTCTGGGTAAATGCGCTGTTGGCTGTGGCCTTGGCTGCTGTGACAGTTTCGCAAACGGGCCGGTTCTCTATCGTTCAGCTGGGAATTTACTTAGCGCTGCTGACTTTCCTGGACTACAAGATATGCCAGTATGTTTTCCCTCATCTATCCTAGGAGCATCAACAGGAGCATCTCTAACCATTTTGTTCTTAGATGGTGGTTACACAAACATCCATTTAAAGTGGACCCTATCACTGAGTGGTTGGGAGGGAGTGGAATCATTAGGTGAGGGCAGTTGAGCGAGCTGAACGAGAACTGCGACTTTCATCGTATCGTGTCTTGCAGATTGGATCATCTGTGTCAATGACATGTTCATGTACTATATTATGGATTCTATGTATTGATGAATCGTTCACACGGCCCGTGTTGATTAAAAGGCTGGAGGTATAGGTGGGCGCACGGCTCCCTAGGTAAAGTGTGTGATGTTCCTATCAATACTTCTCTGAGCTGAGTTTTAAAATGGAAAGAGGGATCATTCAAGTGCATCCTAAAATCCGCTAGCCGGTACCTCAAGTATGTACTCTGTATACAGGATGCAGACCACTATTCTTGAGGGTAAATGTTACCTCTCAGTTAATTACCCTGAACATATGGTAGCTCTTCCTGGTACACATCATACTTGTACCGACTCCCAGGATGATCGTCTCGAAGCCCCTTCTGGCCCTTCCCATACACCTTCTCACGAGCAGTCAGGGGCTCGCCAGCCGACTCCTCAGGGTACAGCCTACGCTTTCTCAACTCTGGAAGAACCAGATCAATCAGATCCTCAAAGGTGCCAGGATTACTGACATGGCCAATATTGAATCCATCAAGATCAGCCTCACGGACCCAGCGTTCCATTTCATCTGCCACAGTGGTAGGGCTCCCAATAGTCACAGCCCCCAGTCCACCGATGGCAGCCTTCTCCGCCACGACGCGCGGCGTCCACTTCGGTACATTCTTGCTCGTCTTCGTCAGCGAGTCTAGAATACTAGTCACCTTGCCGGCCTCGAGCGAGTGCGCGGGGGTGATCTCTTCATCCAGCGGGATCGTCGAGATATCGATGCCCGTCCAGCCGCTGAAGAGGACCAGTCCCCCGATCACAGAAGCGTGCTTCTTCAATTCCTCGTACTTGGCCCATGCCTCTTCGTCCGTTCGTCCTATTATTGGCGTGAATGTGCCAAAGAACTTGATAGACTGCGGATCACGGCCTGCTTCGGCGGCCTGCTTGCGGATATTCGCGATCTTGGGTCGCAGCACCTCGGGCGAGTGCGAGGTGACGAAGATTGCTTCTGCGTGGGTTGAGGCGAATGCCGACCCAGCGGGTGATGTCCCAGCTTGGAACAAAAACGGTGTCCGCTGGGGAGACGGATCGACAATGTGTCGCGTCTTCAGCGAAAAGTATTTGCCCTTGTGGTTGATCTCGCGGACCTTCTCCGGGTTGATATACGAGTCTGTTTCGGGATTGGGCGAGACCGCGTCGTCGGCCCAAGAACCTTCCCATAGTCTGACATAGTTTTGTCAGTTTGGTACCATCAGACAGGGAGGCGACGCACTTATAGAGAACCCGCAAGTATTCATCCGCCTGGAGATACCGTTCATCATGTTCGATCGGAGTGTTCAGTCCAATAGCCTGGAACGCCGACTTCTTGTACGAGGTTACGATGTTCCAGCCCATCCGACCATTGGTGAGATGGTCCAATGTCGACCAGCGCTTAGCCATTAGGAACGGTGCCTCGAATGAGGTGGAGGCTGTGATGCCAAACGCCAGGTTTTGGGTCACGGCTGCCATCGCAGAGATAGGCTATACTCCATCAGCCGCGATTTTCTGTTTAGAGCTAATCAACACATACAATTGTAGGATCTCCAACTGGCCACTGAGCTGCTCTCCGCATGCAGTTGTCCAACTGTCACGACGTCAGCCCTGAATGCAGTTCACAGGCAAAGACACCCACCTTGCCCTCGTATGTCTCATGACCGCCGGTGGTGTCCGCCAGGAAAATAGCATTGATTCCACCTCGCTCCAACAGTTTTGCCAGCTCAATCCAGTACTCGAGGTTGTTCTTTGTAGCCGATTTATCTTTGGGGTTCTGCAAGAAAGCAGCCGATCAGTCAATTGTTTTCTCGTAACATCTGCACAGCTGACCTTCCACTGTCCCGGCGACAAATGGCCCACGGTATACATATCAAACGCATTGATCAAAATGTGTTTCTTGCCATTGGCACTGGTGCTATTGCTGCCATTCTGTCCAGAAGCTACGCTCGCGTCTCCCATGGTGATACTTTCTTCGGGTTGGCGTGATTTCTAGAAATGTATGTAATTTGAGTAATTGAGGTTCCAAGGGCTGGGTAATATTATATAAACTGGACTACTAGAAATTTTCTCTGGTGCGGCGGAGACAAGACCTCGGAGGGTATGCTATTCACACCGACGAGTACCTACAGCGTATAGGGTCTCAACATTCGGCCATCGTGGGTGGTTCTCACGCCATCATCTTTGTCAGAGTGGGATGAGCGGCACAGCTCCGAAGCGTGAGGGAGATGTGACTAGATTTGGTGCTGTGTACGAGGAATGTACCTTGTTCGCCTCGCCGATGACAAGACATTCGCCATCTTCTCCACAGAAAGCGCAAACAAAAGCCATCGTATCCTACCGCATTTGCATTAATACCATAATCTCACAGCCTTCATCTCTCTAATAGGCGTACAGTAGGTAGAAGAGGGGCACAGGATATCTTGCGTCGCAGGAATGGATGTCATCATCGGGTGTCCGATGGCGTGACGGCGTCCCTCGCTCATACTCCGACGCCTATAAAACCCTCAGAACAACATCCAATAGGCGCATAACATGCTATCGTATGTGGGGAAGTCTGTACTTGACAGCTTAGCAAGGCAGAAACGGTGGCTCTTGATCGTGGTGGATCCCCGGGATTTGTATTGAGGATCGAGGCTCCACGGACAGGGGTCTCGGGATTTGAACTTTACCAGTGACGGTGTGTATTTTCCGAGGCTAGTAATAAGGACAAAATTAATTTGGGATAGGAGAGGTCATAGTTTGGTGGGAATGACTGAGTTTCTGTTCGGGTTACTGCTTTTGGCGATTGACTGATCTATACGGAAAGTCCAGGCATCTATACACTTCTGTCCGGAATGCATGCACCCAACGACGTATTTCAACACCACTCATAACTTCTGCTCTTCCTTCTCCTGTAAATTATCTGTGCCAACCCCAGATTCCAATTGATTCGAGTCTCCAGAAGTAGATCCAGCAAGACTGTTCCTGTTGGCAGCCTGTTTCCTAAAAAGCCAGTGTCAGAAAAGGTCAATTAGAGAAAAATCGGTTCCATACTCCTCGCGTGAGATAAAATGTTGAATCACATGAGCCAAAGCAATCAAACAGATAGCGTTGCCCAGGACAAACGAATAGCCCTTGGTAAAGCGCGGCGCCTCAACAGTCTTAAACACCAACAGCGGAGTCCAGGCTGTCGTAGACTGAGCGAGAGCATTAACAGTGACGAGAGTTAACGCACGCTCAACAGGCGAGGCGCGCAACTGGGTATTAATCCAGCCGTAGAGGACACTGGACATGGCCACAGCAGAGAAAGTGGTAAGGAAAGCAAACCACAGCGCCGACTCGGGCACAGTCCAAATCACCAAGATAATGCAGCCGATAATGTTCCAGATATGGGCAACGGTGATGGCCCAAGCAGGGCCAAGAAGCAGATCTGAGGCGAAGCAGATCACGAGCGTGTAGAACATACCTAGTCCCGGAGAGATGGCGGCTAGCTCGTTCAGCCTGCTAGTCGAATACCGGTTCAGACTTTTCAGCCACAGTTGGTATCCGCCAGTTGTGGTATTGACACTGCCATTCCAGAAAAGAATATCTAGCCAGAGCATGGCCCAAAACCGCCAGTTTCGGAAGAGCCTGGTGAATATACGCCAGGAAAGAACTTCTTCTTTGGTACCATGCGAGGCACGCTCAAGGCGTTTCTGGGCGAGCTGGATGTCCTCTTCCTTCAGGATTAGTCGGTTGGGTTTGTCTGGAGTGCCTGGCAGGAACAAGTAACCCATTATGGCAATGGGGATGGTGATGATTGCACAAAGGATGAACATCCAGCGCCAACCCGCGAGACCATTGACACCATCCAGACGACCAGATGCCCCGGATTGGATTAAACTGGCCGTCATTGTGCCAAGGGTCAAGCCAACGTAGAAACATCCTCCCCTTCTGGAGATCTCGTCGGAGCGATACCATGAGCCTAGAATAAAATGAGTATGAAAATACCAGCAAGTTTATTTGGCGCGTTACCAAATATATAATGCATTCCCGGATAGTAAGCTGCCTGGGTCAAGTCAGCGAGTACCATTGGATAGGATCTTGTCACCCACTTCAAACCACCCGACCAGAAAGCGATAAGCGGCCATCTCCGCATATGAAGAGGCTCGGTACTGGAGCAGCGTGAAAATGCCCCAGGCAATGTCCATAAACGGAATCAACCAATACATTGGGAGCTTGGTGAATAAGAAGCCGAAGGGAATCTGCCCCACGACCGCCCCGATTGTGTATATGGTCTGCAGTTGAACTAGGTCATTTCCCTGCAAGTTGAGGTCCTCTTTGAGACCAGAGACATAGGCATTGTCTGCAAAATTCTTGTAAGATCAGGTGTAGGTGGATGATGTCTCGTTGTAGGGGCCTTACTGATATTCGCCTGGTCGATGTACTTTGTCCAATACGCAAGGAATGCATAGGGAACAATTAACAAGTCCAGCTTCAGAATGAGCTGCCTCTCTTCCTTGGCATCGGTATCTGCAAACCATTGAAGGTAGTACCACTTCCGTCGTTGCTGGGGGATGGTCATCTTTGCAATGTTTTCCCTTCGGAAGAAACAAAGAGAATGCAAGAAATCGCTCGCCCAGCTGTCCTAGCAAATTCTTCAAATAAATAAAGTCAAGCTGTCAGAGCGGGATGCAAGATGTCACGGCAGGCGGTGATTGCGTGACAGGATCGAAGCGAAGCTAAACACTCCAGCGCTAGAGGCGCGCCCGGCATTCCTCATGCACGAAGCCGTGGTGGAATAAAGTACTGGATTAGGAAAGCATTAGTTACTGTTCGTGTCCTGCACAGCTCTGGGAAGTGCAAAGGTACATACATATGCTACATGTCAAAAAGTGGAGCGAAGACGTGCTGCGGATCAGCTTACTGGCGTGTATTACTTTGTCAAGGCGAACGTGAATCTCGGGCCTTGTGCAAGTGCGGCCTTATTCTGACAGACTGAATATCATGCATATTTTGAGGAGTGATGGCATGTTTGTGCAATCTCTCCACGAAAAAGAATGCAGAAAAAGTCCATCAGAGCCAGAAGGTATCAAACACAGGCAGACAATGGTCATGTGTTGTTGTTTGCTTCGTCTGGTGTTTGCTTGCTGTACCTTCTGTCTATAAAGAGGAGCTCCTTCCCTCTTCCCTCCTCCTCTTTTCTTTCCTTCTCCACCCTCATTATTACTCTTCGAATTCGCGCTTTCCCATCAAGTTTGGCCCTCAACGGGCGTCAAAGCAAGATTTTCTCTATTTATATGAAATAGCGACAACCAACGAATACCTGGCCTTCCCGAACAATGCATATATCCAGTCCCTATATAACGACGGCATCAATCTGATGGTCATTTATGTCGCAGCAACGTGTGTCTTAAGTATCAGCGGATCAAGCACTTGGTTCTGGCAAACCTTATCGCAAGTGCATTCTCCATCAACATGGCATGCAGGGGCGATGAGAGCGAGGCTTTTATCGTCTATTCCTCGATCCATGCTAAGCTCGAGAAACCTGCAAAGGCGTGCACCGAGTTCTGTACTCGACCACCAAGTCACTTCAGGAACAGCTGGAAACCGCTTGGGGCCAGCGGGGCGCCCATCTGATGTGCATCTATCGGTTCTCTGTGAATCGCGAATCACAAGCGATACACTGCAAGCAAATGTGGAAGGAGTATGACTGGGAACGGTGGCGCCAGTCCTCCCGCCGGCAGCAACTTGCAATCTTCGTCTCGGATTTGTCTCGGCTACAGTATAACCCGTCAACAAAACTTGGCAACTTTGAATCAGCGAGTGGACGCAGATGCTTCGGCATGTTCCGTTGTGTCGCCCTCAAGGACATTCCGACGCTTTAGACCCAGTCTCGCTACTGGGAGGCCATCCTTATCACCTCCCATGGTCAACGACCCCCAGACGGGCAACTCTACAACAACTGTGTGGAGAATTGCGTCAATAATGGCCATCTTTGCCCTTGTGTCTTCTGTGTGAGCGGGGAGTTCGAGGAGCGCTTCGACTGCCTCATTCATGGCAACCTGAACCGTTCCTTCCAGTCCACGGTCGACGCACCAGCATTGCTTCCTAGTGCTGAGTGGTCTACAGCCATTTATCCTCTGCAATTATCTCGGCCTTCCCACGTTGACTTGTTCCGCAATGACTCGCAACTTGCGCGAACATGACCTTCACCTGGGCTACAATCATACTGGACGTGCCCCGACGAAAGAGGAGGAAGATGTGCGGAGCAAGTAATTAAACTACATGTCACAATTGCAGTGCGGGACTGGGATGTCCAGATATTCCAGTATCCCTTCACCTAAACCTTGTCGAGTTGTCGTACTCAATTGACACGAATCTTTCATCTGGCATCGAATTTCGTTCGCAAGATGCCGCGAAAAGCGCGATCTGGAGGTGGAAATGGGCCGTCTGGGGGTGGGAAGAGACCGCGGCTGACGAGCTCTTAAATGTTGGAATTACTTCCGGTTACATGGGAAACATCGGACTGCTGAACAAGTGGCCAGGTACTACACTGGTCTCCTTCAGGGGCCTTGTGGAAATCCCGTGTGCAATGAGGAAGAGGTGACCAAGTGGTGCCCCAATCCCCCAGAGGACGTTAACCAAGTAATTTGCAACGAATACTATCGGTGCTTTAAGCACGAATGCCGGCTCCGCACTGCAGAAGAGATTGCGAAGTCTCAAGCTGGTCCCCTTCAGGGAACTTGTGACAATCACGTTTGCAATGCGAAGAAGGCGAACCATTGGCACCGGCATCCAAATGACGTTAACCAAGTGACCTGCGGAGGTTGCTATCAGTGCGGGAAACCATCGATTCGAGACCGATCCGGTGCAGTTATGACCACGAGGCGTAAGACAGTCATTCCCTGTTGATATTTCTATGACTGTCTGATGTCCCCATGTTGATGGGAGCTTGATTGGTGGGTGTTTTGTGTGGCGTAAGATTTTCTTGATCTCCATGGTGGCAATATTGGTTTCTGTATTATACCTTTTGAATCGTCAATGGTTCTTATCTTTCTATATTATGACAACCACCCCTTATATTGAACACAAAATATAAATACACTATGGTACAGGCATAAGACTCGACCAAGCCATAAGTTGGTCGTAAGGGCAGCACCAGACAGATCCCTGGGCAACAACTCTGGCCACTTTCTCCGAGAACTCACAATTCTCTTTGGCGTTCCAGCCACGCGTTTCTCTGCTCGTGCGTCGGATGGACATCAACCCCCGAGAACTGTTTGATAACATCCTCGTTGGAGTACCTGGCCAGAGAGCCCGAATCATCCCTGAGTTCCTTAAGCTGCGGCTTGGGGATCGATCCCGAGTATAGCTTGACAGTCTCATCCAGCAACAGACGTATGCGCTGCATGGCTAGCACAGCGTCCTTTCCCGGGACAGAGTGCAAGCGCTGTCCAGGTGTAGGGCGTACTGGCTTAGTGGCCTTCATCGCCACGTCGAGAGTCTCGAAATGGGGACGCAACTGGGCGAGGGCAACCAGGCGCAACTTCACTTGTAGCTGCGTGGCGAGCTTCTGCAGGTCTGGCGTGGGGCCTGTGTCGACGTCGAGACCCTTCAAGCTCAGGAGGAGCTGTGCCTCTTCGGAAAGAATGGAGATCAAGCGGACGTAATTTTCGAGCACGCGTGCGTCGGGGAGGACATTGGCCTTGGCCATGAGCTCGAGCATCGTGTTGGCATGCAGGAGGACGGATACATTCTTTTTATCGCGAATACAGGTGGTGAAGGCGACGTGGAAGACTTTGCCGTTGGCGATGCCGGCAGGGACCATCTGCTCGCGCAGAACTTGAGCGGCGATTCTGCTGGACCGTGCGAGGCGCACGAGACGAAGGTACTGCATGCAGGACACTATGTCAGGCTCGATGTGGTGGGGGGTATCCTCCCGGGTCAAATAACGCCAGTAGCTATGCCCGCCGCCCAAGCCTTGCGTCATGTTAAGACAGGCTGTCAGGATGTGGGTGAGATCCTTGTTGGTTGGTTTGAGGGGGGATACGCTGCTCGAGACGATGGGTTCGAAGAGAGACTCGTCCATTTCTTCAACGCGTGACTGCTCTTCCGCGACGTCTAGTTTTCGGAGCTCTCGACCGTGTTCATTGTTCACGAATGGGATGTCTTCCTCCGACGCCTTTTCCTGGGGTTCACGAAGAAATTTCTCCGTAAATCTGAATCGATTGGCCCGTCGACGGGAAGAGTCGACAGTCACAGGCGGTTTGGCTTGCAGGATAGGAATATCCATTGTTTGATGGTACAGCTGTAAGACTTTGTACAAGTCGTTATCACTGGAACCATCTAGCAGCAGTTCGGCCATAGCGCCCACTGTGTGATTGTCGACCGACAGGGTACCTGCCTTCCAATGGGCAATGACATCAGACCAGATATATTCGGCCTCTCGAACAATGCGGGCCTTTCGGGCAAGAATCTTATTTGTGTCGTTGGGGTTTATTTCGTTGATATCGGCTATAGCGGAGGCTCGAATAGCTCTCAGGATAATGGTGTAAGTGGTCATATCTGGAGCTCTGTCTCCTGACTCCGGAAGCTCTTCAATAATGCGCCAAAGCATATCCATGTCGTTGTGACGTTCGCAGACTGTGAGCATGGCATTGGTGTGGATGATGTTGGGTCTCACCCCAGAGTTCTGGTTGAAGATGGACTTGTAGATCTTGTCGGCGTATTGGACAATTGTGCGTGAATCTGCACTTGAGGCTTCAACGAAGCCTTTGAGCAGGATCGTATAAGTTTTGGCGTTTGGTTTGCTGCCTGCCTTCTTCATCTGACCGGGTGAGAAAAAACGAAGGTGTCAGTCCTAGACAGAACTTGTGCAGGGCAAAAAAGAAGAGAAAAGGGCAGACTCACGTCATTGTAAAGCTTGAATACCGCCTTGGGGGTCATCTCGTGGAAGGCGCGCTGTAAGACATGGTTCCATGCGACATCGCACCCCATGCGTTCCCTAACACCGCGTTCCACAAGCTTCAACGCGAAATCGAAATCACCCGTCTGCAGAATAAGCGCGACTCGATTGGCAAAGTCCCTCGGATCCTTCAGCCATCTGAGTTCTTGAGCCAGAGCTTTGGAGGAGACGGCTCGAGTACGCAGTTTCAAGCCCGATGATTTTGCCCCGTCACCCTCTTCCTTCCGACGATTCGGCTTCTTCCACCCTTGTGTGTCTCCATAGCGGGGCGGAGCATTGCGGCCGTCGACGAGTCCATTCTTAAAGAGCCTTGAGTCCGAGGGATTTTGTCTGCCGAGCTTAACGGTAGAGGAGGAAAACAGTCGGGGGCTGTTGGTCGATAGCGAGATCGGTTTCAAGTGCCATGGAGCTGTGATTGTCTGCTGCCGACGCTGGTGCGCACCAATGACTCGACTGAGCGCAGCTCTGCTCCAGAACGACGCCGGCGAGCGAGTCGTCATCTCCCGCGGAGGTCCAGTGCGAGTGTCGCAGCGGCGAAAACCAGCGGATCCAAGGGTGTCGGGTCTCCGATCGTCCGAACGGCGGGGATATCGAGGTCAAGGGGAGCAGGTCACGACGGGAGTGAAGTCTAGAGTATTTCAACAATTGTCTGTTGCCCATAATTTCCATCGCGCCGAAATCTGGCTTGCGCTAGATCCACTCGGGTTAGATGTGGTGCCTCATCCTCCAGGCTTTAAGTAATACCTGAGGCAGCCACATCACGTGCCTGGGCTTATTGTGTTTCCCATCTCCATCAAACTAGCTAAATTCTGGCTCGATTTAGATCCCGCACTTGGTGCATGATATTCCCGTGGGTCGAGAAACGGGAGCGTATGTATGTACTTTTGGCCGAGAAATACGCACGTACGGCCGTCTTAATTTTACTTTTACAACACGAGGTGATATGCACACTACTGTAGGTACTAGGACGATTCCGATCCAAGCTAACTACGTACTACATACATAAAGTACAGACGTCACAAAGCCACGCTAAATAAGCGCGGGAACGCCAAACACTGGATCGCAACTGTGGGTGGAGCACAGACTAGGATCAGGCCGGCAGGGTCTAAAATAACTCTAAAGCAAAATTACAACCACGGCTTGTCAAGCGTGGCTGAGGCTGACACCCGTTACTAGTGCCAGGCTAAGATCACCAGACGTTAGTTAGTGGATGTACTACTATAGTAGTACGTAGCTAGAGGAGTAGGTATCTATGAGGTAGGTGGCGGTCCCAATGGGTAGGAACTATTGCGCACAATAACAGTATACCTTGTAGTGAGCTGTTATTATTCTGGCTTGGCTGTCTGCTAAATTTGGCGGTCCTACAAGCTCACCATAGTGAGCAATTTCTGTATACTTGAAGAGAAACCGCTTGAAAACAATGAGCTGCCGTTCATTGTGGTAAACATAACTATTGTCACGCGTTGTGGTTGTGGGATATGTACACCAGAGCAAGAGTACAGCATGAAGAGAGAACATTACACACCAGCCACCGGAAGCAAAGACACCAGAGGGAAATACAAATAGGTGGTGTCGAATCATGCACAAGAAAAAGCATTTGATAGGAAAAACAATAAGGCGAACCCACATTATCGCGTAATGTACGTTAAACAGAAAAGAGGCAGAAAGATAGGCAGGGCCCGGGGACGACCCCTGCACGGAACAATTCCATACACGAAGAAGAAAAGAAATAAGCAGAAGCAAAACATGAACAGCCCGACATTTTGGGAAGAATGCAGGAGAATAACCGAATGCAAAAATCCGCCGCCCACCCACCTTGGAAGGCACTGCCCCGGCAAACGAACACCCTGAGAAAAGGCAGCCGGATGCGCTCTAAGAAAAGAGGAAGGAGAATTCGCAGGAAAGAGGAACAACGTGTCAGGAAGAAGGGCCGGAGAGGGATTTAAAGCCACAAGGATTGGTATCATTGGTTGCAAAGACGTTGTTGAGGGTGTTAAGGATCCGCAGGGGGAAACAAAAGCAAAACATCAGACAGGGGATATCGTAATTAGGGGAGAAATGCAGGTTCCGCCCATAGCGTATGGTTCTCGATCAAAGGCAAGGAATTATTGCTGGTAGTTGGCCGTTTGAGTCTCTGGAAGCCGCAGCGAGCAATCAGCCGACCTGTCTGGGCGAATTTTGACCGCGAAGAAAAAGAGGAAATTCCATGTCGTCGGTCCTGACAAAGGGGGAAACATCGCGGCATTACTCACGTTGCTGGTACACGGGACCGCTCTGGTAGGGGGAGTGAGGGTAGTTGGGGGGATAGGGCATCTGTCCATTGCCCTGGTAGACCATTCCACCCGGGCCAGGACCGTACTGACTCGGGACAGGTTCACCGGCCGGCTGGTATCCGATGGGGGGAAGCTGGGGCCGCACACCACCGCCGTAGCTGGGCGGCGGGCCACCCTGAGAGGGGTCCGACGGGTTGGGACCGTCGACCTGGTTGGCCTGCGCAGCCTGGGCAGCGGCACGCTCACGCTCCTCGGCTGCCTTGCGCTGGGCCTCTTCCTCCTTCTTCCGGGCCTTCCACTCCTTGCGGATCTCCTTGAATTCTGTCACGAAAGTCAGCATATGGAACGACGTAGTGGAATGGACGCATTCGGTTAGCGGGGAATGGAGGCATGTTTAGTCCCATCTCTCCACGCTACTGCGGCCCGGCGCCCGAGTGTTAACTCAACTAGCGCCCGTACCTGCGCTAAGCCCGATATAGCGATTTGCGACAAGACTAGCTCTCCGCGATCGCGAATGCACGTCATGAAGAAAAAAAATATCAACATACCTTCTGGAGTGCGCTTGGCGCCGTGCGACTGCATCGTGACGTGCGCGTTCAGGTGGTTGAGAGTACCGTACGCCTTCTCACAGCCATTCCAGCCGCACTTGTACATGCGCTCAATCTCCTCATAGCGACGACGGGGCCGCTTGTGCTGTTGCGCACCAGGGATGGGAACGAAGGAGTAGACCTGTAGAGCATAAGAAAGTTAGCATCAGTTGACTCAGGGGCAAAATTCCGCCGAAGCGAATAGTAGGAAAACCGCTGTTTTCGACGATCCCTGGGTGGCCGACTTTTCTTCCTGGTCGAGTCCAGAGGCGTCCAAGACAACAGTAAAGTGATGCGAAGCCTTCGGAAACACACAGGGATCATCAAAAACATACCTGACCAGGGCCGCGCCCTGTGGTTGCAGTAGGGGAGGCGGAACCAACCGTTGTAGCAGGAGAGGCGTATGGGCCCGGCATGCCGTGCTGGTGCTGTCCATAACCATGCGGCCAGTCCGGGCGCGCGTACATCTGATGGGGAGGGGGCGGGTGGCCCTGATACTGCATTTCATGTCCCTGCGGCTGATAGGGAGAGTAGGGGGGAGGGTAGGCGTTGGGGCTGGAGGCCGCAATCGAGGGATCTATGGGAGCAGCGCCGTCAGACTTGTCATTCGAGGGACTGCGCAGGCCCGCAGGCATGGTGGACATGAACGGACTTGTTGCTTGAGCCATACCGGGAGCACCACCGGGCTGGGAGTTGGGCGCGTGGTGGTACTGCGGGCGAGCGAGGTAGTCCTGGTAGGCGGGCGAGCGCGCGGGTGGCGGCGGTGGATTCAGACCGTAGTCTGGTTGGGGAGTGTTGGAGGACGAAATATTGGCGGATCGCACCTCAGGCTGCGGCGTGTACTGCGCGTGGCGGACCTCCGGTTGTGGGGTGTAGGATTGATGAGCACTGGCAGCAGCAGAATCTGCGGCCGAATGTTCAGAAGGGGCGTGGTGGTTGTGGTCGACGGGCGGTGTTGGGTGCGAACCTGACTGTGCGTACTCGGGGGCGGGCCGGTGGTCCATAAAAGAGGGCGATTCGCGCGGCAGGTGCTACGAATCGAATCCGAGGTCCAGGATCACCCGCGTAGTCTGTTGCGACGCGTCGGAGAAACAAATCAGCCTTCTGTGGTGGCGTCGGGGAATTTGACGAGTCCAGAGATGGGTGGGAGGGAGAGAGGGATGCAAGGGAGATGGGACGCCACGTTTTGGTGAAGAAAAGGAGAGAATGTGTGAGATTGTGTGCGGGAAGTGTTGTGGTATGTGTTGTGATGATATGATGATACTCGGGAAGGCGACAAAGTCACAGGTACGTACCGATGGCTGTATGTACTTTGAACACAGCGGGTCTCTGAATGTTGATGTGCTGCTGTCCGATCGACGCGTTGTTGAGCCAAGCGCAAAGAGGAAAGGTAGAAAAGCAGAGAGAATCAAGATGCTTAAAATCTTAGTTTGGGGCGGGTTTGGTGGGTGGTGTGGCGCGGGGGAGGACGATGCACAGAGACAAGTTCGAACTAGTGTCGGGCCCTAGAGAAAAAGAATGGGAAGAGGCACGACTAAAAGAAGCTAAGGAAAAGGAGGAGAGAGCAGGGGAAAAAAAGGCCTCGTGGGATCCGAGGATAGTGGGCCGTACCGTATTATTACAGGATTGGCCCCTTTTCCGGTTCAGCTTAGCCGACGAAGTCGGGGAGGGGGTGTATTATTATTTACAGACAGAGGCGTTATCTAGTTTAGCTCCAACAGTGCTCTATATCATTACAAGGGATCTGTTGATTTTATCATGGGTATACCTAGAGGTGTTGATGCTGCTGGGAGCAACATCCGCTAGCGAAAAAAAGGAGTAGCGCAGGTCGGGGGAAGCAGAAGCGACCGGTGGAGCCGGAGCCGCTGGGTCGGCCTGCCTCGATCCGGTTTAGTGACCCATGAGGTGAGCGGTTGGAGCCGGTTTTCTGTTCCTAGTAGGTATCATTTCGAAAAAAGGCAAAAGACAAAAAGGCAACAAAAGAAATCGAGTCTGATAAGCATCGGCTCTCGCGTAATCCTGCACGAGTTATACGCCGTGTAACGGTGGGACCAGGAACACGGCGGTGGAGACAGAACAGAGAGAAAAAAGAAAGAGAGAGAGAGAGAACGCGAGACAGCGCTGCTTGCTCCACTATGGCGATTGAATACTCGCAGATTCTGCTACGGAGGACTCCGCCCTCCGTAGTGAATGCTTGATTTATTATTCATTGCATTGACACCCATTTACTCTCAGATCAAGAATCCAGATTGGATATCTGACCCTGACCGTGGTTCTGCCATCACCTGATAAGCAGTTAATTATAGTTGAGAAGGGCCCCAGCCCCTAAAGCGGAAAAGGGGCATCTTTGTTGACGGAATTACCGTGGAACGTGCACTCGCTTCACGACCGTCAATTGGCGGACTTTTCATACGCAGAACGAGCGGAGTTAGTCGGCGGCTCTCCGGTGCATGCAGCAACAGACAAAAAGAGAAAGAACGAAAGAAAAAAAGCGGGACTGGCCCAGTCTGATAGGAAGAACACGGAGATGCAGAGTAAACACACCCCTCCCACTGCTCGGAGAGACTCTCGGCCAGTGATTGGGCGGACGGGGCGGGCTGGCTCTCACCCCCGCGCGCAAGAGGGTGGAAACCCGTTCATCCACTGCCGGTGAGGAAAATAGTAAAGACGGATTGGATGTCCTCGATTCTTAGTCAGATATTACTGTTCTGTGGGTGAATAATAATGTCTCAATCATTGGTTAACAGGTATTGTTCAGGGGGTCGGACTTCTGTTCTGGTGGGATGGGCTTCCGCGGGACGAAGACCGAACATTTCGCCCAGCGCGGGATATCGGAGTTGAGAGCAGCCGGGATGATCGATATCAAAGGCATAAATCATACGGCGCGGCAGTCATGATTATTATTGGACGACATGTCATTTCGCAGTACAGTAATACAAGTATCTCCGGCGATCAACCCCAAAGGTGGCTCCAACTGTTTGTCCCCAGTTTTCATAATCTCGTCGACCCTGTCCACCACGGCGCTGGCGCCAGGGTAGGATGAGCGACTCGATCGAATCAGAGACCCCCAGATCTTGGCATCATGTCCACCTTCGGTTTCGAGCGCCTTCCTGACGTTACTTTCGTCTGTAGCCGGGAGTGTAGGCGAAACTGGTGCGTTTTCATATGCAGAATAATAGTAATAAATAAGGAGGGGGCGCTTTTCGCGGCTGCAACACTTAATTCGAATCCCGGCTCGATTGACGTGGTGTTTCCCTGAACATGATTGAAATTGAAGAGCGGCTCACACGTGGGTAGGGTTCGACAGCATTTTACCTTGTGACGGCGTCGCGCCGGAATGATTTCTGAAAGAAGCGGCGGATGATCAATTCTATCTTTTGCCCTTAGAGCCGAGCCGTATCGCAAGTTAAATTGCCTAGCCCACGGAAGACTCGGCGATCCCCCAGCTGTTTACTTACTTGGGGAGTTGCTTCATTTCCCCTAAGCTACTCGAATTGGGAGGCGGGGCGGCTCTCGGCAAAGCACAAGCTGTACACAGTCTGTCCGCGCCGTACAGTCTCACCGGATTCCCCTCAGGAGAGATACTACAATGATTCCAGCCCTCTTCTAACTAATCCATTTAATTCAAAGCTGCCAATTGCCCCGTGCACAGGCCAGGGTCTAACTAGCGCACGGCTCAAGAACCTCCGTCTTTCCCCTGACACCAGTCTCCACTGCACCGGGCCCGTGGTGGAAGGGCCAAATAATGGCCGCAGTTTGGACTACACCGTACACGGTAAGTCTAGTCTTACCCCCTGTCCCGCCGTCGGTAGATCGCGTCAAGCGATATTGGCCAACTCTGCTTTTCCGGAATCTCTGTGGACACTCCGTGCGGATAAGAGAACCTCAGGAGAAAGAAGGTGGGTTATTGTCGCTCTCTCCCCTCAATTGCATTCCCATGGTTCCGATAAAATACAACACACACCTCGGCTAGAGCTGAGTCAGGGGGGTCACAGCTCAGCAAAGGATTTGGGTGGGTAGGTGAAAGAAAAGAGTGTGTTAATCAGACCTCTTAGGGAGGAAAAAAAAAAAAAAAAAAAAAAAAAAAAAAAAAAGTGGCCGCCAGTGGAATTGGTGCGTTTTTTGCAGGGATCCAAATCCCGAGACAGGGGGGTCCTGTGGGTGTGGGTGAGCAGCCAAGCCCGGTACTCATCTCAACCTTCACTTTCAGCCAGCAATAAAGAATTTATCTGAAAGTTAAACCCGTCGCGTCAGCTGTTGCATGACTATTTTGTAAATGTGGCTTGTTTTTTCTCCGTTGACCAAAGTCAATTAAGATGAACCCGGGTGAGCAGGGAAATGCAATATCTATGACACCACCAAAAACAGGTCGTCAAAGACGCCTAAACAGTAAAACGATGCCAACAAACCCAACAACCAGCCGAGCTAGATAACTAGCGTCGCATTTTCCATGCGGCTTCTACGGCTGCTCTGTATGTACAGTACATAATCCGAGCCAAGACAAAGCAAGCATCCAGGGCCGAGGTGTCTTCGCTGAAAGGGGGAGGAGTTGCGCTATTGTGACAGGGGTGTGCATGCTAGCGCATCCTTCCTGGTGGCGGGTTCGCCTCCCGTTGGCCGCCATCGGAGGTCATCATGGCCTGGCAGGGAGGAGCGTGGTGACTTCCCCTCCGCTGCGTCGACGGGGATCTGGACCCTGGGATGGTGAGATGATGATTGGTATGGCGTGTTGGTTGCGTACGGGGCTTATGCGGGATGCACAGCCTTGCTCGGTACTGCACGATGATGCTTCGGGGAATTGTGTCCGGAGATGCAAGGTCGCTGGCTGATGGTTTTGGGAATGGATTTCTGTTTGCCTAGCGTGATTAGGCAGGAGTCAGCGGTGCAGTAAGTCTCATTTGCAATATTAATAAACAGTTACTCCACTTGGAGATTTATTGGGGTACGGGCTTGGAAGGGCTGTGTGGCAACGCATCAAAATATATCTTGAGATCATTTGCAGCTATAGCCAAGAGTACTGCACGTTTATATGTCCCCCATCAACTCCATATATTTAACTCCACTACAAAGCCTAGAAAAAGCAAAGAGATCACCCAAACCCACGATCAAGATCAAATAAGGTTATCCTACTCAGCACTAGGAGTCCTAGTTCAGCGTGACGCGAAACCGTCGTTAGAGGGAATCCACTAGCACCCACATGGTGTCGGACGGAGCCATTTAAGCATAAATCTTGACTTCTGAGCTATCGGGGGCCATGTATGAGCTAGAAAGACCCGGCGATTTTAGAGCACCGCAGATAATACGAGTCTAGCTCAGAGGCGGCATAGTCCGTGGACCAGAAACATACTTAGGCCAAGTTGGGCAAGGTTCGATCGACCGGGATCACAATGTATATCACACATACTATAGGCCACCATTGGCAAAGCCACAAACTAAACGGCCCTATACATTCCTCAAGATTATAATTTGAAGTACATAAGTCGCTGATAAAGATACCCCTTGGAATAAAGCCTGAATTAACTACTAGACATTTGTGGACATTCTCAGTGACTAGACGTAGGTATTATTTGCTGCTTTTCTCATACTCATCGAAAGCAAATCTGCATGCTAGATAAGATCATTGCGATGGACTGTACCAGTTTTTAAATCTATTTATTGGTGTAATCTGGTTGATCTGAGGTGCGTTCAATTACCTTATGACACATTTTTCGGTCAGATACCAGGGGAGGAAGACAGTCGTGCCGATAATCAGCTCCTAATTCTCGTCGACCTTATGCCTTTCATAGGAACACAACAATCAAATATTGAAAAGGCGGAAATGGGTTTAAAAGTTATGGAAAACTGCTAAATGATGATTTTACCTGCCTACGAGAGGGTAGGCGGTTAAAGTACTGTTGTCGACAATCAGGCCTCCATGCTACAACAGCCTCTGGAACTGTCTATCATTCTTCTAATTACATTATATACCAAACAAAACAAGACAACGGCAGAAGATGGCCAGTAATGGCTGCAAGTGAGGCCTTTTTTGGCCGCCATCTGCCAATTTTTTCCCCCCCCAACGCGACAGCTGCCTCCACGACCTCAGCGCGCCGCAGCAGTTTGGTCCGCGAGTAACAAAGTTGAATTGGAATCTAAGTGAAAGCAAGCGAAGTTCACGTTGCATAAGTGCATACAGTATGGGTCCTGCTTAACGAAGACTAATTACTACGAATGATCACTACCTTGTCTTTTGATTCAAGTTCAGTCCCCTGATGTAAACCAATCGTCTCCTAGTAGTTCATGTGCAGTAGGCCGGTCTCTTGGATCAAGCTTCATGACCCTAAGCAAAGCCTCCTTGTCTTCATCGCTATATCCCTGAGGTCGTAAGATGAAAAGGTCACATAGTGTCCGGAGGACAGTTTTGCATGACCCAAATCAGAACTGCTCGTCGCTCTTGGTTTACTATCTCATCGTATGAAGCGGGGAACGGTCCAAAACACCGGTGATGTACAACAACCCTAGCCGAATTCCGTCATCTAGGATTGTTGTACAAGATAGGAGGCGGGTAAGGCCGCCCTGACTACGTGCATTGATCCCAAGCGGGACTAGACGGTGCGAGTATGCTTCACGGCCGCCGCCCAGCGCCTGTTCGACTCTGTTCGCCTCTAGGCATGAGTAGGACAAGGCACCCAAAAAAGAAAAACTTCTCACATGAAAAATGCGAGAAAGCAAACCGAGGGGAAAAAATATATAGATCTCCAACCCTGTTGGATGTAGACGGATAAATTGATTCCGTTGCTCTGCACAATTACCCCGGATCTGATCCTCCCTGCGGGGTATACCTGAAGCGATCCCTGTTCAGGATCTATATAGTGCAAGAATCGGCACCCTTTCGCCCGAACACGATGAATACAACATCTATTAAGATGTATACATTGCCTTGAGTCATTCACATCATTACTGACCATGGCTTGCCTCCTCGCGCTCGTCGCTAGCATCACCCTAGCTACTGCTTTGCCCTCAACACACGGATTTGACTGGGCTTCCACAAAGGCGCTGTCCGTACTCCAAATCATTGACATAATATCTCACTGAGTGTTCTAACACACATACTCAGACTTGCATTCGGCGATTCGTACACCTATGTCCAGGGTACGCACGGCCACCAGAACTTCAGCTTCATTGGCGATCTCTTCAACTACGCCTACGATGCACAGACTCTTTTCTCGGACATGATTGTCCAAAACCAGGTCAGTAGGGACAGACAAGCCACCAAAGTAGGATTAACTCAAAAAACAATTTAGACTGGCACAGCAGAAGGCGGCCCAAACTGGATCGAACATCTCACAGGCTGCGGCCTCGAAGAAGGCCACACCTCGCCAAGCAGCTGTGAACGAGAACTATGGGACTTTGCCTTTGCAGGGGCAGATATCTCAGAGAAGTAGTGCGTCGTTCTCCCTACCTCTCTCTATACACACATCCAGCGACATCCCTTCCCTTCCCTTCCCAAACATAATGGTTAACCAACCACCACAGCACACCGCGCCACCACAACTTCACCGTCTCCCTCGAAGAGCAAGTCATGCAGTACATAGAGTACGGCCATAAGCCCCTCTCGGGCAGACTCTCAACCCACGAAACCCTCGTAGCAATCTGGATCGGAATCAACGACGTGGGCGATAGCGCACATTACACGACGGTAGACTATTTCCCGACATTCTACAACGCCCTCATGACAACGCTCTTCGAGTCCGTGGACAAACTATACGGTCTAGGATTCCGCTCATATCTATTCTTCAATCTTCCGCCTATGGACCGTGACCCGTCGAATCTGGTGTCCAGCAACCCAAACCCCAATATCACCCAGGTGGAATGGTACAATGCCGCGGTGGCTCAGCATGCAGAGTCCTTTGGAAAGAAGTATGCTGATACGAACGTGATGCTGTTTGATGCGCATGCGAGATTGAGTGCTATCTTGGACGATCCTGCTCCCTATGGGATTGTGAATACGACCAATTTTTGCGCTGGGTATGACCAGCCAGATATCTATACGAATTATCGGAGCTATGGATGTCCGACGCCGTTGGATACCTATTTCTGGTATAATTCGGGGCATATGACGAGCCATGTGCATGCTATCCTGGCTCGGGAGTTGGGGGAGTGGTTGGAGGAACAGAAGTAGGGTGGTTGAATTAGGACAGGCAAAGTAAGATCTATGTTACGGAAACGCAATCAATGATGATCTCGATTATGGACACAGCACTAAAAGAACATAACAAAAACTCCAGAGGGAGATCCCCGAGTCCCAAACTTTTGCAAAGTGCAGCAAACATCGATCAACATGGTTGGAAAGTCTTCCGAGAAGCCACTCTAGAGTCGATTTGGAAAAGCTGTAGTGAAGAAAGATCCGGAACGATGGAGGTGGCTCCAGAGGGAGTTCCCAGGAAGAAAGCGGATAAAAGAGAAGGAGTAAAACTGTCTATTAAGTGACTTTGAACATAAAACGCCGATCCATACCGAGGTTACGCAGAGAATCGAGAAAAGAGGTCTACCGATGTGGTGTGCCGAGACAATACAAGCTCAATGACTGACTACACTGAGCAGCAGCAGCGGTGGCGCGCGGGATTTACCAGCGACGGTTGCCGCCCAGAGGCGCAGCGTTGGATTGGGTGAAGCCGCCGCCACCACGGCCACGGCCACCCCAACCGCCACGGCCTCGGCCACCACCCCAGCGACCACCACCGCCGCCGCCGCTGTAGCGGACCATCTCGGCGAGACGGGGGTCGATCTGCTGCTTGGCCTCAGTGAGAATAGTGACCAAGTCACGAGCCTGCTTAGAGTCTGTACAAATGGAAAGTCAGATATCGATGCTTCAAATCATGGGGAAGATACATACTGTCAGTGGTGAAGAAGGTGATGGCGGTACCCTTGGCACCGGCACGACCAGTACGGCCGATACGGTGGACATAGTCCTCCGAGTTGTTGGGGTAGTCATAGTTGAGGACGTGAGTAATGTCGCGGACATCTTGAAAAGACAAGGGCAATGTTAGCAAACAACGTATTAGTGGAAAAAGCAACGTGGCCATGAAGGGCCCTTTCTTGAGTCATGCAGGACTTGGGTGCATCACTGCTCTCTTCGTGGACGGACTTCTTGATGAAAATCCGGGGAAGCGAAGTCCATAGGAATGTGGCAATAGATCGCGGTCCTGGAGCAACCTTGGCAAATGCAGTTTCAACAGCTCAAACAACGTTGAGAACATGAGACTCCAACTCTCTACGAGTGTCTGCGACAAAGACAAGAGTGGGAGAATACTGGCCAGTCAGGACTGTCTGCTGCTACTGCACTGTGAGTCCAAGGTTCTCCTGGCTTGAGAACCATTTGAGATGACCAGATGCTGCGCCTGGACGAGTCGTGTTTCACCAACATGCTTCGAGAGAGTTGAACACCGTGCCATAATGTCACACAACACCAACACAGGTAAGTGTTTCGAAAGGCCCCAACAGGGGAGGGGAGAAGGGGGGAGGGGGGTTTGCAGTTTGATCATACCGATACCACGGGAAGCCACATCGGTAGCCACCATGATTGGGCTCTTGCCCTGCTTGAACTCGTTCAACACCCAATCTCTCTCGTTCTGCTGCTTGTCGCCGTGGATGGCTGGGAAACAACGTTAGCAATGCGTGTTTAAGAAATGGGGAATAAAAGCACTTACAGAGGGCGGGCCATCCGTCCTGACGGAGGAAACGAGTGATCTCGTCAGCGATACGCTTGGTACCCGTGAAGATCAGGACCTTGCTGCCCTTGTTCTCCATGATCTTCTCGAGGTGCTTGATCATCTTATCGCGTTTCTCAAAGTCCGACACGACCTCAACAATTTGGGTGATGCGGTGGTTAGCAGACAGGTCCATGGAACCAATGTTGACCTGGATGTAGTCATTCAGGAAGTCCGAAGCAAGCTGACGGACCTCCTTGGGCCAGGTAGCAGACCACATGCAAGTCTGACGGTCAGGGCGAATCTGTCCGATGATCTTGCGGATCTGAGGCTCGAAACCCATGTCAAGCATGCGGTCGGCCTCGTCGAGCACGAGGTAAGTGACACGGCGAAGGTTGGTGCGACCAGCCTCCAGCATGTCAATCAGACGACCGGGGGTGGCAATGCAAACCTCGACACCACGGGACAGGTCGCGAATTTGAGGGCCCTTGGGGACACCACCGTAAACGCAAGTGTTGCGAATACGAGAAGACTTGCCGAACTTGGTGATCTCAGTCTGAATCTGGACCGCCAGCTCACGGGTCGGAGCAAGCACAAGGACGATGGGGCCATCACCGGGGGCAAGAAGGGGCTGCGCGTTGATGTGAACAATCGCGGGAAGACAGTAGGTCAGGGTCTTTCCAGAACCAGTTTCGGCGATACCGACGACATCACGACCAGAGAGAGCCATGGGCCAGCCCTGTGCCTGAATGGAAGTCGGTTTCTCGAAGCCCTGGGACTTGACTTCCGACAGCACGTACTGGGGGAAGCCAGCCTCGTCGAAGGTCTCGACGGGGCGAGGAACATTGCTGCCCTGAACAGCCATCTGATGCGACTTGCGGAATTCATCAACCTCGGCCTCCGATCGGTCGGTAACATCCGGGTGCTCCTTGTAGAAGGACTTCTCGAACTTCGGGAGGGCGTTCATGTCTGGTAAATTGGTAGTTAGTATGAGTGATTAAGAAAAATGCACTAAAGAGTCGGCGACTTACCCCAATCCTGCTTCTTCAGGCCAGCGCCCAGGTTGGACATGCGGTCACCACCAGCACCGCCGCCAAAACCACCACCGCGGCCGCCGCCGTAGCCACCACCGTAGCCGCCACCACCGTAGCCACCGCCATTCTGATAACCGTCATCGTAACCTCCACGAGAGCTGCATAGCGAGTAGTTAGCACAAAATTCCTGGAACTGTTGGTGTTTGTGGACGGGTTTGTGATGGGACGTGAGCGCCCGCAGGAGTGCTTCCGAGCGCAACGCCACCCAAGCGTTCGCACTCGATGTTTTCGCCCAAACATATCGCAAAGATGCGAAAAGAGGAGGAACAGAAGCAAACTAAGAGATAATTCTCTCTCAAGAGAGTAAACTTACCGGTAGGAGTCGTTGCCGCCGCGCGAGTATCCGCCACCGTACGACATAATGAAGCCCGGTGTTTTTTTGGGGGAAAAAAAGGGAATAAGGGAGGAGAAAGAGTGTCAGATGAAGAGAAGACGGAGATAAAGAGAAGCCGTCAGTGAAGTCAAACCCAGAAGAATCTGACAAGAGAGACGGATCAAGAAAAAGAGAGGATGGAGGATGGAGAGAAGAGAAAGAAGGAAAGGCTCAGCCAGGGGAGAAGGAGCGGCAAAAAAAAGTCGAACCTCCCGATCTGGACTAGCGAATCAATTTTCTCTGGTCCAGACCACGTGACTCGGGTCCGGACTCCGAGTGGCAAATTATTGCACTAAGAACTATTATTATTCTTTGCCCAGTCCCATATCCCAGAAGCTGATCTCCAGCTCAGTCGCTCGCACAAAGATCTGAATCAGCTCCTCCATCCGGCTAGGCGACACTTTGGACATGTGCTCCTCCAACAACGCTGACCCCAATTGTACGGCTTGCGTATAGTCCTCCGCGACGTAGTTCTCAATCCATTTCCAGTACTGGTTACCCTGGCGTAGGGTCTTTTCTTCGCCGTGGAGCCGGCGTGCAATAGTGCTATAACCGATCAGGCATGGTGCGAGAGCCATCTGCAGTGCGAGCCAGTCGTCGGATTGTCCGACGTCCAGAATGTATCTGCTGTACGCAGTGCATGCTATAGAAGTTTTAGTATGGAAAGATTACAAATATAAAAAATCCTTAGGAACGAAAGGAACATACCGATTCTTTCGGGGTGATTTTCCATCTCCTGCTTTGTGAGGCCGAAAGAAGCACAGTACTCTAGATGTAAGGCCATCTCCCGTTCGATATGGAGCACGATTCGGGCGGACTGGATCGGTTGAATCAGATATGCCATGAACACGAAATTCCAAGGAAACTTACAGCAGATATTGACTCCATGCTCTTCGCTTTGTAAGCTGCCAATGCGTTGCTCCGCGCAAATTGGACCTAAATAATCTATCAATAATCTGTCGTGCCACGCAGACTTTATACTTACCAGGTAGAGATAGTCTTGCACGAGATATTCTTTGAACCGTTCAATCGGAAGCGAGCCCTGGCCCATGCCATCCACAAAGTCATGATACGTGAATCTCTCCCACACCGGCTTGACATCCGGACGATCCAAAATGTATTCAAGGAATCCTCCACTAAAGTGCCTTGGTCAGTATAGGTCGTGCCAATCACTGGAGCAAGTATCACATACGGCGCAAAGGGCATGGTATAGACGGAATGAAAATGGTTAATTGGACCACTTCCACTGCCCAAGTCAGTGCTGGTCTTGATACCAGCCTCAACAAACCGCACGGCACTGCGAACGGCTCTTGCCATGTCCTTCCCTTGTGCCAAATTCGCGGCGATAGCAGAAGCAAGCGAGCAGCCTGTTCCATGGGTATTCTTTGAGACCAAGTACTCTGTCTCGAGCAAAGTGACGTTCTCTCCGTCAAAGAGGACATCTACGACAATCGTCGCTTCTTGTGGGCTTTGAGCCTTTTTGTACTCTTTCGTGAGAGCAAGATGGCCACCCTTGAGCAGGACAGCCTTTGGACCGAGGGAGCATACTTTCTTCGCGAGCAAAACCAGCCCTTCAAGGTTCTCGGGTTCGGGAGCATCTGCTCCGGCGTCTTTCAGTAGGAGTTGAGCTTCGGGTATGTTCGGGGTTAGGATAGTGGTGATGGGAAGCAGTTTTGTTCGGAGTTCCTTGACTGCCTTCTCTGGCAGCAGTTTGGATCCGCTCGTCGATACCATGACCGGATCCAGAACGACAAAGGGGACGTGATAAATTGGAAGGGTTTCTGCAATGACATCAATGGTCTCCGCAGATGAGAGCATGCCTGATAAACACACACATTAGACATGGGTGGACAGCAACTCTAGAGCGACTGACCTAGTTTCACAACATCGGCACCGACATCTTCCAGACCAGCCTTGATCTGCTTCCTCACAAACTCCGAGGGTACAACAAAGATGTCTTGCACGCCCAGTGTGTTTTGTGCAGTCAGTCCCGTCGTGGCTGTGAGCGCATAGCAGCCATGGGCCGCAAGGACCCTCTGGTCAGCCTCCAGGCCACTAAAAAATGTGATCAGTTCAATTTTTTTGGTTTGTTTATATCATTGATGCCGGCATTATTGGCGAATGGCCCTGTGGGGACATCCAATCGAGCGAAATCGGATGCCACTTTTTTTTTCTGCTCCGGCGGGATGAGGATTGGGGGATGAACTTACGCGCCACCAGAACTGTCCGACCCAGCAATGACCAGGACCCGCTTCGGAGGCATGGCAGATTCAACAGGCTGGTTGAACTGTCAAATTCTGGATATGGTTGGGTCGACGCGTCGAGGCTGCTCGGAGCTGGTGAAGTGAAGAAGTGGCGGGGCCGGGAGTCGATAAGATCGATAAGGGCCTGCAGGCTTCATTCAGCATTCATCCTACGAGTATGATGAGTACAAAGGTACTACAGGTTGAGTGATGCAATGAACAGATTGATTGATTTCTCCAAAATTATGAAAACCCCAAGTCCTGAATATTTACAATTCCAAGGTCGTACGCCGAGCCATTCATTTACTGTAACATGAAGCGGAACAGACCGTCCATCTCCACCCATTGCCGGCCACATTTCTTCAAGTAGCCATCAGCGACAGTCTTGATCGTACCGAATCGCGTGCGGTTGAACTCGACCAGAGCAGCCAGGCTGTCCTTCTTCTCGCCGGATTCCTTCGCCGCCGCAGCCTTGGCCTTGTCCACATCCCAGAGGCCGGCAAAGTACAGAAGCTGGCTGTACATCTGCTTCTCAGAGTACTCGTACGACATCCGACCGAGACAACCCTCGGCACGCCCGCGGGGGCCGAGACACCGGTGCCCGTACACGCTGATCTGCCGCGTGCGGTTGCCACATGCGGAATCGTCGCAAGTCAGCCAGCCTTCGTAGTACCGGGCGGTTTGTTCGCGGATTTGGCTTTCGAGCTGTGCGATGATGGTCAGGACCGCAAATGGTTTCTGGCAGCTCTCGTTGGAACAGATGATCCCTTGCGGCGAGCACATATGTGACGACTCCACAAGTCCCTCGAACACGGATTGCTCCTTGCAGAAGCGGCAGCGCAAGGTCAGTCGTGCAGAGTTGGCGAAGCGGACAGAGTCCGGGATCTGCGACTCAAGTGGGAAGATCTCACTGTTTTGCTGGTTGCTCGTGGTGGATGTGTTGATCTGGTACTTGCGAACATCGAGACCCAAGCACTCGGCCAGGCGGACAGCGTCAGTGCCGGGAATTGGAGCACAGAGACGCTCAATGGGAGGGAAGATCTGTTTGAGCAGGTAGAACTCCACATCTGGTTTGAGGCCGGAGTCCTGCTTCAGTACGTCTTGTGGGCTGTAGGATCGCTTGGCCGGCGGTAGAGATGAGGTTTCCGAGTCACCGGTCGTCACGATGTACGAAATGACATCGTTCGGCCGGATATTCTTGCCTCGGGCAATGTCACGAAGCGCAACCTGCGCCGGCGGCATGCTCTCCTTGTTAGGGTATTCTTCGGGCCGCTTGGAGAGTTTCTATCAAATCAAAGTATTAGCAAGTATTTCTTTGGGACAGAGGGTCCGATATACCGTGTAGATGACATATTTCTGCATAGGAATCGCGTATTCCTTCATCTTGCACGCAAGCTCGCGCAGGTAGTCGTGGACCTTGTTGAGGACGATTTCTTGATCCTCGCCGGACAAGACCTCGTTGAGAAGCCTTGACGACACCTCCTTCGAAAGAGCACAGTATTCACGTCGCTTCATGTCAAGACCCTTAACCTCCAGTTTCTCAACGTACTTGCCATCCACCTCGGTCAGGTTAATGGCAGCGTACTTCTTCTTGGCATGTAACAGCAGTCGACGGAAGACATTGTCAATGTCAATTTCCAGCAGTCGGTACTGTTCGTTGACCAACTTTTTGAACTCATCACCAACCTTGAGAGCGTCACTGATGGTGTCCATGTTGGTATTGATCATGACGGAATCAGTATCACCGTAGATGACTCTCAGCTGCTTGCTTTCTGCCAGATCCTTGGTGCTTCTCAAAATCTCACGTCCCTTGAAAGTGGTGAGCATGGCCAGGGGTCGGGCATAGAAGCGACTCTGAGTGTATCCCAAACATCCATACATGGAGTTAGCAGTCAGCTTGAAGGCCAGTTGCTTCGTATCCCACAGAGCAAGTTGCTCAGGAGTGGCACGCTTGTCCTTCATCAACTTCTTCACTTCGCGCCGACGGCCGACCAAAGTCGCAATTAGACGAGGCAGGACGCCCTGCTCTGCATCAGACGAGGGAACATCGGGCACCTTTTCTTCGTTCTCATTCTCGGACTAAAAGGGAGTAATGTTAGATCGGGTCTAAACAACAAATGAAAGGACACCTACCGTGGCTGTTCGATCCACAGTCGTAAAGCAGATATTAAACTCCTGGATGATGCTGGGATACAAACTGTTGAAATCCATGACCAGGATGAAGCGGTCGTAAAGACCTTTCTCTGGCTCGAAGACGAGACCACCTTTGTACTTGTCTTTCTTCTTCTTGTCGACCGATTCGTCGTCATCGCCTTCCAACATCTTCTCCTCTTGCTTCTGCAGGCGAGAGGAGTATTTGTCCGGACAGATATACTTATTCCGATGGAACTCGTGCAACAGAATGTACTCGTTACGCTCGGCGCGAGTGCCGCTGAGTGTGCGTGCCCAGGAGTTTCCGGCAATGTTAGTGAGGACCTTCGTGAGAGGCAACATTTGCAGGCGGAGAACCAGGGCAGCAATGAAGTATGTGTCTGTATCGCAGTGGTTGACGAAATTCATAAGACCCTCCTTGGTGGTTGCCCACGACTTCAATGCGGCTTCGACGTCCAACTCCTGACGCGCGTTGCCCTCGCCGAGATAAAGTTGACACATCTCTGTCAGACTCCACGATTGACATTTCATCATGAGGGACTATCTGAGATTAGCTTTGTTGTTGCAATTGAGGGAGAAAAGCATACCTTGCCCATATCGTTGCCGACATCACAGAGCAGTCGCCCGGCAATCAGCTGCCTCTCCGCAAAGAAACCACCACCCCTATTGAAGTTTTTGGGCCAATCTCCTCGCTTGAGTCGACCGATACGATGCCATCCAGGGGTCTTCTTCTCGCGCATCCGGTTCAGAAGAATACTGAGATCGACATCCTGCAGCTGGTGACCCATGATAACATCAGGGTCCATTCTCTCGAACAACGCCAAGAATTTGCTGAGCAGGAATTGTTCGCTCTTTTCCAACATGAAAGTGCCTCGCTGCTTCCGCGTCTCAGCTTCAAAATGCATCGGGTAAGATGCGCCCGAGGGACGCATGACAGTGAAGGTCTTGCAAGGCAGTTTCTCGGGAGGAGTAGTGTCAGTCAAAGAAACATTCTCGTACACTCTGGCACTCGCCACCAAGATCTCCTGCTTGTTATCCTTGACGTTGAGTTGAGTTCGGAAGGAAAGACTCATGAGGGTCAAGGGTGGAGCGTCCAGGTTCTCAGTGTCGGGAGCCGGGCTGATGAGCGCTGGCTTGGCCGCCTGGCACTCGAACTTGCACCAGGATGCATTATTGACCGCCGAGAAGTCGGCCTCGTCGATTCTGAGCCAGCAGGGGCCCATGATGTTCTTCCAGAGAACAAACTGCTCAAACAGAGAGGTGTTGGTGCCAAAGACATTCGAGAACGTCTCGCCCTTAACGTCCATGGGCAGCGCAGGCTTGTCGTAGGGATATAACATCTTGAGGTATTCCGCTTCCTTGGGGACGCCGGGCATCTCAAAGGCGTATTTGCGCGTACAGGGCTTGATCTTGTGCATGCCAACTCGCATCTTCGTCATCATCTCGTCAACCTCCTGGTAGACGTCTTGCATGTCAACCTCATCATCGGTCTGTCTTCCATGCTTGTACCGATGCTCCCGAGGAAGGAAATACAGCTTTCGCAGAATATTGTCGACTTTGACGAAAGCACTAGCGTAGGAGCCGTTCTGCTTGTTCTTCACCTTTCCAAACAGACACAGGCTTCCGTTGACCTCGGTATAATCCAGCCAAAACATACGTAGGCTGCCATCTTCTTCGACGACATCCTGAGCGCGCAGTTTGCCAAAGCTATGCATTTCCTTGGTCGGGCTGCTGAGAACGTTCAACTTGCTCCTGACATCGTTCCAGGAAGCATCCATGACCTCCGGCAATGCTTTGACCGGGGAAGAGCTTGCTGGCGTCGGAAGAGTCTCCTTCTTGAGTTTTGGAGGTGGCCGACTCCCCGTCATGTTAACATTCGCGGCCTTGGACTCAGAAACCGTGGCTTCCGCAACATCCATCAGGTCGGTGTCTTCCTCCTCAGATTCTTCGGCCTTGATCTTCATAGCACTTTTGCGTTCCGCTGCCTTGCTGATTGGTGACGAGGGCATGGGGTTGTCGCTCATAGGAACATCTTCATCGTCCATCATGGGCAGCGGGCCGTCGTCGAAGTCTTCCGAGGGAAGCGTGGGTTGGTCCTTGATGGGAGAGCTAGGCATTTCGTTTTCCTTTGGCGTGATTTTCTCCCGGCGCCGCCTTTCGGACAAGGGTGGGGAGAGAACTCGGACTTTGCGTCGCGCCTCCGACTTGACAATGTTTCGTGTCGGGGCGTGGTTCGATACGACATTGGTGTCAACTTCATCGAGTAGGCCGGCCAAGAACGCCTTGTCATCGGCGTTGGCAACGGGCTGTGCACAGTGTCAGGCCGGTTGAATTTCGCGGGAAAAGACAGCGACTCACCTTGGGCTTAGGAGCGGCTGCAGCGCCATGGCCTTTGTTGAAGTAGTTGGTAATACCGTTGTTCATCTTCTCCTTCCGCTGTTCCTCCTCCGCGCGTTTCCGTTTGGCATTTTTGCCTCGAGCGGGCAATTCGTCGCTCTCGTCGCTGTCGTACTCCACGGTGTTTTCGTTCCATACTTCCCGGCCGTCGTCCGCGTAGCCGGCTCCATTGTCATCGACAACAAAGTCATCCTGGTCGAGACGATCTCGGATGATCTTCTTGTAGCCCTCGTCGTCGACTTCTTCGTAGATGTCGTCCTGTTCCTCGGGCTGCCAGGTCGAACCGCTCTTCTTTCCGGACTTGCGGAGAGCGACAAGCTGTTCGAGCTTGGCCCGACGGGCAGCAGCAGACATGGTGGATTGAATACTCGTTGGAGTGTAACAGAGGGATGTCTGGGCCAGTGGCTTCGACTGTTCTGTGGGGGGGAAACAGAAGGGGCACCATCGACGCGCATCACCGCGCACCACCGCGCACCCGTGTCTCGGACGCGACTAAAGTGCCTTAGTCAGCCGTTGGTGCCTCAGGCACAATTACACAAAGCCCTAAGTCAATACAACCACCATCAGACACCATCCTCTTGCCATTTATTCTGCACAGCTACTGTGCGGAAATGCGAATCTCAAAAAATCATCATAACATTCACCACAATTGTCAGGTCCAACTATGAGCCTGATCCCTCAGAGAGCAAGGCTAACCTTGATTTGATGGACAGAATAATTCTACGTCTTTGCTATTTGCAACAGATTCGTCCATCGGCAGCGTCATGTACTTTGGGAGCTTCAAAAGAGGGACTTCACTTAGCCTAATTGATGTCTAATATATGGAATAGTGAATCTCGTGCAGGCTACTTTAAGATCTATGGATGAGCGTGGCTATTTCGCGTCGGTTTCTGCTTGCTTGATAATGCTAGATAATAAAATGGTGATGTTGATATTGGGCCACCGACCTCCGCGCGTGTCTTTGGTACTGATATTTTTTGTTTGGCCTTCCTTTTCGGTGCTCTCCATCGCTTCCACTTTCTTCCTCCTTCCCATCCGATCCCATTCCTATCCCAAACCCCTTTGATCCTCTCCGCGTTTCTTTCTGTCGCTCACTACACCTTTCTTCTTTCCAAGCTCGCGCTTTATCTTTTCATTTAAGCAGTCACTATGACACAAGCTGGGAATGGGGCTGCTGGACCCTCTTTTGGGCCCTCTGCGGGTCCCTCCGTCTCCTCTGGCAAAGAGCCAACAGTAAGTATCCCGCTTTGATCATACAGTACCAGTCGCACGCAGCTAACGACGACTAGTTCAGTCTTCAGGAATTTGAGGATCTCGTGAATATTCCCAAGTCTGAGTACGAGGAACTGGTAGGTTATCTGATACTCTGCCGCAGCGCGTTCCACAAGCTGATATCAAAACTCGCATAAACAGCTCAAAGCATCCGCTGAACTTGGTCCGTCCTTGCGATCATATTTAGAACCCCGATCTAATACATACTTTCTAGACCACCTGAAAATGCTCCTTGCTGAGAAACGGGTCAAAGTGAGCATCGTCTTTCCTCTTCAATAATATACCCCACATTAACCCAGCAAACGGTAGGGCGTGGTCCAAACCGCTGGGGTTTACTCTAGCTCTTCCCAGAACAACAAGGGCAGCGACAGCAGCAACTCCCTGTCGATTCCAGCTCCCCGCCGCAAGCAGGACTACTCCAAGGATGAGGAGCAAAGCCCTCAGAATGACAGCGACAACAAGCCAGACACCCATTATTCTACTGTTGGCGCTGACTCCGGCGCTGAACATCGAGGACATGAACTTGTGGGTGACCACAGACGCAATGACGACAGTGAGCCATGCACGATCGCGCTCCGCATCCCGAACGGTGCCACGCATGCCGATATCATTAATGCGGTCCGCGGGGGTCTGCTCATGGACATTCACCTTCTGCCTCACCGGCATGCGTGCTTTGTCACTTTCATGAATCACGGTGATGCAGAGAACTTCATGGCATATTGCCAGTCGCACGCCTTCTATGTTTCCCGTCGCTCTGTAAGTATCCGTCCCACCCTATACCCTATGGTCAACGCCATCCCACACCGCACTCACACCCGTAATATAGACTCCCGTTGGCTGGGCCGGCCGTCAGTGGTGGCCCGGCCAGTACGCAATGAAGCGAGCCAAGGAAGGCACCGCGTCGCGCAACCTTGTTATCTACAACATCAACCAGCGACCAGCCATAACCGAAGACATGATCCGGCACGATCTGTACCACATCCACAACATGGTAGTCATCTACGTGCAATTCTCCGAGGGAAATGCCTACCTCAGCACCAACAGCGTGAGCAATGCGCTCTACGCTCGCACTTGCATGCTTTCCCGCACCATGTACCGTGGCCTGCAGATCGGCTTCTACCCAGACGAATGTGACGGCGATATCGACGATATGGACGACTCGGCACCCCCTTACACTCTGCCTCCCGTGGAGAAGGATGCCAAGGTCTACAACCCTTATGATGTGCTTTCAGTTGAGGGAGTTGAGGATGAGGATGAGGGGAATCAGGGCAGTGTGGAGGATAATGAGGATGAAGAGCTAGAGCCGTATTAGGGGTGGATGTTTGTTTGTTCGATCTGTGGGGTGAGAGGTTCTTTGGTGGTTGAGCTCGGTTCAGAGGGAATTATGTACATGTACGGTTCTATGAATGTATGACTGAAATGTTTGCCATCAACGGCTATGTAGAGATAGATATCGGCTTCGTACTACGACTTGAGAGCATCTAGCCAGCATGTCAAGGATCGGCATGGCAAGCATCAAGCTGAACACTGCAATACCGCAACAAAGTCTACATGTCCTACTCCCGGTCCATACTACATCCAGTCACAACGTGTGGAGCACGCAGACGGACTGCGTCTTGCTGAACAATGAAAAACCCGTGTTATTTGAGCAGATTTTCCTGGCCTATGCTAGGTAATTTTTATCCAGCCATTCAAGGACAGCGCCAGTGAAAGAACATAGGATATGCGTTCCCCCCTCTGACAGGGTCAAGGGATGTCCTCAACTCAGGTCCTTTCTCATCGCAGCGGGTAAACCACCACCACCCGCATTCATATTCATCTCCTACCACACACAAGACACCATGCACCCAGTCCACCAAGAAGTCAACGGAAACAAAGTCGTAAGAGGTTGATATGCAGACAGTGCCATATACTCCGTAATCCCGCCGTTCCTTTTTCTCTCTAATAAAAAAAAGAGAAAAAGATTTAACGGTAAGACTTCTGGTAACGGGCACGGGCACCACGACCACCGAACTTCTTGGGCTCTGCGCGGCGGTTATCGGCAACCAGGAGCGCCCGGTCGTACTGGACGAAAGCCTGCTTGAGCTGGTTCTTGGAGTGCTCGTCGACGTACTTCTGGTAGTAGGCGACAATAGACTTGGCGATGGCCTGGCGGATGGCGTAGACCTGCGAGGTGTGACCACCACCGGAGACGCGGACGCGGATGTCGACACCGGCGAACTTGTCGACGCCGACGATCAGGAGGGGCTCGTAGACCTGTGGACAGAGGGTCAGATTTTTTGCTAGGTCTGAAGTTTTTTTATCGGATGTCGTACCTTGAAGCGGAGGATCTCAGGCTGCACCAGAGAGAGGGGCTGGCCGTTGACCTTGACGAGGCCCTTGCCTTGCTGTAAGAGAAAGAAGTCTCAGCCATGTGTTTCTTTTGTTCGTGGTGTGTGTCCATCCAGTGCGCAAATTTCCATCTCAATCCAACCACCCGACACTTCGCCAATTGTGCGATATTCCTACATGCCAAATTTTTTTTCCATTTCTCTCATCTCTCCAGACACGACAGGCGGGGGGGATTCGTGGGATTCGTCTTCATACCTTGCAGTGGGCGACAGCGGTAGCTAAAAGTCGGATTTCCAGTTAGCAAGCGATTCCCACGATTCGCACGAGGGAGCAAACGTACCCGTCTTCTTCTTGCCGAAGCATTGCACACTCGGGACGGAAGCCATGGTGGGTGAGATGGCCCTTGTCGGAGTCGAAGGTGGTTGTCGAGGGAGATGGTAGGAACGAACAGTCTTGTTGGTCGTGCTTTCCGATTGTGGGATCGGTAATTTAGCGCTAGTCCGAGTTTGGGAATTCGCTGACTCATCCACTAGGGCTGTCGGGTCACGTGCCTTGGTGCCAGCCAGATCTTCGCGGAGAGTCTTGAGGGATTGGATTCTTGTTGATCGAGGCATCATTGTCATTCCACCCACCATGTCCACCACAGTCGGCAAGGTAATTAAATACATCCGCCTTTCTCCTTCTGTCTGACTGACTCAATGACTAACCAACCGCCAGACCCGTCTTGCCTACTCCCGAACATGGCACTACATCGACGCCGGCTCCGACGAGCGATCGCTCGGGCGCCTTGCCTCCTCAATCGCCCTGGTACTGATGGGCAAGAATAAACCCATCTACGATCCCTCGACCGACTGCGGCGACTACGTGGTGGTCGTGGGGTGCCACGACCTGCACACGACGGGGAAGAAGCGGCAGCAGAAGCAGTACTACACGCACACGACGCGGCCCGGGAGCTTGAAGAGCATGTCAATGGACCAGATGTTTGCCAAATGGGGTGGCGGGGAGGTACTGCGTCGGGCAGTGAAGGGGATGTTGCCCAAGAACCGGTTGCAGAAGCCACGGCTAGCGCGGCTGAAGAGTGAGTTGCTTGCCCTGGACAGATGTTTGTCGCGATTTTTTCAGGGGGCGGTTTTGACTAACGATATATATCCTGCAGCGTTCGAAGGCCTTGCCCATCCTTACAAGGAGAATATTATCAAGTTCGGGAACGAGACTGTGCTAGGGCACAAGACGGAATTCCAACAGGCGTTCCAGGCCGCGCGCGAGTCTTCATAAACCGCTTTTCAAGCACCGTTGTTGCTGTATCATTCTATCTGTGCCATTATTTTTCTCTTTCTGATGTTCTGCGCAAGCGCATGGGTGTGGAGTCTCTTTTCTTTGGGTGATGTTACATGTTTTCCGCGACCATTTGATACTCTAGCCGCCTTTTTTGTACTTATAGCTACGAGCTCTCTTCAAGCACAAGAACAAAAAACCACGTACATTGAAGAAAGGAAACGAATTTCGATATGAGCGATGATAGAGGTTGGTATAAACTATATGTACAAGAAAAACACCATGTTGAACTCCGGCGTCGGGGAGTCCGAACCCGACTATATCTACAGTTTGGGCTTGCCGCCCGAGCGGGCCACCGTGCACTTGATGAGACCGTTGGGGTTCGACTGGGGCGCGTACACCTCGGCGTCCTTGCCGGTGTTCTTGGTGCCCTTGTGCCAGCTGAGGTCTAGAAGGAATTGGTTAGTACGGATTATAGGCGCAAAGAGAGAGAGGTACATACCAATTTCAAAGTAGTGGTTATTCGGCAGAGCATACTCAACCGTATCAACCAGCGGTGCAGCAGCCAGGATCTTCTCGCCCATCTGGTACATGGTGGCCTGCACACTGGCAGAGTTATCCTCGGCAAAGGTCTTGAGAGTGATAGCGCGGGCCGCCTCCCATGCGGCATCGAACTTGTCAGCGTGCGTGCGGACCTCGGCGAGACCAGTGAACTGGCGCCACTGCCAATTGGCGGCGACATCGGTGCTGAGAATGCGGTCCCAGGTCTCCTTGAGGGTGGTGTACTCGTCGCGGACGAAGCCCCAGAACTGCGATCCGGTGCTCTTGAGCACGGTCAGACCCTGGATGGACGAGTTGATGCTGATGCCCTTGCCCTCGACGACGTCGACCTGCACATTGCGCGTCTCCGGACTGTCCTTGACGAACGAGTGCGGGTGCGGCTTGCCGTCGATTTGCATGCGCACCCAGCGGTGGGTGACGATGTTGACGTGCGCCGCGTGGATGTGGCTGTACTTCTGGATGAAGTGCGTACCTAGGATAGAGCCGAACAGCTCCGGGGGTGTCACGGGCTGCTGCTTCGCGGTGATGTAGATGGTGTTCTTGATTGAGTCTGTTGCGACGACTACGCTGTTGTCGGCCTTGGTGTAGCTGCGCAGGAGTCGGTTAGCTCGGACGAAGTGCGTAGATGGGTAAGAAACTTACGAGGTCTCGATGTCGCCCTCCAGCAGGACACACACCGTCATCTCACACACGGACTGCACGCCGGTCTTCTCGTCCCGGTGCACCTTGTACACCCGGACATTGTCCTTGCCATAGCGGGCGGCGGCCAGAGTCGACATGATGGAGGATTAGAGGTGATGAGAAATGAAAGACAAGAAAGGAGATTTCCCAAAAAAAAATAAGGATGTGTTTGCAGGTCAATCAGCCGGCGCAGCAGTATTTATTCCGCCTGGATAATCGAGCCATCGGGCAGCTCCGATGACCGCGAGTGGCCGCCCGCAGCCCGCTTACTGCTCACTATCTTATCGGCAAGTCCACCCTCTCTCTCTCTCTGCCTACACAGTAACTCTTCCCCAGATCCTCTCTACCCCCAATTTGGCTCGGCCGAAAATCCGAACTTCCGCCCTCCGAGCCTGCGACCGTGCGTCACTCTAGGGGAATAAATGATGAATTTAGGTGACGCGCCTGGACAGCTGCGCTCAGCGGGAGGCCACTCGGCGAACTCCACTACGGGGTCGGGAACGCGGAGACATGCGATGAGTGAGCCCGGTAGGAAGCCGGCTGATGGGCTGCCATTGGCATTATTCCGGGATGGCCCCGGGAATTTCAGCCGTTTGTACCATGTCGGCGCAATGATGCTGCTAGCGCCGCCTGCCTGACTGCGTGTCCTGTAATCGGCTTTTCCAATCACCTCGCCTTTTTGCGAGCGTAGAGTGCTATCTTCCACATAGTGTACTGCCCTGGGATACTACTTTCTCCCAACTGCTTGCCGATTTGGCCGAGATACCGCCAAGCTTCCTCGCAAATATTCCTCGCCAAAGAGGAAGTTTATCATCGTTCTAAGGGGAAGGTAACCCATTTTTGGTTCTTCTATAAACTAGATCTTTTTCCCTAGTTGGGCGGGTAGGTGCATTTTGGCATGCTAGGTCCAAACCCGGCAGACGGTGCGAGAGAATCAGAGAGATTCTCGGTATAGGAAGACCTCGGCCCCAAGAATTAAACGGATAAAGGAGCGAATATAGTAATCGCAGTCTCATAGAAGAGATGTGTGTCGATGGTGCAGTGCGATAGATACAAGAGGATATGCTCTTCTGTAGGGGAAGGTCTAGTCTGTCAGGTCTAAAGAAATCACGTACACAGAGGGCATTTGTTAGTTGGACTAATTGTATGCTAACTGCAAGAGACTTGCTCTTCTTTTCTTCAATGTCCTTTTCCCAGGTCTCCTCTGAAATCGCGCAGATGCGTCCTTGATGTTTAACCTGCGTTGACCTATAAGCCTTGCGTATACTACCTTCATTCGATAAAGGGAATATCGTCCCCTTTGAAATTCCGGAGCTCCGAATAGAATTCTTTCATCGTTAGACGCCTCGACTGTTCGCAGATGGTTTTGCCAACGAGTGCTAAGAATTCGTCATAGCCTTCGAGATCAAATAGATCTTCCAGTGATTCTTTGACATTTGTCGGGCTTCGAGGTTTCGACAGCATGCTGTCCAGACGACGCTTGTTTGTTTCTGATAGCAGTCGAGGGACACCAGCAAATAGAAGGCTCATCCCTGCCGCTTTAACATCACTTGCAAACTCTTCGTTCGCTCTTATTTTCCCTAGTGGAGATTGGCAGTGGTGAGTTTCTTATGGCTTGCAGTCTAAGTGATTTGAGTCTTACCTGGTTTCCCACCAAAATCGGTCGAAAAATCCCAATCAATAATCTTCCACTGGTTAGGTTGAAAAGTCGCCATCAGATTCCTTAGATGGGCATCATTGTGGGCAATTCCTAGGTCATGAGCATAGTTCAATCCCTTCACGAATTGTTGCATCATGATGAGACGATTGAAGAGCTTGTATCGGGGACCATGCGTCGCTCGTGCGGCGATATACCTCCTCAACATAGCTACCGCATCCTTATCCAGTTTCTCCATAACGACGAGTGACCCATTCTCCGCATTGTCCCCGCAGTATTCCTCATCCGGAGGAAGCAAGAGAGCCTTGTACACACGGGGAACGGTCTTGCTCGGTTCGAGCTTTTCCATTATATGCACGCTCTTGTATGCAAGCGCTATATACGAATCTTTTGCAACGAGGTTTTGCTGGACTCGTTCATTTCCGACGGGATGTCCACCCCAGTTTCGGCTTGCCGTGTTCTGTCTGACTTCTCGCGGCCTGCTGAATGTCAACAGTGAGGCTTGCAACACCGTCGCTTCGCCTCCGGCAGCAATTTTCTTGCCAACTGTGACGATTCCTTTTGCTAAAGAATTTTCGTTTGAACCAAATGCATAGATCGTGTTGCCATATGAATCTCGGCCTATAAGCCACCCATTGGCATATAAAGTCGGATTACTCCCTCGTTTAACCATAGACGTCCGGTCGTCAAGTTCATCTTGCCGGTTGAGTGCATAGAGCAGCTCTGTTTCGGTATTAGGTCGAGATGGAAGTTCGAGATCGAAGTCGGAGGTAGGAGCGCCGTAGGCAAGGGTTATAAAACTTAAGTAGAGAAATCCTAGGTTCATAATCCAAGGGAGACTCGAGCTGTAGCGACCCCCTTTCGATGGCATTTTGGACATGGTCGAACTGTTCCAAAAGGATATGAAACTCATGAACATGGCATGTCATGCCAGACATAATATAATGTCGAGCACCTAGTGAAACGCGGTCTTAAATGTCAAGAGGCTATAAGGGGCCATCGGGGCTAAAGCTTCCTGAAGGATGAAAATATGCCCGTGGTAATGGGCCGAGTTTGGCTTTTTGGGGCCGCAGTTGACCAATAGTTTCAATGCGCGATAGGTCTTGCATTTGCACAGTTTTCCCGGAGTCGAACGTTTGAGCATGAAGATCAGCGGAGATTGCTGGCGCCAAATCCTCTAGTTCACATCGACTGGTTTGAGCGTCCAGCAAGCAAACCGTCGCTGGCGGATGGGCAGGAAGGCGATGCTGTTTAGCTTTGTGTGAATAAACCGGTGGAGTCTTTGAGATGTGCCACTGAGATTCGGAGTAGACGGGGGTGGTAGTACTTGAGATGGGATAACGAAAAATGTCAGGGGGGCAAGTAGATCCTCCGAAGCAGGACAGAGATTCCCGCAGCGTCTCACAACGTCTCCGTGCACTGATCACGCACTGCCAGAAGAGGGTTATAGAGGAGACTACTGTTTCTATCTCCACAAACAGACCTCGTGGCCATCCTCGGAAGAAAAGCAAATGGTCTGCTCTGTCCGGCAACGCAGCACAACCCACATGCCCGAAGCTGGTTTTGTCCAGGCTTAAAATTCAGACAGGGTCACGCACCGTAGACAGACAGCGACTGCGCTTCAGAAACCGGCCCCTGTGGTAGAGCGCACAAGCAAATATATGACAGCGTACAGGAGCATCCAGAGTTTGGTGGTTCGGTTGCGAATCGTCGAATCGGAGCCGTGGTTGCCACTTTTGGGCTTCTGAACGATGGTGTCTGGCTGTAACGGCCTTCCTGCTGGTTAATGCTGTGTAAAAGGGGAAGACAAAATGAAACTACCAGGTAGCCAGGGTACTGTTGTTCTCAATAAAGACGAGTCGTCTGGGCGGATGGTGGTGGTGCTTTGTTTGGTTTAGTTCAGAGAACAAAGAGAATCACCGTGAATCCAACTCGCTCTTCGACTCTCGTCTTTAATTTTTCTGTGTTTGTCATTGTGAGCATCGATTTCCTAAACAGATTGCCTGCTAGACATCATGAGAACTGTGTCAGTGTCCAAGGTGATTCCCGGGAGGAAACAGCCCCCGATGCTGTTAGGTCTACGGTCATCGACGCCATTCATCGTCGCGACAGTCTGGATGTCCACCTTCACGGTAAGTGCGATCAGAATTACCAGCGTAGCTGACCAGACACTGATGCAACCAGGACTTCCTTCTCTACGCAATGGTAAATCTCCAGGCCTATCCCGTCACTCGTGAGCCGGACAAGCCTAACAACCCTCAGATTGTCCCCGTCATGCCAACAGCACTAGTAACTCGCGCTGGAGTCGAATACAAAGACCGTACATCCTCTCTCCCCTCACCACCCAACTGGAATAAGCGCTAAGACACACAACAGGAGAATACTGGGTCAGCGTCCTCCTCATGTGCGAAGCCGGCACAGCCCTCCTCCTCTGCCCCGTCTTCGGCTACCTAATCGACAGTGCACGCACACGTCGACTCCCCTTCCTCACAGCGCTAGTCCTACTAGCAGGCTGCATGGGTGTACTACATGAATCCCATTCGCTAGCAATGTTCGTCGCAGGTCGCCTGCTCCAAGGCTGCGCCGGGGCGCTCGTCGTGGTCGCTGCCTTCGCCCTGATTAATGACTCCGTGCCGCGGGAGAATCTCGGTCAGACGATCGGATATCTTGGGTCGGCTATTGCGTCGGGGTTTCTGTTGGGTCCCTTCCTGGGAGGGTTGGTGTATCATGCTGGTGGGTATGACACGGTGTTCTGGGTGGCATATGCGATTATTGCGGTGGATTTGGGGATGCGGGTGGTGATGATAGAGAAGAGGAGTGCGCAGCGGTGGGAGAGTAGTAGTGCTCATAACAGAGGTGCAGGAGTGCAGGCAGAGGTGATGGTACTTCCTGGTCAGTTGGAAGAAGAACTACCAAGGAGTCGAGGCTTTGTCTTGTTGCGTATGCTCACGCAGCGCCGAGTGCTGATTTCCTCGTGGGCACTCCTGGTGCATGGGATATTGCTATCTGCTTTTGACGCAGTATGTTCTTCATTCTTTTGCCTCTTGGATTAATCCAGGACAGAAACTGACCATGCAGACACTGGCCATCTTCGTCGAATCTCGCTACGGATGGTCCGCCTTTGGAATGGGCCTGATCTTCCTCCCCATGGCGATTCCCGCTTTCTTCGAGCCCTTTTTCGGTGAGTATTCACTTGGGGGAAAACATCATGAACAAAGACCTGATCTGGTGTAGGCTACATCACAGACCGCTGCGGCGCCCGCTTCGTAGCCTTCACCTGCTTTTGCCTCCTCTCCCCATCCCTCATTGGCCTCCGCTTCGTCGAACCCAATGATCCGCCACACATCGCCCTGCTAGTCATTCTCCTCTTCGTAATCGGGGTATTCATCCACGCCTGCGCGCCAGCCATGTACGTCGAGACGCAGCTCGCACTCTCCGAAATGGAGCGCGCACACCACGGCTCCTTGGGATCCAAGGGTGCAGTCGCACAGGGATTTGGACTGCAGAGCATGTGCCAATTCGCGGGGGTGTTCCTGGGTCCGCTGTGGGGAGGGTTTGTGGAGTATCGATTTGGCTGGGGCGCTATGTCCGGGACGCTGGGGGTGTTGGCGGCGCTCACGGCTATGCCGATGCTGTGGTTGGGTGAGGAGATTGAGTGGGACGAAGAGGAAGACGGTGAACACCAGACGCTGCTACATCCGTGACGGTACCCGTGCCTACCGAGTTGTAGTGTCGTTGGTGTACCTATAATTAATCCCTGTCGAGGCAACCGATAGAGTTGGCGCAAAACGTTCCTATTGGTGCGCGTGCACCAGCCCTAACCGGCAGGTCGACGGCAGGCAACTTCATACTTTGCTCCAGTATAAAACCACGCTGGGAATATCACCATGATCAGTAGCCTGCCTCGAATATTCGGCTGGACTAAATATTACTGTCGTCCCATCTCTTTCTTTCCCACCATAATTCGAGCGCGACCACATTCTTCCACCACCACCATGTCTCCAAAACAATACATCTGTCCTGCCGAAACAACCCCCCACATCGCCACCATCCTCGGCTTCCCATCCCCCTGCTCCACACTACCAGGTCTCTATGAGCGCACATGCAGCGAGATCGTAGACCTAGCAGGCACGCTCGCCCCGTTCGAGCCCGTGCGCCTGCACGTTCGGCCAGAGTTGAAGGCGCGCGCACAGCAGATGGTCAACGAGCGGATGAACAACCCCAATAGCGCTCCGCACAGGACCCAAATCACCCTTGTGCCCTGCGCGACGAACCACTGCTGGGTCCGCGACACGGGGCCCGTGTACGTGCGCGGCGCCGACGACGGGAAGCGGTATGCGATTGATTTCCGGTTTTGCGAATGGGGCGCCAAGACAGACGATGAGATCTACCAGAGCCGGGTGGGCGATGCAGGGCCAGAACTAGGAGATGAATGGCCCGTCATGGGGGAAGAAGCCATGGCCGAGAACACGGCGTTTGCAGAAAAGGTTCTCGAGCTGGAGAACCAAACCAGCAATAACAACCGAGTAGAGCGCATCGCCTCGCCCATCCGTCTCGAAGGTGGCGGCATCGAAATCGACGGCGAGGGCACCTTCATGGCGACGGAGAGCAGCATTGTCGGCGGGCGCCGCAGCCCTGGCATGAGCCGGGCCGAAATCGAGACGCATCTCCGCCAACTACTGGGCGTCACGCACTTTATCTGGTTCCCCGGTCGACCGGGGCTGGATATCACCGACTGCCACATCGACGCGGAAGCCCGCTTCGTCAAGCCTGGAGTCGTCGTGCTCTCCAAGCCACATCCCTCTGTGGATCAAGTGTATCATGATATGTACGAGGAGATGCGCGAGGTGCTTCGCACGACGAAAGATGCGAAGGGGAGGACGATCGAAGTGCACGATATCGAGGATCCAGATCCGGCATTAGTGGGTGGGAATCTCCCTGGTGAGGAGAAGGTGCCTGCGGCGGCGTATGTCAATTTCTACTTTGCAAATGGGGTGCTGGTTGTTCCTGTTTTTGGGGATCCCGTGGCGGATGCGAAGGCGGTTCAGACTTTAAGGGGTCTAGTTCAGGATAGGGAGATTCGGACGGTTAGTGTGAATGCATTGCCTAGGACTGGGGGCGTGTTGCATTGCGTGACGCAGCAGGTGATGTGAGTTGATTTGATGTCTGTTTCTGTTGGATGAGGATCTCCGGGGTGCGTGTTAGCGTCAGCATTGAGGATTGGAATGAATCTCATCTCGAGGGATGTCAATATCCAGCAGTCTCCAAGTATACCATAGAGCAAGGTAGTTCTTTCAACTACCCGGACCCATTTTCCCTCAACATGAAGCATCTCCTCCCACCCCTCCCCTCTAATACATCACCGATCCACCTCGGCACCTAAGACCAAAACGGAAAGAACCTCAGGCTCAAGAAGACCAGCATGTATTGTAAATGTAACGATGTAGGTAGATATAATATGTCTTTTTTCTCTTGTGCGTCAAGAAAGAAACAAACAAAGGACACTCCCGAAGCCCAGCCCCGAAGACACCCAAATGAAACGCCCCAGAGGACCCAATGATGCCAAACGCCAAAAACAACAAGACACCCCATCCAGCCCAAGACGAAAAAGGAGAATGACAAGAATAGAGTGAGAGAAAGGAAACCAAGCCAAAATAAGACAAGACATAACCAGACATGAACATCGTCGTCAATCATAACCGAGCCACCTACATACTACACTGTAGCATGTAGGCACCGTACACCCCACGTCAGAGCATATTCACCTCTGACGGGAGGGGAGATCAATCACAGACTCAACTGATCAATACTCCCAACCCTCCCACTCCCCCCAAGCCTCCCCCCACCCTTGGTGACCATCCCCAGACGATAAAACCGCTCCTCGCCCGCCGGGGTCCTTCCACCGATATACCACTTCTCCGGACCGAGAGCATCGCGGAAGCCGCCGGAGCCGCTGGAGGAGTCGCTGCCGCGGCGCTGGCGGTCAGCGCCGGGGGGCGGGATATGGGGATGGGGGTTGCAGAGGAGGATGAGGTTGGTGGTGGTTGGGAGGTTGAGGTGGCGAGAGCGGATGATTCGGTTGAGGTGTGGTGATGATGGTGGTGATGGTAGTGGTGGTGGTGGTGGTTTGCCGAGGACTGGGTCTGATGATTTGCCGTCGCTGTCGCTGATGAAGGTGATGATGATGAAGACGATGTCTGGTTATTTGTTGAAGAAGTAGGAGAAGATGACGAGCCCGCCTTGGTGGCTATCGCACGGGCGCTCTGCGTGATCTGAGCCGAGCCGAGCGAAGACGACGTCTGCGACGAGGCCTTGTAGGCCGGGGCGCGGAAGGCGGCCAGGAAGTTGGCCAGGAATGGCCGGTTGGTGGACATGATATGGTGTGTGCAGCAGTCCAGAGAGAGCAGAGAAGGTTGACAGGAGCCAGGAAGATTAAGAGTTTTTCCCCTTCTATTCGGGCGGGCGGGGAAAACAGGAAGAAGAAAATGACTGGAATCGATGATGATTCCGGTTTTCAGCGAAGTTCGGGAAGGCGGTTGGAGTCGTGAGGGACCCCCGGACAACCAGATCCAATCAGCCCCGCGACATTAGAGAGATGACGTTAACTACGTCCTGTCTGGAGGAACATAACGAAATCAGGTAACGATAGATCTATTGATATCTCTAGCTTTTCATCTTTCACCGGAAACCCCATCAGATCAAAAAGTATGTCCGTGGCCGTGACTCTACTTACAAGGGAGAAACGGAAAAGATGCAAATGCAGCACAAAAAAGCCGGACAACACGCAGGAAGAAAAAATAGAAAGACAAATTGCGACAGCAGCCTTCCCGAGCCCAAAAAAAAAAAGCTTTTTTCGTTCTGTCGAAAGGCCGGATCCGAACACAATGAACACACATGCCCAAGTCTATAAATGGACGCCGAACAAAACCACCCGCCGTACCGTCCGCCCACTCAATCAAAAGATATGAATAAAAAAAATCAAGAAAAACTAAACGAAAAACAACCACCCTGTTGTACTCGCCGGAGAGAAGGATGCAGTACCACTCCGGATGGGATCGAGAACAATCAAAAAGATCAGCGCGCGTGCAATACTAAACTTAAAAAACCAAATCCCGGGGCGAAAACGCCTGGAAGCACGAGATACGCCGCGGTGGGCGAGATCAGCGGATCAAGGGGAGACAAGAGTATCGCAAACACACAGAGAGAGTCGAGATAGAATCAAAACAAGTCGTAGGACACTAAACAGTCATGATTCTCACCTCATCTCCTCATGCTGCCATACGTCCCCAAGCTAACCCAGTCGCTTACTGCCGAGCGGGCTGAACGGTGCCTATCAAACAGACAGATCAGTATATGGGATGGCATCAAAAAAAGAACCATTACGAACCGTCACCGCCAAGAGTAGTCGAAGCCAGGTACAGACCGTTCATGCCGCTCTCGGGGCCTCCGCTCGTGGCAGGGTAGAACTTGCGGTCGGCATCAACGGGGGCGTGGATGGGTTCCTGGCCGGCCGCCATCGAATGCGGGAAAACGGGGTTCATGTAGCCGTCGTTCGGGCCGTGCTGAAACATCGAGGTCCAGTCAACTCCTGGCTGGCTCGAATGGGGGCCAGGCATGATCGGATGCTTGGGGTCTGGAACGACCAGGGGCTTTACCTGTTCAAGGGGACGGTCAACACTCAGTTGCTGGCCATGCGCGTCTGCGCCAGGGTGGTGTTGCATGTAGTACGAATTCGGCTTGGGAGCAGCCATCCACGAGGCTCGCGCCTGCGGCTGACCAGCGGCGAACGCGTCGTCTCCAGGACCACGGTTCATGCCGTTGACCGCCGACATCGTGAATCCCAAGGGCTGCTGTTCCGTATAGCCTGGGCGGCCACCGGCCATCCCGTTGCCGTTCACGGTCCCATTGCCGAAATGCGCACCCATCATGCTGTCACCGGAGGCTGGAATGGGGTTACTGACTTCGTCCTGGATAGGCTTAGCAGCGTTCGCCGCGGCCGCGGCCGCCTGTGACGAACGCTTCAAGTGGGCATGGGGGTGCGACAGGTGAGTAGCACCAGTCGGGTTACCCCGTCGAATCGAGCACTTTTGGAAGTGGCGCTTCAAGATGTCACTGCGCGAGAAGGTGTCCTTGCAGAGAACACACATGTAGGGGCGGTCACCAGTGTCTGAAAAAAAGAGACGCGTTATTAGTATCGTACGCGATTTTCATGTCAGATAATAACAAAACGAAAACTCACGTCTCAGAAGGTGGCGCTTCAGGTGCTTGGCGTGGAGATAGGTCTTGTTACAGTGTGGGCACGGAAATTTGCCATCCGCGTCCTTGGCGGGAATGGTGGTGCTCTTTGCGGCGCCGTTGACGCCGTTCGTGACGGGAGTTGCGCGACCCGGAACGCTCGGCAGGATGCCGCGGCGACCCTGCGAGCCCACGACCTGCGTGCGCGGGGATTCCTTGCCCCCGTATGGGGAGCCGTTCGCGCCGTTCACGTCAGTGCCCATACCCCAGGACTTGCTGCCGTCCGAGTAGCTGAAAGCACCGGAGGGAAGGCCATTGAAATCACGTCGGTCACGCGGAGGGGCCGGCGCAATGGGCTGGGGGTAGGTCTGAGCGGTCGACGCGGGCGGCAGCACGCTTGGGGGTGGCGGATAGTGAGCCTGGGACTGATGGTTAGGGAAATGTGAGTAGTGTGATGATGCAGGGCTACCGACAGTAGTGTGCGGCATGATTGGGGCCGCGGAGCCCGTGTACACGTCGTGAGTCGTCGCGGGATACCGCGACAGGTCCGGTCGGTACGGCTGGCCCATGTACTGGTGCGGTCCGGGCGAATGAGTGTGATGCGGCTGCAGCGGAGGCAGCGTGTGCGGCTGGGAGACCGGATACTGCGGCTGCATCGAGTACTGCGGCATGTGCATGCTCGAGATGGGAGTCCCCGCGAGCGGCGTGGAGCCTTGAGGCAGGCTCGTCGAGGGAGGCCGAGAGGGATGAGATCTGGGATCCATCGTGTCGAGTTGGAGAGACGTGGTCAAAAGAAAAAAGGTATGTGTGTGTGTGTGTGTGTTGTTTCTTCACGGTAGCTCAATCATCGAATCCCCAAAAGACTGTCTTCTTGCAACGAATTTTTCCCGAGGTCGAGAAAGCCGTGTCACGGGAAGGGCAATTGAGATGGGGAGGTTGAGTAGATGATGGAGCAAGGACTCCACTGAGATAGAGAGTGTGAAGGTGAAGGGAGAAGAAGAGAACTTGATCTCAGATTGAATTCCCCACGGTCGCAATCCACCGTCGTGTTGTGGGAACCGAAGTGTTAATCCGCACGTTGTCAAAAGCGCCGGGTTGTATCCACCAAAGAAGCGGGCGTGCAAGTGGGTCTTTCGCAGCGACCAACAGAACTAGTTCAGATCGGATGACGGTGATCCTGCAACTGCGCTGGATGGATTTGGGTTGGTGTTGGGGGGAAGGAAGGGAGGTGTCGAACGTTGTGAAGGGAAGAGACGGCAGACGGGTGAGAGAAGGAGAAGAATTGAAGGGCAAGGGAAAAAAGATGGTTCCGAGGGGGAAAATTTCAGTGATGGCAGACGGGGGGAAAAAGAGAAGAGAAAATTCAGCAGAAAACAGGCCGATCGTTCCTTGGGGAGGCAAGAGGCGAGAAAATTACTCAAAAAAACCGTGGAAATGCTGGTATTGCCAATACGGCGTTCCAAGGATGACGCTTCCGAACACAGCTCGGCCCTGCCCGGGCTGCGTTCGGAGCACCCTCATTCATCATGGTCGGTCGTTCGTATGGACCACGACGGCTCGGATTGTGTGATGATCGCTATGGAATTATATTGACCAGTTAACCTACGACCTCTTGAGGGATCTTGTCCACCTCCGACCGGGTGCCGTGCCTGAATCGGACAGTATCTACGAAGCAGATCGGCCGAAGCAGATCGGCCACAGCACGTCATTCTCATTATTGTCGCCCGAGAAAGGACTCTGCATGCAGGAGACACAAAAGAACGGCCCTGCATTGTTGCCCTACAACCCTTTGATGGCATGCGCTGCAGCCGCTCGAATTACTCTAAGTATAACCCCCAATTTCTTTCCGCGCGCGGGAGGGAGCCCGCGATCCTCCGCTGTGCCTAGAATGTATCTGTTTGTCAGATCAGATTCCTCCATATGGCAATCATAATCATCGGGACAGGGGGGTTGGTTATTGGCGCCACCCCCTCTTGGTGATTATTTATCAGATGCCCCATCACACTTAGTTGGCAGCGACTAGTCCCTGGATAATACATAGTCCTGCTATAGCGTCATGAATTCGTGACCCGTCCGCCAGTTCTCCACCCGAGATTCGCACGAGCTTCTTTCCCGCTTCGATTGTGGACCTCGAGGCTTCGACCAGGGTTCTGCAGAACTTCGCGATGGGCCCGGCACATGGCTGAACAGGAACATGGATTAACTGCCCGCCACAATGACCATCTTGCCTCCTTTCGTGTTGGGACGCAGTAGTACAGGACATGGAGGAAACTCTTTTTTGACAAAGTGATTCCAAATGGGAAACTCCGATTACGGACCAGGGAAAAAATCCCTCGCTCGCTTAACCTTCCGCTTTGTTCCAACCCCCGGGAGAGTCGGGCTTGCGCCGGTTACAACAATTACCGGGTGGGAGGGCCAAAATGGTGGCGTGCTTGGTTAACCAAGTGCTTGGGAACTGCACTGCAAAAGGAGAAAAGGACACGGTGTGTTGAAATTACCTTTGTGCTTTGGTTTTGTTGCACATCCACCCGCATGGCACTCCGGCTGTCGCGCCGGGAGTTGCGAGATCCACTCGGAGCCGAGCAGTTCGGATGGGATGAAGCTACAATAGGCACTATAGCACACTATGTAACTGGGTATTTCTCGCAGTCTGCAGCTAGACCGCTGGATCCACACCTAGCCCCTGTGACCAGTCCATGATCTTCGTTGTAGTCAGGGGGCTCTTCTGTTTTGCATAAACCTCCAAAAATCCGCTGGAAAGCTTAAACTTCGGTGGAAAGGACACGACGGAGAACCGGGAAGGGTGGGCATGATTCCATTCTCCATAGGCCCGCTAGTAGGGCTAGTGACAACCTACCATACACCGCTGGAGACCGGCGCTTCGGGGGTGTCCGCCAGTAGCTCTGCAATAATACTGTACTTAATGAGCGCCAAGCACCACTAACTTACACATCGAAGGAACAGTCCGAGCTGCCGAATTCGGCAGTTTGCATCGTGACACGAGGGACAAAAGACGCGCCAACCTGCCTAACGTAGAGCAAATCAAGCCCGGCACCGGCCGGAACAACTGGGTTTCCAAGTCCGGATCGTCGAGTTTCAGGATGCGCCGAGGCCAATCGCTGCGCGTTCGCCCGTGAGCATGAGAGAGTGATCGCGCCACCCACCTCATAGGCTCACGATGCGACTCGTCGAGACCACCCAGCCCAAGGACTCAACAAACCAATAAATCATTTGCAAATGGTATGGCTGGCCATACGGTTCTGTACCGAGGAACCCAAAATAATTCACCACCCCTGGCGGCCGCGTCATTGGTTTCGGATATAACTTCTGGACATTATTACTAGTCCTGGGCGCCGAAGCCCAAACTACTATTATTAACATACCCATGTGATTGATCTGAGTGGAAACGACCCAAAGTCGTGGATTTTACAATCCATGGAACGACCGAACCATTTCACCAAAAAAAAAAAAAAAAAAAAAGGTGACTTTCTGTTTGCAGTAGTGATCGTGGAATGCAGCATGTGGTATTTGTGTTTCTGCTGCTGCTGCTGCTGCAGGAGTCCAGACCGGATCGTCTTTAAAGCCCGTGGCTGCCTGGAATGCCCGAAGTGATTGGGCCTCGGATCACAGGTAGTAAGGATCTCCCACGGTGGCGCGGGTTTTTCAACTCCAAAATGCTAAAAAGGCGCAGCCCTCGGCAAATCCCCGAAACAGGCCGTTCCGGCTCGTAAATTCGTTACAACCCGACACTGGGGATTTCTGTGAACCAGGCACAACCACCACAACCAGGGCACGATTTCTCTCATGACGTACAACCCGATAGACTGTAGACGGGCTGCTCAAAACTCGTCGGCAGAATAGCCCAGTCGCAATGCACCCCTGAAAGTGTCGATCGGTATGGTCAGCCGTGTATGTACGCTCTTCCCGAGATCCCCGACAATAATACGCCCTCAAAAATAAATTTTCGTAATTCGAGTCAGCATGGCCCGGTGCCTCATCGTGGTTGGAGAAAGGCAGAGTTCCGTTTTGACTTTCCACGCGTCTTATTGTTAGTTAGCCCGAGACATTTATTACAGTACTCTAAGAGGAACGATAGAAGAAAGCATGATTACGGTAGTTGTAACCAAATTCACCCGGGAGACCCTCTTTCCCTCCTGGATGGAGCCCTCCATCTGGAGTCAGATTAAGCATATCTGTGTGTCCCATCGAACTTATTTTTTCCGTTGCACCCATGTCCATCCAGTGCCCACCGCACCACGGCTGGTGGGGACCGTCAGGGGGGCCGCCGCACTGGGCACCGGTGGAGCTGCGTACATATTCGCAGGATTCTTCCGGCGGGAGCTTCTGTACTTAGTACCTGACGGCCAAGTCCTATGCGGTTATTGTGGCTTTTTGAATAGCGGGATGGATAGGGAGGTGCGCCGGGGTCATGTCTAGCCAGTACACTGTAAGGTCCTGCCTAAGTAGGCTACCTATGTTGGACTTGCCTGTCTGGGATCGCTGCGATATTAAAGGGGGTCTCAAGTACCGGGTACAGCACCAGGAGATCAGCAGTGCGTGTCTACCCAGTCTGTATGTGCTTTTGCAAAGAAATAAAAATAAAAGAATAATGTGCAGGATCGCGGTCGCAAAGAACATCATGCCGCTAATATATATTTCGGGGCTGCTTTTCGTAGCGAGTCAACTGTCATGCGGCGCCGATATTATATATCCAGCGCAGCCTTAACCTCCACCCCAACCCATCAGTCAAACCCCAGACTAAATTCCATCACTGCATTGAATACACAATTTGCACGATGATATGGACACCGGATCCATCACCCAGAGCCAATTTAAGCATCTGGGGACTTGTGGAGAATGCCCACTGCTCCATCGGTGCCACATGGCGATGCCAGGAACAGGTCAGGATGGGGCAACCTTCTGGGTCTCGTTCTCCATAAGGAGCTGTCATGATGAATCCTGGGGAAACTAGTCTGTTATTCAGGATCCCTGTCAGACATCGAAGTGGATTCTTTTGAATACGTTTTGACTACTCTAATTTTTTACATACCCTGGCTATTGCTTGTATACACCTACCCCGACACTTTCCTAAGAGACACTGATCTCCACTTATTTGATCGGTCTGCATGCAACCTCATATTAAAGTATATCCACATAGAAAAAATAAATAAACTACATATAACCGCCCAAACTCCCTCACCAAGATATGCCAACTAATCCGCCTTCACATCGCCCGGACTCGGCTCCACAGGCGGCTGCTCATCAGGATCCTCGCTCACGATCTCAGTGATATCATGAATGGCATGCTCCACGTTGACCTTGGGCCCTTTGAACCAGCGATGCGCATCAACAATATACCAGATGGTAACAGCAAGCATCGGCCCTCCCCACACCAGACACGTCCAGTTCATCATATCCGCAGTCAAGTCACTTCCCCTCACGCTGGGCAGACACAGGATCGGAACCATCAGGAGCACAAAGGAACAGCCGATGGCACCGATATACGGCCCAAAGCGACCGAGGTGCCAGGGACCCTTGCGGAAGCGATTACCGACGAAGAAAACGCGGATGAAGATGGGGATGGCGAAGGCGACGAACTGCGCAATGGCGCCAATGGAGAACAGCGCGCCGATGGCAACGTCGCCTGCTAGAATAAGCAGACACATGAGAATGCCCAGCACGGCGTTGATGATCACTGCGTTCACGGGGGTCTGCGTGTACGAGTTGACTTGCTTCCAGTACCGCGAAAACGGGAAGCAGTCGTCGCGCGCGTAGGCGTATGTCACTCGCGACGCAGCGACCATGCACCCCTGGCCCATGGAGAAACCGCAGACGATCGTCAGGCCCAGCACGGCCATTGCGGCGTGGGGGTGCAGGACCTGCAGCAGGTAGGAAGCCCACGGCTGGCCCAGATCCGAATTGATGACTGCGTCGATATCCACCACGGTGTAGGCGACTACCAGCTGCAGGAACCAGCCCATCAGGCCGCCGACGCCGGAGGTGAGGACGATTGCGCGCGGAGAGGCAATGTTGGCGTTGGAGCACTCCTCGCTCAGATGGAATGGCGAGTCGTAGCCGGACATGGTCCAGATGACGCCGACGAAAGTCATTAGCACGGCGACGCCGTCAGGGAAATCCGTGAGGTTGGTGATGTGGCCCCAGACTTCGTGGGCGGGCGTGAACTTCGGCGTGGTCTTTGCCGCGGCGGGGATGGTGATGAGGACGACGACGAGCGCGATGATGTTGAATGTTGACCCCCACGAGTTGAACTGGGCGACTCGCTTCGTGGGCATGCTGCTGATGGCTGCGTGGAGGATCATGATCAAGGTCGTGAGCAGGAACACCTGCCAATTTGTCGGTACATATGACGGGTTGGTGATCGATCCACAGGCCAGAATCATGGCGGACAGGGAGAAGTTGACTGACGGCGCGGCCGTGACTTGTCCGATCCAGCTGGACCAGCCGGTGATCCAGGCGGCGAAAGGTCCGTATTTGGGAGGTGCCAGAACTGCTGCAGCGTAGTAGAGTCCACCGCTACCGGAAAACCGAGTCAGTAGAGTCTTTCGAATACCGTGCGGGAACTGCCATACCTCGTGGGCATCGCTGAACACAGCTCTGCCATGCCCATGGCCACGCATTGAATGAATATCATGGCGATAATCCATCCCCAAACCATGCCTGCCGTTCCTGCGTATCCCATACCTAGAAAACAAGGTCAATTTCTCTCAAGCCTCAACTGGGCGCCTGCCGAGGGCCACCTACCATAGTACAGAGTGCTGGCAAATGACGGTAGAAGACCGAGGACGGCAAAACTGACACAGAAAGTTGTCCACAGCGAGAACTCGCGCTTGAATTCCTGCTTATACCCCAGCGCAACGATCACCCTCTCATCGGCATCCATCTCATGGTCCGCCAGGGGGACGTCACCGTCGACAAGCACCGAGGTAACCTGCGCATGACTGACATCGCGGTAGGTCTCGGGTTTCTTCGAAGCGTCCGAATCGGAGGTTTTGGTATCCGCCATGGCTTGTGCTCATGGGAATGGGAAATGAGAACAGTATTGAGATCACAACCAGACCAGAGGGGAGGATAAGATCATAGACAAATAATATAGGCCGAGGGGGGGTTCTCATCGTTCCACGAGCCAAGACCAGGGTTATTTATCTACAGCTGCCAGTGCCACCGCTCCTTAATCCCCCGCGCGCATTGACGATCAGGGAACGCCATCTCGATGCAGAGCCAGTCAGGACAAAGGCTATCTCGGAGCGAGCGGAAGAACGGAACACCGCTAGAACAGAGGAATCATGAAGAGGGGGGCGAAGAAGACACACTGATAACCCTAAGATTGGTTTTTGGTCTTTTTCTCCACAGCATTTCAGACGCCATCGATAGATAAGACAATGCAGAAACAGGTGCAATTCCCGAGGACAGAGCATCAATCCGTGGATCGCAGCCAGCTTCTCCGCACAGATAGGAGAGCACAGGGCTCTTGATCCCCCGGGATGCTTGGCAATAGCTCCAAACCCACTCGGGAAGGTGGAAGCGTCGGACACACGCTGGGCGGAAGCATCGTATCATCATAAGACTTGGTACTAACATGGCTAGCCTATCACGGGGGGTTGTGTCGCATGTCAAGATAAGATGGACGATTTATTCTGGACAGGGGCTTATCTGCTGCCCGGCATGGACCTGCCCCTTACGGGAAGTAGTTCTCCCCTGAGCGATGGCTGAGTCACGGCGTCTACTATCCAGAGCCTTAGGTCCTGACTCTGGAATGGTTAATAATAATAACAACAACCAAGAAGAATGATAAACGAATGATAAACAAAGGAGAGTGTATTGCCGAACGTCGGTCGGAGCGGCTCTATGTGCTATTTAACAGATAAGACCCTCGTCACTATTCTACAGTCCAGCCAGTCTAACCGGACCCATAAAACAGAGCTAGAGCTGTTTAGAAGGGCTAAGAACACAGAGTTAGTCAAGTCCCATCATATATCCGGGTGCGATAGTTATAACTCACGTTGTCCTCGGGGGCCACAGTGCGGTCAAAGTAGACGTCCAGGCCGGGGATCTTCTGCAGGATATCCTTGCGCACTCGGGGCACCTCGCCGAAGAAGAAGACCGCAAAGACACCGGCAGCAACGCCGAAGCTGCCAGCGAGAGTACCGCTATTGGACCGTTAGTACATTGACCACCTCAGAACTCTCGATGGAGAGACGGGGAAGAGCGAGAATAACTCACGCCTGGGTCAGGGTGCTAAGGTTCACGCCACCAACGTGACGGGGAACGTAGTACCTGGACAAAGACAGAACTGTCAGTTAAGGTCCATGGCAGAATGCTCATTCTCAAGTCCTCTCCTCTCCCGTGCCGAGCATGATTTGCGAGTGCTGTGTATGGGTTTGCACTCCAACCATATGCGAGGCCATATTCAACGGAAACCTAGCAAACAAGCAACCCGATCCATAATATCCCTTCCAGGCACTGCACCATGCACCAATCTTGACCAAAAAGATAGAGAAACATCGACCCCGGGGAATCCTTACTTGGGCCCGAAAGTGGAAGCCTGGGCGGCGGCACGGCGGAGAGTGGGGGTGAACTGTAGAGGAGACCAAGCATGTTAGCAATCAATTGTTTTACAATAACGGCTCATCTCTGGCACTTATGCCGTGGGTGCCATAGGTAAGTGGTGGCCATGATGACGCGATAGCCTTCTTCCAAACCCATTGTGGGCCGGACATGGAGTCTCGAGGTGCTAACAGGCGTCATCATGGCCCGGAAGAAAGGACGTACCATGTTTGCTGACTCCGAAGAGAACTCGTGGGCGACACAATTGCTCGAGAGAGGACGGGCGACGGGTGGACATTTGCGATGGGCTGGACAAAACCGAAAGCGCCCGAGGTCATGTGATGACTGACTCAGCGCATTGCCCTTGTTCTGACGGGACGGGAGAGATTTAACTATGGCAGAGGACGAAGCTGGAAATAATAATGAATGCAGAGATTTGAAAACAGACAAGTATATTCGTAAAAGATGAAGAAAACCCCAGATCACAACATGAAAAGGAAATACAATAATTTATCGAATAAGGAAGATGATTATAAGAAGACCCGTGCCACCAAACACCTTAACTGTACATGTTATTCCATTCAGTCGACCTTGTCCGTCGACCCACCATTCAGCAGGCCCTCCTTGCCATCCAAGTGGAAGAAGCCGCCGTTCGGGTTGCCCAGGATGCCACCGCGGCCAAACCCAGCACGTCTCAAGAGGCGCCCACGACCGAAGAGGACCGCCACGGCCAGTACGACGACAACCACGACGAAGAAGAGGAGACGACTACTACCGAGGGAAGACCGGGTCAAGAAGAAAATGGTCTCGAAGGTGCCAACCGTGGACTTGGGGGAGAGCTTCGGAGGAGAAGCGATCACCAGCGGAATGGTCTCGAGGATCGAGGTACGCGAGGCCATGATAGTCGCACCGCTCGATGCGGTATCCCAGTAGCGGCGATTCTGTGAATATATTAGGTCAGGAACTGCCCACACATGTTCTAGAAGGACACTTACATCTTCATCGTTGATAATCACACGGTCGCCATTCTCCACATCAATACCGTAGGTCGTGCGCAGCCAGCGTTCCCAGAAATCGCCGTCCACCCAGGCAAAGGCCACGGCCTTCTTATCATCCTCGCGAATCGTGATGCGCTGTTGCTTGGCAGACCGCAGAGCGCGCTGGTCATTCCGGTCCTCGGCCTCCTCGATACGCAGCTGCTTGGAATCACGGAGTTCGGACCGTTCAAGCTGGAACAGCTGGACCTGCTTGTCCATCCACTCCAGAGCAGCCTCCTTCAGTTCCCGGCGGGACTGAGTGAAATCATCGGAGCGGCGACGGCTCAAAATGCCAAGAACCACGAACTTGCCATCCATGATCTCCTGGGCATTCGATGCCGTGAGTTCGGGGACGATGGGCAGCCAGACGGTTTGCATCCACGACAGAACCTGCCGGAAGTCTCGCATGTCCTTGGGAGCGAGTGCATTGTAGTAGTTCGGTCGCCCATCGCGGACCACGAGAAGACGAGGCCAGGTATGGATCTTGAATCGCTCTGCCAAACTGGAATCGCTGGTTTTGACGATGCGAGCATGTCCCACCAGGCTGAGAGTCAAACGCTCCATAGCCCTGAGATCCTCCGATGTCGTCGCATGGTCGTAGAAGTACAAGAACAGGACTTCTTCGGTCTCCTCCAGTTCCTTGAAGCTAGTCGCATCAACGTCTTGGATGCCGTGTTGGACGGCCACGGCGTTCTTCGAGTACGAGAGGAGGTCTCCCAGGCCACGCAGACCGGTGTATTCAACTCGTTCACCACCACGGAAGAAGTACATCGTCGGGTAAGCCGAGACGCGGGCATCACTGCAGAGACGGCGCTCAACGGTGCAGTCGACTTCACCGATGTTGAGGGTGTCCTTCATCTCTCTGGCCATCTGTTGCCAGTTCGGATTCATAGCCTGGCAGTGAGGGCACCATGGGGCGTAGAACTTGATAAACCACGGATCCTGCGTCGTCGTTACAAGCTTCTGGAAGCTCTCCGCGGTGAGCGCAACAGAGATACCCTGCGGGTTGGGAGGCGGTCCCTTTGGCTTAGGAACGACGCTCTTCGGGGGAGTTGAGCTACCAGTCCCAGCTTTTCCGGCATCCAAATCCAAATCCGCGGCAGCCTTCTGGGAATCCTGCTCGTTGTGCTTCTCCGTATCTTTGGTTCCCGCCTGAGGGTACTTGTCATTGACATAATATTGATCCGGGTCCTCTGTCGGATCCGACAGAGGATCCATGCTGGTCGCGCCAACTGCGGGCAACTCAACGCCATTCAGAGGCCGAGACCCAGGCTTGATCAAATCGAGCTTGCCTTCAACGAAAGTGCTGATATCTGCCATGTTCTTCGGGCCCACGTACTTATCTAACTGGTCGCCGTTGTGGTAGAATGCAAAAGTTGGGTAGAATTCGATGCCGAGTTTCTCGCACTGATCCGCGTAGGCCTGACAGTTCATCCTTCCAAAACGGATATCATAATAGCCGGTAAAAGAGTTCAGGGACTTGGTATCCAGAGACTTCGTAGAAGACGAGGACAGGGGGTTCGAGGTCTATCGGGGATTAGCATCTTGATTGCACCAAACCTTCCCAAAAAGAAACTCACATAGTAGAACTCATACAGGGTCTGGTAAGCCGGGGCTATCCTCTTGCAGTGAGGACAAGACGGCGAAAAGTGTTCGATAATCCTAGGTCTTTGTGAGACATATTCTGAGATGGCGGGACGGTTGGTCGCTTACCAGTAACCGTCCTTGGTGAGTTCTTCAAAGTTGTCCGGTGTAATTTCTCTAATTGGAGGCACTTCCAGACCATTGAATTTTGTAGGGCCACTCGGTTCAGAGGACCATCCTCTCTTGAAGAGGCGCATGCCATCCGAGCTTGACGAGATGTCCACCGAAGCCAACGCAGGCACGGCCAACAGCGAGAAGAGGGACCACCCCAGCCATGAGGGTCTCATAGTGGCAAAGAATCGACCCCGCGGGAGAGGGAAACGTAAAAAGGGGAGGTAAACGAGAGGCGCTGGTCGAAGAGGAAAGGAGAATTGCGAAATAACGTTACAGGTGGCACATTGGAGGGCGGGGGCCGAAAACTGGGAGTCGGCTCAAAAGGGAGGTAATGAGGAAAAGAGACTCGAGAGGTGCTCCGGACCCTGAGAGCGGAAGAAGGGAAATGCGCAGAGCCCAGAAACGAATGAGGTGTTGGTCCAGCAAGAAAAGGCAGGCAGGGGGGCAATGCTTCACCTGGAGACTCTGAAACACGTTTTTCCGGTCCGGGTTCGGCTCGACTTCCTCGTCTCCCTACACCACCACCACCACCACCATCCCACATCACCACCACACATAATGCGGTCTACTCTTCGACTGCTGGCCAATGTCAAGCCCCGGTACCTGGAGCCCTTCGCTCCGACCGGATTGACCGGCCTGGTCACCCACCCAAGCCCGCGCCCGACTCTGATCTATCTCTACACAAACACCCTGCAGAAGCTGAAGGAGTTCCCCGACAACTCCGCCTACCGCCAGTCGGTCGAGGCATTGACCCGCCATCGTTTACAGATCGTGGAATCTCAGAAGCCCCCGGGCTTTGAGGAGTGGCTGGCGCGTGTGAAGCAGACCGTGGGAGCCGAGCCCGATCGATTCGCTCAGCTCCAGCGCAAGGATGGCACATTCGCATATGCTGCCCGCCAGGAGATGGATGGCAGCGACAACCCTCGTGGCGAGGAGTGGGACGGAGAAGAGATGACCCAGCCGATCTCGCATCCCTCTCTGACCCCGGAGGAATCCGCTGAATTATTGAAGCGCGAGGAGTCGAACGCAAAGGAAGGGCAAGTATGGTCCGCCATGAAGTGGGAGAATGAGCCAGCTCTCGAGGCCGAACAGTACGTGAATCCCTTTCCGCCCAATTGGTGCCGAGCCATCGAGCAGTTAACTCACATCGTACAGGATCTCCCAGATCGAACAGCAGATTGGCGCTGGTCTCATTGAGGAGGTCATTCAAGTCGCCGAGGCTGAGATGAAGCTGGTTGATGAGCTGCACCAGTCAAAAGTGTGAGTCGGAAATGTCCCCTCCTGGTCTAGTATTTGGTACAGGTTCTAACCGGTCGTAGGTGGGAGGAACTCGAGGAGAAGCCCCGTCCGGGCCAGTGGACTTACTTTGAGCGCAGTTGAGCGCCGGTGGCCACGCTGTAACTATTAGACGTTCCTTTGTTTGAATACACCTGTCTTGGTTCCCATTTCTTAGGCCTGTAAATTCAACTATGCCCCAGAAATCTTTCTCGCCATAGATGATGATAGGGATGGGGAGAGGGTGTGTCCGTAAACGGCAGGCGGTGGCGTATTGGCGTTGTGGACACAGTCGTACTTGAATGTTGTCCCTGAAGCAACTCTCCGGTTGTGCTCTTTGCAATTGTCCTCTTCACCCGCGTCTTTTCCCTGAGGATAGTTGCCTCCCTCCGATACCCGGGCTGTCTGAGCGGCTCGTGCAATTTCCTCTGGCAGGCCTACGCCGCACCACACACACTCGCATTCGCCTCAAAGCCCACACCCCTCACACAATATGCGGCTCGACATCAAGGTACGCCGACCATCAGCCAGAAGGGCAGACGGCGTTGTCCTCTCTGGGCAATATGCTGTCCCGTGAGACATCCACAGATTGGGAGCGGTCACTGACAGGAATTGTTTGGTACAGAGGCAGCTCTTTGCCCGCTCGGAGCGGGTAAAGGGCATTGATTTCCACCCTACAGAGCCATGGGTAAGATGATCTTGAAACGCTGGTATATTCAACAAGAACTAATGATGCCTTTCTAGATCCTTACAACTTTGTATAGCGGTATGCTCTAGGCACGAGGTGGCTGTTGCGAGATATTGAAGACGCTAACCACGCACCCGCCACAGGTCACGTATACATCTGGTCTTATGAGTCGCAGGTAGGCGCTGACAGCGACGCCCTTTCAACGGAAAGCATAGCTCACATTCATATCTAGTCCATCATCAAAACGTTCGAACTCACGGATGTCCCTGTCCGCGCCGGTCGATTCATTGCCCGCAAGAACTGGATTGTGTGCGGTTCCGACGACTACCAGCTCCGAGTCTACAACTACAACACATCCGAAAAGATCACCTCCTTCGAAGCCCACCCGGACTACATCCGCTCCATTGCCGTCCACCCCACCCAGCCCTTCGTGCTCACTGCCTCCGATGATATGACAATCAAGCTCTGGGACTGGGAGAAGGGCTGGAAGTGCGTTCAGGTGTTCGAGGGCCACAGCCACTATGTGATGGGAATGTCGATCAACCCCAAGGATACCAACACATTTGCGTCGGCCTGTTTGGACCGTACCGTGAAGATCTGGAACCTTGGCTCTCCGCATGCCAACTTCACCCTGGAGGCCCACGAAACCAAGGGTGTCAATCATGTTGATTATTACCCACAGGCAGATAAGCCATACCTTCTCACCACTTCCGATGACAAGACTGTCAAGGTCTGGGACTACACAACCAAGGCGCTCATCGCCACCCTCGAGGGCCACACAAGCAATGTCTCATTCGCGTGCTACCACCCCGAATTGCCCGTGATCATCTCCGGTTCTGAGGATGGCACGATCAAGATCTGGCATGCAAACACCTACCGCCTGGAACAGTCACTAAGCTACGGTCTGGAACGAGCATGGTGTATTGCCTACCAGCGGGGTCGACAGGGCGTCGCAATGGGTTTTGACGACGGTGCTGTTGTCGTGAAGATGGGTCGGGAAGAGCCGGCCGTCTCGATGGATGGATCCGGCAAGCTCATCTGGGCTAGACACAGCGAGGTTGTGTCGACAGTTATCAAGGGCGGCGACCCTAGTGTGAAGGATGGTACTCCTCTTTCGCTGCCGACCAAGGATCTGGGTACCTGTGAGGTGTACCCGCAGACTCTGTCACACTCGCCAAATGGACGCTTCGTCTCCGTCTGTGGTGATGGAGAGTACATCATATATACCGCCTTGGCCTGGAGAAACAAGGCCTTCGGCCAAGCTCTTGACTTTGCTTGGGGATCGAAGGACAACAGCAACGATTACGCCATTCGCGAATCAACGACTAGTGTCAAGATCTTCAAGAACTTCAAGGAGCAGAGCAGTGGTCTTGACGTTGGTTTCCAGGCGGAGGGACTCAGGTGAGCCAATATCGTGCTTTTGGTGAATTCAACTAACTGGGAGGCTTTCAGTGATGGTGTTCTTCTTGGTGTGAAGGGCCAGGGTGGCATTGGTCTGTTCGACTGGGAGACCGGTAACCTGGTGCGGAGAATTGAAGCTGACCCCAAGACTGTAAGTTGTTCGATGCTATGAATATCGAAAGGCGACGAACTGACCGTTTCCTCCCACAGGTTTACTGGTCCGAGTCTGGAGAGCTGGTCACTCTTGCCTGTGAAGACAACTTCCACGTCCTCCGCTTCTCGCGCGAGAACTACATCAACGGCTTGAACAACGGAGAAGCCGATGAAGATGGCGTTGAGTCCGCTTTCGAGCTCGTCACCACCGTTGAAGAATCTGTTCGGACCGGAGAGTGGGTTGGAGACTGCTTCATCTACACCAACTCGACGAACCGCTTGAACTACCTCGTGGGTGACCAGACTTACACGATCTCTCACTTCGACCAGCCCATGTACGTTCTCGGTTACTTGCCCCGGGATGGCCGAATCTACATCTCCGACAAGGACGTCAACGTCATGTCCTTTGGTTTGTCGCTCAGCATGGTTGAGTATCAGACACTGGTGCTGCGTGGCGACATGGACATGGCCGCCGAGCTGCTCAAAGACGTGCCTGTGGACCAGCACAACAAGATTGCCCGCTTCCTCGAAGGCCAAGGTTACAAGGAGATGGCTCTGGAGGTTGCAACCGACCCAGAGCACCGCTTCGACCTATCTCTCGCGCTCAACGACCTCGAGACTGCCCTTCAGATCGCGCGCGAGGCGAACGTCGAGCACAAGTGGAAGATCGTCGGCGACGCCGCCCTGGCCGGGTGGAACCTAGCCCTGGCACAGGAGTGCTTCACCAACGCCAAAGACATCGGTTCTCTCCTGCTGCTGCACACGGCCAGCAACAACCGCGAGGGACTCCGCGCGCTGGCCGCCCAGGCCTCAGAGTCCGGTCTACACAACGTCGCCTTCTCCACGCTCTGGTCGCTTGGCGATGTCGATGGCTGCATCGACCTCCTCGTCCAGACAAACCGCCTCGCTGAGGCCGTTCTCCTCGCCCAGACCTACAAGCCCACCAGCGCCCCCGCCCTCGTCGTCCAGTGGCGCTCTTCTCTCGAGCAGGGTGGCAAGTCCAAGGTCTCCCGCCTCATCGGCGTTCCCCCCGGTGCCCCGGATGTCATCTCCACCGACGACGACCTGTTCCCAGAGTGGGATGAGTACATCCGTCTGGAGAAGGAGGGCATCGTCGTCCCGGAACCGCCTTCTTCCGAGTCTCTGATCGATGTCGTCGGGGACGGTGATGGTGATGGTGCCGAGCCCGCGAGCGCTGCCAACGGTGCCCCCGAACTTGATCTCGACACCGCGGCTGCAGCGGAGGCGGAATAAGGAATACACAAAAAATTGAAATTGCCATTGCTGGGTTGGGTTGGGTTGAGAGACTAGAGTGTTGTCGTTGTTGTTAGAGAGCGTTTTTGGTTCCGATTGATGAGAGTCGGTCTGATTCTTGAATTGCGAGCGGCGTCTTTAACGTGTATCCGAACATTTTATTTTATTTTTGTTTCTCGATTTCTTATTTTCATTTTGGTATGGTAATCTTTTACAACCTGTCTCCTTCCATGGGATGGATGGATAAGAAAGATGCACGCTATGACAGGAAATGGAATTGTCTTTTTGAGATATATAGCTCCATCGTAGGACTTCCTCAACATGTCTCGCGATTCGGAGGCTTCTGCTGCTTGCTCCCTTTGGCATTTGCCCAGCTGCGAACTTGTGTTTGGGATAAGGTGTTAGGTATGTAGACTTGCTATGTTTCCTCTATAGATGAATTGTTTCAAAAAAATTCGGATCGGATCCCTGGGTGCATTGTGTTGTATTGTCCATTGCGTAGGAAGATAAAAATCTTTGATGTTTTTCGAAATAGAGTGGACATCTCGCTTGCACCTGGAGGGAAAGATGCGAAGATCGTGATAGTAAAGAAGGACAGGAAAATGATCATCGCTTGAGAACATCGACAGGTAAGGGGGTGCAGTGCATTTGCCAAAAGGGCCGGCAGTGCACAACAGTATAATGGTGAGAGGGATGGGGAGGGAGATGGATTGGTTGCAATGGGGTGAAAAGTAGACTCCGAGACCAAAAGATGCCCCACACTCCTAATGAGACGAGACAGCAGCCCAAGCGTGGAAACAAACAAAAAACATGGACAGTGATCAAAATTGGTGGTGATATGTGAGTGAAGCAATAACAAGCACACGGTACAAAGGAGACTCGTTTCTATGACGAAAGGCCTTCCCCCACACTGATCATTTGTTTTTCTCTTTTCGAATCTGATTTGACTCTGATCAAAAACTCTACTCGGGGATGCTTCCAAAAGACGGGTCTTTGACACTGCCGCCCGCGTCCCCGAGGCCGGCCACTGGCCGGTTGTACGACCATCCGGCGAACTGTTGCTGCATGGTCTGCGACAGGGCGGGGCCATCGACGTACGAGTCTTGTGGTGCCTCTTGGGTGAATTCGCGGTCGAAGTTCTCTGTATCACGGGCGTCCACCTAGAGTGGGCATGTTAGCTTTGTGATTTAAGAGGAAAGGAAAGACAATACGTACCACATTCGGCCGGAAGCTGGGCTCATACTTCCGCTGGAGAAGCTTGCGCCAGTCGATGTTCGCGAAGAAATGATGCGACTTGATCTCCGCGGCACCGTTGGCGCCCAGCCGACGCTGGGGGTCACGGTCCAGCAGTCTGGTCAACAGATCTCGAGCGGCGGGAGGAACGATGTCGCTGCTGGGGAAGGTCAGAGGCTCCTGCAAAATCTTGCGGTACATCTCGTTGGTGTTCTCGTCGTAGAATGGCGGTAGCCCTGTCAGCATCTCATAGAGCAAGACACCCAGTGTCCACCAGTCCACCGTCTTTGTGTAACCGTTGCCCAGCAGAAGTTCCGGAGCAAGGTACTCGGGAGTGCCGCAGAACGCTGCTTGTGGTTAGCTTTGACCGAAGGCGGAACATAGTGCCAAACTCACTGTTTGTTCGGTCCTCATCCTTCATGTCTAGCTTGCAAAGACCGAAATCACAAAGAGCAATATGTCCGGTGTAATCGAGAAGAATGTTCTCCGGCTTGAGGTCACGGTAGATGACCTTGAATCCGTGGAGACACTCCAGAGCGCACAGCAGCTCCGCGGTATAGAATCGCGCTCGGTTGATATCAAATCGCTGTTCTTTCTGAAGATGATGGAAGAGCTCGCCACCATTCACAAATGCCAGGACGAAATACAATTTGCCTGGCGATTGGAACGAGAATTTCAATGGCACAATGAAGGGATTGTTAATCTGCGCAAGCACCGATCGCTCGGCGAGGGTGTGCGTGACTTCGGATCGTGAAATGATATGAGCCTTGCGGATGGTCTTGAGGGCATAGATTCGGCCAGTATCTTTCTTCCTGTTTTTGGAATGAAATGGTAAGCATCAAAATTGATAGAGATGAGGAGGGGGGTCTCTTACATGACCTGCATGACTTTGCCGAAACTACCTTTGCCCACAACTTTCAACAAGTCGAAGTCCTCCAGCTTCAAGCTGCGTTGCTTGTTCTCCACAAACGAGACGCCAACCTTGATCGAACCAGTACCGAACTGCATCTCCAGCCACTCGGCACCCAGTTGACCCAGATGACGCTCCTGCTCTGCATGAGCGGCCGCCGCTTTTTGGTTGTCCTTCTTGCTCAACTTCGGATCTTCCACAAACGGCTGGGCTTCCTCGAAACGAGGGGTGACCTTGACCGCACCCAAGAAAATATCCTCACTGCGCCCAGCGCCAGGCCGGGCTGCAGGGTTGCGCAAATACAGCTGAACATTCAGCTCAGTCTTGCGGGAGACATCGAATTTGAAGGCAGTGTTGTCACCGGCCCACAGAGGGTTCTCGGGAGTTCCCGACACGGCATCAACAAAGACCTGATTCTTTTCAAAATCCAGAAGAGCGTATGGAAGATATTTGGTTGAATACCGGCCGTGACTGGTCGGTGCGTTGTTCATTCCTCCGCTGGTGGACTGCGGTCGGTTGGACTGCGCAAAGGAACCGGCCTGGCCATGGGCGGAGTGTGACGAAGAGGAGGTACTGGGACGCAAGGATGACGGTGCATAGGAGTTGTTCTGGAAATGCGAATTGAAAATCTGCTGGAAATGGGGAGACAGAGAGAAGTTGCGGCCTTCATGGAGGGTGACGATCAGGATGCCAGGTTTGACGGGAGCCACAGGGGGTGACACGAGGGCCTCTGAAGCGGCTATAAAAAGGCACCATTAGATACTGGGGGAGAAAAGAGACATGAAAATCATACCAATCCCGTTTGATGAGGTAGCCGAAGCCACGCTGGGGGAATGAGAGGTTACCGGTGTGATGGTCTCTTCGCCACCATTCGAATCACCCTTAATCGTCGAGGTGGACGACGACCGACCGAAAGTCTGCGTCAACGGAGCCAGATGGGTCTCCTTCAATTCTATGATTTCTCAGATTATATTAGCCTCGATGCCAGACCGTCACGTTGGAGGAGGGGGAAGGGAGCGTGATCCCGAGGTAGATAGATAGGGAGACCAACTGAACATACTTTTGGTGAGCTTCCAGGACATGGTGGCGGTGTGTGAGGAAGACTCGAGGGGATGGACGAAGAGGAGGGTGTGAGTGGTTTCAGAATGGTGCCGACCGCAATGCGAAGGGTGGGTGGACTGCCTGCCGACCCCGAATTAATCTCAATGTTTCCCCAAATAGCGCAAGCCGCCACAGCCACGGAACAAGTAACCCACCAATGTGGGAATCAACAAAAGAAGGGAGGCACCACAAAACAGTCGCACGGCTAGTCAGGGCACAACCAGCAGGACGAAAGACGGTATCCAGACCCCGAATCGACGAACAAGGGAGACTAGGGAAGAAAGCGAAAGGGGAAGAGAGAGAGTGTGTGAGAGAGGCAGACAGAGAAACATGAACGAGAGAAGAGGGGAAGGGACCGGACACCTCAGGCATGAATATTGCCTCAGGCCACAGTGGAAACTGACTCAGCCACAATCCGCACCGCCACGTCCAAGGGGAACGACCATTCTATCTCCACACGCTGAACCGGAGCGCCCATTCCCGATTGCTGAGTCGCTCAACTGCATTGATCCTCGATTATTACCCCGACCAACTACTACCAACCACACAGATCAACATTGAAGATCCCGTCGTTCACTTAGTCCGTCACCCCCTACGCCACCCAACTGCGGAGAAGCTTAACCCCGGCCTCCCGTCCAACTCCCCGTCTCACGCGTTTGCACCTGTCTTCCCAGAGTCACCCAACTCCCTCTGTGTGCCCTCTCAGACATCTGGAGGGCGTGTTTGAGATTTCGAAACGGCGTCGGATTCAGTGGAGGATGAAAGGACCCAAGGATCGATGGGTGTAATACGCAAGAAGACCGCCTCGCGCGGCACCGAGGCTGGCACCAAATTTCATTGCGACGTGTGCTCCGTGGATGTTACATCAACAGTGAGTGTTTATGGTTATTTGGAACCACCAAGTGCTGACTCTGAGGGCTAGGTGCGCATCTCGTGCGCCCATCCCGACTGCCATGAATACGATCTTTGCGTCCCCTGCTTTGGTGCGGGGGAGAAATCGAAGAACCACGACCCGCAATCTCATCCATTCCATGTCATCGAACAAAACTCCGTCCCGATCTTCCAGGAGGACTGGGGTGCGGACGAGGAGTTGTTGCTGCTGGAAGGCGCGGAGATCTATGGCCTAGGCTCGTGGGCCGATATCGCAGACCACATTGGCGGCTACCGCACCAAGGATGAAGTACGCGATCACTATATCGACACATACATCAACAGTTCCAACTTCCCGCTACCGGACCGGGCAGACCCGGAAGACACCACTCTCCAAAATTCGATCTCCAAGGAGGAATTCCAGACGCGCAAGAAGCGGCGCATCGAGGAGCGCAAGGAGGCCGCCAAGGCAGCACCCCCAACGACACCGAAGCAGAAACCCACTGCCAGCGTACCGGCCTGCCATGAGGTGCAGGGCTACATGCCTGGTCGTCTAGAGTTCGAGACCGAGTTCTTGAACGATGCAGAGGAGGCGGTCCAGCATATGACGTTCGAGCCTGGGGCGGGTATCGGCCCTGAGGGCGAAATGGATCCGGAGACCGAACTCAAGATGACGGTGGTCGATATCTACAATTCGCGGCTCACGGCGCGTACGGAGCGCAAGAAGATCCTCTTCGAGCATAACCTGCTTGAGTACCGGAAGGCCACCGCGCAGGATAAGAAGCGCTCCAAGGAAGAGCGCGACCTTCTCAACAAGGCGAAGCCGTTGGCGCGGATGATGAACCGCAAGGACTTTGAGGATTTTAACAAGGGGTTGGAGTATGAGCACAACTTGCGCCTTGCCATTTCGCAACTGCAAGAATGGCGGCAAATGGGAATTGGCGATCTGAAAACCGGCGAAAAGTACGAGCAGGACAAGCAGCAGCGTGTGCAGCGGTTGTTGCCCCAGGGCTCGTTCGACCGCTTTGCCAGCGCACGACCAAAACAGTCGCAGCAGGTGGACCAGGCATCGGTAGCGGGCCAGCTAACGATGCCCGAGCTGCCGCTGCGACTGCAGAAGGCGGCGAATCCGCACAAGCAGCCCGACCCCAGCGACCTGCCCCTGAACGACTTCGATCGCGCCTTCGCCGTTGACGGCGACGGGATGCCGGCTCCGCAACCCGCCAAGACCAAGTACGTGGTGCAGCCTCTGAGCGGCGTGCCAGCGTGGAAATTGGATGGCGACGGCGCGGCCGACTTGCATCTCCTCACCAAGGAGGAGGTCGAAGTGTGCAACGTTCTCCACTTAATGCCAAAGCCCTACCTGGTTGTCAAGGATACGCTGTTGAAGGAGGCGATGAAGCAAGGCGGCAGTCTGAAGAAGAAGGACGCGCGGGCGATGTGCAAGGTGAGAGCTGTCCTTTAGCTCTACTTATGTTCACCACTAACTTGATATCTACAGATCGAGGGCACGAAGACGAGCCGCATTTACGACTTCATGGTGCACAGCGGATGGATCAACAAGGCATAGTTAGTGGCTTTCCTCGCGCTTATATCCTTCTCTGGCTTTGTATTCTTTTCGGACAGCGGCTTTTGTGTGTACGCGTCTACGGCGTTTTCGGTGGGCCTACGGACTGGCGGTGTCAATCGTGTTGACAGATATCTTGTGATGAATGAACACTACTCTTGGGATTTAGTCGTGTATCTGTGTCATGGATGTGTTGACGTGGACGTAAGAAGGATGTTCATTGTAAGACTATAGTACAGGCAGAGAAATAAGACCCGGGAGGTCAGTCACGACGGCATGGCCATCGTCCTCGATGAGGCCAAGGGCCGATGGATGAGTTGGCCGGTGAGTTGGCAAGTATCTGGCTTGCTGTTTTCTTCCAACCCCACCATTCATTAGTGTTTTCGGGGATTGCTCGTCAAGATGTCCATCACAAAAGATCTAGACAGGTTGCTGTCCGTAGCTGCATCAAATGATGATAAAGGGACTAGAAGTCTGTGACCTCTTGTGGAAAGTGGAAAGCCTGTGGATGGAAGTTTGTTGTAGGACTGGGTCGAGAGGCAGGTGGAAAACTTAAATCTCTTGGGTAGTTCCTTCTTTATATAGTCTACATCAATACCACATACAGTGCCTAGGTACCCATCCTGGAGAACAAGCCTTCAGTATATGTATTCCGTATCATCCACCATAGCTCCAATGGTTATTCAACAAGAGAGAATGTATTACCCATCCCTCTTGATAAACAATGCTTTGTTGATCATACAAAATTAGGTTGCTCTAGTCCACTCTCCCAGTTCCGCTCTCTTATCCACCCAGGGCAATGAGTTTGATTATCGTGCCAGAGTCGAAAAAGATTGTGCCAAAGTACACCCCTTAGCTTCAGGATTGCCCAATCAATGACCGGACTCCCGACGATCAACTCTCTAGCGTGCTCCGTCATTGATTGGACCCTGTTTAAATCACGAATTGGGGGCCAGCGCTCGGATGAACCCGCCCCTCCAGGCAGATGGAATCAGAGATCTCCTCCGAGGAAGGGGGCTATGTATTATTGGGGCTTAAAGGAGTCTCGTACCCCCAACTATAGAGGGACTTCTACTACACCTCCACGGTCCAAGACGAGGGCATTACGGCCAGATTGAGTGGTTGGTTGGAAATGCTGATCGTCGGCGAGCAGCGGATTCTCACTTTCTTCCTTCCCCCTATTTGAAATTCCGCCAAAGTTGAAAAAGACTTTTCAGCCTCGTCCCTTCGCCCATCATCTGCTAGCATATCTGCTCTGTTCGAGTGAGCTTTGTGCTAGTTACTGGTCAACAGCACGGTTGACCATGTCCGACACGCGAACATGCTATTTCCCCAACGGCCTGCCCGCCCCGGGAACCGTTCCCTGCACAAGCGATGAAGTCTCCTGGTGCTGCAGCACTGACAATTTCTGTCTGTCGAACGGATACTGCATGGACGTAGCCCAGCCCTACGTTCTCTCTCGCGGAGCATGTACAAGCGACAGTTGGGCAACGGGGTGTCCGTCGTACTGCCGTATGTGATAACTTTCCCACTGTCAGGTCCCACTCGATTCTCGAAATACTAACCGATGAAAAATGGAATAGAGGAGCAAGAATTCGAGACTATGGGCTGCTCCATCATCAACCTCTCCTTCTACGACGGCGTCTCCACGTACTGCTGCGGAACGCCCGTGATCGATGGCGATAGTATCGTCTGTCCTTACGGGTACGATGCCTTCCAGCTCCCCGACGCAACCGTTCTCACCGGCCACGCTCTTCTCGCCAATGTCTCTTCTCTAGCTGCGCCATCTACATCTTCAGCACCCAACTCTTCCCCCTCTTTTACTTCTGGGAATACAACCACCACCGCCTCCTCCTCTTCCTCCTCTTCCTCCTCCGCAAGCACCTCCCACGACGTAGCCCTCGGCGCAGGGCTAGGCATTCCACTTGGCCTTATTGCCGTTGTGTCGCTGTTCTGGGCCTTCTGGGAACGCAAACGGGCGAATAAACTGTCCAAGGCTTTGATGTCGGCTGCGGCTAGCCCCGGCCTGGAGTCCGGGGGGAGTCCCCAGTCGCGTCTAATGAATAATAGTTCTGGGCCATCGGAGTTGAGTGCTAAGCGGCCGACTAATGAATTGATGGGGAGGGAGGTGAGGGAGGTGTCTTATTGAAAGGATGGTGTTGTATATTAGAGATGCATAGAGGCGCCTAGGTACTTGAGATATATATAATCATCAACGATATATAATTCAGCGATTAGATGTGACATACCTACAAAGTTATCCCATTAGTGTCAAAATAGACTTGCTGATCAGAGCTGCTATCCAACCATGGAACCAATGCCTACCTCCACTTCCATCCAGCACTTCTCCGCATCAGCCTCGGTACTTCCTCGGCATTGTCTCCGCATTTCCAATATCATCAACCTCATCTTTACAATAAACACTTCATAAGACCCTGTTCTTCTCCCTGCATGATTCTCACCACTCTCGCACCCATTTCCCAACCCAAACCAAACCAATTCCAATCCGATCCAACCCCCACAATTCAATCTCAAAATGCCCTCCTTCACCACCCCCCCACCAACCCTCCAGCACGCCCTCCTCTCCTTCCCAGCACCCCATGTCCTCCTGGTAACGCTCAACCGACCGCGCTCTTTAAACTGCATCAACACACAGGGCCACATTGAGCTACACGCCGTCTGGGAATGGATGGACGCCGAGCCCGCCATGCGCGTGGGCATCCTCACGGGGAAGGGGCGGGCTTTTTGTGCGGGGGCTGATTTAAAAGGTATGAATCAATACTACCTATTTTCTTTCTCCTTCTCTTTCTCTTCTCTCCCAACGACGCCAATATGGGCCAGCTCCCAGAGATAAATATATGAATGCTTATCAAGACTGCGGGCCTATATAGAATGGAACGACAGCGCCTCCAACACTACCACCAACAACGACAGAAACAGCACCCGACCAAACACCGGCTTCGGCGGCCTCTCCCGCCGCAAGGGCCGCAAACCGGTAATCTGCGCCGTCAACGGGCTCTGTTTCGGCGGCGGCACAGAAATGATCGTTAACAGCGACCTGGTGATCGCATCCTCGAATGCGGTCTTCGGACTCCCGGAAGTAAAGCGCGGAGTTGTCGCGCTGGCGGGGGCATTGACGCGGCTTGTGCGGACGGTTGGCAAGCAACGCGCGATGGAGATGGCGCTTACGGGGCGCAATGTGTTGCCGAGCGAGGCGGAGAGGTGGGGGCTTGTTAATGAGGTTGTTGATACGACTAGCCTTGGGAAAGATGAGGATGCGGTGAGGGAGAAGGTGGTTGCCAGGGCTGTGGAGGTTGCGACGCTCATTGCGGAGAATAGTCCCGATGCTGTACTTGTTAGTCGGGAGGGTGTGAAGTTGGGCTGGGAGGGGATTGGGGCTGAGGAGGCTACGAGTATGTTGGCGGATACTTGGGTGAAGAGGTTGTATGAGGGGGAGAATTTGAAGGAGGGATTGAGGGCGTTTGTGGAGAAGAGGAAGCCTGTTTGGGGGGATAGTAAGTTGTAAATATCTGGATACAGGAGTTTGTCTTTCAGACTATACGAAGGACTACTCCCGAGTGGTAGGGCTTCAAAGTATATTGTTCTGCATTGCATTGCTATTCATACTACAAGTCGTAAGTCATATCCCAGTCCAGTCCAGTGCACTGTCGCGCCATATCCCATGCGAATTCCGTGTGTGTAATACAAAAAAAAAAGGAAGAAAAATCCAGCACCTCTCCTCAAATGCGCGGTTGACCGGCCTCCTTGGACTCCGACTGTACGCGAGCGACCACTTTCAGGACAGACTGGAAGAGCGGGTGCGTGCGCTCTAGACCCGTCAGCAAGGCCGTGGCATCAGCCGGCGAGTTCTCCTTCAAGACCTTGGCCAGCTCAGCGCTCTCGTCATCGCCCTGAACATTCTGGAAGCGGAGCGCCATTTCAGTCGAGCCCATCAAGGCATCGAACTTCATTCCCCGCTCGGCCAGCTGCGCGGCGGGCCCAATGAACCGTTCCTTGCGGGACAGCTTGCGCATGGGCGCGCGGCCGACGCGCTCGACGCTGTCTTCCAAGTAGGGATTGGAGATGCGGCTGACGATGGTCTCGACGTACTCCTGCTGCTCCTGCGCCGAGATCCCGTGCTTATCGACGATCAGCGAAGCGGTCTCTTTGAGTGCATCGCGAACTTGATTACGGATGAAGGGCTCCCGGAGCGCCTCGGCAATGGTCTTCTTGCCGGCATAGTAGCCGTAGTACGCGGCCGTGGCGTGGCCCGTGTTGACGGTGAACAGCTTGCGCTCGATGTAGGGCTCCAGATTATCAACCCAGTGGATGGCGGTGATATCCGGGTGGCCGACACTGCCAAAGGGAGTTTGCTCGACGACCCACTCGTAGAACTTCTCGATGCGCACGTCCAGGCCGCTGTCGGGGGCTTGAGCGGGGACGATGCGGTCGATGGCAGAGTTGGCGAACTGGGCGCGCTCGCCCATGCTCGTGCGGCGCTGCGCGTCGGTTTTTTCTTCAATGTACTTGCGCAGGGTGTCGGTGCCACCGATAGCGTTCTCGCAGGCAATCACGGCCAGCGGCTTAGGCATGGTGCGCCGGTCAATGCCCTTGGCGATGACGGGAGCGATGAACTTGAGCACGTTGGGCCCCACGGCGCAGGTTACCACATCGGCGGTGGCGATCTCCTGGATGACCTCGCTCTCATGGGTCTTGGAGTTGATGGCGCGGTAGTTGGTGATGGTCTTGGTGGTCTCGCCGTCCTCGCTGACCTCGGTGACCTTGTAGGACTTTTGAGTCTGCAAGGCGTTGATGATGTTGTCCATGACATCGATGAAGACGACCTCATAACCGGCAGTGTGCAGGAACTCGGCGACAAAACCACGGCCGATGTTGCCGCCGCCGAAGTGGATAGCCTTTTTACCCATGGTGAGGGAAGTGTATAGTTTAGGGTTGTTTAGGGTTGAAGTATGACGTGGGTGAGGTTAAGTTGTTGGGGAAACCAACAAAGAGGCAAGAAGTGTGAGAAGAGGAGTGAAGAGAAGAGAGAGTGAAGAGAGTGGTAACTGTTTGGAATAGAAACGGAAAGAGAGGAGTGGAAGTATTTAACAACCCGTGGTGCCTTCCCGACGATGACTTCATCGACTCGGTCCCCCCCCCACGGAACTTGGCTCCGCCTTGTTTGGCGGGCACATAACATCATCGTTTGAGGTATATTCTTCTCACTCCTCCGTATTGAATGTGATTATTATTATTATTATTTATTTATTCTTCTCATTATTACAGGCAGTCCGTGCAACCTCATTTCCCTTCCTATACTTCTCACTGGACGAGACCACATCTATACTCGGAGAGACCCACTCCGGACTGCAGTAGACTATCTACAATTCTCCTGACACTGCGCATCTCCCTGATAGTCTCACCGGCAAACATGCTGATTATGCCCGGGAAATTCCGTCCCCAGCTTGTCGAATGGAACGCTCATCTCAGTGGTGCGCAGGCCAAGACGCCCCTGGGCGATTCTGGGTTTAGTCGGACAAGCCAGCCGCAATGCCGGTCATAACCGGGGAAATGCACGCCACACCAGGACCACATCGGCCCTACGTTTTGGCATGTTGATGCCCAAATGAACACTCCCTATAGCATAGTTACAGAAAGAGACTACTGATCTACACCTCCCTTGCTCTCTCCATCATGGTGTCAACAGACAGAAAGACCATCGTCTAGCCATGTTTTGACCCACCGTCTTTCCCGCTAGTCGCATCGGGACCGAGGCTTTATCGTTTCATCCGTGCGATGCTTCGGAGCACAATTCTTCCATTGCTTTCTCGCGCGTTCACGAATCAGCGTATGTACAGCGTACCCCCGTTCCCCCTCTCCCCCAGCGCTTACTTTCCCCTGGCCCCCCAAATGGTCCGGGTGCAGCCTGTTGCTCGCAAAAAACTCGCCGGATTCCCAATTTCGTGCATCCCGCCCATCAGCGGATTGGTTGTCGAATCCGTCGGGGGTAGCAGTGACATCTTCTCTTTTCTCTCTCGTGCTGCCCCCGCGAGCAGCAGCCCTTACATTGCTTACCCTCCCTCGGTATCCTTTGCAGGTGCTGCGGCAACGGTCTGCTGACCACTACCGAACATCGTCAGGAACTTGGCACCGCTGCCCACGATCAACAGGGACACTGCCGCCCAGGTCATGCCGAGGAACTTGTGCCCGTACTCCGCAGAGACATTCGACCCCTTGCCGTGCGCATTAATCAACGCGACAAATTCAAATGCCAACACGGTCGCGATGATCGAGGCGATGCTGAGGCTGAGCGCGCCCAGCTGCATGAGCGTCGTGTCATGTCAGCATGACCCAAGTCTGCGTGGCAGAGTACTCACCATCATCAACGGCAATTCCAACACATGCTGCTGCTGATTCGGCGATAGAAACGCCCAGACTCGCACCAGAAGCATCGCGCCCATCGCACCAACCGCGATGCAGTACAGCACGGCCATCGCGCGGCTGGTCAGCCGGAACGCCTGAAAGTCGTCGCTGATCACCCGCGGCCATTCCAGCGCGGTCCCCTGTGTGATCTCTTTTGGCCACGCCTCCGTCGGGTCAAATGAGAAGAGAATCGTGCGGTTCGAGCAGGCCGTCACGTTGCGCGTGACCCCGGGGTCGCCGGGGTCAATGGTTCCCAGGGTTCCCTTGCAGTACGACATGAGATGCACCGAGTAGAAATTGTGGGCGCTGGAGCCTCCTTCGGGGGTGTAGAGCTGCAACTATCATTAGGGACAACTATCTAACGAAAAAGGTACCGATTTAAACTTACTGTCAAGACATTAGCGGTGTCGAGGAGGTTCTTCTGCGTGCCGGCAAAGAGGCACAGGAGCGTGAGGATGAACGCGACAAACGTCGTCCCCTCGGGAAGCATCTGCATAAGCTTCATCTTGGCCATGGTCACCTGAGAGGAACTGAATCCGCGTGCCGAGAGTGAAGTGAAGGCAGATTCGATATCGAATGGCGTACTGACCGACACAAACCGAGAGGTTCAGTCTGATCCCCAATAGAGGCGAGGACAGGCGAGACACACTTACCTAAACGACCAAACAATACCCAGGGTTGACTCAGAATCTTCGATTCTGGACATTGTATCCAGTTCTTATACAGCCCCTCGCGGGGATTCATTCCTCTATCATTCCAAGGGCAGGCAGCCCGGGACATCGCACGCACATGATTCGGTGCTGCCGCGGTATGTATGTCCATCGCGTAAAGTAAAAGCAGTTATGATCCATGTTTACTGAGGGTCTGAATACTGAATACTGAATACTGAATGCCTCGGTCTTCAGGGTTGAGTCAAGACGTGTGTTGTGTCCAGGTCGGTCCCGGCCCGCGCGAGGAATGCGGCCAGCCACCGCGGGGATCTTGCACTACCTTACTCTAGTCTAAATACATAATCAGCTGATCAATTCAAATATTATTGTCCGTTCTGGATTGGACTGAAATCCGTAGAATATGTATCGTTGGAGCAGGGGTGACGTGAGTAATGTTGGCGCGTGCCCTCGCTATGTAGAGCGTCCGCTATGGTAGGGTCGATTCTCTCTTATCCTCATAGTATCTTCTCGAAAAGCCCCATCTACCTCTATTTCTGAACTCAGGCATTGAATTGATTCTGGTTTTACATGCAGCGGCTGTCGCCCTATCTAGTATCCATATACAGAGTATATATACACAACACCTACATAGCCACTTCAATGGCAACTCTCCCCTTCACCCAAACCCTCACACCTTAAACCTTCCCCCTCCCCCTCCCAACACGACAGAAACAAGACGCCTCAACAGGCACATCCGCCTTCTCGCCCGCAACAGCCAACCTCCCTTCCATCTTTTCCGCCTCCTCCCCACGCCCCAATTTGCGCAAACACTCGCGCGCCCCATGGAGAGACCACACATTATCAGGATGGCGCATTGCTCTCGGCAAAACATCCGTAACCCCCAGATCGGCGAGGTATACATCCAACACGTCCTGGATGCGGCCCTGCTCAAGTAACAGCGCGCCATAGGCATGCCGAGTAGGCTGCATCCAGCCCCACGGTTCGTCGTAGGGAAGGTTGTCTTCGAGATGGATTGCGCGGCGGAGGTGCGTGAATGCGGTTTCGATGGCACCGCGTCGGTAGTGGATTTCTCCGTCTAGCATTTCTTGGGCGATAGCTAGGATATCGATGCATTTATTGTTGAACAGCGTTCGCGAGTCGGGAACGTGGAGCACGGCTGTTTGGAAGAGCTGGCGCTGGTGGTCCGCTGCTTGGATGTTGCCTGTCGCCGCGAAGGCTACCCCCTTTGCGTAGTGGGTTATTGCTGTAGTTGTGCAGTAGAGGGACTGATTATCTGGGAGCTGCAGGTTCATGATAATATCGTCCCACCGTCCAAACCGAATCAAGACGTGAGCACGCAGCGATACAAATGCCTCTAGCCAGTCCGCCATAGGCGGAGACTTGACCTTGAGCAGATCATCCGGAATAGCCGCCTCAAGCTGCGAGACCGTATCCAACGCGACTTGGAACTGCGCCGAGAACATAGCCGCATAAACACGGAAATGGTAATTATGCGCTCGATAGAGGGTATAAAAATTCCGCGGCCCGATCTTAGTCACATACCTCTCGTCGGCAGCGATTGCCGCCGAGTTCGAGTCAATAGCCCGCTGGTATTGTCCGCAGATCACGTCGAGGTGAGTGGGCATGTGATGCAAGTGTCCTCCGTCCGGGACGAGTCCGCGGAGATGGTCGGCTATGGGGAGTGCCGACTCGGGGGATGGTGACATCTCCATTAGATGGATGTATAAGTGTAGCAGACCGGGGTGGCGGAGTGCGCCTTCGAGTGCCAATGCGCCATCGAGCAGGTTCTTGACTTGAAGTGTTGGCGCGCCGGCTGTGGGAGCGCCAGTGTGTAGATCCCACAGAGTCCATGGATGCGTGTTCATAAGCGCATCGGCGTAGATGGTTATAACATCCAGATCATGCGGAAAAGAATCGTAGACGGATTTCATAGCCGATGCGAAGTCCGCATTCCACGCGGAACACGGCTTTGAAGGTATTTCATCCGGATATCGGGACTGAATAGCGCCGACAAGCGCCTTCTCAACAGCGGAGCCACTACTATCATTCTCAAGAATAGCCGCAGCATGTTTAGCAGCAACATACCCCCTTCTAACGACATTACTCAGCTCATCCTCATCGAAAAACTCCCACGGTTTATTATAGTTTGGACCGATGGCGTACGCAAGGCCCCAGTAGGCCATTGCGCAGTCTGGGTCCAGCGCGATGGCGCGTGAGAAGCATGTTGCTGATTCTTCGTGGTTGAATGCGTATGCCCAGATTAGGCCGCGGTTGAACCATTTTTGGGTTCCGGGGTGGGTGCTTGTTATACTGCGGTGGTGAGTTCCTAGGTTGAAGTACTCATTTGAGTCTGAGTTTTCTCCTTTGGACATTTTGGTTGATTTGATAGATCCTAGGGATAGAAAAGAGTGGTGTGGTGTGGTGTAGTTATCCCCCACATTTGATCTGGCTGATCACGTGTAAACAGGCATGGAGGATTAGATCCTAAGACGGCATTTTGTAGTTCGAAGTCATGATATCAATTTAGCATGCCTAATTATAATATGAGCGAGATACAGCTATTCAACCACCTAAACCTCACTCCTTTGTAGTTTGGAATGCTTTCTTTTTAGTCTTGAAAGCAAGAGAGGGAATCTGCAAAGCGGGTATGAAATAATGAAACGAGCGAGTTGGTTGAGGTAGAGCTAGAAGAAGGAAGTAACTCCACGACTACCTCAACTACGGCCTATAGTTAGTATTTGAACTAAATTACAAGGCAGACTTGACGAGAAAGCCCTAGAGCTGAGAAAGACTACCAAGCAGAGAGCTCGCGACCAACTTCCAATCCCTGTTCATGATCTGCGGTTTCACGACAACCAGATTCGTGCAATGGTGTTGCCGGTCAAGCTCCTAATTGGTTGGGCCGCCCCGAGTCGCTCCAGTTAGGGCTGACAGGGGCCCAGCGACTGCCCGGGTGGACTCGAACGATCCTATAGATAGCATCTCGAAGTCACTAGCAAGTGGCACGTTCTCAGATCATTGTCAGCAAAGCCAAGGCAAGGCTGCCAGAGCCCGACAACACCGGGCCCGAACACAAACACCGAGACTAGTGGCGTGCCGTTGCCCGAGCTATGAGACCAGTCGCCACGTTTTCCATCCCACCAGCCAGGAGAATGGAGCTTCGTCGTGCCCCGTGTCTCTGAAAGAAAGGACGGGGCTAGACGGTGTGCCCGGGACCTACCGTCGGCAGAGTGATACGAGCAGGGCTCATGGATGGGTCCGGCTGGAACCCACAGGATTTTCACTGAAACAAACCACCAGCACGTGCGCGTGCTTCTAGAAGACAGCCGTCCTTCTAGAAAGCCGCCCGAGGGATGCACCCAGATGGAGCTGGCTGTCCGTCGGAGGGGCCGATCCTCTGGCCCTGCATGGCCAAGGAAGATATCGAGAGGTCATCGGGTCAAGGTCATTGGCCGGTGCCAGCCACAACATGTCCATCCATACTTCGTACTAGCTGAAGGGCTGAACCAAAAGTTATCGATGCACTTGTTGTCATGTACACGCGACCAGGAGGGGCCGTTAGATGGACCGGACCCGCTGCGTGCTGTGGTTTGATGAGATCGAGTCCCATCGAGGAGACGAACAACGGATGCCCGGTCAATGTATTGAGAAGATTCATTTGCGTCAACTCTCGCCCAGACCATCTAGACCGAAGCATTCGCCCAGGAAGCTTGACGAAGTGGTGGATGCTTGGTCGCATGTATTTGCTTGACTGAACGGCACTAACCGTGGGCTCTGGGGAGGTTGTCGGCTGCCGCGCCCCAAACTGTCGATGCGATCCAGGGGCAACTCGATCTCGTGCTGTGAGCTGGGGTTGTGAATGGCTGGGAGAGTATCAGTGGGGCGGGTTCAAGCATCAGCCTGTCACTGACAAGAGTTGCCAATCACAGTGGAGGCGTGAGGCTAGATCTGCACGTGGTGAACAGTTGGACGAGAGAGACAAGGGAACCGAACGTGGGGCCGGAGAGCGGCGCGAAGGGGTAGGCGGTGAACCGAGCAAGGTGAAGGGCCGTGGAGCATGTGGCGGCCAGTGACAATCCACATTCCGACCACACTCCTCCGATCGGTGCTCTGATTGGGCCCCGGACATGGATGATTGCGGCGAATCGATCTAAAAATTCAGAAATGCATGGCTTTGGTCTGCCTTCCTGGCCGGCCTTCGCACTGCAACATCCCTCTGATCAACATATTTAATCTGTCGCTCGCCCTCAATTCATAGGCCTGTGCAGCCTAGCCTTGTGGTCCCTTCCCACCCACTCTTCCCAGGTCGAATTGTCGATCTGACACTCAATTCTCCACGAGTCAATTCATTCACCATGACGGACTTTGGACCGCGTGCCCCCCATGGGCCCGACATGTCGGGAACCCATAACCCGCTCGAGGATATGGACATTCACGAGAAGGGTGCCTTCGACCAGCTGATCCGTCCGGAGGACAGCTACACCAAGGAAGGCGTCTACTGGGCCGATCTGCCGCTCATGAAGAAGATCGGCTTCGTCAACGCCCAGAACAACACCGAGGCCAAGCGGGAGCTCAGCGGCATCTGGGCCATGATGAAGGAGGACCCCCTGTCCCCCATCAGCTTCTACTTTGCCAACTACGTGCTCCCCGGTGCCGGTCTCGGTCTGGAGGGTTACGTGCTCTTCTCCATCGGCACCATCTCTCCTCTGCTCGAGGCTGCCTTCCCCGAGTGCTGGGACGATGCGACCATTTGCAACAAGCAGTGGATCAGCGCCGTGAGCTACCTCGAGGTCATTGGTATCATTGTGGGTCAGGTCCTCGTCGGTGTGTTGGGTGACTGGTAGGTCAATTCCTCTCAACGGACTGAAACGGATCTAACGGGTTCTCTAGGCTCGGTCGTCGCTGGGGTCTGATTCAGGACGCGACCATCATGACTCTCGCTTTGGTTATGTTGACTGCCGCCTGGGGTGTCACTCAGAACGGTTGGGTGATCTGTTACGCGTGGTCGCTGTTCATCTACGGCATTGGTGTTGGTAAGTGGTGTCACTGGATGGTCAAAAGATTTTTCTAACTCAATTGCAGGTGGCGAGTACCCCATGACCGCTACCAGTGGTATGGAGAATGCTGTCGGCTCTGGCAAGGTTTCGACCCGGGAGGATCGTATGCACCGTGGCCGCAAGGTCGTCAGCGCCTTCTTGATGCAGGGCTGGGGTCAGGTTATTAACCAGGGTCTCTTGATCATCCTCCTGCTCTGCTTCCACCACGGCAGCGGCAACGCCCCCTACTCTACCGTGGCCGCCCAGTGGACCTACCGCGTGTCTTTCGGTATCCCCGCCGTCGGCACCCTCTGGCTCACCTACTACCGTTGCTACCACATGAAGGCGGCCAGCAAGCAGCTGATTGCCGCCAAGAAGAAGGCCTCAGTCACCGGCTACGATGTCGAGTCCCTCCGTCTGACCTTCAAGTACTTCGGTCCTCGCCTCCTGGCCACTACCGTTGGCTGGTTCGCCAACGACGTTTTCTTCTATGGCAACAAGCTGTTCCAGTCCGACTTCATTGAGGCGATCATCGGAAAGACCGACTCCGTCATGCCCACCTGGCTGTGGAACTTGGCCAACTGCGGTGTCTCGCTGGCTGGTTACTACTGTGCCTCATTCCTGGTCGACAACAAGCTGTACGGCCGCAAATGGATGCAGCAGGTTGGCTTCCTGCTCTGCTTCATCTTGTTTGTCGTCCCCGCCTTCAACTACGAGCACTACATCCAGCCCGCGAACATCAAGTCCTTCCAGGCCATGTACTTCCTCAGCTCCTTCTTCAACCAGTTCGGCCCCAACTGCATCACCTTCCTGGTCGCCGCGGAGGTCTACCCGACCCCGATCCGTGCCACCGCCCACGGTATGTCCGCCGCCGCCGGCAAGCTCGGTGCGCTGCTCACCGCCGTGCTGGGTAACTACATCGACACGCAGACCAAGTTCTACGTCGTCCCGTGGTTCGGTCTGGCTGGTATGGTGTTCACTTTCTTCTTCCTCCCCGACACCACCGGTCTGGACCTGAAGGAGCAGGAGCGTCGCTTCCAGTACCTCCGCGCCGGTCGCGAGGAGGACTACCATGGCCCCGCTGTGCACTCCAAGCACTTGTCCATCTGGGAGCGCATGACCGGCCGCGGCAAGCACTACAACGCCGAGCTGGACTACCAGCAGAAGGTCGAGGAGTTCCGCGCTGAGTGGGAGGCTCTCATGGCTGAGAAGGCCTCTGAGGAGAAGATCGACGCCGCCTTTGACACTGATGAGACTCTCCTCGAGGGCCATGTCCACTCTTACTTCCACCGCACCAGCCCCATGTTCAAGGGCATGGAGCAGTCTGTGCCTAGTAAGCAGGATAACTTCACTCTGCCCCCGGCGGCCGAGAATGCCTCTGAGGATACCGTTGGCAACGAGAAGCACTAAGCTTGTCTTGTCATTGCCATGGCACCCTTTTTGGCTTTCCCTTTTCTTTCCTTTCTTGTCAATGTCTTTCTCAGAAAAACTACCTCCCTGTCTCTTGATATCCCCCGTTTGCTTCGTGCCTTATTCGGCGCCTGGCTTTGCACATTGTCGGAATGTATGCATGATGTTGTTGGCCTGTGGCCTGTGTAATTAGAGATGTTCGTGTTGATATAATACCCATCCAGTGATTGCTGGTTGCTCTGATTCATGTTCTTTCGTATGCATCTACCTGTATAGAAGTCAATTCTAGCCTTGTGTACTGTCTAGTTGCTCTTGCAGAGCAATACTTACTCTCAGTAGAAGTGCTGACTAACCATGAACGACTCGCCTCGAAGTTGTACTCGCTCTAACTATGCCAACACTCATCCACCTGTGATCCAAAATGACCCAACCCAAATAAAGTGACACCCAAAAAGGAAAAGAAAAAGAGCAAAAAAAGAAAAAGGAATGCATCTATTTGCCCTCGGATCCAACGGATCCGGCCAACTCGGCATCGGCCACACAGAGGACGTCTCCTCGCCAACAGAGTGTCTCTTCGAGACCTCAGAACGCCATCAGGGCCCTTCTGATGAAAATGACAATATTACTCGAATTGTCGCAGGCGGCAACCATACCCTGCTTCTCACGGCCAAGGGGGCTGTTTGGGCAGCTGGGTTGAATGGGGATGGACGGTGTGGAGAAAACATCACTTGTATCCATGCGCAAGGTCAAGATTTGCACCGCGATGGAGAGAAGAATAGCTCATCAACGGCCAACGAAAAGAAGATCCCAACTGCGGCTACGAAGCAAGCGCAAGCGCAAGAACGAGATGGAGATGAACAAGAAGACACACTCCTTCGCTTCAGAAGAGTGTGTATCCACGACCCCGAGTCCGGATTGACTGTCGAGCATTTCAAGCACGTTGCTGCGACGTGGGAGGGGTCGTTGCTTGTGGCTTCGGTGCCGAAGATATCGAAGCAGAACCCTTCATTTTCAGCAGAGCAGATGAACCGCCGGGGAGATGATCAATCGGTATCTCCCGAAGACGATGAGGAGGAAGACCGCATCTACGTGCTGGGAACAGGTACGAAAGGTGAACTTGGTATCGGGTCACAGATACTGCATTCCGGGCCATCAGCGCCATCATACATCCCCAACTTCCCACCCCGTCCCGATCCATCTGAACAAGAACCCACCCCAAAAATCACCGCCCTAGCAACCGGAATGACCCACACCATCGCAATCCTCTCAAACGGCCAAGTCTACGGCTGGGGCAGTTCACGAAAGGGCCAACTGGGACCTGGCAATAAAGCCACCAAGATCATTTGGGAGCCTGCGCGCGTGGATGGGATTCCCTTCTTTGCGAGGAGTGCGGTTTGCGGGAGGGAGTTTACGGTTGTTCTGGGGGATGACTGTCGACGGTTTGTACTCCTGGGTGAGAGAGGGATGCGGTGGGGGGTTTTGGGGGATTTTCTTTCTTCCTCTTCTGCATTTTCAGTTGCATCGTCATCTCAACATGGAGATGGGAATGATGAGGGGGTGGTGGAGGTTAATGCGGTGAATGGATATACCGATATCCTCGCGAGTTGGAATGGGGTTTATGTACATGTTCCACCTAACCCAGCGGGCAAGTCATTGTCTGAAGAGGACAGTCCCGCTACTCCCAGCCCGCCACGGCCCGGTCATCTCATTGCATGGGGACGAAATGATCGCGGTCAACATCCACCGCCAACTCTCCCCCCACCGACCACGCTCGCTGTCGGTAGCGAGCACGTCCTTGCGCTCTTGGAGGATGGGACTGTCGCGGCGTTCGGCTGGGGTGAGCATGGGAACTGTGGCCCCGAGACAGATGCTCGGGGCAATGTGGCAGGGACGTATAATGTTATATCACTGCCGGAGGATGCAAGGACTGCAGGTGGCAGGGTTGTTGGTGTTGGGGCTGGATGTGCAACTAGTTGGTTGATAGTATCTTGAGCAGATGTCTCAGAGACCAAGATAAACAAATAACTCAGTCGAAAAGACCCAGACCACGAAGCTGTGACTCGTTAGCGAGCTGTTCACGACCAGATTTGCCAATAGACATACCTGGGACATGCGCTGTGTCGGCGGAATGCCCATCTCTTCCTTGGGAGCCTCTTTGCGCGACGACGCCGCCGTCAGTCTGGAGAAGTCAGGCTCCTCATCGCGCAACGTAGCCTGGAATGTCTCCTGTATCCGATTATCAGCAAGGACACAAGAAGAAAACAGCTTGAAAAACCACAAACCTGGCCTGTGGCATCCCACCCCAGAATATCCTGCGGCTCTTCCTCCTCATTCATCTCATCCCACTGTCGGTCATCGTCCGCCGGCACAAACAAGCTATCAAAGTCCATCGACGCGGACGCCGTCGACGATGCAGAAGGTCGCTGCTCCGCACTAGCCTTCTGCGCAAAATTCTCCTGAGTAGACAAGCCCGTAAGCGGGCGGATCGACCGACTGCGCGCTACTGGCGGAGGCGGCATGTCCGGAGCAGGATTCGGATTCTGCCTGGCTCTTTCCGCTGGAGTCAGAGCCGGTCCTGGCGTTGGCCGCGCAGAGAGTTGCTGCGGCATCGAGGCCCGGGAGGAGGTCGGCACATTGTCGTCGCCTCCTTCGACGGCTTCGCCACGCGTCATTAGCGTGAACTGTGCGTCGACACCTTCGAACTCATATGCCAGTTGCAGCGGCTTGCAGGGGCGGGTGTATCGTGCTGTGACGGTGGCATTCATCGTCTCGGCGTGGGCGACCACGGCCTTGAAATCTTTCAAGTTGATTGCTACGTGCAGCTTGTCCTCGACGAGGAAGTCGGCAAAATCTTTTTTATCGATGGCCACAGAGGTGTGTACGGGATGCTTGAGGACTTCTATTCGAAATTGGTTTCCGCTCTGCCAAATATGACGCATGCAACTTACCTTTGCCCTCAGTAACCTTGGTGGTAAAACTGGTAAACACCGCCTTGCCTGAGTCGGAGTACATATCCAGCTGCTCAGCCGAAAAGCTGAAGTGGTCGATTATCGACCTCAGAAACCGCGGGTCCGCAGTCCACTGGTTTATAGCCCTTGTGCGATCGAAGACGGCATGTTGAACGGTTGCAGGCTCGTAGGTGAGCTTGTACGATTTGATCACGCCTACAACGAGTCAGCTGTGCGTCCATGCCACTCAGTATGAGCGACCTACCCAGGCCGCAGATCATCCGAACAATCAGCCGACACTCAGCCTGCTGCGGACCTTCACGGATTTCCATGTCGCAGCGCTCCACGGCGGTGTCTTTATTACGGTCGATGCGACCACGGAAGATTGATAGCAGAGCCTGTATTGGCTCTCCATTAGCATCGAACTGCCATTGATTGCATTGCAAAGAAGGCCCAGTTCACAGACCTTGATGTAGATCTGGCAGCAGAACCGATCTGACTGCGCACTACTCGTCGTGCTCTGATGATGACGCGCAGCTCGACTGTTGGCGTCAGTGCTGAAGGCATACGCATCGAAGAACAGCTCTCTGACGAACGCGAACGCCGCGTACGCCGTCTTGGTGGAGTTAATCGCACTCAATCGGAGCTAAACCACATGGTCAATTCTTATCTTCTTGCGGCACTGTTTGTACATGATCTTACCAGGTCGTGCTCTGCCTCGATGGCGACAGTCTCGCTGAACTTAGAGAGACATGTCAAGGCGTCGTGGAGTTGGATCAAGGCTGGCGGGGCCAGCGATAGGGAGAGTGTTGTCATGGCTTTTGAGGGAATTTCAGCACTGGAGGAAGTTCCAGCGCTGGTGGTTGTGTTGAGGAAGTTGACTCTGCGTGTTGTTGATTTGGACGCACGTGATGATAAGCGTTGTATACGGTTTTCGTTCTCTCGAGGAGGAGGATAACTTCACCTCCAACTAAAAATTTGCAAATGATATCAATGAGAGTGGGTGCTTGCTGGTATTATGTGTATGTACTAAAGTTGTGTGGATGAAGAGGTTTTATATACAAAAGAATCGACTGATTCATCCATCTCTCTCCCTTCCATCTCTTTCTCCGGCAATTTGCCCGTCTGCTTCCCTCTCCCCAACTTGATTCTCATTAACATTCCCATTTATACGTTGATTCCCACGATTAGCCCTGAAAGGCCTTTGCATTTCCGCCACAATCGCCCTCCGTCGACGTGCATCCCGCAGGACGTATAAGAAATTGACGCCCACCTGCGCCAGGAAGACCAACAGAAATGCGCCAATCACCAATGTCTGCGAGATATACGTCTCCGACTCCGTCTCCGGCTCCTGCGCAGACTGGGGATTACTATGACGATTCTGCTGTCTATTTGCGAACACCGCGGGTCCCCCGCCACCAAAGGAGACAGATATCGAGAAGGAGAACGGTGTCAGCGAAGTGAGGACGCTGTTAGATGTGGAGTGGAATGCCGTTGAGAACGACGTTGACATCAATGGGATGATACAGATTATGAGGAGAGGGACGGCTAGTCATAAGACAGAGAGGAGCGATGAGCCGGTGGACCTGTTGCCATCATTCATGTTAGTGTTTTGTGGATCAAGAACAAGAGATGAAAGTACTTCTGGGACATACAAATCTCGAGCCTCGATCTCCCGCCCCCAGCGCGCTGCGATCTTGAGTCTCTCGCGGACGCTCGTCGCAGCCAGAATCGGGTACTTCTCTTCCTCGGAGAGGGGCAGCACGCAGGCCAACCACCAAGGAAACCGCGCGGCGTCGTTCGGTACAGGCCCGTATGCCAACATAATGCGTGGATGGAGCCACGGAGCCGCAGCTCGGCGCTGACGGGCGATGAACTTGCGCGCCGAATCCAGCAGCTGCTGCGTCGACATCGAGTCCACCGGCGGGAGGGGATCGACCGCTTGACCGTCTGGCTCTGCCTCTGGCGCTGGGTTGGCCGGAGCAGAAGTCTCCGCCAACTCGAGCCGTTCCTCCTCCGCCAGCGAGACGTCGTCAACGCGCTCGACTCGTCCAACATGATACCCGTCCAGCATCCCCGCCTCCAGCACCTTGAATCGCGACACACCGTTGGCGATCACCAGACTGCGTCCATCAGGAAGCAGCTCATACCGCTCAATCTGCAGAAGTGTGCCGTAGTCCATAAACTCCTCTGCGCCAGGCTGTGCCCGCGCCCGACGGTTATACATGACCATCCCGAACTTGCCGTCGCCGCTCTCGACAACACGTCGAATCATGAGCCGATACCGCGGTTCGAAAATATGCAGGAACGTCGGCATCGTCGGGAACGACAATGTACATACGAACAGCGCCAGCTTCTTCTCAATATCCACCCCCGTCTCATCCTGCGCGAGCGCTTCGCGCCGCGCCGAGACTTGGTCAGGGAAGAAATGGTCGATTAGCCCCGCTAGGGTTTTGTTCAGTGGCTCTGACTGCACGGTTGGTGGTAGGCCCAGCTTGCGGCGGCAGATTGGGCATAGATCTGTGTGGTCGAGGACCCGGGCGACGCATTTGCGGCAGAAGGTGTGTCCGCACGGAGTTGTGAGGGGGTCAAGGATGAGCGCATAGCAGACTTGACAGTCTAGCTCGGCGCGCAGATTTTCTTTTAGTGATTGGCAGGTGAGGTGATCGCGGTCGTCTGCGAGAAGATTCCCTTCATAGACCACCTCGCGCGCACTCCAGGGAAACCGGCCTTGGGATGCCAATCCATATACACCCTCCAACCACCCAGCACGATCAATCTGCGCCGAATGCTGCTCCTGCGCCTCGGTCTTCCATCGGACCATCAGGCTGCGCTGTTCTTTTCCATTTTCCTGCCCGGTGCCCGCACCCGACAGACTCTCCTCATATAGCGCCACGAGCTTGCCCAGCAACACATCCGTACCGCAGTCACCAACACAGTGGTCCCCAGCACATCCATCCCTTCCATCCCAGTGACAAAGAAACCCTTCCTCTCTACCCGCCGCGATGGGGTATGTAATCCCCGTCCGCGGGCGCGTCGGAGGCAGACATGCGCGGCACACCGTGTTGCCGCACGGTAGACGGAGTGGATTCTGCAGGGGATATGAGCAGCGATGACATTGGATTAATTGGATGACGACATGCGGCGCATCTGGTTGTTTTTCTGGTGACCTCGGCACGTCCGTCATGATTGCGCCTGGGTCAGCGGTGGCATGCGGGGATTGCGGAGACGGGGGCGTGGTGGCATTCTCCATCGCATGTCATGAGACTAGGAGTCTCGGAGTTATAGAAATGATATATATATATATAGTCTGGTGGATAGGAGTGCATTCGGTTATGTACTGAGGAAGAAGGTGTTGGGTTGGAGGGACTCGTGATTAGCAGAGGCGGGCCGAGTCCAGCAGATCGGCGAATCGGCAGTTCCTGATCCATGACATCTGACCTGCCACTACAAATCTCCTATTTCTACACAATCATTCCAATACTGCAGAGATATAATTCATGTCTCATTCCGAGGTAAATCCGCCCACCGCAATGCCAAAGGTACAGATGCAGAAAACCAGAAAAAAAAAAAAAAAAACCCCTCCCCAAACCCTCCCAAACCCAAAAAGAATAAACCGAGCCAGCACCGTGATTGCTCGCCAGGCCCGCATTGCAAAGGAGGTCATAGATAGATGGATAGTAGAGGGGAGCATGCACATAAATCGTGGCACAAACAACAGAAATTCATAACGTGACGCACCGTCTTGTGCCCGGGGGGGGTATAGTATCGACGATAGGTTAATCAGGAGTCATGACGAAATGCCCATATGAAAGAAAAAGAGAGAGAGAAAGAGTAGGAAGATTAAGTCGAGGAGTCGGAGTTGGAGGAGTCAGAGTCGGACGATGAATCTTCTTCAAAAACAATCCGCCGCATCACGCTTTTATCGAATAGATCCAGGGCAAAGCGGCGGGCAGGGAGCCGGAAATGGTGACTCTCCAGAATGCAGAGGGTTTTGCGGAAGAGATGGACTTGGTGGAATCGTTCGGGCTGTTTGGACTTGATGCTGTGGAGGTCTGCGGCCGAGCGTTTCGACAGGACAGTGTTGCCCATGTCGACGATCAGCTTCAGGATCTTCTGGTTGACTGAGTCTGGGTCCGTGGTGGCTCCTTTGAGTTGCTCGCGCGGGGTGCGATTGGCTTCCGCGTCGAAACCGGGGAAGGATATCAGAAACAGTTTGCGGAAATCAGTGGGAAGACAGAGACCCAGTGAGTCTCCCTTCTGGTCCACGGCTGAGTCCCATCCCAGATTTCGCAGCACTTGCAGCCCATGGCGACTGCGGGAGATGAGTCCCAGCACGAAAAACGCAGTACCTCGCATGGTCACGACGCCGGCACTCGTTGCGATCTGCACGATCCGCTGCACGATTTCCGACTCCAGGAACGGGGCGCCGAGTTCCATGGAACCAATATTGCCAATGGCCCAGAGACACCCCTTGACTTTGAGCAGCGCCTCGGTGTCTTCCTCGTTCAGCTGGAAATCGCGGATCGTCCAAGCAAACTCATTGAAATGGCCCGACTGTTCCAACAACTTACACCCTTCGGCTGTCCGAGCGAGCTCCCGGTAGAAATGCGGTGGAACCAGGCCAATGTCTCGGAGATCGACTAGATCCTCGGGCGCATAGCTGCTGCGTCGTGGCTGGTCGACATAAGCTCGGGAGAGAGCAGCCTCCACCAGCCCAACGTAGGAATCGTTTCGACCAAGGAACCAGTCGTCCATTTCTTGGGTGATGTAGTCCAGGCCATCCAGGTAATGATATCCAACTGAGGTGGACAGGAACCGCAAAAGAAGTGGCGCACCAATCTCTCCGAGATGATCAAGTGAGGGCCTGCACTTGACCACAAACTCAAGGTAATCGCGCTGGTTGCATGCCTCCTCGAGGACCTTGACGGCAGTCTGACAGACCGTGACATCTGGGTCATATAGTTGAGTCACCAGCAGCTTGATGACCCATTCCGCATTGCTAATGGCTGCATTAGCGGGAAGACCGGTATCCCCCACGGCGTATTTTCGGAGGAGCTTAGTTGCAAAGATTCGAATCTCCTTCGAGCCAATAGTGAGAGCCTTGGACAGCAAGACTCGAAGATGGCTTTCCTGGCAGTAATCCATATTCCCCAAAAGCGTCTGAATCAAGTCGTTCCGGTCCCGTAGCTCGATGATGTGGTAAAACATGTTCAGCATATGCCATCTCTCCATCATGATCAGTCCGTTGGGTTCAGCGCTTAGAGCGCCCAGCATCGCAAAGTAGCCACCACTCAAGGTATTGGTCATTTGCTCTCGCGAGAAGAGGGGTGACGCGGAAGTGAGACCACTCATCCGGTCTACTTGTGCCAGGCATTCAGCGACCTGTCTCAGAAACTTATTTTCGGCCAGGTACTTGGAACCCTCGGGAACCTGGACCAGTATGCGCATGAGGGCACAACCAGTCCGAACGTAACGCTGGTTTGGCTTGGTGTTTGGAATCATGGAAAATCGGTACTTGAAAGGCCGGTAGAATCCAATGAGACGCTTCATGAACTTGGAACCCTTAATGGCCTCGTCCAGTCTCTTCGGGTTGGTAAGAGGCCCTTCAACCAAGCGATGGATGAGATCCCATTTCCACTTGAGGTAATTGACAGTGTTAAGCACATGGGTCTCCAGGATGGCATTGCGGAATTGTTGTTCGTCCATAGCGGGGCCCAATTTGTCCTTGCCCTGGTCACCGGGTAGCAAAGACGCCGATAGATCGGCGTCCATATTGTATCGATTTGCCCCGCTGTTAAAACCACCAGAGCGCGCCATCGTTCGGTTAATACTGTCAATTTGGAAGATGGTTGAGGTGGAGACGTCATGGTTTTCCGTGTCAAAATTGATTGCTGATGGAATCAAGTGTGCAAGCACTTGCAAATTCGCGCTGATGGTCTGAGGCAAAGAATGATGGGCTAATTTGAGTACCTCGGTCAAGAGCAACGTTGCCTTGCGTCGGAGTGACGGATCGGTTTCATCTTCAATAAGATCAGAAAGCGCCTGGAATCGAGTCAGCTTGCTGGGTTATCTGAACGAGGGCCAAGAAATACCTTTGGTAACCCTGCCTCAACTAATGCCGCTAATATAAGAGTCGAGAAATGTGCCGTGAGATCGAATCTGTCGCTCCTGGTGTCTGCGAAACCGCGAGAGAATTTTTGATCCGTGTCTGAACGGAGATTTGAGACTCTGCCATAGGTTGTGAGTCTTCTGCCAGCCAGAAAGGAGGACGACCAAGAAGGAGGCTTGATTCGAAGAGCGTCGAACAACAGCTCCATGATGAGGTCGCGAGCCTGAGGATCGGGATAGTGGAGTGAGTCGAGAAGGGAGCGTAATGGCTGGGAATCGTGCCTTGCAAGAATCACCAGACCCGGCCAGGTCTTCAGCATTGCAGATATCGCTCGAGCGGCGGACTTTAGCCGCCCAGTGCGCAGTGAGTCGGACAAGGAGTCGGTGAAGGGTGCGAGGACGGCTTCAAGCTCACAGCCTTGCAAGTACTTTCGACTCCGAGGTGTATCAAGAACGTGCAGAAAACTCGAGATCAAACTCTCAGAGGCACCAAAGGTCCCCTCGGCCAAAGCATCGTGCAGCGCGGAGAACCCGCCAGCGGAAGCGACCAACTCGGGATCTTTGACCAACATCTCCGCCAAAGTCATGATCGATATGTTCCGAAGTCGGTCCTCGTGGTGCTCCGCGACGGAGACGATCGTTCGCACGATGGCGCGATCAACCTCTTTCACACCGTCTTTGACATCCAAAAACGCCCGTATAAACTTTAAAGCCTGTTCCCTTTCGATACTTGCTTTGCTTTCTTTGACGAGAGACAGTATGACCAGCTCATCGGTGTGCAGTGACCGGATCGTCTGCAAAGATTTCCGGTCCGCTATGGCGTAGCGAGTCAAACGGTATCCCGCGGCCACCACTTCCTTGCTGTCGCTCAGCAGCATGACTTGGACGCGCAGCCCGAATACCGGCCATGCCAGATCATATTTCAACGAGGGGTACCGCTTGAATAGTTCGACCAAACTGTTTGCGCGTTCCACGTAGAAATCGGGCGCCATCCCTTCGATTTCCAGTGCTTGTAATGTTTCCGTCAGAACATAGGTTGGCGACTCCATGTCCCCTTCGCCATCCTCCTCAAAATCCTCATCCATCAGCCCACCACGAGTGTCATTGCGCGACGGCGAGCGCATGGGACTACCGCGGAAGATCCCCGAGAGGCGACTGCGAGGAGGCGGGGACGACGGCGCCTGCGCACGTAAGATTTCATCCTCCAGTTCCTGGTGCAGCTCGGCCAGTTTTCGGTTGGACGAGCTGAGTTCGGACTCGACGCGTAACCTCTGTTCCTTGGTCTGTTTCGGGGGTTTTGCCAACAGGGCCTCCAGCATGTTCTCGGTCCCGGTCTTGATCTTCATTTCCTTGGCGATCTTGTCTCGAATGGCGGCCTGGCGCTCCTCGGTGTTGGGGAAGTCTTCCTCGCCGATCGATCGGCTGGCTCTGCGGGCGGCGTACGTGCCATCGGGTCGCGGGGTGACGCTCCTGGAATTCATGCTCTTCAGCTCGGCACTGAAGCTGCCGGGCCCGCCAAAGGACGGAGCCAAGGACGCCCTGGGCGCCATGGTGGCACTGCCCCCAGACTCAGACCGATCATTCCGCCCGGATCGTGAGATGGCATCGTGCCAGCTCCCGTCGGCGGAGGAGCCATCCTGGCTGAGAGAGGAGCGGCCCTCGCCCAAAACACGGTGCTGGGTCGAGGTGGTGGAGAATGCAGAGTTGTGCCCGGAAGCCATCGAGCTCCATCCAGCCCGCGGGAGGGCTGTCTAACACCAGTCACGAGAATAGGGCATTGAGAGCGGTGGAAAGGGAAGGAATGGAGCAAAGGTAGTTACAGAGGGGGCAAGTCACGGGTTGCGGGCGATAGTAGGCTTAGGTCGATCGGATCGTGATCTGACTAAGGGCCGCTAGGATGTATAACCAACCATTGTTTGTTGTGTTTCCCAATTAATCGATTAACCCTAAATCGTACACGGCTTCTATCTGTATTATACACCATTATGCCTTGTTTTCCGTCTTCTCCAGAATCGTCTTCATCATCTCATTGCCCAGTTTCGCTGCCTCGGGGAATTGAGGCGAGAAGTACTGCTGGATCCGCTCGAAGCGGTCCCGATAGGATTCAAAGTCTCCAAAGGATACACAGTCGGACCAGGCCTAATGTCCCACAATGTCAGCAAGTGCGCGCTATTTCATTCATCTTCTTCTGAACTCACCCGTGCTGCAAAGGTAAACTCCAAATCGTCCGACCGGAAGGTGTTGTCGTCAATCGCCGTGTCGAGTGCTTCATCGAGCAGCTCCGGATTGCGGAACAAGTATTCCGTGACGCCCAGCCAAAGACGAAACAGCTGTACACCCATCAGCAACCTCCTGGATCTCTCTGCTCTCATACATACCGGAGTCGAACAGATCATGTGGTCATAGGGAACAATCCCCAATTTCGACCAGCAGTCCACAATCGCCAGCAGACTCAAATGGCTGTTTGGAGGCGACATCTCGCGCGAGCGGTTGGACAGAGAAAACCGATCCAGCACCTCGTCCTTCAGCAAAAGGTCTTGTCCCTCCGTGCCGGCCTTGAAGACCGATGCGCCGGCCGCTTTCACGCGGCGCTTCAGCTCATCCCGTTGTCCCCCAATCATGAGTTTATACAGCTCGGTGACGGACTGTGCGTACTGGCGGATCTGCTGCTTGGCCGCCGGGTTGAGGATGGCCAGGCCGGCATAGACGTGCCATTTGTTCGAGTAGATGCGGAGGGTGATGTTGATCTTGACGTTCTCGATCCCGCCGACCCAGCGTGAGATCTCCCAGGGAAACTGTTGGTTGGCTTCCCACGCGGTGCCCATGCTGAGGAAGGCGGCGTGTGTGACAGCTTGGGTGTCGGCGGTGATGCGGTCATGCAGCTCGCCGGTGAGGTAGACCATTTTGGACCCGAACGACGATAGGATCTCTTCGACGAATCGCAGGCTTTCGTCCGAGGCTCGATGTTGGATCAGGACCTGAGGAGTGAGGATGGCAACGGTTATTTCAGGCACGTCCGGTCTGGAATGAAATCCACGCTGAGGAGGAAGGAGGGTCCCATACCAGCGGCTGTCCCTGGGGATTGACCTTGGGGCCATGGAGCGAATGGCAGGATACAATCTCTACATCCGGGGGCAGGTGTTTTTCGAACGCCGCGAGCTCGGGGGCTTTGCAGGACGTTTGGCCGCCGACGATGGCGCCGGCCTTGGTTGCTTTTCCAACATGTCAACGATCCAACAGCCTCGAAGCACGGTGTGCAAAACATACAGGGCCCGAACTGTGCCACTACCTTGTCGATTATCCCGGCCTCTACACTGTAAAGAATGAAATCGCTAAGTCTGGAAACGAGATGGCCATTCGGCAGGATGGTGACCCTTGGCTATGTACGATGAGTATCTGTATTTTGCCATTGACCCTGGCAGGGGGACGTACTTGAGAAGCGAACTCTTGTTGTAAGGATTCATAGTTCTCAGGTCTGTCACAGGCGATGATCCTTTTATTATGGTTAGTTAGTATAGATACAAATGGGCCTAGGGAATCACTAGTTAGCACGGATTCCCAGATGGAGTGGCAGAACAATTCAAAACAGCATCGAAGATCGATCAGACATAAAAAAGTAAGGTAGCGTGGTTGTTACATCAGTGACAGTCCGACAGTCAACTACCGACCAGAATGGCGAGGTAGTCGACCGTCGGACCATGCTCGAGCCAAATGCACTCTAGTCATCATTCGAGAGAGGGAGGGTGAAGAAAAGAAAGAGGGAAGGCTTACCGTTTGGAACACGACTCTCCCCGGTCGACCAGAACGACAGAAAGGATTTACCTCCATCCGGCATCACTCAGGCGCTGGGCATACATCTTGCCCATATCGCCCATGCCAATAATGCCAATCGAGGCATTGTCCTTGGTGAGTCCCATATCGGGCAGTCACGCACGCCCACTCGGGGACAGTTTCACACACACTGAAGTGAAGCAGGCAAAATGAACGAAGAAACTCGCAGTGGATGGGGTTTGCCAATTGAAGTGCCAAATCCACGCACTGGAGTTCTGGGTCAATTAATTGCCAGGTTGAACAGAAAAAGAGGGAAAGAAAGAGGGAACGGACAGAAATTTAAATAGCGTGGAAGTGACTCGCTCGGCCCGACTCCAGATCCGGACGGACACCTCAACCGTCAGGCCCCAATCTCGCTTGACCCACTACCGTCTAGGGCACACACTAAACTCCATTTAATTCTGCGAATCGCTTCGTCTTTTTTTCTTTCTTCCGTATTCCATCCACTAACCCCCCAACACCCACAGTCGCAATGCCTCCCAAGAAAGCCCCCGCTCCCGCCAAGGAGAACGTCTCCCTCGGCCCCCTGGCCGGTGATGGTACGTTAGACAAATTCTGTCGTTCGACCGCGGTGGTCATGATAAGCTGACCAGAGACATCTCGCAAACAGGCAAGCTCGTCTTCGGCGTTGCCCGCATCTTCGCTTCGTTCAACGACACCTTCGTCCACGTCACCGATCTGAGGTACGTCCATGGCATGGCGTGACATGCGACTACACCCTGCAAGCTGCGACGGTGGTGCAAAAATCCCATCCACAACCAATCCGGTCCCTCTGGAACTGGAATTGGAAGGGAAACGGGCAAAACCAACCAACCTCGCGCTCAATGGAATGGTCCCAAATTTACTTCCGAATTACGTTGGCTGACTTGTGTTCTACAACAGTGGTCGCGAAACCATTGTCCGTGTGACTGGTGGTATGAAGGTCAAGGCTGACCGTGACGAGTCCTCCCCCTACGCCGCCATGCTTGCTGCCCAGGACGTCGCCGCCCGCTGCAAGGAGCTGGGCATCAACGCTCTGCACATCAAGATCCGTGCCACCGGTGGTATGTTACCCCCCCCCTCTCCTAAGTCTGGCTGGAAGTGGAATCGGAATCTCACAATGCTTGTCAACAGGTAACGGCACCAAGACCCCCGGCCCCGGTGCCCAGTCTGCCCTCCGCGCTCTGGCCCGTGCCGGTATGCGCATCGGCCGCATCGAGGACGTCACCCCCACCCCCTCCGACTCTACTCGTCGCAAGGGTGGTCGCCGTGGTCGCCGTCTGTAGGCGTGTGCGGGACTGTGTCTTTCTCTCTTTCCTGCATGGCTGGATGGATGGGAGGCTACACGCGGGTTCTTTGCGCCTGCAACTGTGGATGGAATAAACGCGAGGAACGGCCCTTATTGCCTGGTCTTCAATTTTTTTCTTCCCTGAAAAAGAAAAATGTTCTGTCTTGGGTTTGAGCTGTTGAGTTAGGTAGTTATTAGTCTATGACCGCTGAATCAATGACTGGATCTGAGAATATTTTGGAGTATTGTAAATTCTGTATGTGTAAATGTCCGTGGATCAAACATGAGTGCGGGGAGGGCGGAGAGCTCGTACAATCTCCAAACTGACCGTGCCGCATACATCCAGTGACACTGCAACTTCCGAAAGCTAAGGTTCAACCCTTGTCCTATTGACCTGACCTGTTGTCTCGAGCTGTGACCAACCCGAGCTCCCCACCTCGAGCTGACCTCAGACCCTCTTCCATCTCCGCAGCCGAGTTTTCAAGCCGAGCACTCTGGTCCAAGACAAACACACATCACTGGACACCAGTGCGACACTTACGGCAGCTGCTAGTCTACTTCCTCCAGCAGGATCTGACCCGATCCGATCAGATCCGCAGCCATGCCTCCTCCCCCTCCATCTGTTCAGCCCTCTCCAACGATCCTCCTCCCCCCCCTCCCGCCCAAGACCTTTGTCGGCATCGACCTAATCACCTTCACCTCAACGCCCAATTTCCACGGCATCCGCGATCTGCCTGAAGGATGGCATTTTCTCTACACAGGCACAACAGAGAGCTTCTCCCTGCGCAGCGGCGCGTGGTTCTACGTCGGCGATATCAGTTGCGCGGGGTCTGGCTCCAACTTCTTCAACGATAATGACGCCGGGACCGCATTGGTGCCGACGACATCCCGCCAGAATGAGCCACAGATATACATCTGGAGATGGAACACCGACACAGAGGCCCTGGATTCTCTTTCCATCACGGATCCAGATCGCCAGGAAGCCATGCGCTACAAGGCGAATCTCGGCGCTGTCTGGCAGCGCGGTGGCCTATTTCGGTATCGGAGCCGTGTGTCGGCGTCGATGTTATCTAATCAAGGGCAGTCCGGGGAGTCTTCTACCGCACAAGCCGAAAAGGAAGAAGATGATGATAAAGAAGAAGAGACCGAGGAAAGCGGGCGGAGGGATTGGCAGGGACTGACAGATCGAATCACGCCCGACATCCTGTCGCGCATTGTGGGCAATCCTCAGATAGATGTGGATGGACATCCACGGTGGACTGTTACCTCGGCGAGCACGGCGAACCGGGATGCGGACCATATCCCGGGCGTGGATGCTCCGAACGAAGGCGCAGGCGCAGAAGGAACAGAGAGAGATGCCGCAGCGGGGGAGTTACAAGAACGCGAGTTTGGTTTTCTCCCCATCGACCTCAAACGCACCTGGCGAGAGGGCGCCGTGGGACGAGAACGAACAGAGGCAGCGCAGGATCGATCCTGGGCGCTTGGCGAGCTGGTCGAGCGCTACAACACTGGTTCTGGTGGTACGCAACAAACAGGAGAAACGCAGCTGCTTGGCGAACTGCAGTTTACCTTCCTAATGGTACTGACGATGATGAACCACTCATGCCTGCAACAATGGAAACGGCTCCTCGAACTAATCCTCACATCCCGGCGAGCAATACTGGAAAGAGAAGGGCTGATGAGCGCCGTGCTCCGACTACTGCTATTGCAACTCCAGCGCTGCGACGACGTGGAAGGCGGGCTATTCGAGATGGACGGCGACGAGGGCGGCGCGTTCCTGCGCAATCTGCTTATGAAACTGCAGCGGGGTGTTGATGAGGTTGTTGTGGGCAGTGGTGGTGTGGCTGGGTCGATGGTTAAAGCGGAGTTGGGGAAGCTTGAGGCGTGGGTGAAGGCTGAATATGACTGGGAGCTGCAGCGGGAGGCTATTGTGAGACGCGGAATGATCCAGTTGGAGGATGGGGAGGAGGTCGAGATGGAGATGGATGGGAATGATGAGGATGAGGAGACCGGGGAGTATGCGCCGCTTGTGGTTGATTTGGATGGTGGTAGTGGCGGTGGTGAGCTCCCGGAGGATGGGAGTATAAGAGATACGGAGGTGGGGGAGTAGGTATGCAGTTGGTTGTATAGTAAGTAATCGAATCATTCTTTGAGGTGATATCTCTTCTTCGGTGGTCATCTACTTTGTATGGATAGTATCAAAGCAATACGTCTAACCTTGATATCGTCACGCAAAACCTCCTGCTTAGGGAAGTATTTCGTACGCCTTGGTCTCGGCATGCTTTTTCCACCTCTTAGAGGACCCCCCGTACGAAACCCGCGCGTGGCTTGCTCTCTCTTTGCAGTAATCCGAGTCCTCCGGGCTGGACACGATTAAAAATCTGCATCATTCGTATTCGCTGTGTGGCTCCTGAATCGTATTCGTGTTTGAATTGGTTTGCAAGGATTTATCCATATTCGCAGCAATGGGGACCTGGTTCCTGGTTATGTACTACGTAGAACAGGCCGGCCTTGAACTCGTTGGGGCGTGGCCTCTTCTCCAACGAGAAATACCTAGCACGATGGAATACACCAATGATCTATGGTGCCATCCTGTTATCACTCCCCACCACATCTATGCCCTTGATATCAAAACAATCTGGGATCTAGAGCAGGAATGGATAGCAGATGGGAAATCCTCTACTCCGCTTGGACATTTTCAACCGCCTTGTATACCGTCTCCTCGCTACCAGGATTGATGACTGGGTCCAAATCGATCTTAATCTTAAGTATGTACCGGTGAAAAATGAGTTGAACCAGTAATTCGTTTGATCTATTTATCTCATCAAGTCTCTTCTCTTCTGCTCGACAACATATTTTTTTCCAGATGGGCAAATCGCCCAAAAGCAGAAACCAGGGCAATGGCAAACATCGTACGTACGCCCTTCCAGTAAATCATCCGACTTTGATTTTGAGCCCACGAAGCCTAAACACATCAGGGTAAGGCAAGCAAGCAACAGCAACAACAACAAAAAAAAGAAACACATGAGTATGCGAACTAGCAAAGCAAGGGCGAGGAATGGAGACGATGGGCAGTAAAATGGGAATGAGAAAGGGGAAAGGGAAAGAGAGAAAAGGAAAAGGAGGAAGAAAAATCAATCATCTCAGGTCGTTGTTCGTTCCTTCTTGCATGCATGCAGACTCCTCCGTTCTTCGCCGTCAAAATAAACGAGCCAGATCCATCCACAAATGGCAGACAGATCCTCTAGTAGACACGGGCAAGGTTACGCAGGTACCAGTCGACCAGACGACGGCCGGCCTTGGTCTCACTGACATGGATGAGGTCATTCTCAAGCGCATAGTCGAGGTCGTTGGCAATGGCCGGCTCGCCATCCAGCAGACCACCCTCGACCCAGCGGATCTCGCGGCTGCGCTGCTTGTTCACAAGCAGCCACGAGCGAAGCTTCTCGGGCTCGACCTCGAGGAAGCCAGCGAGCTTCTTGAGGTCCATAGTGGTATAAAGCTTCAGGTAGGAGCGGATAGTGGGGTTGAACAGAGTGTTCTTGATCTCGTCCATGAAAATGGCGGTGTGGTGGTCGACGGGGTCGACGTTGGAGGCTGGGTTGTCAAAGTCCGGCGGCGTGGGGCTGATGAACTTGGGGCAGGCGGAGCGGAAGAGCTCCTCGAAGACGGGGAGGGCGTCGGGCCCGCCGCGCTGCATGCGGTAGAACTGCTCGCCGTACTTCTCGCGCACGGCCGAGTGGATGGTGTCGTCCAGGCGGGTGGGGTGCAGCGCGACGCAGATGGCGATCAGGGCGTACATCTGATCGTTCTTCTTGGCAATGGCGTCGTAGCTGTTGCCGCCCTTTTGGAAGTTCTTCGTCCGCGACACGTACACCAAGATGTGGCTGAACATGCGGATGGCGTCGGCGTACCGCCGCATCATCATGTAGGAGAAGCCCACGTAGTAGTACGTGGTGAAGTGGGCGGCCATCACGCGCGCGAACATGGCCTTCTTGTTCATCTCGATGTCGTCGAGCGTCTTCAGCGCAAGGCTGAAGTCGCCCAGCAGGCAGTGCACCCGCAACAGCCCGATGATCGAGAAGTAGCCGAGCATCTTGTACAATGGCCGGGAACCGTACTCGCCGGCGAAAGCCATGGGGTCCTCTCCCCTCTTGATGGCAGCCTGCTGTTCATTGATCTGCGACCGCTGGATGAGAGAGTACAACACGTTCAGGACCGAGTAGCAGCCCCATGTGTTCGGGTTCTCGCGGAGCACCTGGGCCTCCTCCTCGTTGGACCCGCTGCGAGCGACCCGGTTGCGGTAGCGGCAGAAGGACTCGAATTGGTAGATGAACTCATCAATCACATCCCAAGCCCAGTAATACTGATGGTAAGAGAAAATGTTAGTCTGATACCAACAAGAAGTGCCAAGACCTGTCCCGTCCAATCGAGCACTGGGGGACAAAGAAACACCTACCGAGGGAACCTCCAAATCAACGGGGCCGTCCGAGTTCAGAATGTAGTGGAAAAGACTGCAGTAGTTGTCGTAGCTGGCGAACTTGGTCTCTAGAGTGGCCTGGTACTCCAGCGGGGTTGCGGCCGCAGCGAGTTGTGCCTGGAGGTCTTGAGTTTGGGATTGACCGCCGAGGGATGTCGTCCGATCCAGCTCGCTCATGCTATCATCGAAATTGACCTGTTCGCGGTAGTCGTTGACGAGAGCCTCCTCCTCCACATCGGACTCATCGTTCAGGTTGGGGCGCGCATTGGCGCGGTCGTCGTACGACATGCTGGGTGGGGAGAGATTTGCTTGAAAAGCGGATAAACGGGACGACGAAGACGGGGAGAAAGAGGAAAACAAAAAGTGGTCGGATGGCCGCAACAAAGGGCGCGGAGGTCGGGGTTGGCAGGGATCGGGCACAGTGGGTTTTGGCGGGAGAACGAATTTTGAGGGCTTTCGCTTGTGGCTATCTTATCTGGGCTGACTCAGCATCGACGCATCCCATCCAAGTGTATAGTTAGAAAGATGGCAATTGCGTATTTCTGAACTGGAGAGCATAGATCTTCCTATGCTAACAACACTAGGACTCTGCATGCCATGACCAAAATCTTCAAATTGAACCCCCAAACTACAGCAGGTAATCTCACCTCCGATGCAGATACGGCGATGGTGAAAAGCAGGCGGGCATTTGTCCTCGTCAACGGGGAGGGAGGCCACCAAAGAAGTGCTTAGTTAGGAGTCAAGCTACCTGGAAACAAACTACATAGATGCGTCGAAAATTCAAGAAGTGAATCTTCTTCGTTCATTATAAAAAACGATCATACCAGTTTGATGTGGTGTAGTAAACAGGCAGGCCGCCGGTGAGGTAAGAGTGGTCCGGGAAATGCTTCCGGCCGCCCTGGCTGTGACAATCACACGGTACCCACACTCCGAGAGGCCAGGAACCTGCCCCTGTACCATCGCACAACACAATGCAGCCCTGCTATCTGGATCGAGAAGATGCGATGGCAGCAAAGACAGAACGTCACATCCGACCCTGCCGCGACGACCACCTACGCCCATTTTTTCTCTTCCCAGCGTGTCTCTTGACATCGGCTGGACTGGCGACCACCACACGAGTGACCCGATGATTAATCGCCCGTCTGCAATAGCGACGTGTTGCAAAACTAAACCCGAGACGACGATGCTTCAAAGGCCTTCCCCATGCTCGGGATCACTGATCTCGATCACTTCAGCCGGTATCTCCACGGCACCACTCTGCGCCATCAATCGAATCTGGTGGACGGCTTCGGCGATCAGTTCGAATCTGTGGTCAATTGCGGTTCCAAATCGCCAAAGCTCGACGAACGGTTCTCTCGCGTCCTCACGATTTCCCAGCTGGTGTACGAGGACCAGGAGACCAGACCGAATGGCGCCAACCATCTGGCGAGGGATATACCGGATGCCATACGACTGACGATGGATACGGAGGCACTCGGCCGTCTCCTCGGCGGATCTGGTCTGGAGCTCCAATGCCTCTTGCCGCCAGATGGTATTAGACGAAGGTGTTTGCTCATCGCGGCGAATCAGCATTTCGAAGAGGGACATGATTGCATGGAGGCATTTCAGGCTTTCATCTCATTTCCATCAGCAAATGTCACTCACATCACCTTTCGTTTCGTTGGTCGATTGCTTACCGCAAAACCAGGAATCCCGAAACCGGCTGGTCTTCAATCTGTGATACATCGGGGCAGCGACTCAGCCAGTCCACAAAGCGATTGTATGGGTCTTGTGCTTTGAGCCATAGATCGTCGATGCTCTGGGTCAAATTGTCCAAAAAGAGTTTTTGGACATCTGCCACGATTTCCATCAACTCGGAAAGTCCATCCTGCACATCTGGCAGACGCGCTTTCTTCCTCGGATATATCAGCTGGTTCAATCGTGGATACGGGACCCAAGCAACGTCGCCTACGCTGACTTGGAACCCCGGCTTTTCCAAATTCGGCATCTTATGCAGCTCCATTGCCATTTGTCTAGCACGCTAGTCAGCCGTGTCTCAGACCTCAGGTAACGCGGGTCCCTTACGAATTCAGATTGAAGATACCCCACGCAGTGGTTGAGCGAACTCGTTGCATCTCCGGCGAATGATTCGCCTCCGGGGGACAAACAGTCCCATATCGTGGGCTAACTGGACCGCTTGTCGGATGAGAAGCCAGCCCAGGTTGGCTTTGCCTTGACATCTGTGACTGCAAACTTGTTCAGTCCTGGAATAGCGCAAAACATATCGATAAAACTTGGGTGGGCGACATACACACAACATATCAGAAGGAGTGATTGGACATTCGATAGCGTCGGGCGGCCCTCTTCTGTTTTCCACAGACGTTCTGCCTCGGAAAGAAAGACCTGTCCTCGGAAAACGCTGTCTTCTTGCTTGGAGATGACTTGCGGGCTATCGGAATAAACCTATATCGAAGGCTCAGTCAGGCTCAAGTTGGATTCGCGGGCAATCCGTACGCTTGCCATTGCTAGAAGGCTATTGACCAGGAGTGGGGTGCAAAACTCCGACGTCAGATCCTTTGCCTTCATGTGTTTGAGAAAAACGTCTTGATCAATCAGCTGGGAGCATGGATGATCCCAGGTGAGATACAGCGAGATCAAGTGCGAAACCAGGTAGCTGTCATCGGTGACCTTGGTCCACGGTTGCGCTGGCACCCTAAATCGGGGGATATCGCAGAGGGTTTCTAGCGTGACACGAGCATAAGGGTCGACAGTCCTCTGTGGCGGCAAATCCAACCATTCGACGCTGTTCTTTTCCGGCTTCACTGAAACTTTCCCCCCGAGACTTCCAAGTCCTGAGGGTCCGGGAGCAACTGGCGGTGGGTGGCAGCGGCGATCGGGCTTTCGACAGCACGAACAAAGTCCTCTAGATCAAATTCATCCATGCGAATCATCTTCACGACTCGGTTGACCTCATGCCTGTGTGGCGACCGAACCCTTGTGATCAAATCGTCCAGCAAATGCTTGTAATTTTGCAGCTCCTCGATCTTCGCCTCGAGGCTATTGATCTTGGCGTTATGGGCTTCTTTGCGCCGGAGGTCGAGTGTTGGGTCGAACTCGCATTCGGTATTCGTGGCCTTGCACGCATTGCATGGCGGTTTCGGTGGTTTGCCAGCACCACTGCACTATAGCCGAGCTGTCAGCCGGAAGCAGGCCGCCGCGACGCGGCCGGGGGGGAGGGGAGTGGGCATTTACCTTTCTCTTTGCAGTCTTGCATGCCTTGCAGGCCATGGAGGTCTTTTTCAGGCGCTCGATGCTGGTGGATGACTGTGGCGCGAACTTCCGGGGCCCTGGCAGCAGCTGTGGAAAGGGTCTGACCCCGTCATCCTGGCTTTTCTTCCCCTCCGGGGCCATATCCATTCTGTCTTCCTGGGCCATTTCGTACTCGGGCGCCAACAGAGGCCTTCCTTGGGGATGCTGGTGTATCAGAAGCATCAGGGGGAAGTTTCCTCCCACAATTCAATCCCTCGTGGTGGATGGTACCTGGCGCCCGAGGAGGCGTGTCAGCCACCGTGTGTTTGGTGAGGGACAGGGACCTTTAAGTCATGGGACTGCTTGACTATCTCTAGCCCGTCAGACTTTCTCCCAAGTACTTGAAAACCAAGTACATGAGAAGATCCTTATCATGCGGTTGGGGTTGCGATAATTCAGTGCGACGGTGGTGGACTGGTCGAATCCGAATGGAAGAGGGCGAGAAGCATTTACTCTCGCAGAAACAATTCCTGACGGTGGTGGATGAAAAAGAAAGGGGACCGAGCTGCCTTTCTTTTAGGCTGGCCGTCACACAGATTATCCTGATTGCAATCTGATACCCACAGACATCGCCTCGCCTCTTCTCCACTTTCCGTCTGAAAGAAATGCTGTCATAGCAATTGGCCCGTGCTAGGGTGAAGCTATACGAACTAGTGCCATCACTGGTCGAGTCCGAGAACGAATGAAATCTGATCCACCTCCCCCTTAGGGCTTCCCGAAAAGATGTTCCAACCGGAAACGTGCCGGGGTTGGTACGCAGTGGCGAGATCCTAGCATCTCAGGTTGATGGCATGGGTCCGACAACGTGTTGGCTTGTAAATCGGTTTGTTGGTTTGCTTTCATCCTGTGCCAGTGGCTGACCAGGGGTGGGAAAGCAATCAAATCCTGACCATGATCTCCGCGCGTGTGATAGCCCTATTCAAGCGGATTAAATGTCCGCCAATCATTAATGGGTTGGATTTCTTTTTTTTGCCCCTGCTCCACGTATGAATCATGCCCTGCCTTTGAACCCTCTCGGTGCGCTAGGCGGCTCGGCGGCGATGAAGATGATGTCAACCCCCTCGGACTCATTCCACATTAGCAAGCCCACCGCCAAAGCTTGTTTCCCTAACTATGGACCTACAACGATCAGTATCTATCAGAGAATGATCGGAGAGATCCTGGCATCCGCCCAGACCTCCTCGCGGGCGCTGGCATGCATATCCCGTCCATTTCGTCCCTCCGTTCGCCTAAACTAGTTAGTCCAAGCTTGCACATCCATACGGGGGTCGAGACTCGGTAACTCCGTGCGGGGCGAGCGATGATTGTCTCCGGATGGAGATAGACGAGATTGCGCCAAGTTGACTGGGGGAGAAGGACTACTAATGGATCAGCGGGTTGTCGCATTCACCCGCTCGTAGGGAAAGACGAAGCACCGATCTCTACTGCACGCGGCCGCCTCCCTATCGTATCGCAAGGGAACCCATGGAGCATGAATGTACATATGATTAACGAAGGCGAGACGCCTTGATGTCACATTACTAATCGTGGAAAAAAAAAGCCCCCCAGCCATTCAAGAATCAGGTTTCGTGCGGGGGGAAATATGAGAGAAGCCCTCGACAACGGTCGGGCGATTTAATATTAAGTCATCCGGAGGCAGTAGTTACTAGGGAAGGAAAAAGGATCATTCTTTATTTCACGATGATTTTGCCTTTCGACGATGACGTAATGGCTACCCGACTGCCCGAGAGAATCAAATAACTAATGGGATTCCTCTTTTCTTTGGCTCTGTGGGACGGATGCCCCCGACCGGCCCAGCGCAGATGCAGCACTTTTCTTAGCCGCCGCCTTTATCTCAACGTCTTCTTCTCTGCTAACTAACTACACTAACCATTCCCCATACCATCTACAGTTAGCTCCCACACGGCTATCCTCGGCCACTATCCCGAGTCCATAGTGGGTCTCCCTCGTTCCTCCCCGATCGATAACCGGCGGTCCTCGTTATCAGCGGCAGAAAAGCGGCTGTCATTCGCAGGGCGCGCGTCTACCCTACCCCTACCCTGCGTATGTACGTTCGACGATCGAAACTCACTGACATTTGTGTATCCCAGATGCATCTATATCTGTACTCGAAAACGAATTCGAATGCTGAATTTCTTTCCATAGAACATGATTTGAATGGTTGTGTCTGCCGATGGCAAATGCGTATCCGAATTTTTTTTCCTAAATTTTTTAGCTCGGCCCGCGTTCTTGGGGAATGGGTGGCCGGGGCAAGCCGCGTCCATATAAGGGAGATCCGTCCTGGGCTTCCTGGCTGCTTGTATTTTCTTAAACACCAAAGCAACACAATCGACTACACAATTGTCTGTTCTGACTTTGGAATTTCCGAGCTAAAACTCCGATAGAGTGACTCACTTTATCCACTCCCCACATACGTCCTTTTATAAGTCATTGAATTCCGGCAATTGACTTTCCTCCTCTCCATCTCCGTCCAATCCACCAGCCATGGGCTCCATCACCCCCCCAAAAATAGGCGAGCTGGACGCCTCGACCTGCAACCTAACCCGCACCACCACCCCCCGCGATGTACCTGCGCCCGGCTCGCCCGAGGAACTGAGCCACTCCTACTGCACCGACCACATGGTCACCGTGCGGTGGACCGCCGAGACCGGCTGGGAGACGCCGCAGGTGAAGCCGTTCGAGAACCTCAGCATCCCCGCCACGGCGGGCTGTCTGCACTATGCTACGCAGTGCTTCGAGGGCATGAAGGTCTACCGCGGGTACGACGGGAAGCTGCGCCTCTTCCGGCCGGATTGCAATGGCGAACGGCTGTCGGGGAGTGCGGTGCGCTCGTCCTTGCCGGGTTTCAAGGCTGATGAGTTGAAGAAGCTCGTGGCGAAGCTGATGGAGGTTGATGGCCCGCGTATGTTCCCCCCTCCTTTCCTTCGTTCCTCTCCCATTTTTCGAGCAAGATATCTTCTGCATTGGACTATAAATCTAATATTATGGTACAGGCTGGCTCCCGCGAGACCGCCCGGGCTCATTCCTGTACCTTCGACCCGCGATGATCGGAAACGGCCCGCACCTCGGCGTCCAAGTGCCAAAGGAAGCTCTTCTCTTCATCATCGCCGTCCTCTGGCCAGATGTGAGCAAAGTCAAGAAATACGGGCAGCCCGGCGCGCCTCAGGGCCTGCGCCTCTACGCCTCTCACCCAGACAGCATCCGTGCCTGGCCCGGCGGCTTCGGGTATGCTAAGCTGGGCGCGAACTACGGCCCGTCGCTGCAGGCGCACGGTGCCGCGCAGGCGCAGGGCTTCGATCAGATCCTGTGGTTGTTTGGTGCCGATCGCCAGGTGACCGAGGCCGGGGCGAGTAACTTCTTTGTTGTTATGCATAATGCCCATACAGGTCGTTTGGAGATGATTACTGCGCCGTTGGAGAACCAGCTTATCCTGCCTGGTGTGACGCGAAGGAGTGTCCTGGAGCTTTGCCGTGAGAGGCTTTCGGAGCGGGCTGTTGGAGGGTTGGCACCTGTGCAGGTTGTCGAGAGGGCCTTGACGATTGGTGAGATTGAGATGGCGGCCAAGGAGGGACGTATTGTTGAGGCGTTTGTCTCTGGTACTGCGGTATGTTTTGCTCTGTCTGGTCTTTTCGGCTTGTATCATCGGCTAACAAGAACAACCAGTACTTCATCACGCCTGTCGAGCTGATCCGCAACGACGATGTCGATATCAGCACCCTCGGTGCATCTGGTGAGCCGGCCGGATACGCTTCCCTGATCAAATCGTGGCTTGAGACCATCATGTATGGCAAGGAGCAACACGACTGGGGGTATGTCATTGAGAACGAGGAGAAATAGACGATGTATGGTTATACATCTCTCGATTGGGCTTTCTGGCAGTAATTTCTCGGGTTGTTAGAGGTGGTCCCAGTTAATTTCGGGTCGGCCTTTTTTTTATATACATACATACATGCGTTGATAGAAAAAATCTCGGGTTCTTTTAACACACAAGCAGATCAGTATACTGAGCCTGAAATGGATATTTTAATAGGATTAAAGGATTCCGGTAGAAGTAGCAGTAGTGTACGTAAAGAGAGAAAAGCATGAGAGAAGAGAGAGGTATAACATGCCATTATTCTATCTTCGCAAAGCACACGCATATGCAATACATATCATGTACAGGATCGATGTGATCAAAATATAAACCACTGACCACCCAATCGATCAATCAGTAACATCAAAACTCGTCCCACACCCACAGTTACTCGTCGCGCGCGGGTTATCCACAATCTTAAACTGGCTCCCAATCAACTCAGTCGTATAGTCGACTGTGCTACCATGCAAAAGCTCCAACGAGGGCTCATCCATCACAACCCTCGCCCCTCCACCCGCTGCATTCGTCGTGGCTACATCTTCCTCGCCCTCGAAGATGGTATCTTCTTCCGGGTCGATCTTGGCTGCGGACTCCAGGGACATCAGGTACTGGAAGCCATGGCAGCCGCCGCTGGTGACGGTGATGCGGAGGTGGTGGTAGGGGTTTTCTTCTCTGGTGGCGGACGGAGAGGTGGTTGGATCGGTGATTTCGCGGAGGCGCTAGATGATGTGGTTGTTAGTTTGAATAAAAAGAATAGATAGTAAACGAGAACAATAAGTGAGTAACAAGAAAACATAAAACAAAAAGAAAACAAAAAGAAAAGGGTACATGCAACAGTCAGGATTCGCTGGTGGTCACCCACCCAACTACTAACTGACCGGCGTGTGGCTTAAGTACGGCTGAGCGGACGGGAAGCCCTGTTCTCCACACCCTGTGGTCGCATGTACTGACAACATCCGTAAAACTGCTCATACCGGGCTAGAGGTATGGCCATGCTCCAATTCAAGAGAGAACCAGCACCACCACCCAGGTATTTCCCATCCGCTCATCCAGCAAAACAACATATGCGAAACCAAAGCAGGAGTCAAACGTACCTCTACCGCCCGCGGCGAGATCTTGATCATGAGCGTGGCGCCGTCGTCCCCGGCGCGCGGGTTCTGCGTGACTTTCGTACCGGGTCGGACAGTCGAGGAGGAGAAGTAGGCATGTTGCGGACGGAGGAACGAATACCGAGGGGTCGAGGGTCTTGACAAACAGCGCGGGGCGCTTTGTTGAATGTGAATGTATTGCCGGCAAGCCGCGAGTTCGCCGTCGGGGAAGGCTGAGAGGCGCTGCGCCGGGCGCGAGGTCGAGAAGAGGCGGGTTTGCGGTGCTTGGGAGAACCGCCGAGCAGCGGTTGACGAGAGTAACGGTCGTGACATGTTGGAGACTGGGGTGTTTTAGGAGGAAAGCATGGCGAAGGCGATGGGTAAACCTGCTTAGATATCCATCGGCCATCGATTCGGCAGGATTGTCATTGGTCCAGGCCAGGCGGAGGTGTGTGGCAGAATAAATGGGCGGGAAGGGTAGGGATCGGCGGTGGGATGACATTGCTCTTTCTTTGAAAGTGGAAGCACAAGTATACTACTGCACACATCTCTCTACAGGATGGGCTCCAGACAGCATATCCGGGACATCAAGCATGGTCTTCCGCTCTCTCACCGTGATGACGTGCGCGCCTACAGCAGAGAGTATGCCGAAGCACTCGATTCCCAAGATCCGCTGCGACACTTCCGGGACGAGTTTATCATTCCGACCAAAAAGGACCTGAAGCGGAAGGTGTTGGCTGAGGATGAAGGTATATTACTCGTCGTTTTTGCCAATTGATTATACTAAATAGCCCCCAACAGGCGAGGACGGATCCTCGGCTCCAAAATGCATTTACTTCTGCGGCAACTCCCTCGGAGTCCAGCCGCGCAGTGTCCAGCGGTATATCGAGCGGTATCTGCGCACCTGGGCTACGAAAGGCGTGACTGGTCATTTCGTGCCGCACGAAGATCAGCTCCTGCCTCCATTTGTCGATGTGGACACCGCGGGAGCGAAGCTGATGGCGCCCGTTGTTGGGGCTTTGCAGAGCGAGGTCGCCGTCATGGGGACCCTTACTGGTAATCTGCACTTACTGATGGCAAGTTTTTACCGCCCAACCAAGGAGAAATATAAAATCATTCTGGAGGGGAAGGCATTTCCCAGTGATCATGTATGTCTTGCCGTGAAATATATATTGTCACAGCATACTAATGCAAGCACATACAGTATGCGGTCGAATCTCAAATCCGCCATAACAATCTTACCCCGGACGATGCCATGGTCCTGATTGAGCCAGAAAATACAGACTCTCCTATTCTGACAACGGAGCAAATTCTCAGAGTCATTGATGACAACGCCTCCAGTACTGCGCTGATTCTTCTCTCGGCCATCCAATTCTACACCGGACAGTACTTTGATATTGAACAGATTACCGCTCATGCCCACTCCAAAGGCATACTGATCGGTTGGGACTGCGCCCATGCCGCCGGGAACGTGGATCTGCGGCTCCATGACTGGAACGTAGATTTTGCGGCGTGGTGCAGCTACAAATATCTCAACAGTGGACCCGGTGGCATGGCGGCATTGTTTGTTCACGAGCGACACGGCCGTGTGGACGAGAAGCAAGCTGATAGCGATGAATCATTTCGTCCCCGGTTCTCTGGCTGGTGGGGCCATGATAGCAAGACGCGGTTCAATATGGAAAACAGTACGCTTTTTTTGACCTTTATGGATTGCAGGACTAATCCAATGGTATAGAATTCACCCCCCAGCCCGGCGCCGCAGGCTTCCAACTATCGAATCCTTCGGTCCTGGACATGAACGCCGTGATTGCCTCACTCGAAATCTTCGACCGAGCGTCCATGGCTGCAATCCGCCAGAAATCACTCAGTCTCACTGGCTACCTGGAGCACTTGCTTCTCACGTACCCGCTCGACGCGCCCGCGGAAGACAAGCCGTTCACTCTCATCACACCGTCCAATCCACACGAACGAGGCGCGCAACTGAGTCTACGTCTTCAGCACGGTCTGCTGGACTCGGTGTTGAGTCATTTGGAGGAGAATGGTGTGGTGATCGACGAAAGAAAGCCGGATGTTGTCCGTGTCGCGCCCGCAGCCCTGTACAATACATACACCGAGGTGTGGGAGTTCTGTCAGATCTTCCTGGAGGCGTGTAGATCAGCAGTCCGGTCTCGGGGTGTCTGAATTTATCCTGATATCGTCACTGGCATCCAATGAGAAAATAGGAATGAGATGTCGGTCTGGAGCATCAGTCGCCGAACACATGCATTCTCCCTTCCAATGGAACAAAAGAAGCGAAAGTGGAAATTTATAGATCTGTCTAGATGCAGCTGCCTAGAGCTGCCTAGAGTGGGACCTTAAAGAAGGTTGACTGACTCACAATGTTCATACTTTGCAGTCTTATCGGACTTGACACCACGATAAAGCTCAAGTAGAGAGGGTTTCGGGATCTCGGCACCGACCCAGTTTGCCCCTCCGCAAATCAGGAAAGCCGGATGGCACTAAAAAAAAAATCGGCGCCGCTTGTCGCTGGTCTCGCTTCGGATTTAACTATGGATGGAGTTAGTTCAAATAATTCTTCCTAGCGGGGTCTCTTCCTTCTCAACATGTTCTCCGCTACTTAAAACGACAAGCTTTCGGCCGCGTGGTGTCTCAATGTTCTGAACTGAATTAGACTGGATGGCCAAGCCTACGGAAAAGGACCTAGAGTCTGCTACTGCTCAGGATGTCAAAAATGCGGGGAATCTTCATGGAGGTAGCGGGCCCGACGTCGCTGAGGTTGACTACTCCGTTTTCACGGAGACGCAGCTTCGATATATTGTTTTCATGGCCTCGTGGGCCGGCTTCTTCTCGCCGGTCTCGTCGCAGATCTACTTTCCTGCCTTGAATACCCTGGCCACGGATCTACATGTCACAAATTCATTAATCAACTTAACCCTTACGAGCTATATGGTGAGTATCTCAGAAAGTTCTCTCTGTTTTTTTTTCAAAGCTCATGTTCCTAGATCTTCCAAGGTCTATCGCCCATGTTCATTGGCGACTTCGCCGACAACGCAGGACGACGACCAGCGTACGTTGTATGCTTCACTCTCTACATCGCAGCCAACATTGCTCTCGCCCTACAGAGCAACTACGCAGCCCTCTTCGTGCTAAGATGTCTTCAGAGTGCCGGAATCAGCACAACTATTGCCCTCTCCGCAGGCGTGGTATCCGACGTGGCCACCGCGTCCCAGCGCGGGTCATATATGGGCTTCGTCACGGCGGGATCACTCCTCGGACCCTCCGTCGGACCTGTGATCGGGGGCCTACTCTCGCAGTTTCTGGGATGGAGAGCCATCTTTTGGTTCCTCGCCATTTTCTCAGGAACGTTTATGGTCCCGTTCCTAATTTTCTTCCCCGAGACCGCTCGCGGAGTCGTTGGGGATGGGTCACTGCCTCCTCAGAAATGGAATATGTCCTTGATCAGCTATCTCAAGTCCCGCAAAGCTCGCGAGGAGGGCATCACACCTCCCTCGTCCAAGAAGAAACTCTCTTTCCCCAACCCTTTCCAAACGCTGTCCATTGTCTTCCAGAAGGATACGAGCATTATCCTATTCTGCAACGCACTGCTATTCGCCGGGTTTTACGATGTCAGCGCCTCCATACCATCCATCTACCGCGACCTATACGGCCTAGACGACCTCCAAATCGGTCTTTGCTATATCCCCTTTGGTGTAGGCGCCACCATCGCCTCAATCGGCAACGGCAAGTTCCTAGACTTCAACTACAGACGCATCGCCAAGGGCCTAAACTTCCCACTTGTTAAAAACCGACACACCGACCTCCGGAATTTCCCTATCGAAAAAGCACGGCTGCAAATCGCCTTCCCGCTCCTGGCGATCGGAAGTCTGTGCATCCTTGTCTTCGGCTGGTTCTTGAATTTCGGAATCCATCTCGCCGCGCCAACAACCATCTTGTTCCTCATGGGCCTGGCCCTGACCGGGGCGTTCAATACCGTCAGCACGCTTTTGGTTGACCTCTACCCGGGGCAGGCGGCTAAAGCTACCGCCGCTAACAACTTTATGCGCTGTTTGCTGGGCGCGGGAGCTACGGCCTTGATCGATCCCATGCTCAATGCTATGGGGAGGGGCTGGTGCTTTACTTTTATTGCGCTTGTCATGCTGGGCACGTCGCCGTTTCTGTTGTTAGTGATTCGGCATGGACCGAAATGGCGTGAGGAGCGGAGGGTGAAGCTGGAGGCTAGGAATTATGGGAACGATACACGGGTTAATAATGAGCAGTCTGAGAAAAGGTGATGTTGATGTCCCACTGAGACTATTAGATACAATAAGATCTGGTTAAGACACAAGTGTTGCGTTTTAGGTAAGTAATGTGTAGACGATTATCCGATATACGTCGCTATCAACATGAAGATCACACGCTCTACAAGCCGGGGTCAAATACACATGACCTGAAAGCGAGGATGGGGAGGGAATGTGGTGATTTTTGGCTAAAGGATTCGAATGCATACCCTGCCTCTCTATTCATACGGTTACCGCTCCCCTTTACCCATCCATCCTCCCTAAGTATCTCTCGTTATTTCCGCTCCACAGAAAAGGCTATCGAAAAAGAAATCAACGCCTTGTAGTTCAACTTCGTCGGCGCCTGGAAATCCCATAGAAGCAGGCAGCTGCGTGTATAAGCTGTCGTTACTGTCCAATATTATGGATCCATTCGGTGACTCGGGCTGAAGCGCTGACAACAGCTGAGGAGTATCTGATGGCATGATCTGTGAACCGGTATAGCTCATCGTTGACAAGATATCCGATCCAGATGACGGGTGTTGGGCTTGTTCAACCGGCTGACCCGGGGGCAGTCTATCCGTGACCAACATGGCCGGTATGCCCAGCTCGGGTTGCGCTAGCATTTTTGGAGCAGGCTTTGAGATGACACCGCGTTCAAAATTGATGGTACCAAAATAGGGAATCTGAATGTGCAGTGCCTTGCCGTTGTTGGTTAACCGGCCGTCATACTCAAGCCCTCCTTCGCTATCTTTAGATGAGCTTGTTTGATACATGTCGCCCTTGGCGGCATTTGCCTCAATGGTGAGCAGATGATGAATGATTCGGGTAAGTTTATAGGCGATCAAATCGACATCATTGCAGGACATGGATTCAATGATCTGTAGGGTACGCTCCATGTAGCCGCGGTCACTTGGGCGGCTGTGGACAAGGGATTCGAAACCAGTGACCGGGCATGAGCGCTCCCCAAATCCCTGGAACTGACTCTGAGAATTAATGTGAGCAATACATAGTATGGTAATGGCCATAAAGGCGAGAAAATCACAACCGCGGCAGTAGAAGTGTCCGGGGTTTGACGTGCGGAGGGCTATATAGCGAGATAGAATTTCCCGGCTGGCGTTGATGACAGTGATTCTGCTACGATCGTACCTGTGGTCACAAGAGGAGCAAAGCATATAAGGTAAATGCAGCCGCATAAACAGGTGGTAATGCGTGAGTTGATCCATGATACGATTTGTATCACGAAGGAGATTTGCACCTTCGCCATTGCTGGGCATGAAATTCGGGATCAGCCACCACTGGGGTGGCATCTCAGCTGCAGCTTTATGCAATAGCATGTCATCCTCGTGAATTTTGACCAGGCTGTTTACGTCGCCATCCTTTCGGTGCAGGATATGCCCAGCAACGGCGCAGTGGATGCGTTGCATGCGTTCATTGGGATCCAACTCTTCTAATACTTGCGGAGTGGAGAAGAGGTCTTCGAGTGATGTATGCGGTAGGCCCAGCATGATCGAAAGGTAGCGATCCATTTGAGCCAATCGAAAATGGGTTTTAACAGGGTCAAAGGCCACTTGAGTCTCGGGATCGAGGATCTTCAGGGACGGCGAGTCACGGCCACGGTGCAGAGCCATCATCTGTGCGACGGTAATCGCCCGGCGTATTGCCATCCATGCACGATGCAGGTTTCCAGCGTAGTTCTGGTACATAGCCTCGAGCATTATGCATTCGATGCCCTCGACGGAGCCGATGAGGTCTTCGTTGGTAGTCACGAGGCTGATAGCTCTGTCGACGACACGAGGCATGATAGAGCGGATAGATGTACCCAGGTATCCAAGGTCTCGGATGGAAGAAGGGGGGATTCCTTGTAGGAATACGCCGAGGACCAGAAGCTTACGCGCGATCAGCACCGGATGGTTACCCGGCCGGGGAGGCTGTAGCATCTCCCTCGGGGATGATAGGGCCGGGCCGGTAAAGGTGGAACAGGACGTGCATATTCCGCAAAACATCGAGGTTGAAATTCCCATAGGGAGACTACAGATGATATCGATATCATCCTCGCTGGGCCATGCCGCGATAAGGTCGCGAGCCAATTCTTCATATTTGCTTGGGGCTCGCCTGTCCGGGACCGATGCCGGCTTCGAAGGGGGTCTCGAGCGGGTAGTTATCCCGTCCTCAACATTGTGCTTTTTAATTGTCAAAAAAAAAAAAAGATAATATGGTGAGCTTGACATGTGTTGGAAATGAGAGAAACTCACCGCACGATGGCTTGTCGACGACACTAGTTTTGGCCGAGACTCTTCTCTATTCTCTAGCGTCACCGAGGTCGAGCGAGCGCCGGAACGATCTCTAGTTGGCGACTGTAGAGCATGGATAGACTCAGTATTGGCGAGTAACTGCTCCAGCAGGTTCTCTACCCGGCTAAGCCGGCCCTCTACTTGATTATTGCTGACGGAGGGAACAGCCTTATCAGGATACTCCTGGCCGATGCATGTACTCCCGCGTCTCCGACAATTATTGCAGGCGTGTGCGGAAGAGGCGAAGATACAACGGACTTTTCGTCGCCTGCACTCCCAGCAGCTTTGAGTTCCCTTCCGGGTCTTTCTCCATTCGGCTCCGGGTCTGTCTTTTTGGTGAATCGTTTGGTCCATCGCTTATGCACACCAGGCATTTCCTGACGTCTCATCAAGACCAGTAAAGCAAGTGTCTTGATTGAAGCCCGTTGGTTTCAATTTTGGAAACCACGATGAAGAACAGAAGGTGTATGATCCAAAGTGAAAGTGGTGACGCTTGGCAAATCGATTGGTGAATTCGACCGAAACCTCGGTCGACCATGACAAATCTGTCGGTGGGTTCGACCGAGATCTCGGCCAAAGCCTTTATATAGAGCAGCTCGTATCCAGGAACGATTCATATAGTCGAAATAGCTCGGCATAAAAAGTTATTATAAGAGATACATTTTAAGTTCAGATAATAAGCGAGAATGGTCAAGATTGCGATTGCTGGCGGCTCTGGCAGTGCGTGCCACTAGCCTACAAACCTACCCTCTGCAGCGTTACTAAATCTCAATAGATGTTGGGCAAGAGATCATTGACGTCCTCGTTGCAACTAAGAAGCACGATATACTGATTTTGTCGAGAAAGGCTTGTATCCCTCTCTTGCATAACAATTGATCAGTCGTTTCTAATTGGCCTATGTAGGATGCGCCGGCTGGAGAGGCCACCCCAGACATAACATGGATTAAGACAGACTACAAAGATCCAACAGAGTTGACGCTGATACTGCAGGGAGTCCACACTCTTCTGTCTTTCGCTTCTGAACAGGAAGATCCTTCCAGTCCCGTGCAGAAAAGGCTTATCGATGCCGCAGTTCAAGCTGGCGTGAAGCGTTTCGCGCCCAGTGAATGGGCCACGTAAGCTTCCGTCACCTCTCATGGTTTTTATAACCTATTCACATCTTGTAGGGCTGGCCTGGAACATCTAAGCTGGTACGCCTACAAGGCTGAGACGCGTCGATATCTGGAAGAGCTGAACAAGGACAAAAAGGTCGCGTCAGAAAGCCTCGTTGAGAAGCTTGAAAATCTAACACAAGAAAATATCTGTAGGTTCTAGAATACACTCTATTTCAACCTGGTCTGTTCGTGAACTACTTGACATTTCCTCATAAGTCGACCAAGCACCTTCACCTATTTGAAACCCCATTCGATTTTGAAAACCGCCGAGCTATCGTCATAGACGGCAGCGATGATGACCGAATCACCTTCACTTCAGTGCATGATCTCGCTAATGTGGTAGCCATGGCCATTGACTTCGAGGCTGAGTGGCCGGTTGTCGGGGGTATCAGAGGCACCGACATCTCCATCGGACAGCTTATAGCCCTCGGCGAGAAAGTTCGCGGTGGGTAATCCATCTGATATACTGGCTTATTTAAGAAATCTGCTGACATTCTACTCACTAGGAGGCCTGCCCTTCGACGTCGAAAAACTGAAGGCGGGAGACCTTGAAAATGGGAACTGGGAGACCTTATGGCTACCGAAGATCGATCACCCCTCAATCCCGCTTGAGCAAGTTGAAGCGTTTTCGAAGGTTGGCGTTGCTGGGATTCTGTTGGCTATTTCCGCAAATGCCTTTGCCGTTTCGAACGAGTGGAATCGACTGCTGCCAGAGTACAAGTTCACTCAAATGGAGGACTTTCTTACGACAGAATGGAGCTGTAAGCCTTAGAGAAGAAAGTAGATACCTTCAAGCAGTGACTGGAATATTTGGAGGAAGAATGTGACTTATATTCTATACAAGTGAATTCCACAGCCCTCCCGCCACAGCCACCAGTCCTGAGATTGCGGTCACTGCACCCAAAGCATTTTGGCTAAATCACTCCTATATCGGTATCTTGTTTATACCGTATTAGTACCTTTCGGAACATAATAGGTGTCTACCCTGACTAGTATTTCTTTACAATGGGCTTATTTTCTGTCCCAAAAATCTAGCTTTTGATAACCTCTCTTATAAAATTCTCGTATTACAAATAACCCCGACTTTTAGAGCGTATGATCTTAATGTTGATAGTGACGTAGATCGGATAATCGTCTACAAATTACTTGCCTAAAACCCAACACATCTATGTTAATATAGCAGTGTTTGTTACTAAGATTTTAAAGACTTATAGCCCCTAATACGTAGTAGGATAACCCCATCGGTTTCATATCCGTAGCTGGGAAGTTTAGCAAAATATAGAGGCTTCACGGAGAGAAATTCATAGCCCTACCTTCATAATCGATGTATTCATTTTCCTAAGTGCTGTCCTTTTTTCTTGTCAACATCCAAGCTGACACGCCCCTTGCAGAGCAAGCTTATATTTCTGAATCAACTAGTTGAAGAATTCCACAAGAGGAATCCTAGCATAAGACCGCTTATTCAGACGTTTGTTCGAGACTTTAAACTCAGCTAGTGGTGAGTATCACTAACAAAATCTCTAGGGACACGTCTCAGAGTATAATGCACCGTTCCAGTAATCGAGCTGAATACAGAAGAGCCTGGCTTTGTCAAGTCTCTTCGAGCCAGTGGCGCGATGTCTCTTGTTTCTCCGGGGCAAATGTCCATCAACAAGCAGGTGATGGGAAGACAAAGACACGGACAGCTCTCCAACATTCTCTCAATGACGCGCGGGCTTGCAAAAGTTCAAGCACCAGCTTGGAAACATGCGAATACCTCGTAGAGGTCGGGGCAAGCGATGCCGATTGCAAAATTATACTCCATGCAGCAGCCAAGTCGGTAATCTCGACTTAGTCAAAAGGCTTCTTCTTCGTGGGATATGTCCTGATCGCTTTCCTACACATAGCCGCCTTGAGATGATGCAGTTGTTTGAGGAGTTCGGATTCGACTTGATTTCAGCACACGACGATGCGCCAGAACAACAGTTTAGCCGCGTCTGCGCCGCAGAGCTCTGAGGAAGGGAGGGTTCTAACTTGCGCTGCCAAAGCTGGGGGGTCTAACTCAGGATTCAGAAAAAAGAATTACCAAACGATCTACGTAATACCTATGCTGCACTTACCGCGTGCATTCACATCCCCGCTCAAATGTGAGGCGAAGATTGTGTGCCCCGCACCGTGTCCGACAGATCAACATAGTATTCAGCTCCCAAATCCACACCTCTCCGTACGGCTTTCTCATTCTCAAAATACATTTGAAATGGTTGGCGACCCTCGTTTGGAGAAACAGAACCATCTTTGGGCGGAGGCTTGCAATCTCCTCAGCCGAGATGAGCAAGCTTGTGTTGCAAAATATTATGCAGAGGACGGAATCAAAACAGTGAATGACACGCTGGTGTTGGTCGCCGAGAAGCAGGATTTATGCATGCGCAAGCGCTGGACCATCAAAAACTTCCGAGGCCAAAAGATCATTGTCCGCGACATTCTTCACAAGATTGCTCACTGGATCAACAAGTTCAAGGAAGTGGGCGATGTTGTTATCCAGATTGACCAAACCCATGCTGCCGTTCCGTGGGCAGCGATCCGTTTCACACTTCAGTGGTCAATCAATGACCTTCAAACATTTGCTATGGTTGCCGAAGGACTAGAGGTCGTTTCGAGAATCGTTGCTCGATATGCCCTTTTCGAGTCCGTGTTTCTTCCACGAAACGGGGAGACCCCATCAACTGTACAGTCCAAGCTATCTGCGGCCCTCTTGCAACTATATGCGGCATGCATGAAGTACCTCGTCAGAATCGCGGAATATTACGAACGTTCCACTGGAGAACGTCTGGCGCGCAGCCTGATTTCATCATCGGACAGCGGGAACGACGAGTTAGAGGCAATCCGGCAACGTGAAGTGGAAGTTGATCAAGTTGCAAAAATTGCGCAAACAGAGATTTCTCGTCAGTCAAATGATGCCATACATACCCTCAAAGCGCAGAATGTGGCCTTCTTCCAGTCTTTGGAAAATCTTGTCCACTCCCTGGAGGGACCCATTGTACGCCTAAGTGGTCCGCTTGTCAAGTTCGAGGATGCGATATCCGCTGAGGAACGGCGCAAGGCATTGCTTTGGCTCTCCAGAGTCAACAGCCGAGAGCTCCATGAATTTATCATTTCTGATGTGATTCCAGGGACAGCTGATTGGATCTTTGACAGGCCAGAGTACAAGGACTGGCATGGCTCCAGTTCATCGTCCATGCTTTGGCTTCATGGGATTCCAGGATGCGGAAAAACCAAAGTGACATCAAAAGTAGTTCAGCAATTTTTGGAAGCGACTAGCAAGGACCTGAATTCTGCTCCAATTTCATACGTCTATTGCTCCAAGACCGGTAACAAGTCGCTTACGCTTACTCCGGTTGTGATTCTGAGGACAATAGTCAAACAGCTCTCTTTGCCGAAGTCTGAGGATCGAATTCGACTGCCAACCTGGGCAGAGTACACAAAGAAAAAAGAAGCCGCCGAGACGGACGGTCTGGATCCCTCGCTACTCACGGAAGAAGAGTGCATCCGGCTACTTCTTTCCTTAACCCAAGACTGTCCCGCTACGATTGTTCTCGATGGTCTCGATGAAGTCGATGGGAATCCGCGTGATGTGCTGAGAGTACTCCGTGCTGTGCTCGAAGATGCACCAAATCTGGTGAAAGTACTCGTATCAAGCCGTGATGACGGTGCCATCTCGGAAGAGCTTCGGGATATTCCATGCATAGGTGTATCCTCTGCAGACAACTCTGCCGACATCAAAACGTTCGTTCATCAACGGGTCAACACGGCGATTGAGGATCGAAGTCTTCTTGGCGGGAAGATGTCATCATCTGGACAAGATCGTTTGATGGAAACCCTCATTAATGGTGCCGGGGGAATGTTTCTACTGCCATCTCTCCAGTTGAAGTATCTGTGTGATCACCAGAAATTCAAACTCGAGTCTGATGTCCTTGCCGCTCTGCAGTATCTCCCCCGAGGCTTATGGACATTTTCGACGCTCTCTACTCTCGAATTGAGAAGTATGAATATCGGGCCCGGCAGGTTGCAAAACATGTTTTTGATTGGCTACTTGCAGCTGAATGTCCGATGGCCGCTTCAGAAATCATTGCAGCCGTCTCATACAGTCAAGACCTCACAGTTAACACAGGAACCGACTCCATGGTAAGCACCCAGGTATCCGCCAGGCTATTCATCCGTAGGATAGCTTACCTGTATGATATCGTAACAGACACTCGATGCCGATCAAGTCTTGGATCTATGTTGCAACTTTGTGATTCTTGATCACGAATCGGGCCAGTTTTTGTTTGCCCATGCCTCTCTACGAGAATATTTACAACAGCGGCCAGAACACTCAGTCTCGAACAGCAACTTCACCGCCGCCAAAGTCTGTCTTGAGCTTTTTTTGTCGAATAATTATGATGAAGACAATACGTGAGCTCATACCATTACAGTCTCTCTTGAAATTGGTTAATCATTAAAGTTACAGAGACGGAATACTAGAGCCAGCCCTGGCGTCCGAGGCCGGCAAAAAAGGCAACTTTCGAAAATATGCGACGTGTTACTGGGCTCAGCATTATGCAAGAGTTGACCAGGAAGTCAGTGAATCTCAAATCGAGGAGATGATGGCCACGTTCATCACCGAGGACCAAGGTATCTGCTTTGCTCAATGGCTCGAGGACGTCAATGAGCTGGTTGAATCGAGGAACCTCGAGCAAACCGTTTGGACAAAGTTGAATTCTTGTCGAAGTGCCGCAGGGTCTCCCATCTTTGTGGCATGTGTTTATGGCATCCTGGGAATAATGAGACTTGATAAGGACTCGTCGTCCAAGGAGGATGACCACGATGTCAACCAGAAAAACTTCGACGGCGCAACGCCTATCTACCTTGCTGCGCGATATGGTCATTCCACCTTGGTGCAGTTTATCATTGAGCAAGGAGCCATCCTTGATGTCACTGGAGGCCATTTTGGGAACCCATTACAAGTAGCAGCTTTTCAAGGCTTCGAGGCCGTGGCACATATTTTGCTGGAGAAAGGGGCCAGTCCATGCGCACCAGGCAAATTCACCACGGCGATTGATGCAGCACTCGCAGGTGGCCACGAAGCTGTAATTCTACTTCTGTTAGGATATGAGCAGGTAGTCCAATCGTGCGAGATTAACAAAATTCTTGAGAAGGCTGCCCATGGAGGTCACTTTGCAGTCGTTTGTGATCTTCAGGAACGGTTAAAAATCGGCACGCTGGACAAAGTACCGGCAAACCGGGGTCTAGGTAAGAACTTAGAGCTCATGAGATGTTCAAGTCCTCAACTAATCAAATCTTCCTTCTAGTGATTGAAGAACACCATAATGCTCTTCAGATGGCGCTCTTCCGCGGTCGAGCGAGAATTGCAAAAGCCATGTTGAAGCGGATCCCGGATATCAATGAAAGCGGTGGTCCTTTTGGCAATGCTATCCAGGCAGCTGCATATGGAGGCCATGTGGCTATGATTGAGCTGATACTGTGCCACGGAGGGACTGTGCATTTGGAAGGCCGGTACGGCACCCCTCTTCGCGCAGCTGCACTGGGCGGTCATGACCACGCAGTCCAGCTTTTAATCGATCGTGGTGCAGTCATGGCAGATGACAGTGGAGACGCACTAGAAGCTGCAGCATTCAACGGGCGACTATCAACTGTCAAGACTCTGTTTGATTCTGGATTATGTGATCGCCAGAAATATACGTTCACAGTGAGCCCAGCAGTCCGCGCAGCTTGCTTTCGGGGTCATCTTCAGGTGGCCACGTATCTTTTGACCTTATTTGGCTCGGATGCCGCTCATCATGCTTTGGAAGCTGCCATGGATGGCGCTCAAGGAGACATAGTGCAGCTGGCCTTGGCCCATCACCCACAACAGACCGACGCAAAATCTTTTCGGAGGCCCAAGGGCGGGATCTGTATAGCTGTACCAGGGTCTGCAAGGCAAATTCTGCCGCTAGAAGCATCACTGGAGAGGGCAAAGGATAAGAAAGAGCAGTACCAGCAGTTGACGTGCAAGAAGAAGTCCACATCGCGCCCGCATTCCCAAATACATAGCACAGGAAACCAGGAGCAGCAAACGCCAAAAAGGATGCGAAAGGTTCTAGGATCGAACATCGATCGGGGTCAGAACAGGAAAGATCTTCTTTTGATTGCTGTTCAAATGGGTTTCCTCGAGGTGGTGGGTGAACTCCTGGATCAGGGGTTCAATATCAACTCCAGAGGCCAAACCCATCCGAACGAGCCACCGCAATTAACGCCGATCGAAGAGGCCGTCATCCTTGATCGTGTCCCTATAATTGAGCTTCTGCTGAATCGAGGTGCATATGCCAAACGAGCATTGAAATACGCCGTGGTGCATCAAAACGAGCGGGTGATTCGTCTATTCCTCCAGAAACGGCCGAAAATCGAGGTCGAGGTCTCGCTCTCCGGTAAAATAGCAGATGCCGATCCGCAGCTCGAGCCCACTGCGCTTTCACTTGCGGTTGAGAAGAACTATCCACAAATTGTCAGGATTTTGATGGATCATGTGAGAGAATTCTACGATTTCAAGATCGGGTCTGCTCTGGCGACAGCGGTTAGGATAGGAAGCATCCCCATGATTGAAATACTTCTCGGCGACATTGAGCTACGTGACCTACCAGACGACTCGTTTCACTCAGACGAGTATTTCGCTTTCTACAGAATCATGGAAGAAGCAGCTCAAACTCGGAATATTCCTGCTTTGAAAGTCCTCCTCAAGCATGTTGACAATCGCGCTATGTACAACCAAATGGTCCACGACTATATCAAACATAGTATATCGGAAGCCAATTGGTATGGTGTGGTCCACTGCTTATACCTCGAAATTGAGGGTCTCATTTGGTCTACTTTGCTGGAGACTGCTTTTCTCAGTTCGGCTGAAAAGCTATGTGATCCATGGGACACACACGTTCGCTGTCCGTATTCTCTGCAAGCCCAGGCTTTTGACATGGAAAGAGACAAGCAAGCTAAAGGCCGACTACTAAACGCGATCAGTTGTGGCGCCCGAGAGTCCGATCGCCTCCTTTCGTCCTATCTTGTCGCTTTCAAAATTGCTGCAGATTCTCGAAACACGACGATGATGAATTTCATTCTGACTGATAGCACCTCCGGTCTTGGCGCGTCTGGCGAAAGGTTCCTTGGTGTCACAAATTTACTCAAACCGGCGGCGTTGTATTATGCCTGTCAGAATGGTGATTGGGAATTGTTCAATGGTCTCATTAAAGGCGGCGCCGACCCATTTGCAAAAGCAGTATTTCCAGGGCAGAGGCAAAGCATGGCGCCAGCAAGTGTATTGCCAGAGCCTATGGATCCCAAGGACATTGACTTCTTTCAAGTATCTTTGGGGGCCTTCTTCCAGGCTAAGGACTACGAGTCGCCGCTTAAATGGCTCCCAATACTCACTTGGTTTCTTGATTCTGGTATCGAAGTGAATACAGAAGAGCCTGGCCTTGTCAAGTCTCTTCACCTAGCATGCGGATGGGGTTTCCTGGAGTATGTCGAGAAGCTGGTCGAGAAAGGAGTCTCCGTTTCAGCGTTGGACCAGACCCGGCCACCTTGGAATATGGTTGGACCCCCCTCCACACTGCAACACGGTTCGGTCAAAAGCATGTGGCGGTGTACCTTGTTACTCGCGGGGCAAATATCCATCAACAAGCAGGTGACGGGAAGTCAAAGACACAGACAGCTATCCAATATGCTCTTGAATACGTGGGGGATTGGGAAGATGGTCGCGCCATATTGGAAACATGCGAATACCTCGTAGAGGTCGGGGCGGGCGATGCCGATTGCAAGATTCTGCTCCATGCAGCAGCCAAAGCTGGGAATCTCAACTTTGCCAAAAGGCTTCTTCTTCGTGGGATATGTCCTGATCGCTTTCCTACGCATAGCCGCCTTGAGATGATGCAGTTGTTTGAGGAGTTCGGATTCGACTTGATTTCAACACACGATGACGCGCCAGAACAACAGGGAGAAGCTCTTCAACACGGCCGGTTCCCCTTGTTTGAGTATCTTGTGAGTCGGCAAGGATTGCAGGTTTCTTTTTCAGACTGGTCTGTCATGGAAAGGATCAGCCATTGGACAAATCACGACAAGCTGCAATACGTGATACGGCGATGGAATTTCGATCTCAACACCATCTTTGAATGCGAATCCGAGGACTTGCCTGATCGGAAGACTAAGAAATGCCAATTCAACCTGCTGCAGAAAGCATGTTACATACTGGATGGCACAGAGCAAGCGGGGATGTTGCTGAAAGCAGGTGCATCCATCGACTGCCCAGGTCTGTCAAACACTGCACTAGAAGTCGCGGTCAAAAAGATGAGGACCACTGTTTCCGGACATGATATTTCTCTTGTTGAGCTTCTCCTTGAGCATGGCGCCAACGTTCACGGACTTAAAACAGGAGACGAACCTACCAAGAATGAAGGGCCTCGGAATCTACATGCCCCGCCACTACTTTTGGTCCTTCTCTGTGACTGTGGTGACATATTGAAGATGGTTGAGCTTCTCGTGAAGCATGGCGCGGATGTAAATGCTGGGGTCATACCTCCGTTGCGGGTGGCCTCTCAAAAGGATCATCATGAAGTGGTCAAATTTCTCGTTCAACATGGGGCAGTAGACAATGGCAACCACTTGTCTTTCAGTATTGATGACTTGATGAATGAGCGTCGGACCATTGCGGGGATACCCTTGTGGTGAAAGTTTCCATCGAATTGTCTTCCAATTGACGCCTTCCTCTCGTGCCTGAATCATTACGTGGTGATTTCCATCAATACTCTTCAAAGGCGTCGCCTGCTCACCACTGTGCTTCTCATTATCTCGAGGTGTACTTCGGCCAATATTCGCAGCATAATTCCTATTCATGACCATGTTGCTAAGCAGACGAAGCGGCCCTTGGAGGCAATCGAGGCGGAGGCTCATCGAGTTACTGTCGCCCGGGTCGTTGGAACTGAAGGACAATGGAGCATCTAGATGTGAGCCGTGCGGTGACGGCTGGGTATTTCCATTTAGCTCCATACACTTTTCCTCTTTTGACACTACAAGTAGTAAGTGGGATGAGGATTGACGCCTCCCACCGCACATGGTCGAATAGGAATACGGCGCATCAGCGTGAAAACAGCTTCGAATTATTCTGGAACAATCTATTTTGCCTTGTATGTCTCCTTCGTGCATCACCTGAAAGCAAAATACGCCCGCTCCAAAGGCTGCCGTTCTGACTCCCAGGCCAACCAATCCGACCTCGTAGTCCTGCCCAACAAGTCAGTTCGGTTCCATCAAAAGAAGACCAAGGATAAAAGCATACGGCAAAAGACCCATGGCATTCACCTTCCAAATCCCCAGAGCCAACAGTCCCAACTGCATCAGCACATAAACCGCCTTGACACCGACCAGCTTCGCGCGCGTCGACTCGGTGTCAAATTTGGCGAAAGCGGCATTGGTATTGAACAACCCCTGGATGGGACCCTTGAAGAGCATGAACACCATCATGATACTGAAGATCTGCAGGCTATTGCCGGACATGTACATCATGATCGCGTTCATGGGGATCTGCTTGGACGGGGCGATGGCGATTTCCCACGCTTTCTTGATCTTGAGCGCGTCGGTTTCTTCGGGTTTCGAGGTGGTGGGCTGCTGATCCTTTTGTTGTTTTTCGCGCTGACGAGAGAAGGGATCGAGTAAGTACAGATTTTCTGGGGGTGGCGTGGGATGGCTTCTCACCTGCTTGCCTGCGGCTTTGCTGCTCGAAAACCCGGGCGGGTCGGGGATGCTGGAGGCCGCCTTGGTGGGTTTGGGCATGGGCGAGTTGAGTGCAACGACCCATTGCGGTGGTGGAGGGGGAGGAAGAGGCTGCGACATGATGGCGTGGTGTGTTGCAGTGAAGAAGATGGATGACAAGGAGAGAGTGTCAAATCAGTTCCTCCGCAATCCCGCCCGGGCACTCACTCCGCCTTCTTCCTTCCTTCGTCATCTCTCCTTCCTCCTTTCTTTTCCTTCTCCCGATCCAATTCATTTCTTTTTCCTGTCGGGTTCAATTCCCCTTGCTATGACTGCCAGCAGCATTTCCGTCCATCCCCCCGGCCATTTTCGATCTGTCTGAACGCTTTCCGAGCCCAGTGTGCTGAAGAACCCACCGCGGGCCCTTTTTCTTGCCAGCTCTCCTCGACCCCAGCACAACCTTTCCTAGCGCTCTGTCGATACCTTAATCCAGTGCTGGCGATCTGGCACTTGACTCGACTCTTTCCCGCTCGCTACGCATGTGATTTGATCGCACGGCCAGACTAGTCTCCAATCCGTCGCTCTCAAGCGTTCCGCGCCAGACCCCTCCTCCGTTGATTCGCCCACGCAATCATGAGTACTTCCGGGGGTGATGCGAAGTTGTTCGCCAGGGTATGTGAACGTGCTTTTGCCTTTTTGATCGGCCTGCTGCCCGTCGTGACTTTTCTCTCCCTTCCTCCTTCCCCGCATCTTACTCCTCTCTACTATGTCTGTTCTCCAAGGCCTCGCGCGTTTGTTCTCTACTACTGCCCCAAACTCTGATACCCCATGTTCATCGGCATCGTCCCCTATGCTCCGCCCTATAGCTCACTCTTTCCTCGTACCCGACAGGGCAAAGTTGCCGAGCTGCGACAGGAGCTCAATAGCGGCGGCAGGAAGGACAAGAACTACTCCGCCAAAAAGATCGCGCTGAAGAAGATCGTCGCAAACATGACCATGAGCAATAACGATATGGTGGCCCTATTTCCGGACGTGATCGACTGCATGAACCTACCCAGCTTGGAGATCAAGAAGATGTATGCCTGACAGCGACAGCGGTTAGTAACGTGCTGACAACTCTAGGTGCTTTCTGTTCCTGGTCAACTATTCAAGGATGAAGCCCGATGTCGCGCTCAAGGCGCTACCGATTCTGGTCGATGTATGGCCCGCATACCCATCAACAAACGAACTATGTCTGACTTCGGCTCAATAGGATATGGAGGACACCAACCCGCTGGTGCGCGCACTCGCATTACGAACCATCGCCTATGTACATGTCCGCGAGTTCGTTGAAGCGACTTTTCAACCTCTCAAACGCCTGATGCAGGACAACGATCCCTATGTCCGCAAGACAGCTGCCTTTTGCGTGGCGAAACTGTATGAGCACGACAAGAAGATGGTTGAAAACTCCGACTTGATCGATAGACTCAACCGCATGTTGAAGGACGAGAACCCGACAGTTGTTTCAAGCGTTTTGGCTTCGTTGGTGGACATTTGGGGCCGGAGTGAATCCATCTCCCTTACCATCGACTACGTCAGCGCATCGAAACTGGTGTCGATTCTGGCGGACTGCTCTGAGTAGGAACATCCCTTCGTATATGCGAATGAGGGCTAACAGCATTCGCAGATGGGGTCAAACTTATATCCTCGAAGCCTTAATGTCTTACGTGCCCCAAGACACCGCCGAAGCGCTCCTGCTGGCAGAGCGAATTGCACCACGGCTATCGCACTCGAATTCTGCGGTTGTCCTCACTTCTTGCCGAGTCATCCTCTATCTCATGAACTATATTGCCGATGAAAAACACATTACTTCGTTGTGCAACAAACTGTCCCCGCCCCTCGTTACATTGCTCTCCAAACCTCCTGAGGTCCAGTATCTGGCACTGCGAAACGCCATTCTGATCCTGCAGAAGCGACCTGCAGTCCTGCGAAATGATATCCGTGTGTTTTTCTGCAACTACAATGATCCCATCTACGTCAAGGTGACCAAATTGGAGTTGATGTTTATGTTGACCACCAAAGAGAATATTTCCGTGGTCTTGGCGGAGCTTCGAGAATATGCAACTGAAATCGATGTGCATTTCGTGCGCAAGGCAGTCCGCGCCATCGGAAAACTAGCCATCAAGATCGAGTCGGCCGCGCGGCAGTGTATCGACACGCTTTTGGAGCTGGTTGACGCCAAGATCCCCTACATTGTCCAGGAGGCAACAGTGGTGATTCGCAACATCTTCCGCAAATATCCTAACCAGTACGAAGGTATTATCGGACATGTGATCCAGAACATCGATGATCTCGACGAGCCCGAGGCCAAGGCAGCTATCATCTGGATCATTGGTCAATATGCAGACCGGATCGAGAATTCAGACGGTCTCTTGCAGGATTACCTGGCCACCTTCCACGATGAGACTATCGAAGTGCAGCTCGCACTACTGACAGCCACTGTCAAGCTCTTCATTCAGCGGCCGACCAAGGGCCAACAGATCGTCCCAGAGGTGCTGAAGTGGTGCACCGAAGAAACAGACGACCCGGACTTGCGCGACCGTGGCTACATGTACTGGCGTCTCCTCTCCACCGACCCGGCATCCGCCAAGGAAGTAGTGATGGGCCAAAAACCCCCGATCACCGCAGAGAGCGAAAAGCTGGACCCGCGCACCCTCGAAGAGCTGTGTCTAAACGTCGGCACCCTGGCCACAGTCTACCTCAAACCCATCCACCAAGTCTTCCGCGCTGCTCGTCCTCGTCGCCTCCAACCCAGTCCGGCCCTGCAGCGCCCACCCGTCGAGGACGGCACCGCCAGCATGCTAGGTTACAACCCGCCCTCAGCCACTTCCGCCGCCGGAAACACTAGCAACAGTGGCTTGGCCACCATCACCACGACAGGCAACCCCATCAGCCCCATCAACCCCGCCCCTCCACCTAACTTCCCCGTCACGGCGCCCGGCACCGGCCCCAACGCGGCAACGGGCCAGACATCCATGAACGACGCTGTCAACGCCGCGGATTCGTACTTCAGCGGTGTCGGCTCCCAGCAGATGGCGTCGCTGGATCTTGGCGGACGTGATGATGGCCTTGGCAATGGAGGCGCACCGCAAACGCAGTACGTTGTCACGCAGAATCAGCAGCAGGTGTATCAACCTCATTTGGCTGGTGGGGCTGCGACGGGCGAGTTGTTGCTGCTATAGTTGGTCCCTTTGGGTTTCGTCTTTTGTTGTAATTGTAGATAGAGCAATTGGAAATGGTCCTTTAGTATCGTTCACGGTCAAATTATCCGAAAGTCAAATATCCTCCCTCCTTCTCCCCTAGAATTGATGCTACTCACTGTTACGATTTGAATCCCAGAAAATAAAGCTTAATAACTTTGGCAGAAGTGTGATGGTAATACCGTAATGTCCCATAAAATTACATAGAATCTCATGGATGACGGTGTGTCAGATCGCCCGCCTACATCCTCAAACCGAATCTGGCTCTCCCATGGAGCTGACAGGGGCTTTGCAAGTGATTGATTTCAGAGATGAGCCATTATGACATCGATGATATATCTCAACCTGTAGAGCATGGATCATGGGAACACAACTCGGATCATGCTCCACCTCTTTGCTACTGTGCAAGCCCCCTACGCCATCCAATATGCAATCTACAAGCCCCTCCCCATCTAGTGGACTGGAAAGTGGAGTCGAGCCGACGAGTAACTTTACCAACATCCCCTCAGATTCCTTCAGCTTCTAACTGTCTTCGTACAGTAAGAAAAGTTCTCAACTCCGACGGAAGAATAGTCGAGAACACCCATCGGGATACAGCCTTTCAGAAAATTAGTAACACCTTCCATTCCTTTGTAGGTCTCTTTTCATATCTCACCTTTGCACTGGCGTGGGACGCGCTCGACGCCGATGGCTGGACTCACTGGAGGCCTAACTTTATCCTACCGCAACGCTAGTGCTTATGTCTTCACCATCGTGCGGCCGCACAGCGTATCCACTTTCCTAGGAACGATGGTAAGCTACATAATCAACCAACCTCCCCTGTTCCGATGTAGAGTATCTTTTCAAACACAAACTTCATATCCATAGTCCCAAGTCCGATTGCCATCATGGTGTACACCATTTATGAGGGCTTTGTTCTCCAGACAAAGCGGGCTTTAACCGCGCTTTCGCATATCCTCCACAAAGGCGAGGAGCGGCCCGACGCTTCCAGTCTGCCGTCCTGTCGACTCCACGATGACATGAAATCACTTAGCTATCAAGTGTTCGCAGCAACCGCGCAAACATCGCTGGTTCTGGCTAAACTGACAGCCGAACCATTCCCAACCGAAGACACGAGCAAGGATCTTGTCTACACATATGCGGAAATGTATACGCGCATCGACAAGGCGCTCCAGGCCCTCGACGCGGTTGACAAAGACATCATCCTCGAACATTGCGAGGATGTCGCGCCCACGCCTCTGGGAGGGAATATGATACCCCTGTCTGGTATTGCATACGCGTGCATTATGCAGGCTAATATCTTCTTTCACGTTACTACTGCCTATGGCATCTTGCGCAAGGAAGGCGTGCCTTTGGGCAAGGCGGATTATATTTTGCCTTTTGTAACTTCCTAAGGCTTAGCTTACCGTTGATCAGAACATTTGACTTCAACAAAGCGCACAGAATCACCAGTTCTCTTCCTACACGTTTGTAGAATCTAGGCACAGCTGTTGATCCTCCGAATAACATCGCTGACAATGATTCTATCAGGAATTTATTTTCCGGGAATCAAGTCGTGAGAACATAGAGGTAAAACGGAATTTGAAGGGTACTGTACCCATAACATAGCTTTGGTATGATCTATAGTCACCCACTATAAACAGACTTTTGTGATATAAGCACTGTCGCGCATATCCACACACGATCGAGGCCCTGGAGGTCTGTGCCGGCCACAAACGGGCGGTACGAGCTATGGGTAGACGTCACTAACGAAGGAAGCGGTAATACAGAGCAACAGCTATTGATAGACACAAACGCGAATTATGTTGGCCTTCTAGGATAAGTCATTCACAGCAGTAGCACAGCCTTCGCCATGGAAGAGGCAATGAAGACAAAGGCAACGAAGGAAAAGAGTTTATAGACCTCTTTTCTTCTAATTACGATTAGGGGTTTAGCTGATTCCTTCCACAGAGAGTATAATAGATCATACAAAGCCAAGATTCTTGAAAGCCCTTCGGAAACCGACGTCCCTAGGTTGCACCTTTCCCCTAGTGCACGTTCTTTTTCAAATACGCCAAAATGCCTGGGTGGTCGTAAATATCCATTTGCCGAATCTGCTTCGGAGAGGAACCGAAGTCCTGTGGATTTGAAGCATAAGCGGAAAAATAATCCGTAGTATGTCGAAAGTCTTCCATAGTCATATTTCCAACGACACCGGGATTTGACCGCGATCCTTCACGCCTCACTGCCACAACGTTGCCGGCCCAGGGATATGCCGTCTTCTGTTGAGTTGCTGTCAGGATACTTTGGTTGATTCTTGATCCATCGTGCTTGAAGTCGTCGCGATGGACAATTTCGATGTTGTAATCAAGTTCCTTTTCTCTGACGGGATTTCTTTTCATCGAATTTCGGCCGGGGAAGGCATGTCCATCACCTAGCATACTGCCGGAATCATCATATTCGAATCCCTTTGGGTCCAGGGTACATTTGAGCCACACGAAGCGAGGTGTTTCTGCATCCGCAGGGAAAAGAATCGCCCGCTTGAACGTGACATTTCGGTCTGTGGAAAGTGGTGAGGTGATAAAGTGGTTGAATGAATCGCAGAGAAGCTTATGAGTAGGCCAATCTCGATCGCGACATTCGTTAGAGCAGTATCGTGAAGATCGACAACCAGCACAAATATTTACTCCAGGAAGGTTGCACATTGTGCATATTGCATCGGCGGAGGTCGACATTGATGAGTGCTCCAGGGCAGGTACTGCAATATTTGCGGTTTCAGCTTGTCCTTTCTGGGAGTCGTGAATCGGGACTAAAGGTCCTTGCCTTGTAGCCCGAGAAGCGAGATATTTGTTGTCACCTTGGTCTGCCTTTGAGTACCCGGTATCCATCTCATGTAGTGCTACGGCATCTGTTGCGCCTATCTCCTGCGGTGCTGTGACATCTGCAGAGTCTATCTCCTGTCGCGCTGGGGTATCAGTAAGGCCTATTTCCTGGGGTGCTGCGAAATTTGTATGACCCTTGAGCTTTGACGGCATACCACACCGTGTGCAGAATGGTGTCGTGATTGGTGTACCGCAGTGACCACAGTGATTAGCGCCACCCAAGTCCGGGGGCGTCGATCCGAGCGAGACAATCGGTTGCGCCTGTGTCCGCAGGCCTGTGCCGAAGCCCTGACCTCCAACATCGTCTCCGGCCGGCTTGTGGGTAGCCACAGTCGCAGACTTCCCTAGATCCCGGCCACGACGGCGCTTTAGATACCATAGTAAGAGGGCAAGTAGTATCAGGAAGATGCTACCACCGACGCCGACTCCAATGCCTACTTTGGCGCCGGTGGATAACCCGGAGTTCGACGAACTCGTCCCAATAGAACTGGATGTCGGGATGGCGTGTCCAGTAGACGTCGTGGAAGAGGTGGTTGTAGAGGAAAGCGACGAGGAAGTGGTCGATGAAGTCGACGAGCAGCCGGCAGACGAAGGAAGAGTAACCTCACTGGAGCTACAGATTCCATTTGCTACCTCGATCGTCTCTAAAAGAAATGCCAGGTGAATTAATCAGTGTTTAAAAGTGGATTGGGTTGTATATTAACCCTTGCTTCACATCGAAAGGTCCTAACAGCCTTCTCCAAAAGTTCGAAATGAGATGACTTACTTTCTTGGTCAGCGGAATCGCACTCCTTATAGACACAGCAACTGATGTACGAGATAGAAGACGGCGAGTCACAGATGCACGAGACACCGGTGCATGATGCAGGTAGCACATCATCAACGCAGGATAGCTATGTGGTTTAAAATCGTAGCCGTTAGCTTCTGTGCCACCTCAATATCTTCTACCTGTTTCTCTTCCCTAAGCCATTCCGCAAGTCCCGTAAAACTCCCCTGGGTATAAATCAAAGATATAGGGAGGGTTAAGAGAAAGAGGTAGATACAGCGCAATTTGGAAGTTTGTCAAGAAGAGAAGACTGGGAAGAGCACGGAATGGCAAAAGCCGTCAAGGTCAAGAACACGAGCGTTTGTTTCATCCTGTAAAGACCTAGTAGGCTCTTGTATTTTAGGGCGTTCGTTTTCGAGGCAGCCTAAAAGGAACGGAAAATAAAGAGTGTGGAGAGAATTAGCCAGGTCTTTCCCCATCTTTTGAAAATCTCTGGTCTTCTCCGTACTTATTGTTGGGGAGGCTGAGAGCTCGTATTTTGCCGTCTCTTGGCGCAGCACCGTTTACTGAACGAGGTTAGTGGCACCCCGCGCCAAACCATGCAAGGGTACAATGGGAGCATCTAATAGGGCTGTTTCTCGCATTTCCTCGTAATAACCCCTGAAGCGATATTCTCATTCCCAAGCGAGTTCATAAACCAACGCGGCCCTGCAACCTTCATCTTGAACTTTCGCATACTACCTCAACGGCTTCGACCATAGACACAAGTCGTGCGTCTTGTACAAGCCTATTCAAGATGTGGGAAAAATGGAATATTATCAACAATAGCATTGTTTGCATGATATGGATATGAATATGAATTGTGCATGATAATAAGAGGAATATCCATTTAGCTAATATCCATGAAGGTAGTAGAGACCACAGCCACAAGCTAAGAATATCAAACTAAATACTAAGAAATACAGGCGTGTATCCATGTATGAGACGAGGAAAGACTCAATATGAAAAAAGGAAGAAGTAACGACGTGAAAGATAAAGAAACCCTCTGGAAGAAACTCCTCAATCCGCCTCAATCTTAGCATACCCACCACGCCCCCTCCGAATGCGCTCATCCAAACTATCCTCCTGCGCGCGCTGATGCAGCTGCGAAACAAACCGGCCCTTATCCGAGCGCTGCCGCTCTTCCACCTCCCGCTGCTTCTCTTCTTCGGCGGAGATCACAGCGATCCGCTCGCGGCGAATATCCTCCATTTCGCTGGCGTTGGATTGCATCTCTGCCAGCTTGCGGCGGCGCTCTTCTTCTAGATCTTTCTGGTCGGGTGCGGGTCTGTTGTTCTTGGGAATATTGTGGGACGGTGCAGAAGGACGGTCACGGTCTCGCCGGTTGTTGTTGTTGTTAGAATACTCGCGGTTGTTCCGGTCTTGCGTTGGACGCGGAGATGGTGAGCCTCGCCGAGTATCTGAGTCGCGCCGTTCATCGCGGTGGCGGTTGGAATATGAGTCGCGTCTTTCACGGTGATCGCGACGATCTCGTTCGCGGTCTCGATCACGATCATCTCGACGGGCTCTGTCGTCGTCCCTCCTGTCACGGCCCCGATCACGATCACGATCTTCTCCACGGCGTCGATCATCTCGATGTTCACGTTCTCGCTCACTCCTGTGTCGGCGGTGTGACGACCGCTCCGGCGAAGCGGGCGACCTCGACCGATGACGGTGCGACGAGCGGTGGTGGTGCCGATGCCGACGATCATCCTCGGCCTCATCACTGTATCGTCTGCGCTTGGAATGGCGATCCCGGTCACGATCACGATCTCTCTCCCTCTCACGACCGCCACGCTTCTCCTCCCTGTCCTTCCTCCTCAACTGCTCCTTAACCGCAGCCTCATAAGCCGCCTGCTCCCTCTTCTTGACCTCCAGCAACGGATCATTCATAACCTTCGTCATGGTATCCCTCGCCGAAACCACGCCAGGCGTAGGAGCAGCACCATCTGCGCCATTCGCAACATCCGCTCCCTTCTCCAACTTCTTATTATCCGTATCATTCTTCAGCAAGATCCCATCAATCCTCCGCTTGCCAAGCAAGTACCCCTCCATCTCCTCGGAGTACTGGCCCGTCGCGCCTGAGGGCGCCTGATACATCCAGTCGACACGGCTCTGTTGCTTGCCCTTCCCGGAGGCTTCTTGGAGACGTTGCAGCTCTTGGATCTGGCGCTCTTCTTCACGCTCGCGCCGGAGCTGGTCGATCCGTTTGCGCTCATCGAGGGCTTTCTTTTCTTCAGCCCAGACGCGCTCCTGGTTGCGTAGGAGCGAGGGGTGCCATGATCTGGTGGAGGGTTGGTGGTTAGTTTTTTGTTGAGTTTGTGAAGAGATGGAGAGAGAGGTGACGAGAGGAGAGGGGAATGGGCAGAGATGACATTCGGAGTACTCACTTCTTCAAGTTCAGATCACCGCCACCCATTTTGAAGTCTGTGGTGCTGAGGAGAGGCGAGGCGTGGGAGAAGAGATGGAGGTTGGGTTGGGTTGGAGAAGTTGCGATAACTGCCTGATACGGGAATAGGATAAGCGCCACTCATGCCTCAGGCCACAAAATCATGTGACCTGCACCAACTCTCAGACTACTGCTACATGGACCTGAAAGATATACATCGAGATGAATTCGATTCACTAACACCTGTGAAGACTCAAACGAAGGGAAGATCTCGGCGCCAGAGCAGAACCAAGTATAAATAGAATCATGCAAAAATTTACCACATGAAAGGAAAAGAAAAAGAAAAACGCTCGCTCAATTCTCCATGACACAAAAAGAGACATCTTTGCTGTTTTCTCTCCCATTACCCACCCAGCAGCGGAAGGGTGACCCCCCTAGATACAAGGGGACACGAAGAAGACAGAAAGGACAAAAGGAAGATAGACAGGAGAGAGAAGAGCTATATTCCACTCATACAACCGCGATCCCCACCCAACAATCGATGTAGAACAAAGAAGAATGAGGACTTTATTTGCCGGTCTCCCAGCCCACCCAGTTGCGCGACATCACGCGCCATACTTTGCACTCGCCACTGCGCAGGTCGCCCAGCTTGAAACTTTCAATCTTGACCTTCTTGCTCTCGCGACCCTGTTCCCAGGCCCGGATCTTCTTCTTCGTGCCGTCCCAGTCAACGACAACACCGACGTGGTCCGGCTTGCCCACCTCGGCACTGTACTTCTGGTGCATGGTGCCGCGGTGTCCTTGGAACCGGGCGTTGCGGAAGCTGACGATGTCACCGGCGCGGATCTCGTCGTTCTGGGAGACGGACGCGTTGGCCAGGTTCGAGTAGACCAATGCACCATAGGCTCGTGTGCCGACAGGGAGTAGCGCATCAGACAGGGGGCTGAGTAGATGCTGAATCAATCCGAAGGGAGTACCGTCGCCCACCGTCGTGTTTTGGATTGAGTTGATGGCTTCGGAGATTCGGGTGCCGAGTTGGACGTGCGCCTCTTCTAGCTGGTCCTGACGGGGCTGGAGAGGCGGGGATTCATGGCGCTGCTCCAGGGAGGCGTCTGCAGGGTTTTTGGCATCGAATTGCACCGTCACCACGGTCTGAGAATAATCAAGGAACAGCACATAGACATCCTTGGACACCATTGTCTTGCCACCTCGCTTCGTGGAGGAAGACTCTTCGACCTCATAAAGAAGATCTTTGCGGTTCTGGAAAACTGGCGGAGGGGTGTTGGGCTGGGTCCACCAAAGGGTATTCTCAGCAAGATCAATGTCCTGGGCAATGCATCCCTGATCCACAGATGGACGAGAGACGTCCATAGATCGCCGGACATTGGGCTGGGCTCTCATAAAATCCATAGACTGACGCTGGCTTCGAGATGCGGATGGAGACGGAATGGCTGGTGCTTGGCTCGGCGGGGGCGGTGGTGCGAGAGAAGGCCGTTTTTCGTGCTGCGTTGTAGAATAGCTTTGCGGACTCTGCACGGGAGAAGCTTCGTACAGATCATCTTCTTCATCGGCGGCCTGTGCTTGCGGAATCGGAGGAGGGGGTGCCTCTGGTCGCCGACCCTGAGGAAGAGGCGGGGGAGTAGGCAGGCCGTGTTGAGGAGTAGAGTAGTTGAAAGGATCGTACTCCTCCTCATCATCACCACCCGATGACTCCTTGGGGGGCGGAGGTGGAGGCGGCCCTCTAGGAGTGTCGATGGATGCGCGAGCATTTCGCGGTGGCTGGCTCGGAGGAGGTGGTGGGACTGCCCTTGGGGCACTTGGAGGCGGCGGTGGAGCCGTGCGGGTTTCCTGGGAGATTATGGGCGAATGGAGAGAATGGTCATCGGTGATCGTGCCCTCATCGAAGCTGGAGTCACGCTCGTGGGACTTCAATGCGTCCTTGAACTTCGCTGAGGACGCAATATCAGTGTCATAGTCACCGTCATACTCCGTGACCTCGCCTTCTGCTTCCTCGCCTGCCTGCCGGGGTGCGGAGATGGCACTGCTACGACTATCAGCAGTGGACCGGCGGCGTAGCTGATCCCGGGGTGGTGGGGGAGGAGCGCGGCCTTGCGATGGCGGCATAGGCGGATTTTGCGGGATGGGAGGAGGAGGACGACTAAGCCTCTTATCCTTCTCCGTAGTTGGAGTTGACCCAATGGTAGACGGGGTGTCGTAGGCCGAGGAACGGCGAGAGTCAACATGGTCCGGGGCCGCTGGTGCAGGAACTGCTGGCGGAGCAGCGCTCAACGACAAGTTCCCGGTATGCACAGACAGCTCATCATCTGATTCATCTCCAGTGTCTGCGGGTTTAGGGGGCGGAGGAGCTGGTCGACCTGGTAATAAACGTAAGCATTTCCATACGGGGAAAAAGTGGGCAGGACCTACCTCCAGGAACTGGCGGAGGAGAAGCAGGATGTTCAACTGGCACTGGAGGTGGGACGGGGCGGGAGTCTCGGGGTGGTGGGGCGGGAGCTGTGCATTATGTTAGGTTAGCTGGCCATACCACAAACAGTTATACAAAGCATCTTACCACGAGATGGAGGAACTGGTGGTGCCCGGTCAGTAGACCTACGGGGCAGAGCACCCTCGCGGACCGTATCTTCCACGTCAGCAACCTCATATGCAGGATGCTGCTCAGAGACAGGGGTTGCCAAAGGCTCTTCTTCCTCCTTCTCGACATCGGCAGATGGACGGGGCGGTTTGCTGCCAATGTTCATCCCAGGCATTGGAACCATAGGAACCGGGGGAGCATTGGTAGGGGAGGTAACCTCCGACTCTCCAAGTCTCTTCTCCGACTCGCCAGGAGTCTTGGGCTTGCGAGCTCCAGCAGTAGGCATGCCGCCGGGAGGTCCGAAGAGACCCATCATGCCCATTCCACCGCTCATCTTGGCCATGCGGTTTCGCAGTTCCATCCTGCGTCGGGTTTCAGGGTCCATATCTTCCTCTTCTTCTTCACCGGTCTCCTCTTCGACATCCGCCTCGTCGCCTTGCTGTTCAACAGAGCGCGACGAGGGCTGACGCTGGATGCTTGGATGAGAACGCTCCTCATCCTCATCCTTGCTGGTGGAGGTTTCTCCAGCATCCTCGGAATCTGCTGCAGCAGAATAGTCGGCGTCGTTGGTATCACTGACCATCTCCTCTGGCGGCGAAAAGGGCGTGGGCACTTGCGGAGCATGAGCACTACCCCTCAAAGTATCGACACTGGGATCACGCGCAGACTCCAAAGCTTCAGTTGTTCCAGGTTCTTCAGGTTCTTCAAGTTCCTCTCCAGGCGTCGCCGGAACAGCCGGCCCCTCAGCCTGCTTCTTTGGATGTCGCGACTTCTCTTTTTTCTGGGCCGCCTCCGCATGACGCTGAGCCTGTTCCAGCTGCTGCTTTTGCAGGAGGGCAATTCTATCCTTAAGCCTGGTGGGTTTGGGCTGGTCTTCTTCGCCCTCCGCCGGCGCCTCAGTGGGAAGCGGGGGCGGCGGCCGGCTCTCCGAGACGGGAGGCTCGCGAGCAATTTGTTCCTGGACTTGAGGGTCTTCCTCCCGCTTGTATATTTTGGGGGCAGGTTCCCTTGGTGGAGGGACGTAGGAATCCTTGCTGGGAGGAGCCGGCACAAACGGCTTCTTAATGAAGGACGATGACGAGCCGCTGGGCTTGAAAGGTGTGACTGGTGCCGCGGCGGGCTTATTGAAGGCGGCAATGCGATCCTTGAACGACGAACCGCTCGGCTTCTCTGCGACAGCCGGAGGCGGGGGCTTGGAGGCTGCAGGGGGTGGAGGGGCAGCCGGTTGTGTCGCCGGCGGAAGCGAGGCCGCCTGCTGAGAAGATTGAGTAGGAGCTGGCTGGGGGTGCGCAGGCTCTTCTGCGGTGGCCTGCTCCTCTAGCTCTGGCTCCGGCTGCGAGTTGCTCTCCACGACAGGGGATTCCACGGGGGCCGGAGCCGGCGGGGGAGCAGGCTCAGCCTCCTTCTTCGGCCTGGCCGGGCGCGACGGGCGCGGGGGAGCAGGCGGCTCATACCGTTCGACGAAGTTTTTGGGGAAGATACCTTCCTGCTTTGCTCCCGAGCCGTCTGTGTATTCACCATAGTACCACTCAGCATCCTCTTCAGCGGTGACGGTCAGGACCTGACCAATCGGAAAGCTGAGGTCGTCATCATGGCCCGACGCATACTCGAAGACGGCTTTCACCGTGAACGGCGGGCTGGACATCTGGTCCGTTGGAATTCTCGCTCAATACAGGACTGGGAGAGGGGTGGGGGCAGAACAATGGGCGATGCGGAACAACCGGTGTGTGACGGCAGTCACTGGAGAGGGAAGGCGGACTGTACAAGACGAAGCACCAGCGCTGAGACCTGTAGCGTGCAGTGGGAGGATTAAATTGCTGTGTCACGGACAGGGTGGTAGTCAGCGTGGATGAAACATAGGCGGTGGTGCCTAGCAGGAGAGATGACGATGAGGGGGGGGGGGGGTGGGAGGGGGGAGAATGGATGGGATGGGGGAACAGTGGGAACACACCAGTTGAAACACAAAGGACCGAGCAGCCTTGGATCAGGCCAGAGATTGTGAGCCGGGGGGGGAAGATGGGAGGGCCAAGGCGATGGAGAGGAAGGAGGGTGGAAAAAGGATGGGGGGAGAAGTAGTTAGTGAGGTGGTCGGTCGTCACTTGGCGGGATGAGATCCACTAGGGCAGATCGACTACGAACACTGCTATTATGATTGTAGTATTGGTTATGGGGATGTTGATTCTACATGATCATAGAAAATAGTGATGATTATTATCAGGATAGTCTGTCTGACGGGTTCGTGCTCTATACCCCCAGTCCGTAAGCTGCCCGAGGCCGACGTCACCAGATGTATATAAGAGACGGGATGCGCTTCCCATTCGCAGATTGGAATGGACAATAACTAACGCATAGTTCACTAGTTAATTTAATTATTACCACCTAGACTGCCAGCTCAGCAGCCTGTTCATTGGGCGCCCCCATCACAATCTGGGGGAATTTGCCTCTCTGCTCGCGACCCAAACTTCTCACCCCGGCCACCTTTCTCTCTCTTCCTCCAACCATCCAACTTGACCCATCTCATTCCACCACCTTCGCCCACCATGGCCACCCCCCCAGACCGGGCACAACAGTCCACCCTGAAAACCTCACTACCCACCGCCTACGCCGCCGTCAACGCCCAACAACCTCGCCCAGCACCCCCCTCCGAACTCACTCCCGAAGAGCAAGAAAAGTACCTCCTCGCCCGACCCGGCGCAACAGCCCAACACCTAGACATCGCCCTGCAGCACGCCCACCAAATCCAAGCCCAAAAAGACGCCGAGAACCTGATTCTCGACCGGATCCTGGACCTAGTCACGCTCCCGACGTCCCCATCCGCCGATCCCGCCACACCCTCCGCCGAAGATGCGCGCACCTTCAAAGCAGCCCTGATCCCCTTCCGCCCCAGCGACTACGATAACCTGGTTCTGGAGCGGAACTACGATCAGCTCTGCGGCTACGGGCTCTGTCCGCGCAGACATCGCAAGGAAGAGAGTGGTTCCGCGCAACAGGGCAGCTTCAAGGTCAAATGGGGTGCTAAAGGGAGTGGGCCTGGTGGCCGAGGACGCAGTATGGATATCGTCCCGCAGGAGACGTTGGAGAAGTGGTGCTCGGATGATTGTGCGGAGAGGGCGCTTTTTATTCGTGTGCAGCTCGCCGAAGAGCCGGTTTGGGAGAGGCGTGCAGGGGATAAGCGCAATAGGAATATTCTGCTCCTGGAGGAGGCGCGTGCGAAGCGAATGCAGGAGGCTGCTGCTGCTGCGACTATTTCGACTACTACAGGCTCATCTTCAAAGGATGTGGAGGGGAAGGCAGATGTTACGGCAGATTTGGAATTGGGCAACTTGTCGTTGCAGGATACCGATCGCGGGAAGGAACTTGCTCTGGAGCGCGGTGATGCCGGTCTTGTGTTCCGGGATGGTCGTGTTGATGTTCGGATCCAGGAGAAGGAACCTGAGCTGCATCACCCAGTTGCTGCTCCTCAGCTGCGGCCGGAGGATGCCACTGGAGGTTCCATTGAGGGCTATGTGCCTTCGGAGGAACCGGGCAAGCAGCGAGCAGCAGATGATGATGGAGACGTGCTCGATCAGATTTGACAGACGGCGCAGGCCGTGGCATAGCATTTGAGCATTGTGATGTTCTCCGGCGTTTTCTTTGTTTTCCCATTGCATTTGATTTTATACCCAGGGGGCAGCAATGTATATCTACGAAATACTACATCTTACAAATGACCATTCGGTATTGTTTTGCGGGACCTACGCAGAAACCATGCACAGTCCCGACCAACGGAAGGTCTTTCTTCAGACAAGTCCCCAACCTGCTGAATCCTACGTAGATCTGCCCTGAGACAGACACGAAGAGGAAGGGTAGTTGGCAATCAAGCATCAACCCTCATGTAGAGAGAATCAGCGACACCGATCTCAGAGAATCATAGTTTTCATTCCTCATCTTTGCATAGCCTCCATTCTTAGAACCTAAGATAAGTCGAGCGAAGACACGCAAGCCAGTGGGTTATCGGATAAACGCCAGGAGTCGACCGAACAGAGACAAGACATGAAGTTGGTTTTTTTGTAGGGGGTCGGGTGTGGGTGCATTTAGCGGGGACCGAAGCGACGAGGGCGCTCAGCAACCTGCTGCTGGCTGACGGTGACGACGTTGACCTTGAGGTTGTCGAACTGTGGAGATTGTCATTTAGTAAATGGGTTTTGAGAAAATGTTAGGTTTGACTTACGCCCATCGACTTGAGCAGATCCTTGGTCTCGGTGTCGACGTCCAGCTGGCCGGACTCGGTCTGGGAGACGTCCAGAGCGGAGATCTCGGGGACGTACTGGTCCTTGCGCTCACGCTCCTCCTCCTGGAGCTTGAAGGAGATACCGCGGACGGGGCCACGCTGGATACGCTTCATCAGGTGGGTGGTGTAGCCAGCGATCTAGTCACAAGGTCAGTTAGGGCAGATCATAATGTGGAATTGTGCGTTTCTCACCTTGTTGCGAAGACGCTTTGAGGCAATGATGGCGATCTCATCGCAGATGCGCTTGTTGGTCTCGAAGTCGAGAGTCAACTTGGGGTAGTAGCGCTCGATGATGACCTTGGCGGAGCGCTTGACGGTCTGGAGGAAAAGAAATATTAGAAAGGTATGCAGTAAGTGAGGGGTTCACAATGGTATGCTCACCTTAGTCCTGACGCGACCCATGTTGGCGGTTGTTGGCTGGATGGATGATCGAGGAGAGGCAGAGATCCGACTTGAATGGGTTTCGCTTGTGTGTGGCCAGCCCTAGCCCTAACCAGTCACGTGAAATAATTATGGTTACATAATATATTGGTACCCGATAAGTCAGGCAACAATGGACAGTACAAATGAAATGGAGGCTCGATTTAACTATATCACAACAGGAATAATGATGGGAGTGGCTTTACACCACCTCTTCTAATCGTACAATGCTGCGCCCTAAGATCCAAGTTTCTCGACAAGGCTGCGAGCGACATCCTCCGTGCCCTTCATGGGCTGTCGAGTCGGTCGGTTCGCCGGAGTCGTCCAACGCGCCTGGTTCAACGGGGTCCGGTCCAATCGAGGGACCCGACCGTGAGCACCACGGGCAACGTCTGAGACATTCGTGCCTTCGGCCGGCTTGTATTCTTCGATACCGTAAGGAAGCTTGGCCATTTCCGAGGCGCGATTAGACACTAGGCGAATTCGGCCATCGGTATCAATTGAGGCCCGGATTGGACTGGCCCAGTACTTGGCACCGCCGGGGATGGACGCGTCGAAGGACATCAGGCCAGCCGGCATGTCGGTATGGAAGGTCATCCCATTCAAATCCTCCACTGCAATACCACCCACACCCGCAACGGCCCTGGACGCCCGGCCCCTAAAGCGGCCCTTGGGACGCAAGATGCGGGCCTGGACCGGCTTCTGGGTGACCTGCGGTCCGTACTTGGGGTGGTTGTATATCAGTGCGTGCGACCGCGAATATGACAGACCCGCAGAGGGATGTGTGCGCGGAGGACCGTTCTTAGCGTAGTCGATGGCCGCCAGACTGGTCCCAGGGGCCTCGTAAGCCGTGTTCGCAACTCGGTCATTAGGCCGATCCGGAGACGATGAAAGGTCCAACAGTTTAAAGAGAACGGGTCCCATCTCGGTCGGGTTTGCACGCAGGGTCTTCAGATACCGTTGGAAATCCTCTTCCGTGATGGTGGGAGGTGCGAGCGTTTCCAAATCCTCTCCGTTGTCTTGGGCCTTTTTCCGGGCTTCGGCGATGCGCTTCTCAACCAATTGTTCACGCAGTTGTCGCAGAAGCTCAGGCTTCCGACGACTCACTGTTTTCAGGTAGGTTGCGAACTCGGCTTCCGTCAGTCCAGCCAGCCAAGGTCCGGTGTGTCGGTATTGCTTGACCCCCGGTTCGCCCAGGCGCTTGCTCGTCTCGGAGTTGTCGAGGGATTGTTCAAAGGGACTCCTATGCTCCGGCATAACGTTCGTCGCATATTTCATCTCGAAGGGAAGCGATATAGGCATGTGCAGCTCCTGGAACTTTTGAAGGGTAAGGGTGTGGTCCGCGGCAGAGTCAAAGTCGGTGACATGTTCATATGTGTCAAGAGCGTTCAACCGGACAATCGGTCTTGAAGATTTTTCTGACGTCGACTTTGCCGGTAACGCCCGCTTCAGACCCCAATCGCCCTTGGCTAGTGATGTTCGCGGTGTCACGATCGAGGCTCGGGTCGGGTAAGGGAGTGTCGCGGTGTCGGATTCGCGGACAGCCTTGGACGTTGGCGGATCCTGAGGCGGGTTTAAGGCCGGTGGAAGGGCAAACAGACGAGACTTCCGCAAGAGATTCGCCGTTGGCGATAACCTGGCGGACGCCATCTTGCTGTGACGATGGGATTGAACCGAGCGAGTCGGAGAGGAAAAGTTGAGGGTGTGGATCCGGCAGAACGTAGAGACCAAACGCGCAGGATTGCCAAGGGGAAGTAAATAATGTCGGTCGTTCTCTACGTATTTTGAGCTTGCATGTCTTTGCAAAGAGATACAATAGAAATCTCTAAAAAAGCTGGCATTCAAATTTTTGGTATATATATCTCCCCTCCATCTGACAATCTAAGCGCCAACAGCCTGCAATGAAGTAACCGTGTCTGCGACCGTCTCCTTCAGCGAGCGATATTTCAGCCCCAGCACCTCCTTGGATCTCGAGTTGTCAATGCCATAGATGCCGGAAGGAAGATCGTCTGGGGAGTCTTTGGGTGGCAGCTTCGACTCCAAGTCCGGGTGCGTCTCACGGATGTTATCCGCCAGTGCCTTGTTGGACATATAGCCAGCCGTGACAAAGAATCTCTGTCCGCCAGCCTCGGGGACTTCGATGGCTCGGACGTGTGCAAGTGCTACATCCCGGACATCCACCCACAGGAATGTCCCCGTGGGGGCGAGGCCCTCCTTCATCTTGCCCTGGACGAGATCTCGCATGCGCTGGTTGGACGTATTGATGGCCTCGAGGGAGTTGAGGTAATGAACGATAGGTCCCAGCACGAGGGGAGGGTTGATGGTGGCGATGTCGAACTTGGGCTTCTCGTTCTCGACAAAGTCCCAGGCGGCTTTCTCTGCAAAGGTCTTGCTAGCCCGGTAGACATTGGAGTGGTCCATGGCCTCCTCCCAGGTGACCGGATTCCAGTCCTTTTCGCTGTAGGTCTTGGGATGTTTTTTCGGGTTCACAATTGCCGCAAAGGACGAAGTGATGACCACTCGCTTGACGGTTGGCGCGTATGCTTTGATTGCTTTTAGGATTCCCGTGGTTCCATTGATAGCGGGGTCCAGGAAGTCTTTGCGCGGGTCTGCAACATTGAAATGGAAAGGGCTTGCAGTATGAAGGACATAGGTAAATGGAGGATTTGATTTGACAGCCTATACATGTTAGTATACAGGCATGGTAGAACCAAGTTAAGTGTTACCTCAT